CCGGCTGCCGAAATTAAATTTCATTTATGGAGGCCTTCACGTAAACAATGTCCATAAAAAGGGTCTAAGAACACTTGCGCTGCCGTGCATAAATTTCACTTATATGAGCTGCAAAACAAATTCATTCACCGCATTTCGGGTTTTCAGATGCCAACATGTGCGTGAATATTATTTCTTGGGGTGTGTTCTCTATTTATTTACCCCTCGCCCGAGCGAACTAATATCTCAACAAACAGATTGTTTATGCCCCATAAATGGCTTGCGAAGGAAACCGAATCTGAAACTGACCTATTCCAAGTGGATTTCAATTGCTGTTTCGCTATTGAGACTGATTGTGTAAAGCAGCTCGGTGGATCCGCGGATCGGTGGGGTTATCAAATCCCCCCAACTATACACGCTTGTGGGTTAGTGCTTATCGCGGGATGTCCGGGAGCACATCTGTGATCGCGTTTAATTCGAGCCAAAAATAAACTGTTGTTCTTTTTATGAATTTATTGGCCTTGCATTCGCGTTCGCATTCGCATTTATTGACCATAAAAAGAATGTTGGCTTATTTATAAACATCTCCGCGAAACCAGACCGCAAAAAGAAATGCCAAAAAGGGAGCAAAGATCAGGCAAACACCTGCAGAGCTCGTTTCCAGATCACTTGACTCCACCACCATCCAATTTTAATTAAGGTTTATTATGCAAAACAAACCTCCAACGCCGCACAGAAACAGTCACAAAACTGTTTTTTTCCGGCTCATCAAAATATCATCCTCCACTTACGTCACAGCGGCAAAACAGCAGCCGATTGGCGCCTCTTGGCTATAAATCAAATCCCATCTTTCCTTCTTTTCGGTTATTTAAATAAAAATTTGCGAATAGCAATAAGAACAGAGACTTCGTGCGACGAGAAAACAAAAATTTAAATCAAATCAAATCACGGGAAGCTGAAAATTGTTAGCCGGTATTTGGTAATAAATTCTCCAACAAGATTGCCTTGGTAATTTTATGGTTTCCATTAATTCTTTTACAAACTGTTTACTAGCTTGGAAATTAATGTTTTAAAAACAAAATTTACTAGAACAGAAGAGACTTTGCCAAAAAGAATGTCACCACTTCAGACCAAAAATATTTCGTCTGTTTTCTTTCACAAGAATATTGTCACTTTTTCCTCACCCACTGCCTTTCTGTATTTCAATCTATTTTATTTATAAAACTCAGTCACATGGCTTCGGCTATTTTTCTGGTTGCTTTAAGCGGTTTAAATTATTTTATATGTTGAATTTTTATGGCAATTACACGACCTTGCTGGGTTGTTTAAATTAAATTTTAACTTATGCAAATGTTTCTCGCATTATTTCGAGTTTTGTTGTGAGCTCAGGTTTTTTGTAATTTGTAGTATTATCTTGTTAATTAGTAAAACGGTTTATCAACTTGTTTATTTGGGCATTAAGTTAATCTGCATTTCTCACAGCCGCTTATTTTTGGGTCACTTGCTTAAATTGTCGCTATAAATGTTTCATAATTCTTATCGAAAATTTTCACCCGATTAAAAATGTTAATTACAGAATCGAGATGTTTCCTCCACGCACATTCAGCATCAGCTGACTCCGCGGTGATTTTATTGTTTGATTTTGACCATAAATTGACCGCTCATGCATATTTATAGTCGGAGAGGTTGAAAATATTTGGTGTCTGTCGAAAATCCAGTTTTCTTTGTTTGAAACTAATTATGTTTTCTCGTCTTAAAAATTAATAATTATTCCCCCCGTCAGCCAACCGTTTAGATATTTCACTCTGTTTGATCGACGGGCGAGTTTTCGGCAAAGGTATTAATTAATTAATGCACAATTAGCAAAAGTCACTAGTCGAAGTTAACACGTGGCTGAGCATCCGACTCTGCCGGCAGTTGGAATCGAACTGAATGCGGTACGCCCATGTGCCATGTGGTTCGCGGTCGGTCTATATCTGTATCTATAGGTATACAGTCGTATCTGTGTGTTAAACCGGCGAGGCGGTCCGAGGGTGTGTGCGTGAGCGCGCGCCTCTCTGTTTTATATATTACACACAGCGCGAGAAAAAGGTGAGCACAACAGAAAATCAAGCGAGCAAAGCAAACGCAGAGCTTACCTAAAAAAAAAAAAAAAAGGTAAATAAGTAAAGGTAACCCGACTACTTTTCATAGATAACCAAGTCCAAGTTGATTAGGGCCTTGCCTAGGGCGCTTTGGGGCGTGGCACAGCGTCAGCTGACCGCCTCAGTCAACTTTAAACCACTTTCTGTTTTCCGATCCATTTCTGGAACTCTCTCCTTGCCTCCGCCGCTCTCTTGGCTTTCAAACCATGGAAAATGCGATTACAGTCCCACGTCTTTAAGGTTTAACAGGCATTTACCACGGACTTTTGAAAGACATACCCAATGAACACATCTCTTTGGTATTTCAGTTTTTGCAACTTATAACATTATCTGATCATTTTAGACAGAATAAGGTTTGTAGTTAAAGAACTACATCCTTTAATTGGTAACAACTTTTAAGAATTTTGTATTAAAGGCGAGTTTTTCTGATTCTCAACTTCACTATGTAGAGATTGCTTTTTGTTATAAAATTCAAATTTTTATTCCCCTCATGAATTTTACTTTAAATATGAATACATCCCGTCACATAAGGTACGGCATGTGTAGGTTCCACTGTAGAGTTTTTGTCTTGTTGCTGTCTTACACGGTATTTACATTTACATTGCTGTTATTGCGATTTTGATTTTTTTGCTCTTTTTATTCGTTCTATTGGCTGTTGTAATGCTCTTTTTGTTGATTCTTGCTATGCGTGCCATAACGCACGTAGTCCAAAAAAAGACCAAATAATTTGCCCTTAGCATGGGTGGTGCTCATTGCCTCTCTTTCGCACGGTGTCCCCATCTCGCTCTGCTTGCAGACACCGAGTCTGTTCTAGTTTTCTATTTGCGCAGACGATGTTTTTATGCTCCGGCTCGAGAGAAAAAACTATTAATTGTGTTATCTCACAGGCATACAAAAAATAAATAAAATAACAAATACAAGCCCACACATATTGTCACTGTCTGGCCTGCCTTCGACATCAATGCCGCTCGAGATTTGTTTGTGGGTTGCAAAAATCTCCAAGTTGTGTGTGCTTTCTAAGCCCCGGCATCATGTACATATGGAGTGCCCCCATCTCTCTTCATCTCTCTCTGTTACACTCTCTGTCTCGCTCTCTCCATTCAATTGTATTACGTCATGAGCCCGAGACACTTGATACGGAGCAAACAAAAGGGGCAAAGCGAAATACATGATAAACAAAAGACCAAAAAACAACAAAATCAAAATGCATCAACGAGGGAGAGCGGTAGTGTTGCCAAACCTCTCTTTCAAAATACATATATGTATATATGAGTCAATTTTTAAAAATAGCCTAAAAGCTGAGTTTTATAAATGTTCGTTTAAAATAAAAAAATTCAGTTCTTGGACTTTAACTCTTTTTTAACAAGACGTACGTAGAGTATCTCTAGCTATCTCTAGATACAATATTTCGTGGATAAGCACATTTTTAAGCTTGACTTACTGAATGTAAGTGAGCTTGTTTTACCAAAATTTGTTTGTTTGAAATGAATTTATATATTTTCTAATAAAATGATTAGAGAAATTATAAAATAATTTTATGATGGTTTTTAGCAAAATGGTTTAGCATGCAGAAGCTGATAAAATACTATAAATATAAAATTATCGAAACATTTTATATAGTCTGCTGTTGGGGGTTGGCTTTGTAAGTGAAGCGAATACTACAGAAAAATAGCCAGAACTGCATCACTGGAGAGCCTGTTTGCTTGTTCTTACTTTTGCTTTTTTTGCCTGACATTGAAACTGCAGCTTAGCGTAAGGAACGCCAGCAACAAAAAGTGCAGCCTGTACACGAAAACTTTCAAGGTCAGCCAAAGGGTAAATACTTCCCAGCAACAGTTAGTTTGCCCCTCTCGCTCGCACACTGCACTGGGCCAAAAGTCACTCGCCCCGTCTCGCTCTCTTGCGCTCTATGGGACTCTATTATTAATTATGCGTCTAGTAATTGTAAACAACATTTTTGGGGCTCGACGGTGACCGCATTTTTACATTTTGTTTTTGTCTTTCTATTCGTGGGCAATTGTTGGTTTTAGTTTTAATTTATTGTGCAAAACAGGGAAATTGCTTCGACAGCGCATTCTTTTGGTCTATTTATTCAGTTGTTATTGCGGCTATTTCGTCACTTCGTTTAAACCATTACAATATGAGAATGTTTTCCACATTAAGAATTCATATGCAAACATACCCACATACATCCATACAAACATATGTAAATATCTTTATATACAGTGTGATAAAGTTCAAAAATGGTAATTAGTAAAATTAAATCAGACTACCACCGTCAAAATCAGATCTTAATTGAATCTAAATTTATATGCCCACCAGTTCTTAGGAAGGAGATTGATTAAATTAGTGTTATATTGCCACTCAATTTGGTTCTATCAATGAAAAGCAAAAATATTCCACAACAACAGATGTTCCCACACCCACGCAATCGAATTTCTGGCTTTCCGGCGTCTTGTTTATTTATTTTGGACGGGCTTCTACGTCCGATCTTGCCGGGGTTCGAATGCGAAATGAATAAAAGTGTTAAATAACCGCAGCACTTGGCATTTACATATGTAAAACACTTTGTTTGCCTATGCGGAGATCAGACTTTTGCCTCTCGTCCGCTGCCTAAAACTCCATTTAAGCCGCCGCTGCTGAATTTTATTGGTTTATTTGTTTTGTTTCACTTTTCGCAGTTTAGCTACGTTTTTTCTTCGGTTTTGCGTTGTTTTCAAAGTCAAGGTTAATTCGACTTTGTCGCTTTGCTGTGGAACGTTTAAATTAAATTTGTTTATTGGGTTTGTAAGTGGTTGTTTTTTAAGTTTTAAACCTGGTACTTGCTGTTTTTTATTATATTCCTAAATAACTTATTTAGCGTTAAACGGTACTCACTTTGGACAGCCAACTGTTGTTGATGTGCCGCAGCGCGCTGTAAATCAAAACAGAAATAAATTATTAAGATAAGCATTTAGATGATTTGTCATAAAAGTACAACATGTTTCATTTCTATAATTGCTTAGAAGACACCTTGCTCAAAGTATGGCTATCATTTGTTATCCAGAGATTTTGACAAACAAAAATAATTGCAAGAAAAGTTATCATTATTCACAGGTTGCAGTGATTTAAATAAAATAATCACATTGAACAGTAAACTAGTTTAGTTCATCATATTCCTATTAAACTACAAATCTAATTTAACGAAAAGGTAAAGCTTTTGTTCACTACAATTAGCTTCTAAGGGAATTAATATTCTTAATTGGTGATTACAATTCGCACTAAGAATTATAATTCCACTTCTTACTAGTACCAGCTAATCAATTATTAACCTTGCATTTATTCGATATATTTCTCCTAAGTGCTAATACCAGATATCATCCTTACATTGTTGACCATCATGGCCCGAATTCCGGGCAGGGATTGCACATCGAGGGAGTGGCTGCGCCCCCTTCGCGTTTTATTGGTGGGCGAGACGGGCGGAGGGCCGGGCGATGAGGGCGTGGCAGAGCTGCTCGAATGAGTGTGCCGGTAAATCCAACGCTTCACCGCCGACATATTGTCACAGTTTTATTGTATATTTTGGTTTTTATTGTTATCACCTCGGGTGATTCATAATTATTTTTAATCAATTGATAAGAACGTTTTCCTGCTTAAAATATATAATTTTAAATTTGAATAACGCGCGCACTGCTTGAATTTCAACTGCTTGCACATTTGCTATCACTACTCAACGTCAGATGGCGCTGTTGTGGCCATTTGTTTTTGCATTTTTATTTTTACCGATAAATAAAATAAAATTTGTTAAGCAATTATTTGGGTTTCTGCCCATGTCAGCCATAAATTATGTAAATTTTTCTGCTTTCGCTACGGGAGAGCCAATTTATGTATATTTTTTAATTACCCGGCAAGAATTTTCTGCGATTTTTCGCCTCTGCGGAAATGGGAAAATAAATGAAATAATGACAATGTCGCCGAATATCACTGGAACAGCCATAATTACTGCCGGCTGTCTGCCGCTTATCACCTTTCCCCATCACCCCACAAATTAATCCTTGACCCCGAACTCTTTTAATTAACAAATAAGCACAAAACATGCTCATTGAGAAAAAAGAAGAAACCGATGACGCATTAAAGTTGATTGAACGCGGCAGAAAAGTTCAGTGGATTTCAGAGGAGGCGTGTTTTCCCTGCTTGATTGCCTGCTGTCGTGTGTCTCCCAATTGAAATTGACAAAAACTTTGATTGAAAGGTGCACACACACACAAACACACATCGAAAGTAGAGTCAATAAAAATGGCAGAAGACACGAGACCAGAAGAAAGCGATTCTGAGCAATGAAAACCAATAAATACTGGCGAAAAAAAAAGAGTTTTTCGACACGGAAATGTTTTAATTGTGCCAATGGGTTTAGGGCAAAAAGGAATACGTAATGTATTTATGTGTGTATTACGAACACTAATTGAGAATTGGATAACAAATAAGGCTTTTTATAGGAAGGGAATTTTAACTTTTCAAAACAAACATTTCTATAAAAAACTCTAATCTACATCTTCATAATCTACATATAAAATTTACATACTCAAAATTTATGAATTGAAATTTTTGTTTAAATAATTAATAAAACAATGCATTTTATAAGCAGGGGATTCTACCTTTTAAATACGTATAGATCTTTAAGAAACTCCAATCTACAAAATGTATTAAAAGGTGACTAAAACACCTGCTACATACCAAAATTTCCACACTTAAAATTGTCGAAGGCCAAAAGCGCATATTGACAATTAGATAAATAACTTTCGAAGTAAGTTTATATTTGGTATTTCCACAGCCAGTAAACAACAATAGACTAAATGTGCGGCCAAAAACTCATGCAAATTTATAAAGCCCTACAAAATCTTTCACTATCTTAGTTAATTCTCCAACTTAACACCTGCCAAAGTCCCAAGGAATTGATAATTTGTAAGCCAAGTTCTGATTTCTGATTTCAGCACACGGGGCGTATACTTAATATTGTCAAGTTGAGCTTTTGCGTTCTAATCATCATTTGATTGTTTTGTTTACCTATTTCGGTGTAACTTTGTTTGCAGCACGATAAACAAGCAGCGAATATAATACACTCAAATAATAAAAGTATAATTAGACTTTATGCGACTTTTGCCCATTTGGAAATACATACTTAGTAGTTTGCTTTCATTTCTATTAGCTTTCTTTGCCATGATCGTCAATATTTGTTGGAGATACATGCGGAAAAATTAATAAATAAATAACAGACTAGCGAAACAGACTCCGCGACCAGACAACAAAACGCAAACAGAATGTAAAAGTCATTAACGTTAATTAGCTGCTCGAGCAAAGGCAAACAAAACAAAGGCAGAAAGGAGGCAGAGCGGCTTTAAAGGGTTTTTCGGAGGCAGGGGGAGTGGCCAAGAAACTTGACCAATTTTTAATATTCAGTTATAGATCAATTCAAATTAGTTTCACTTAGCATTCCATGTCTGTTGGAATAATATTGGAATGATGCCAGGTTGGCGATCGATTTGGAAACACCGAATTTAGAAGCTTTTAATTAACATTGCGGTAACAGCGGCATGTTAATTTCCAATTGGCATGTGACCAACCACGCAAAAGGTTTCTACTAAACAGGAAGAAAGCGAACCGGAATTATGTAAGACCAATAAACTAAATATTGTTTGTCAAAAGTGCAACGTATTAAGAATATTGGCCATTTGATTATTTAAAATAGGATGTCATCTGTGTGTATGATTTACAAAACCTTGCAAGTGTATTTGAATTTATCTAGTTTAAAATTTTTAGTTATTTACTTAAAGAAGGAACCCTTTTGTAAGTGCTTATTTGAACAATTTTAATTATTTGTGGTCAAAATTTAAGTTGATTTATTTTTAATATTTACTGGTAAAATCAAAGAACTTTAAAAAAGTAACAAAGATTTTAAATACAACTTGAAAAGTGTTTTATCAAACATTAATAGTTATTTATTATTACTCAAAAGCTCTTCCCAGAATTCCTTTGGTCAAAACCACTTTGGAGCAGATTCCGAACCCAATCAAAGATGGATATAAAGCCTATATATATCGGAAATACTATACATCTTTACACATTCCTAATCAAGCTTCTCCCACCATAAACAAACTTCCACGTTGTCAAGTGGTTGACCTTTAAGCAAGTGAGATAAAAATCAAAATAAACAGAAATAATAAGCACCAAATATAAATACACAGAGACAACTGAGGAAAGTGAGCACTTTTGACAAATGATTGATTAACAACCAGAACCCAAAAACAGCGAAGAGAACAAAAGCCAAATTCAGAAATAGAAAAGTTAAATAAGCGGATGCAGAACAAGAGAAATTTCTGTTTGCAATAATTCACTTTCTTTTCACTTCCTCGTGGAATACGAAGTCGAGCAAAAATCCTAAGTGGGCATAAACCATATAGGGAAAGCTGATTTCGATCCGACTGATATGGCAAAAGCTTTCCGATTAGGTATCACACTTCTTTTCCGATTCGCCGATTTTCATTTTCAGTCTATTCAATTATTAGTTCCAATATATGGTATATAGTTATTTGGGGTGTTCCCAAGTTATCTGCCAAAATTCAGCGTTTAATTTAACCGCCCTTACTTATACTTATATCTTATCTGTTCGCCTGCCTTCCGCTGTATATTTTAAATTAATTTCACGTCGCTTTCGCCTTCCCAAGTGAATCTTCCTCCTTGTTGATATTATGGCTAATGCTGATAAGTTTTTGTTTTTACCCCGATTCCATTTTGTAAATAGTACTCCAGAGTCTATAGCTTATCGCTATGGTTAAGTAATAGCGGGAAAAGGGCCTAAAGGCAGTGATATCATGCATTGGGATGCCATAAAATAGTCAACCGTCAGTCAAAAGTAATGGCCAACAAATTACCCGAAAACAATGTCAATGCGTGGAAAATTCCCCAGAATGAGCAACAGCTGCGGATTCTCAGAAGAAACAGTGTCAAACTATTGGTACAGATTTCAAAATATCTAATGGAATAATTAAATCATTGGATTGACAGAAACTGTGTTAATAGCTACAGGGTATAAATAAGTTTGGTTGACAAAAAGTCTGCATAAAATGTTAACCCTTTGTCACTTTTTATCACATGTTTGACTCCCCTCGACAGCCAAAAGTTGGACACTTAACAAATTAGCGACTAAGGAATTGGCTTAACCCTTTCATGCCCAAATTAATCTGGGGACACATAGAAAATATTTAACGCCATAAATGATTAATAGGAACCCCAAGTAACGTTCATATCGAATTTCGATACTCTAAGTCCTTTGGTATGTCCTTACTGCAATGTTGCCTTTAGGCCTTTGAAAAAATCCACACTCTTTATAAAACAATTTTCAAGCCCAACTTTATACTTTTATCATAGTCTTACCTATTTTAAAGATATGTACGTACTTATTTTATTAGTATTTGTCACTAATTTTACTTAATCGCACTATTTGCACGGACACTTTTTGGGAAAATTTTTCGGCAGCTATGGTCGCTTCGAATCATAAGTGATAACTCAGCACACGCTGCAGCTGCATTCGCCAAAATTACCAAAAATTAAACAACATTAATAAGGGAAATCGCCTATAAAAAAAATCCACAAAAATTTTGAATCGTAACCGATTTAAACTTAAAAAAGGCAATGTTGCCTGTAGGCAACAGTGGGCATGAAAGGGTTAAAGGCTTTGAAAACAACGTAGGCAGCAGAAACCACACCAGTCGATATTATTTAGCAAATTTCATGAATACGATAATAGAACAATAGCCACAACAGCAACAAAAACACTGATCACATGTTGGCCATTTATTTAGTTGTCTCTTCGCTTTTCCTCTCGCACTTCCAATGCTCATTTCCATGCCTTTGAGTTTGTTCTTAATTAAATAAATAGAATTCATGAAGATAAATATTATGCGAAAATATGAACGTGCCGCGTGAATCTCGTCAATGAACTTGAAAATTAAAAGCACAAATTGTCCGCCAAAACAGAGGAAATCCACGGTGTTTAAAATTGAATTAATTGCAGCGGCACATTAGATCTTAAATGGCAACACAAATGAAACTGCGAAAATATGTTTAATTTGAATACAAGTGTTTTGGGTATATCTGCATTTGTTATTTTCGCGACGACATATATGTATATCTTTTGTTTGTTTATTTAAGGATTGTTATTATTTTTATTTTCTTCCGTTTTCGTTTTAAGTTATGTAAAATGTATACTTTTGATACACAATTATCAGTTTGCTAATTCTATATTTTCACCATTCTCAATTTATATTTACGTTTAGCTTACAGTCACTTTATATAACTTTTCTGTAATAATTTATTTTAAATAGCACTCCAGACACCAATTCTATTTTATTTCAAACACTTTAAATAGCTTTATTGCCAAAGAAAACAACAAACTGGAAACTTTGGATGTCAACACACGAACGCGATTGGGAAATGCACAAATCGAACGATAAATATTCTCATTCCTACTTGAGATCGGTGCGGAAAGCGAAGGAATCAGGAGGCGAAGAAAGTCGCGCACAATTCGCCGCTAGGTCCGTTCAATTGGAAATGCAAGTAAAAATAACAACACAGAGCGGATTGGCGATGAAACAAAAAAAAAGTTGAAGTGACGACGGCGGCGACGCTGGCGTATACGTAATATACGTATGTGCGCGACTTTTCCGCAAAAGTCCAAAATCAGCCAGAGAAATGAGAGAGACTCGAAGAAAGTCAACGGAGAGAGAGCAAAGAACAGCTGTGGCGATCACCTGTTAGCGGAGCTTTCGCTCTCAAGGATTTGATCATTATGAATACACTTTAAACAGTTACTACTGCCTTCAAAACAAAACAAATTTTAAATTCCGTTAAAGCTTAGTAACCTACGTTTCTTTTATACAATGTGTTTCTAATATTTTAATAATTTCTGTTGAAACAAAAGAAATGTTTTTATTTAAAACATTTGTTTGCTTAAAAGCAATATAAATACTATCCATTTATTGTTTATTATTTGCTACAAATTAAACAAAAGACTTTAGAGAAATAATTTCTTTAGTGTAGAAAACGTCTGTTTTTAATAGACTTCTTGAAAGCTCTTCGCACGCGTTTGGTTCTTTTGTCGCTCTTATGATAAGCGATAGGCAAAACACAAAAGCGAAGCTTATCTATCAAATCGATTGAGGCCTATCGCGATGAAATCAATAATGGCTCATAATTATTTATAGACTGGATGATTATTAATGACGCCTCCTTGCCGCCGATAAGAATCTCAAGTGGGCTTTTCGAGACAACATGGCATTTTGGTGGTGACAGATCGCAAATTATTTAATCTCACTCAGATATCAATCTAATGGGAAGTGATTAAGCTTATTTATGAACTGAGTAACCTCCAATCGATTCATTTTCACTAATTGAAAATGCTTTGATTTCCTAGAGCTATAGGTTTTGTATAAATATACATATTAGGGCGCCGGTTCTTTTTAGAAGAAAACTGATATTAAATTTCCCAAAATAATTTCTATAAAAATATGTAACAACTTATTATAGTGCAATACGCAAAGTTAAACCCGTTAACCCTTTAAATGTGCTTTCCTAAATAAACTGTCCATAATCAGACACTTAGTAGCGTATATAGAATTATGATATAAAATATCCTTAGATTTTAATAAAAATATAGTTTTTTCAAATAGAGTAAAAATTTTAAAATAGACTGATAAATAGTGGAAATATACGAAATTAAGCATTTCTAACAAAAATAATAATACATTTTGCAAGTCTTTGAACGAAAAGCGGAGACACATTATTTGGAAACTATAAGCGGGGACACACACCTTCAGAGCATGCCCCACAATAATCCGAAAGGTGGCGCTTTTAATTAAGCGATGATATGAACCGATATTTTTAAACGCCAATATCGATTATTTAACAACTATAATTCATTTTGAATTTGGGCGCATAAACTTTCAGCAAAGATGATATTTTGGGACAAAGTTTAGTAAAATCTTTAATGGTTTACAAATTTGATCTTCTTGGTTAACGAGAAACAATCAACATCCTTTAAACTATACAGATGCCTTGTTGTTGTTTTTTATATATTAAACTTTAAAGTTACCATTTACATAGAACTTTTATTTAAGAAAATCCTTCTTTCTGATTTCATAAGCTTAAAAGCTCAAGGAACATACGAAAAAGTTAACAAAAATTTATTGAGGTGATATCTATTAATAACCTTAGTACCTGTAATAATTAAATTCTCTTAAATCAACCAGTCCTACAGCTGTTCCAAAATGTTATAGGAAATTATTAGATATTATCAGATAGTTCCTACACAGACAGTCTTCTCCTTAAAGCCATAATTGTAACGCAAAACATACCCTGCCTTAGACTAAATGGAGTGTATATCTTCCAAAACAGAAAGGGTAGCTTCACTTACCGCTTTCCGCTTGTCGGCCTCGCTGACGACTGAACTGGATCGATGTCGGAACAGATCCATCACCTTGGTCATGGGCGATCGCTGGGTGGCATTGGGCCTCACCGCCGTCACCGTGTGGTAATACTGCCCGAAAAGGGATACCATTTAGTAAGGAGAAGGATATAAGATAACCAAAATCCAAAGATATCTCACCTGCGCATCGCTGCCTTGGTGCGGATGGGCACTACCGTCTTTGTACTTGCTCTTCGCGGTGGACTGTGTGCCGTCGGCGCTCGTTATCGTGACCGCCGGATGCTGTCGGTGGCTGAAGTTCTGCATGGCCACCTTCATGGAGTTCATAAGGCCACCCGCTGCTCCTCCGGCAGCTCCACTTCCTCCCGATCCTCCTGCAGCTGCAGTTGCTCCGGCTCCACCGCTCGAAACGGGAGCTGTGCCGCCGGAAACGGAGTAGGTGCTGCTGGTGGCACTGCTGTCGGCGGAGGAGGGATCCAGGAGGTGCTTCTCCTTCTGCCGCTTGGCATCCGATTTCGCCCGCGGTCGGAACACATCGAAGATCGTGGGTCTTCGGTTGGGCGAGGCTATTCCGTGCACCGTCGACTGGTTGAGCACCGGCGAATCCTCGCCACTTCGCCTCCGCTCCAGGGATCCGGATCGGGACGCCACTCCCGCCATGGCCATTCGCTCGGTGCTGCGCGAGATCTTCTCGCTGTGTCGGTTGATCTTCTCCAGCTTGGCCGCCTCCCGCTCGATCCTCCTCGCGGTTTCGCGCTCCAGCTTGCGGGCCTCCTTCTCCCGCCGCGACTGCTCCTTCTCCTGGCGGCTGATGATGGGAAATAATCATTAGATGGCATACTATTTTCTTGACTCCCTTTGACATTGAACTAAACGACTTCAATAAGTTTCCTTTTTTATAACTATTGCTTCACCCACTAAGAATTTTTATCAGTACAGATTAATAAATGAAAAAAAAGATAATAAAACTCAACAAATTATTGGTTGTAATTGCAAAAACTCAATATTTAAAATAATTTAATTTAATTTAAAACACACGTTATATACAAGCCAATTAACTATTATCTATTTTGTTTAATTTGTATGTTTTTAGAAAGTTTAAAGGCAACTATGTTTTCCAATTTCATTTGACAGCTCATCTTGAAATGCATAAAATGAGTATACAAATTTATTTTCTTAATTTTTTTTTAAGGGATTTTCAATTTTGAACGTATTAACAAATGAATATTACAGTTTGTTCAATAATTTAATAAGCTGCAAATAGTATTGTTGACAGTTTTTACTAAACCAAAACTACCTAATTTTGGCTTATTTCGAATTGATAATATTTTTGGTATTTGTCAGGTAGAACATAGCATATTTTGATCATAGATTCATAGATTCAAACTTCACTTTCTAGTTCAATGTCAAAGGGGAATTAGATAAACCATTTAAAAGTGATCACTCACCGCTGCTCCTTCTCCATCTTTTTGTAGGCCTTCTTGGCTGCCTTGGCATTTGGTTCTGCGGGGGCGCTGGAAGGTCGGGATCCCGGCATCCTGCCGGCTCCTCCGAGGCTGCCATCCTGTTCCTGGAAGCGAACATGTCGTTTTTGTGGATTAGTTTGCTGACTTGGCTGACTTGGTGGGATAGTTGGATTCGAGTTGGCGTCTAGTGGGCTTTCGATTTCGAGAGTACTTTGCATGTTTCTGGCGCCGCTGGCCAAGGCAAACTAAAACCAACTACTGATTGGAAGGACCAACTGAACGACATTATCCATTATCCCCCGTATCCTTTCACCTCCCACACTTTCCGTACTTTTTTCCCCCAACTTTTCTCCTTTTTTTCCCTCTTTCGAGCGACTGCAATTATTGCCGAATTGTCTACAAATACAATTTATTCGCCACAATACACAATTCTCGATGGACAATTCAGTGGCGTAACCCGGAGATACGGCAATTGGAGGAGCAGGCGACACCCGATGCGTCCTTATAATTGGGACAAGTCGGAGGCCAAAGGAAAGGAAGGAAGACCTATCCCGCCGCCTGTTGCTCCCCTCCACTCGAACTCAATCAATTAATTTATTATTACGCAAAATTGCAACCGAATGTGGAACAGTACAGGACAACTGTTGCCAAGGAAGAAAATGTTAAACTTTTTTAGGAATTTCGATCTAGAATTTAAGGAAGCTAAACAGCAAGCTAATGATATTCATTCATAAGAACTTGTTTACACACTTATTTTGAGGGTATCCCCCTTTTGAAGTAAAGATACTAATGAGAACCTGTTTTGATTGATGATCTTTCTATTGTAGAGTTCAACAAATATTTCAAAGAATGAACTAATTACCTAGTTCATTAACTTCCGCTTTAAAAATAAATATATTGTTTGTCTGTTTCAAGTATAATGATGCTATAAATAGAATGATATTATTAAAACATTAATTGCTAGTTGTTTATTATTCCCTGCCATTAGTTTTTCTTGTTTAAAAAAAAATCAAAAGTAAGATTAAACAGCAACTGATTATTAAGCAAGTAACAAGCAAAATATTCGTTCAGTAGTTAAATAAAATTAAATACATAAAATCAGACTTTGATCAGTTCTGATAGGAATGCCTTTTATAAATTACTTTTATTTATCATGTTTAATCTGAATTGAATGATGCATTTCCCAAGAACATTAACTATTCGTTTCCTCAATTTGTTAACAACTTTCACAATCATTAATTCACATTAACAATTCCTCACTTGAAAGCCAACCCTTTTTTCACAATCTTGACAGAGGGTAAATATAATATCTTGATCTGAGGTGAAAAAACACCTGTAGTTGGCTTATTTTTAGCAAAATCTACAGAGAGATCGAATATATATATATATATATTATGTGTATATTTCCCCTCTTATTTTTTTGCATCGGAGGGTTTCATTACCAAAGTGCCGAGTCACGTGCCCCGAGGGTCGCAGACGACTCCGAGACTTCGATGAGCTAACAACAAAGGCGGTCTTGATTTCTGCCGGGGGGCCAAAGTGGGCCAACACACACACACACACAACAACACACTCACACACTCAGGAAACAAAAACCAACAGAAGTTCACATCTCGGCCAAGTTAAAATTGTTTGTGCGATTCAAAAGGGGAGTGGAATCATCAGCTGTTTTACACCATCTAACTCAATATTTAGACGGTTATAGAATATTTTAGACGACTGGCAAGGGGAATACTTCCCTTTTAAGTTCTGGGAGTGGCGCACTGGAGAAAGCTGACGTCATTGTTTGCCAAGACCAGGTAAATAGCCCGCCTATATTGTATGTTTGTGTATATGGAAATTTTATATTCGTATTTGTACGTACGCGATATGTCCGCGTTCCGTCAAAACAAATAAGAAGCGATGAGTTCCAGCCGGGAATGTTGACAAATTGTGTCATGATAAGCGAGGGGGGGAGCTGCCTCCCAGCTCTTATTGTACAGATACAGAGGAATATCCGACCGAACCGCACTATATATAGAATACATGTGTGCCGCGATAAAAACAAGCCCCGAAAAGCTGATTTTTCGCCGTGTTTACCTTTCGCTCAGACAAATAAACTCGAAAAGGCCGACGAGGAAGCCGAAAGACAAAGGTGAAACATTTCCAATGCCTCGCCTCTTTCTCTTTTTTTTTTTTTTTTTTTTTTTTTGGAACTATTAATAGACAACTTTACGATTGTGGCGCAGAAACAGAAACAACGCCGCAGGCGAATTATTAATACTGAATAAACAAAATTTTAAATATCAAGACCGCATGTAAAGTGGAGGATTTTCCACAGAGAGGAGGATTTTCCAAAGATCGGAATAATGAAATAATGATTTTCATATTGATCAAAGAAAGAATTCTGTGAGTTACACCCTCTTTAAAAACATTTTACAAGTAATGTTCATTGGAATATCTGTTTTTATGACATCATTAACTTGCGCATTTCCCTGTTTCGCTCATCAGATCTTTCACTTCCCAATTCATAATCGCTAAATGATTTTATCATCAAAAGAGCTCATATCTCAAATGACGTCAGTCAAATCTGTGAATATAAAGATTACACACAGCCTGTTGATTCCCAATTATATGAGGGCTTTTTAAATCCAGTTTACTTTCCGTGCTTTGCTTTCTTGTTAGTTTGTTGCCATTTATTTGGCACTATTTCAAGACTTACTCCAGTCTACACGAGAAATTCTTTCAAATATTTACTATTCCACTTTTAATCGATCAGTTAAACTAACGAAACTGTTCGGTTAAGGGTAACTGAAGAGCTGAATGGTCTTAAATACTTTGGGAATATTAATAAAAGGTAATATGAAATAATTCTTTCAATGTTTTAAGTTTCTAGCTATTATTACGAAAACCTTTTCTTAACAATCTCAAATCAAAAGTTAAATTATTGGGTGTTAAAAGCCTTTCAAAACTGAGAAAACGATTTCAAACCAACTAATAAGTAGAATTATCGACTTTTGCATATCGAACGAACTATCGCTTGTAATTTAAATGTATCGTTGCAAAAGTAGTCGCATAATACTTTTGCTTAAATTATGGATCATTTTCAATTCAGTTTAGGAATACACCTTGAACATCTCTTGTATCAAAAAATACAACCCATCCAAATGTAACATTGTTTGGGTTCATTAGTTCATCTGAATTCCATTAGTTCCCTCAAATTAGTAAATTCTATGATCCTATTTAACCCCTTCTCTATTTCCATCATTTAAAATGGGAATACTGTAACCCCTTGACTTACATCATCGGAGACAGAAACGGAGACGGATCCCGAGTTGGTGAGCTGACGCGACGGACTCGTGGTGGAGGCGCCGCTCTCGTTCCTCAGCAAACGAGGCATGGTGGATGCTCCTCCCAAGGATACAGGTCTCTGCTGCTGCGACTGCTGCTGTTGCGGTTGCTGCTGCTGCAAAAATGAGGGAGGAGTGCCAGGAGTAGCACTACTACCACCTCCACCATCCTGCCTGCGAATCCAAATCTCATCCAGCTCCCTTTCGCTGGGCGTTCGCGGCTTGTTGGCTAAACTATTTGTATCACAAGTGAGGCTTTGGTGGTTGCTGTTGGCCAAGCCAGCGGTGTTCAAGGACACATTGCTCTGGGCCGGAGTGCGGATCTCCACCAGCGAGGGCTCGAAGAACTGCTTGGACAGATGGGGAGCGGCCACTGGGAAGCGATTGGAGCCGTACCTCTGGGAGAACAATCCCTGCACGGAGGAATAGCCTCCGAAACTGGAGGGGAAGCTGATTGTGTGTGCATTGGAGCTAGCCTTCAGTTTGCTCAGTTTCTGGGCCTCCACTCGAAGTTCAGGGGTTTCTTGGGCTAGAGTAACCTTGAACTTGCCCTTGATGATCAGCGGGGGTTCCGAGGGCAGCGGAAGTGGGGAAACGGGTTCTTGGACAACAGGAGAGGGAACTTCCTTCTCTACAACTTGAGTAGCTGTTCCCTCCACAGGACTGGTTGGATTTACAGGTGGTGAAGGCGTCACTGATTCCTGGGTGTGGAGCAATGCCTTCAGAGCCTTTGGTAGAATCGTGGCTGGAATGGGAGGCGGTGGCGGCGGAGGCGGAGGTGGTGCCTCGTTCTCCTCGATGTTCCGCGTGTTTATCCTATCGATCTTGTGCATAAACTGCTGCCTCAGTCGCTCCAGATCCTTGAACTTCTCCTTCGAGGCTTCATCCTGCGGGGTTGGGGGTCTGGGTGGCGCCTTGGAAGCTCTCTCATGTTTGCTGACTTCCCCAGTGGCGGAACCACCCAACTTGTCGCCCTCATCCTCGTCATCTTCCTCTTTACACTGCGACAATCGTCTTCGTTCGATGTAAGGAGGTAGCAGGTAACCCGGTCGCTGGTGACCCGAATAGAGATCCACCTTGGCGAACTTGCCACTCAGTGTGAGTCCCAAGCTATGGTGCACCTCATCCCCGTCGTGGTCATCGTCGTCGTCATCGGGATCGTCTTCATCGTCGCTGCTGCTGCCACTGCTGCTGTGAAAGTCGAAGGAATTCGAACGGGGCAGGCACTTCAGCATCTCGGAATCGATGTGCTGGCCATGGAGTGAGCCGGGGAGTCCCCTCATCCGCTCCTCCCGCTGCTGCACCACCTGTCCAAGGCTGCCAGAGGAAGCGGAGTCCGTTATCTGATCGTTGGCACTCGCCTCCGAATCCGATTCATAGCCATCCAGGACACCCTGTTCTAGATCATCCATGGTGGACTCAAAGGCGCACTCGAAACTATCCTCGCCAGCGAACTGCTGGTAGTTGGGTGGATTGCCAGCTGGCTTCTCCACCGCATCGTCCTCCTCCTTCTTGTCCACTTGCTGGGTCTTCTCCTCCTGGACAACCATGACTGCATTGGCATTGGCCAGCGGCTGCTGCTTCACTTGCTCCTCGAGGAAGTCGCAGTTCGTGGCCATTTGGTTACTTTCGGTTATATCTTTGGATTATCGCTCTTCTTCTTCACCGATCGCTGGTATCTGTATCTCAATCGATGGATTGTCTCGCTGCGCTATGCAAAATTTCTTTTTCTTTTGCACGACATTTGCATGCCGCCTTCTTTGGGAATCTGAAAGGAGAACGTTGGTTATCAATCGGCGGTTCAGGAGAGTGAGTTCTGAAGTCCTCGATCATTTTCCCTGTGTTGATATGAGCTCGCTGACACTTGTTTTCAACCTACGGCAATCGATTTCGGTAAACAATCAGTTTGGTAAACAATTCCCCACCAACAGAAGTCAGCAAACATTCTTCAAGAGGTGAAGGTCACCCGATTTGCCCCACACTTTATACGTAAACCAGAAAAAATCGACCAAGACGAAAGCTAATTTCATTATTTACGCTTCGTCATCGGCGTTTTCGTTTTTGTTGGTGGGAAAAACAAAAGTCAAACGAGAAATTAAACAAGTGGAGGAGGAATAAAAGCAAAACAGAAGCAGTGTTCAACATATGGCAGCTGATGGCTGACGGAGCAGAAATCAACCAAATGTATTCACAACTATACTCGTACTCAAATGTGGAACGCAGCAACAGAAGAATTATTTTGGGAAACGTAGTCATTTTTGCAGGAAGTATAACCGCATATGTATATACGTTTTTATTAAAGCTTCAATCTTTATTTCCAACTATATCATAGAATATATCAATCAAATTCTCCAATACATATTTTAATGTGGAATGCAGCGACAGAAGAATTATTTTAAGAAACGTAGTCATATTTGCAGGAAATGTACCCGCATATATACGGAAATCATTTTATAAAAAATGCAATCTTTATTCTCAACTACAAGTATATAACATCATATAATATCAATCATATTTCCAACTATTTTTAAATGCGATAAGCAACAACATTTAGTCAGTAGTCATTTTAACCAGAAATAAAACCGCATATTACGGAATACTATTTATTAAATATTTTATTTCTCCACAAATTTCTTAGTTATTAATTTATTTTAGATATTTCCGTGTACATAAGCATTCAATTTATTTAAGCTATTGCTGATATGTTCCCATATGCTTTACTTGAAACACTATTAAGCTATCTGTTTATCTTTATAATGAGCAAACATCTTAAAACATATTCGATAAATTACGGATACCATAAAATTTTATGGCCTCATTACTTTTCTGGAAAAGTCTGATGAATTGACAGAGAACAAATAAAAGTAACGCATGAGAGAATTATAACTCTTTCACTACTGCAATAAACTAATTAATAAGAATTTTGAAAAGCAGAACATACAACTTGTTTGTTATAAAACAGAATATATAAAGCTGAGAATGTGCCTATAATAATAATAAAAAACTCAGAGCAACAAGTGTTTGAAATCGTGTCTGAAAAGGCGAGTCTGCCCAACCCAAAACAAACCCCTTTATTTATTTACCCCCCGCTAAACTGAGCAACCCCATCGAAGAACGAACCGCAAGTTGTGTAATCGAGCATATGGCGTACGCATCTATTAGATACCCACCGCAATTAATGGCAATTAGATACAAATGTATCTGGTATCGGTGCATATGTTAATAACATCGCTTATTTTGCGGTCTTCGGCTGACGAATGATGACGCACGTGGGTGGAAAGACCAAAAGTGACTCAACCCCAAAGGTCGAAGGTTTGTATCTTTGAAGTACCGATCCGAAAAATACTTCTATATTATATGGATATCCGAATGTGGAACACAAGATACTTGGCTACATTTCACGCTCGTTTCGGCGGAATTTCGCTTAGCGAGAAAATTCGCATTAATTACACGGGCACGTTATTTTCTCTGAGTCAATCGCAAAGCACGACCGATTCCAGTTAGCTGGCATTAGTGAGCCAGCGTATCCATCGGATACTGGTGTGCAATTAGACGACCCCCAAAGCTCCTCCCTTCATTTAATTGCATAACTCGCAGTGGCTGCCATGAATCAATTGCAGTCAGCTGATCGCCCGGCTATCTAACTATGTGCATCTATTAATTACTGGCCACAGCCACCGATTGACCCGCCTGCCATTTGTATCTATGTATCTCAACTTGTTGTATTCGCGTATCTCTGCATCTGCGGTTCGATTTGCTAGACATTCTGGCGTCGCCAGTCGAACTTGAAGTTTTAAAAGGGGAAAAGACTTAGTTGTACAGTGATTTATATTATATTTATATCTAGATTTTAGGCGTAGATCATTTAGTAAACCAAGTATCCTCCAGAAAACCAAAATACGTGACTCTCTCACATATTTTCCCTCATTTCCATTGCGAATTTCTAACGCATTGTTTGCATTTCATAAACTCAAGCATTGAACCCTCGTCATCACGTAATCGATATTATTGTTTAATTGAAGAAACCGCAGTGGCAAACCAACGCATTTGCTTTTGCGAAACAAAATAGCTGCGAAATGGCAACCGCAAAAATGTCCCAAGCAAAAGTTTTGAGCAACAAAGAAACGTCAGCGACGACGACGACGACAATAATTAAAAGCAAGCCAACGCAAAATTGGCATTCAAACAATTTTCCGTTTCATTTAGGCATATGAAATATCGCACGAGAAGCGAATAAAATTAAATGCAGCTTTTTGCTGGGTGCAGTTGCGGTCACCCAGTTCCACAAATGACACAACTTGAAAGATTACGAGTCGGTAATAAATTATCCAAAGCAGCACTTTCAATGGGTGGCATAATAACGTTTTATAAATATTCAGCAACTTGGGCGTTTAATCATACCCTATAAATTTGTAGGAAACCCTTTGTTTTCCTCGATGTGTTAGATCATTTCTGTTCATCAATAACTTGTAGAAATTTTAAAGTACTTTTTGAGCAATCTTAAATTTTTTACATTATTTACAATTCTGTGAAACACGATAAGATCCGACAAATTCGTTTCTATATTATCTTTCATTTCTTCCTACTTTTCTTATCAGTTAACCACTTTGAACTGATAGAAAAAATATATATATTGCATGATATCAAAATAGTATTCCTTAAACATTCCGTTTTTAGATTTATAAGATTACAAGCTGTATACCAAAAATATTTATTTTTGTTTGTAATTTATTTTAGGACTCAACTTTTCTTAATCGGAATGCTTCTAAATGTGTAATCCCCTAATTTACTGAGAGTACGAGGTAGCAATAAATATATATAAATATGCTAAATGCACTTGCCTCGGTGACTTTGGCACTTGATATTAAGTTGGTGCACAAACAAATAATCGCCAATATGAACAAACGAACAGAACACAGAACACAATGTGTGGGCTGTAATTGCTGTTAAATGATGTAGGATTGCCAGCTGCTCAAGGCACTTCAATCCAAGTGATTGAACGATCATCACTCCGCTCTTTGCCGGTTTATGCAATCAATCCGTTGACAATCTCACGTGATCCCCGCCAATGGATGATTCACTTCACTCGACGCTCCGATAGTGCAAATGTCACTTGCTTTCTATTGACTCCGAGCGATTCATTAAACGCTGTCTGTCAGCCGGCGCATAATTGATATTCCAATCTTGTCGGCTCAACTTATAGAAAGCGAATGCCACAAGGTTCAAGATATTTTTTTAGTCGAGATAAGAACTTGAACTTAGGCAAAAGTTAACTCCGCAAGTGCGTCAGGAAATTAGCGTTGCAATGCCAGCTAAATTCCAGTTTTGAGTGGGCGGAGGATCGTGGGATTTCGCAGTTTCCTGCTAATTGGTAAGCTTTTCCCCTTTCAACTTGCCGCCAATTACAAAAATATTTGCGGAGTTATAAAGTGCTGTTAGTCCGCACATCTGGAGGCGTTTTATTACTTAGATTTTAAGCGCCATTTTTCACTTTTAACTAAGAAAATATATTTGCTTTTCCTTAGTAAAGTTCAAAAATGAAGTAAGAGGAACTTTAAAAACGCTGTTAAATGTCAGAATTGATAATCAAATTATTCTTTATTATCGCCCATTAAAGTTGCCTTTAACAATCAAGGCAGTTTTCCATGAGAACAACTTTAGTTGTTCCGTCTGACAGTTTAATATCATTATTAATCAAGCAACGACAGCAGTTATGACAATGTGTTTATACTCGATAATTTAAGGTTACATGTTTGTACATTTTAGTTTCTGTATCAAAATATCATTAATCATATAGTGAGCTTAAAGGGAAATAAAGGTTAGTTCACACAGTTTATGTTTTATCATATAATTTTATATGTTAAAAACACTTCTTTTGAAAATCCCTCTATAAACTATTTTTTATTTTATCTGACTTCATTTATTTACCAGCAATAAAGATCAAAACAAACTGATTTAATAATAAAGAAAAGTTAAGTTGCATAAAAAGTGTTTGTTAATTATTATTGTTTTAGTTATCATTATATTAGGTGTCAATAATGGGTTTTATTTTAATATTTAAACCAACTTTGCGATTATAGCAAATTAAAAATTACATTATTATCATTAATAGAAGTAATGTTTTTGTTTTTTTTTGTTTTGATTTGTTTTTCAAAGTTGTGAAACCGCCCGTTTTAAGACTTTTCAACATTTTGAAACCCCAAAGCGTAAATCCAAAATTTAAGCACTGCAATCCGAAGTGAATTCCAATCTTGAGCCCCGGCATTTTTAAACGATTCGGGGGACAGCAACTCAGTAATTGGCTGCGATCGAAATTGAGAATTTCCTCTTTCGCCCGGTTACTCAATGCCTCCAGTTCGAGTGTAATCAAATTGTTCGGCTGCGCTGGCATTTCATTTTCCATTTCAATTTCAATTTCCATTTTCATTTTCTCAGCAGAAAAGAGCAAAGAAGAAGAAGAAACCTGGGGGCTGACTTTGCGACAGTATCTGAATCTGAACGATCGGCAAACTGTTGCCAAGCGCACTTTAATTTGCGTTTTCCACTCTCGTCTCGTCGACTCGTTTTTCTGTGTCACTTTGGAGAGGCCCTGTCTGTCTTTCTTTATACTTTTGTATATCTCTTATATACCTATATACCAATATATATATCTATATGCTTCTCGAGTCGACGTGAGTGTCACGTGTTTGGGTTTTGCCATTGTCTCTAAGTCGTTTTCTCTGTTGTGCTTCTCTTTTTGCCATTGTTATTCATTATGTTTTGCACTCGGTTTCAGTTTCGATTTCTGTTTATGTCAACAAACAGCAAACTGAGCAGACTTAACTAACCAAACGAACTAAAACGAACTGAACAAACTGAAGGGGTGGAGCCGAGTGGAGCAGAGGCGGTCAAGGTGGCGGAGCATCCATCCAACCTGATATTTTGATATGATCTATTGGCTAATTGAAGATCGCTTCGCTCGCTCGTCTTGGCAACCAGAAATTGTGTGGGTGGAGAAGTCGTGAACAATTCTAAGCTAAAAACTATCTTATTTAAATAATGTTTAGGCTTGGTAAGATAGATTACAATATTAAGACAAAACTCTTGTATAGCTAATAGGTTGAATTTTAATAAGAATATTTGAACTATTTAAGTGTACGAATTGTAAAACTAAACAAGCGCCATATATAAAATTCGGAATTTGATTATTGAAAGATTTGCAAAACATTTTTAAGATTCGTTTTTGATTAAACCTAAAAATTAAAAGATTTAAACAATGTAACCAACTTAATGTTTTTTAAACCAACTATAAAATGGAAAAGTCCTTGTAGCTTGCATTAAAGTAACTGGAATATTTCGTTTGCATTGAGATAACAAGTTCAATATAATAAGTTAAATGTATGTAGGCAGTTCAAAGGGTTAAAGGTTGGCATAGTTAAATATAGTATAATTCCCCACAACATTTAAATTTTATACTTTCTTTCCTTAGAAACTTTTGGTAATACGTTTAGCCTTCCACTAATTATCCATCGACACTTGCATTGGTTCCCCTTGAAATTGGCAATCTAATTGCCACAATTACTCAAAGGAAATTTCCAAGGAAATGCCAGAGGAGCTAACAATGGAATATAGGCCAGGTGCCGCAGAAGTCATTTAGAAATTTCAATTGTAGAAACACATAAATACATTTATCAAGTCCAAGTGCAATCGTTTAAGTAGGTTGGAGTATAGTAGGTTATTCTATTACCCAATAAAATGCTTATAATGTGAAATATAATATTTATAATATTAATATCCTTTAATTCGTAAAACAAGTTCCATAGGCCAATAAGACCTTAGGAGATCACAATCTTTGGTTCTAGTTCTCGCGAATTTTACACTTGTAAACTTAAATACTGAGTACTTATTACATTTGGAAGAAGCTTAGATTTTAGGATTCATCTAAATTAAATCGATCCTTAACATTTATTATCGATTTTAATACCAACTTTTATGCCTGGTAAAATTTGAATTATTATTGCATTTATGGAATTGAATAAAACACAAAGGCAATACTCAAACTCCCAGTAAAAAATAATATTAATTGATAATAAGAATGCACTTTCTCCTTATCTCGATATTCCCGATTGGAAGATCAGCAATTTAAAGCAATCTAATGGCACATTTATGGCCCAAAAGCGATGGCCGAGACAGTTCAACTGGTTTCCGTTTGTGGCCGAGGTGGGCATTAATTGAGATTGCTACTACAGCTGCAAATGATCGGGTGACGATGAGGATTCAGTCCAGCGGGGATCCAGAACAAAAGCCAGTTAAACCGCATTCGTGTGCCCGACTATGGCCGAATATCTGCGTAGAGCGCAGAGCAGAGACCATTTATAATACTCAAATACATGCAATTATTGATTTTATAAGTAATGCCGTGATATCTGATTGTTTTGCAATCCGAACGGCCGTAGACCGTAGACCGTAGACCGACCTCCTCCCAGACCGCAGACCTCCCCCGCTGAGCGAGAAATATTCGCACGTTTCCATCGAAATGGGAGGGAATCCGCACTTTGGAGTCGAGACTGTTTTTTAGTTGCGTCGCGACTGTGAAAGCCTCAGGTCTTCTTAGCGAAGGAGGCAATCGGATTGCATAGGATTTGAATAAGGGAAAGTATAATACAATAGCTTAGGGATGCAGGTTCCTCGGATGAAGCTCTTGATGGGCTCGGGTGCCATGTTCGTGTTTGCCATCATCTACGGCTGGGTGATCTTCCCCAAAATTCTCAAGCTAATGATTTCAAAGGTGTGCTAAATGCAGTTTAAGATCAGTTAACTGGTTTTATAACTGATTTTAATATGGGATTCTCCCTCATTAGCAAGTTACTTTAAAACCAGGATCGGATGTTCGAGAACTCTGGTCCAACACTCCTTTCCCCCTGCATTTTTATATCTACGTTTTCAACGTTACAAATCCGGATGAAGTGGCCGAAGGAGCTAAACCCAGATTGCAGGAAGTGGGTCCCTTTGTTTTCGAGTAGGTTTCAATACAAGATCTTGGGGTAATTAATTGTAAAACCCCCTGGTTTTCCATCTATATTTTAATTTGAGTGAGTGGAAGGACAAGTACGATTTGGAGGATGATGATGAGGAGGATACGGTTGGATTCAACATGAGGAATACCTTCATATTTAACAAAAAGGATTCGCTTCCACTGACGGGTGAAGAGGAGATTATCCTTCCTCATCCCATAATGCAGGTGAGCAAGAAATGAAATAAGAACAATTTTGTTTTACCAATTTTTAAAAACACTGTTTCAAAAAACTCATGAATTTCTTCGGCCAACCCATTATTATATACTTACATATTTCTAAACCTTTTACATTCAAAAAAATATTTTAAATGATAATACAATTTTTATTTTTAATTTTTTTTTAGCTATATATATTTTTTTTGATTTTAGGAAAAACCCTTGTATTTTTTTTATGTTTCTATACTTTTTGTTTATTTAAGCAAAAAGCATATAAAACTTTAACTATTCTTCAGGTTTATATTTACAATTGTTTCCCAACATAAAACCTTTTTGTAAGGGTTTGTAAATATTCCTTTATACAAAATAATGAAAATTGTTTTTTGTGAAATTAGAAATTAATTTCGCTTCATAAACAAGCGTAGGCAGAAAATTAAAGATTCTGTTGGCAGATGGCTAGAGCAATTGGGAACTGCATTTAAGGCGCCAGCTAATGACCACGTGGCCCATTGTTCACCAAGTGAATTATGCAAATTGCTTTCCCAGTACCAAAATAGCAGCCACCAAATTGACCCATCAAATGTGAAAAAAAGCAAAGTAAATGAACAGTGTGTGTTGTGACAAGAGCATCTTTTGTGTTTGGGCAATTAAAAGCGCGATGATTTATTAGAGGCGATTTACCATATAATTCTCACTACTAATTTCACAGCCTGGCGGAATCTCGGTCCAAAGGGAAAAGGCTGCCATGATGGAGTTGGTTTCCAAGGGATTGAACATTGTGTTTCCCGATGCCAAGGCCTTTTTGAAGGCCAAGTTCATGGATTTATTTTTCCGTGGCATCGACGTGGATTGTTCATCCGAGGAATTTGCTGCAAAGGCTCTCTGCACGGTTTTCTACACCGGAGAAGTAAAGCAGGCAAAACAAGTCAACCAAACGCACTTCCTGTTCTCATTTATGGGTCAGGTGAGTATATTCTTCTACTAAGTTACTTTAGAAAATCGGATTCAATTTTATTCATATCACTTGTATATTTTTTTTTTTTTTTTTAACATATATGAACTAGAAAAAATTTTATTGAATTTAATGGTTTACAAACAATACAAAGTGCATTTTAGTTGAAACAACGAAATAACAACTATGCAAATGCAAACCAAATCTCGATTAGTTAAACCATTAGAAGATATCTAAAATTTCCAAATAAATTTCCCCTAAGACATAATGGAGTTTTTCCTGTCTTAAATTCGTTTGATTAGCGATCCATTGAATTACTAATAATTTACAGAAGAAATTCAAGAACACAAAACATTATAATTTGGAGATTGGAGATTAAATTCGTTTGATTAGCGATCCATTGAATTACTAATAATTTATAGAATAAATTCTAGAACACAAAACATTATAATTTGGAGATTAATACTTCAGATTTCTCAGATCCATATCTCAAATAATTTTCTTAAATTATAGGCCAATCACTCGGATGCTGGACGATTTACAGTGTGTCGTGGAGTGAAGAACAATAAGAAACTGGGAAAGGTGGTGAAATTCGACGACGAGCCGGAGCAAAACATTTGGCCAGATGGCGAGTGCAACACTTATGTGGGCACCGATTCCACAGTTTTTGCTCCGGGTCTCAAAAAGGAGGATGGCCTGTGGGCCTTTACTCCGGATCTCTGTAGATCCCTGGGTGCCTACTACCAGCACAAGTCGTCGTATCATGGAATGCCATCCATGAGATACACCCTGGATTTGGGAGATATTCGTGCGGATGAAAATCTTCACTGTTTCTGCGAAGATCCCGAGGATTTGGACACTTGTCCTCCCAAGGGAACCATGAATCTGGCTGCCTGCGTGGGAGGTCCTTTGATGGCCTCCATGCCGCACTTTTACTTGGGTGATCCCAAGCTGGTGGCCGATGTGGATGGTCTTAATCCAAATGAGAAGGATCATGCGGTTTTTATAGATTTTGAACTTGTAAGAAAATTACTTTCTTTAATAGATATATTTATTAATATAATATGTATTATTTTTCAGATGTCTGGAACTCCTTTTCAGGCCGCCAAACGTTTGCAGTTTAATCTGGATATGGAACCAGTGGAGGGCATTGAACCCATGAAGGGTTTGCCCAAGTTGATCTTGCCTCTTTTTTGGGTGGAGGAGGGTGTTCAACTCAACAAAACCTACACAAATTTGGTGAAGTACACACTCTTTTTGTAAGTGTATAATTATATATATAGAATGTAATTGATATTTAACTGATTCCTTTAAATGTATACCATTTCAGGGGTCTAAAAATCAACTCAGTGCTGCGATGGTCTTTGATTACTTTCTCCTTTGTTGGCCTGATGTTCGCTGCCTATCTTTTCTACCACAAATCGGACAGTCTGGACATTACCAGCATCATGAAGGATAACAACAAAGTGGACGATGTGACCAACAGCAAGGAGCCTCTGCCAGATCCAACCAATCCAAATCCAAATCCAAAATCAACCATCCCTCCAAAGCATCCTCCGAGTACTTTGCAGACTTTTCAGGGGGGAAACACACTAATTCCGGGCACCAATCCCACCAACCTCAAAATGGAACACCGGGAGCGCTATTAAAACCCCCATTCGAAAGGCGATCTCTTCAGCAATCTTCACTAGTCGTAGTCCAATGCACCTGTAGTCCAACTCGAGCTAATAAACTGAGACAGATGAACACAATAATTGGCTGGGAGGGAGAAACTGGTCGGTGGCCAATGGAGCGACTGCTAATCGATGATCGCTGATCGCAGGTGACAAGATCTCTGCGCTCCACTGACACAAATCACCGGAGATCAGTGAAATCGGTTGGCTAAGAAAAACGCAGAAAATATCTTATTGAGCCTGTGAATTGACAAATTGTTTTTTAACAATGGTTGCAATGTTTGCAAAACGAAAACAGTTGCGAAGTCAGGCGGCGAAGTTAAACAGGAAATCTTCCGAAGCTGCGATAAATGTTTTGTAAACAGTCAGCGATATTTACGCTTTTCAATCATTTTTAACGAAGACAAATTGTAAGGAATTCTTTCGAAAACAGCTTTGGAATTCAACAAACAAAAATCAGGGAAGCTCTGTTTCCTTTTGAAAATAATATTATTTTATAATTTTTTATTCTATTTACAACTTATTTAAACTTCTGTTGCTAACATCTTAAAGACTCCAACTCAATTCAATACTCTGGCTCTGTTTTCAACATTTTTTATTTATTTAAAAAATTAAAAATTACCCCAGATTATTGAATATTATGCTGCACATTTAAGTGGCCCTCGAGAATCGCCAACTAATTGGTCCTCCAATATAGTTGTGTCCTTGGGAAGTTCAACAAACTCCAGCAGATCAGCCAATTGCTCACAATTGAGTTCCGCTTGGTCGACGAAGAAGTCTTTATCCAGATCCTTTATAAAGATCTCCTTTCCCTTATCGTGAGATATTTCCAAGTAGTTAAGATCTTTAAGTTCTGGCAGCATTTCCATGTGATCAGCGGTGATATTGTCGTAAGTGAAGCTGAATCGTTCCAATCCCTTGGCTGAGGAGACTTTAGGTAAGTCGTAAAGATTCTCAATGCCTGTTAAATCCAGGTCAACTAATTTACTGGCCTTGGACAGAAAGTCAAGTCTGGACAAATTTGTGTTGGCCAGATAAAGTTGCTCTAAGTCCTGAGGGTTGGATACTTTCAACTCGTTTAGATAAAGATTATCCTCCAGTTGAACACCGATTACTCGACCATCCAATTTAACTGATTCAAGACCACAATTAGTAGCTTGCAGCAAAACAATTTTAGAGCTTAAATGCAGACTCCTTAGTTCAGGATTGAATGAGAGAACGAGATGCTCTACTTCTTGAAATATATTTAAAGGAATCCTTTCCAGTTGATTGTGGCTTGCTGAGAATTTGGCCAAATGTTTTCGTTGATCCCTGAAAAGTTCCGCTGGAAGTTCTCTTAGCTGATTGCTATCCAAATTTATGGATTTTAGGGAACCCAATTGTGAAAAGATGTTCTGGGAAAAAGTTTTCAACTGATTGTTGGAAAGGTTGATCTTTAGCAGCTTTTTGAGAGGTGAAAATATCCTAGCGGGAAGTTCCTCTAGTTGATTGTCGGACAAACTCAGTTCCTCCAATTGTGAGGCCAATTCAAAGGTGTTGTCGTCCAAAACTCTTAGGAAATTTCCACCCAGATTAAGTCTTTTCAAGTTCACAGCTCCCTCAAAACAAACTCTTTCAATTTGTTGAAGTTCACACTCCAAGACATCGAGTTCCACGAGTTGAGGCAGGCTTCGGAAAATATTTCTCGGCAAGTTTGTCAAATGGGAGCTGTGCAGAATAAGTGATTCATGGTTCCTCAGATCTTTAGTAGCCTTTTCCGAGAAGTAGGCAACTTCCGAACCAAGTGGGTAATCCAAATTCATGCAGATGTTTTCCCGGCAGTCCAGATTTTTCACTGCGATTTCCTCGAGCTCTTGTGCAGCGCAGACGGCTAAGCCAATCACCGCGATCGAAATATAGTTTAAATAGTTTAGCATCAGCATCTTGGCAGAAGAAGACTGAGCTTTTAACTAACTTGAATGGGCATTTTAAGACGAAACCAGAATACAACCTTCAAAAACAACCCTACTATCCGATTTAAAACAGGTCTTCGACTGTTTGTTTGTTTGTTTTGCTTGCATTTGATTATTTCTTTTTTTTTTTTTTTTTTTCGAGCCGCTCCACAACCCGGTTCGATTTTGGGCTAATAAAATTTTATGATTCCTCTCAATGAATATTAGCCGCTGGCATTATTTTGCTCTTGTTCGCACGCTCTTCTCGGCGATTATTTCGACCATTTGGCATAATACCCGAGCGATAAGCACGTTCTCGCGATTCCCCCGACTCGAAACGACTTTCGGAGCGGATCGCCATGATATAACCATAGTTTATGGTGCTACTTGTATCAGCTGTTATGGGACTGTTTACCGATCGTCGACGTCCAATGCAAAATGTGCCAAGTTGGGCTACGATTCGTCTAGTGCGACTCTGATAAACATGAGAACTAACTACTAGAAGCTTTCCTAGTATTTATGGGTTAAACTCTGGACTCCAAATGGTGCTAACCATTTTAAAAAGATTTTTTTGGCAAACACAAATGCTCAACTGGAGGTTGTTCTTGCTAAAAAAAAATGAATTTGCATAAAAAACATAACTATCTTTATTTAGAAATCATATATTATATCAAGTTTATTATACTTGAGTTCATAAAATCTGATTTCTTATCATCTGTCAAAATCTAAGGATTGCAAACATGTTTTTTTTGCTTGAATAGCAAATACAGATGTCTCTATATTTTGTGTTTGTGAATATAAAATGCTACTTTATTATTTTCTAAAGCAGTTCCGCCTTGAGAGGAAACTTGGCAATAAACTGGCCCGTTTTACTGACAATTAGCTCACTTTCAGGTTATATCATCAAGCGATTACCTATCGCCGATTTCGTCATCAGTGCAGCGGAATAGTCAAACCCGACTTTGAATATCTTAATCATGTTGCGCCTGAATGACCAATAAACCTAATGAAATAAATCAAGTGCCATAAAGCGAAGGCGCCATATAAAATCACCCACAATAAAATCGCATTTTTACGTGTATATACGGCGTGACCGATTGCCCGCTATATGTTCGTCTATATATATAATATGTTGTTCTGTATCGTATTTGTTTACCCTGCTAAACTATTGGGGGGAAATTTGTGATTCGATTTGAATAAAATACAGACAACGGGGACAAAGTCTGCTGAACGCACAGCAAGCAGAAAAAAAAAAACGCTGGTAATTCTCACTCTTTTTCTCGAGCCTTGTATGCAAAGTAATTGCGGCAAATTGAATTGGACAAAGGGGCACAGACGACAACATTTATCGCTAAACGAAGTCATGCCGTTCCAATTGAGCCGCCAACCAGAATAGATATAGACAATAATGCCCTGCAAACAGCGAAAGCACCCTTGTATCAAATAATTTAAAAACCATTGGCTCATAATTAGCCAAATGCAAATACGAAGATCAATTGTGGAAAAATTACCTTTCGCCATTCAAATTGTTTGCCCAGGCAAAAGCCACAAAATCCCAAGCGGAATGAATGGAAAATAAATTTTATAAATTTCAACAAGCAAATAAATTTGTTTGCATACAAATTAATAAAGCTTTACTTCACTTTGCAGCTGTAAATAACAAATTGAGCGACTGAAAGCAGGTTGAACGTGTTTTCTCCGCTCGTTCGATAATAAATTGGTTAAAAGTTTATATTTTTCCACTGATATGTCACCGGTTTATATTTACTCTCCGGTCAAAGGTTCTCATGGGTGTTTTTGTGTGAAAGACATGCACTTTTTGGCACACATTTTCTGCCAATCATTGTTGAAATAATGTCAAGAGATTGCTTTAAAATCACAAAACAGTCAACGGAAGTGCTAGAAACCTTATCGCAACGAAACCCGAATGCCCTTCAGTAAACAAAAGTCTTTTGGCTGATAAATAGTGACTCATTTGGGCGGCAATCAAGTTGAAATTTAAATTCAAATATAATATAGCTCATGGCAATACAAAATGACTTTTACGATCAACAAAATGTGAAATGGGTTATGTGCAATAAAAATGTATATTTTTAGAAACGTTTCCACGCGCCCATTTCTCCACCTTACTGAACGGGGAAATCCGCTGAGCCGCCGTGGAAATACTCTTACATAAGGGTATATCTCGCTGGCCAAGACTGTCCAAGTGGCCTTTATCATTATCAGCAGCCAGGAGATTTCCACCTTTTGTTTAACAAATCGCCGAGTAAACACTTCATGATAAGAGCACGCGAACCACCGACTGAATTGTTCAGCAGATATGGTGCAATGTTTTGTTCGAGTTTCGAGCATTTCAGTGGATCTCTGAATGGAGGCAACGGAGCGAGAACTTTATAGAGCAGCGAAAATAATGAATAATAAATGGGGAACCACGAACATGTGTCAAAATAACGATGACAACCAAACTGATTTATCTGTCTCCGCATACAGTATTGGTCATAGAATCCCTTTTTAAAAGGTTTAGAAGTAGATGATATTATACCCAATCGAGAAATAAATATTTTATAGATGTGTAGTATATTTAAAATGTAACATGTATATTCAATTGGGAAAGATAATGCAATGAATGTTGAAAAGGAATTTAGTATACGCTTTACAAAAAAAAAATAAATAAATGAGCTCTCAGTTTTAAATAATTTTAGTTAGTTTTTTTAAAGAGAAACACATTTTCCAATTATTAGATTTGACTGTAATTTATGGATTTAACATTTTTTAAATGATTGAGAAAATTCCATTCAGGAAGATACTGGAAAGAGTTTTAGAAAGACATTCACAAACACTACAAGCATTTATTTCACAACATTTTTGAAGAAGCACCTATTCTACAACTAGTTTTGATTTACAGTTGTGAAACGAACTGTACGCGTTACGTACAAGCCATATTTTTTGCAAAATCAAAACACCATGAATAGAACGAAAATTATATAGAAGCGATGATCGTTACTTGAGCATTATAGGAGGGGCTTATCTGGGCAACTGTTTGGCGGTCATCGGTCGGCATCAGTTTCAGGTCGAACGTGAATCGCGTAGCACGCCGATGATGAACGTCCGGAATTGTTTTCCACTGTGCCAGATCGCTTTGCTGATCTCGTTGGCGGTCGTCGCAGCAGTTGCCGAGGATTCAGATTCGGATGAGGACAGTCGATCGAGAATCGTTTTGGTGTCCAGTTTGGAGGGCTACTGCCGGACGGAGGGCCAGATAACCCGCTGCAGTGGCTTCAAGTTCGAGAACGAGGCTGAAAAGGCCACGTTTGACTTGCCAACGGAGGTGCGGATTGCCGAGGATGGCACCACCTACGAGGTGGGTGACGAGGAGGCCTCCAGAACTTTAGTTTTTGAAAACTGCACCTTCACCAACTTCCCCCTGCGACTCTTCTACACTTTGGAGGTCAGCGAGCTGGACATGAGAGCCTGCGGCATTCGATATGTTTACTGGGAGAACTTCTCCATCGGAGCCGACAAGTTGGTGATCCTTCTAATGAGTGACAACGAGATCGAAGTGCTGCCCACGGGAACCTTCCGGGGAGCGGGCAACCTGCAGTTCCTCTTCCTGAATCGCAATAAGCTGAGCAAACTGCAAACGGGTGTCTTTGAGAACCTGAAACAGTTGCAGTATCTGGATCTCACGGATAACCAACTGGTGGATCTGCCGAGGGATGTCTTCTCCGAACTGCGGAGTCTGCAGCATGTGGGCCTGGCCAACAACCAGCTGGCCACCGTGGAGAGCGACCTGTTCGCCCAGAATCCCAGACTCCTGGCGGTCGCCATGCAGAACAATCGAATCCGGGAGGTGGGCGAGTACGCCTTCCGCTCCAAGGGCCTCGGTCATCGGATGGAGTACGTGGACCTGTCGCACAACCCGCAACTCGACGTGCTGCTGCTGAACATTAATGCCACCAACCTGACCGTTCGCAATTGCTCGCTGGACCGTGTCAATTTGTACGGCTCGGTGAGGAACGTCGATCTGAGTGATAATCGCGTTCGCGAGCTTTACTTTCCCGCCTCGGAGGCCCTCGAGCGTTTGCTGCTGCGCAACAATTCGCTGGAACAGTTGGCCTCTCTGAGCCGCGTTCCCAGGCTGAGGCACCTGGATGTGGCGGATAATCCCAGGTTGGGTCGACTGCCCGATGGTTGGCAAACCCCTCATCTACAAATATTGGTTTTAAGGAACACGGGGCAGGTGGAACTGCCTTTGGAGGCTCTGCAGGGAATGCCAAACCTGCGAAATCTCGACATTTCTAGCAACAATCTCACGGATATCGATCCCTCCTCCTTTTCCACGCTATCGCAACTCACTCACTTCTTCATACACAACAACAATTGGAACTGTTTTAGTTTGAGAACATTGATTGACATCCTAATCCGTCCCAATGGCATTACCTATACCGTGGACGAAGGCGATCCCGATTTCCCGGGGGAGTATATCCACGGAATAAAGTGCATGTATCGCATGCCAGAGAAGGAGACCCTCGATTCGAGCTACTCCGCGGAAATCTCGGCCAGCGTGGAGTCCTCGCCAAAGCCAAGTGCTGCGGATTCCAGCGAAGTGGAGGAACTGCGCAGGGAACTGAAGTCGGTGGTTCAGCACTTTGAGGCCAAGTTCGATTTGATTTTCAGTCAACTCGAAAAGCTGAATGAGCAGATGCAAGCCTTCGAAGTGCTCAACCAAACTGTTTGGAATCAGGTCACTTTGGCTCTATAATATACTTATTATACTTGTTTAAAAATACGGAACTTGTGATCAATAAATTCTTTAAAACTTAAGATGCAACCATTTTTAATATCACCAAGATTTTTCCTTTTTTTAACCGCATATCTTTAAAAAGCCAGTAAGATTTGTTTTTCTTACTCGCATATCACATGAAATATAAACGGGAAATATAAAAAGTACTAGGCGTTATTAAAATAATTATATATTCATACTGAGCAGTTTTTCCATCCCCAGCCCTCGAAAACCAATGCAATTTGCAGGATGAGCACATCTGGTAAATATTTTTTGTCGCTGTGTCGCATTCGTAGCACAATATTTGCACAAAAATATTGATTTTCGAGGCAAGCAAAGTCGGAACACTGTGTTCTCTCTCTGAAAGATATTGAAAGAGGTTCGTTCAACTCGGGCAAACAAACAAACAACAACTTGTAAGACTGAGAGACCGAAATTGAGGGGCTCAGAAAACTTGCGTAATTGGAAAAATAAAACGAAACAAATACTAGTATGTAATTCCCAAAAGTAAACAACAATATTCAATTCAACCGAATGGCTCAAAAGTCCAGTAATTAATTGCTTGCCTACAATTCTGCTTTGCCAACATGCCGGCTGTTTTAATTATTTATGCTTTATTCCCCCGATTCGATCGCTCGCAATTTATGGCTAACTAATTAGTAAGATAAACAAACAGTTCCAGTTTCAATGCAGCCACTCGTCGGCAAGGAAAGGAAGCGAATCAAATCCAATCCCACGGAACACCACGATCGGATCACTGGGCGAACTGCTGATCCGTAGTATCGTGTGCATGTGATTAGGAATAAATATACAGATGTGTTCCTACACGAAAATCGAATAAAGTTTGCGTTGTGTACATTGGCAGTGCAATTTTTGCTTAACGGTAATTGGCACACAACTCGTGCCGATCGGACCACTGTAAATGCGAACATTAAATATTACTATATGGTTCCACTATCTGGGGTTCTCTAGATCCGCAGATCAAAGTTCGGAATTTATTGCCCGCTAACTTCGGTGGCGATCTCTTCGAAATTCTGGGAATTCAATTAGTTAGGGTTCCTAATAAGTGAATGACAAACAGATAGAAACACGATAAGATATTTAATTCACAATTTGCTTTGTTTGGTTTTTAAATTACTGCGGTTTACAATAAAATGCGTTATTTGACACCAATTTATATCAGTTTTTTTATGTTTGTTGGGAAAAACAGTAGGAGCATTATTATATTCAATTATCATATTTTACAAAAATATTTTTGCCCTTTGAAAAAATCATGAAAAAACAATCGAATGCCAAAGAAACTTTTCCGGGCCAAAACTAGCATTTCAAAATTACAATAATTAAGTAGAACATTCAAGAAATCATTAAAAAAATATTAAATCAAAATCAGAATTCTCGAAAAAGTCAACAAATCAAGTCAAGAATGTCCCCGTTTTCGGTTATTTTCCGAATGTGGCCGAAACGGGGGAATTTCCCACCCACTCAACTTAGTCACAGATACAAAACGAAATCATGGGGGAAAAATCAAACGTCACGCGCTCATATCAACACAAAAGAAAAATATCAAGGCACAAAAGTACAACAAAATTTGGCAATTAAAAAAAAATATAGAAATTGGCACCCACCTCTTGTGTTTTTAATAATCAGTAAGTGGATGTGTTGTTCAATCGATTTTCAGAATCGCGATCGTCGTCGATTCTCTGGTTAAAGAATTAATATAACACGCTCACGGGTACATTCACACACACTTAGCCACTTGCACATCCACATTCACGTTCACGTTCACAGACACATGAACGGGTAAAAAACAAAACTTTTGTAAACAATTTCGCGATTAGGCATTTAGCTGCGCTAAAAAATTATTGTAAATAAGAAGAAACGTAACGAATTAGCTGGTTGTGTGGCATATTATACGTATATGTAGAGATTAGAGCGAAATTATAATAACTATTTTCGCTGGATGTCCAAACACTTTGGAGGTGGAGGTGTTGACTTTTCAGATTAGATTACACTCATTTCACTCGGCTAATTATCAGCCATTTTGTTCAACACCAAATAAATCACGAACACGAAAACAGCAGCAACAAGTACCAAATCGATTATAGTAACAAAAAAATCTAAAAGAATTCGACCACAATAAAGAAATAAAAAAGAAAAATTATTCAGGCGCGCGCTTCCACTTTGGACTTCACTTTCCAATTGGAACACGCACCAAGCTGATCAGGCAATGGAAAGGGGAAGAGGAGGAGGGCAGGATGTTGGACATTCTCTGCTGGCTACGTCACTCTCTCTTTAACAATTCATTAGATTTGATTTGATCAGTTTTCATTAAGAATCTATTCAATTATTACAAGAAAAACGGAAAAGAGCCACAACGAAAACTCAGCGAATCCGGGGCAAATAAAAGTATTTGTCCGTGGAAAATTTCCAAACGTTTTTGTTGCTCTTTCCAGCAGGCGACGCCATGTGTTTGTTTGTGTGCGTAACAGCTGATCGCCGATTATTGATTTTTTATATGTACATCCATAAGAGAAGCAAAAGTGATTAGGTATTTCTTTAATGAAACAAGGAAGTTTCGAAATTATTTTGCGCACTCGAAAGAACAAAGATCGATTGTTTTATCGTTTGGCTTTTGTTGCTGTTGTCGTTGCAATTTCTGCAATCCGTTCGCGCACAATTAAAAGCTTTGTACGCAGCTTATCACAGAATAATATTGTTGAGCACCCACTTGTCCGATATGCTATCCTGATTCCATATCGTGAATTCTTAGCATTGACTTAAAAACGGTTGACACAATTACAAACACTGATCGCGAAGTCTTTTCTCGGTGCGAAATATTTTTAAGCGAAAAACCGAAGACTCGGCAACAACAAAACCGACAAAAACAAATTTTTGCCTCCCTATATAGATTCTCGTTGGGTAAAGTGTGGCCGCAGTTGCAAAGTTGTTTTAGTCTTTTCCAGAATCGCGTTAGTACCTAAGTGTTATGGTGTTTAAATTTCTCAGAAAAGGTGGCAGCACTGTTGTGGTGAATGTCTTTGCTAAACACAAATATGACAGTACACGTGGGCTGTCTATATCAAGTAGCTTTTGACAGGTAGCAGCATGTTTGGGCGCCAAAAAGGGTTTATTTGAAAAACTGAATCCGTTACCTAGATGATTTAGTGACCAAAAATAGAAAATAAACACTAGTCTTAAAATGCCTTAACCATGATTCATATTTTTTAAAACCAATTTAAATACAAAAAAGCTTTAGTATAAATTTTCTGGTTTTTTTCAGATATACAATTCGGCACAACCGTTTGATTATAAAAGAAGTTTTTAATTATTTTTTTAAGAAAACACTTGTAAAATACTGCATTTTATGTCATAATTGATATAGATTTCCGAGTGCGTATTCACACAACCTTATGTAGATTAGAACATTTTCTATTTCCACTCCAATGCTAAAAGTAGAATTTATGAGCCATAAATAATGTGAGTTAGTTGCCTTGGCATGTCTTTTCAACATTGTGGGCCGAGCAAACTCTTTTGCAACTTCAGCTAAACCAGGGAAATCAATAAAAATGGCGCATTGCATTGAGGCCAAAAAGGAGCACAATGACGGCACCAAAAACAGCAAAGTACACAAAATCGAAGCCCCGGAGATTGGCTTCGCCAGCAAACTGGACTTTCACCGATTAGGATATACATATACATTTTCATACCGTATATAAACATAATCCCATAACGCAACAGTTAAAGCGTAAGTACTCAAGAAATCAAGCCTTAATAATTTTATAGAATTTTACTACATCGGAATTGTTAAGTAAAATTATCTGAAGGCGTAGAGCTTGGGTAACTTGAAGTCGAAACTCACCTGCTCGATGTCAAAATCCCATTCCGGCGATGGAGAACGCGCTGCTCGGTTGCCCGCTGGGGGAGTTCCCAATGCCGGAGAGCCAGCTTGGGGCTCTTCGGGTATCACGGCGAATCTACCCCTCTGGAGGATGGGCGAAATGGCGCCATAATTGGCTGAAATGGGAAAAGGAGAGGTGGCTAATTAGCACCGGTTACTTTAAGTCGAATCGGTTCGTAAAAACTTAGATAACTATTGAGTCATATTAAATGGTACCTAAATGGTAATTAAATTACTAATTCAACAAGGAAGTTTCGTAATTAAATTAAAATTGAATTACTAATTTAAAAGACCCTTAAAGCTTATTTAGTTTAAACATAAATATTACGAAGGATGGTCACAACATAATTTAAAATAATCTCCTAAGAAGTTGTTTAAATTAAAAATTAAAAAATTGCGGCAGAGTGGAAAGAGTAAAGTTATACTTTCTTTAAATATAAGTAAAACAAAAGTATCCCTGAAAGTCGTTATGTGCTAAAATATAAATAAAATGGTATATTATTAACTACGATAAATGGTGAACCGAATATTAAAGAGACAAGATTGTGGACATTTGTCCAGTAAACACAGTGGTTAGCAGGTACCATTAAAGCGACTTACATGTGGGGATTAGACGGAAGCGACCGAGCGTCGTTTCGGGAGGACCCTGTGGCGTGGAGGAGGTGACGCGAAAGCGGCCACGACGGGCGGCTGCCACGTCCTCGTAGTTGCCACCTCCAGCACTGCTTTGCATCCTGTGGCTGTTTCAGCAAAACTGCAATGGAGAGTGGGAAAAGGATGTTGGTCAAAATCAATACAGACTACATTGGGACAGATTACAGTTTGACAATTGGCATAAAGTCATATCTTTCTTCACCTTAACTTAGAATTATATGAGGGTTATATAAACACAGGTTTTTGTTAAACTCTATTTATTTTGTAAAATAATTTAGCAGAAACTTATTATTTGAATACTTATTCTTTTCATAAAATTGTTCTTTATTGCCTCATTTACATGTTTTCCCCAGGGTGGTATTTTAATGGGCCTTATCCTTATCCTTGCTTATGACAAATCGAATTACTACACATTAGGTTTCGCTTAGGTTTACACCAAATAAAATTGGCCTTTTGATCCACTGTGCAGTGGTCAGGGGCAGCCAGTGTGTTGGCTTAACGGGCTCATTGCACGCGAGTTTATTTTAGCTTTCTTGGCGCCTCTAAGCAGACTACACATTATACTCAATGGATATGCGCTCTCTCTTTCTCTCTCTCCGTGAAATTCATAATTGAAAATCTCGAAAAGTGCACAAACGAATGCTTTAAATGTGTGCCATCCAAGTCATTCAACTGCAGAAAGATATAGAAAAGGGGGGTGGGTCAAACAGCTGTCTGCGAGCCACGCGACAACGCGGCGTATGTGTGATATTTTCAGTTGATTCCCTGCTCGCAAATAAAAATGCCAGCCAAGTATTTAATAATTCTTTTATTGTTTGTTTTCGGTTGCTTAATTGAAATCGTGACGAATTTCGCCAGAAACAATTTCGTTTACTTGTATGAGACCCCATTTATGTGACTAATTTCTGTCTATCAAGGAGGAATTTCATGTTGCCGCCAAAGCGAGTCAGTCTCATATAATAATTAAGATATGTTTGTCTCACGAAAAATGAGAAAAAAAGTTATTAAAGGAAGGACCTAAAAATTACAAACAATTTATACTGATGACTATGGCATACGTTATATGGTAATTTAATCTTTTTATTTATTTTATTTTAGGAACTCAATTAAGTCTTTGTTTATTTAATCTACAAGTATTTTTTAGTCTTCTCTGGTTGTCTTACGATTATTGTAAACTTTTTTTTGTTATTTTGCGTCACTTCTTCGTTAATTCCCAATCAATTGTTTCGTTATTTCATTTTGCGATTCTACGGCACTCTTCTTTCCACTTTTCTTCTTATTTACAAAACAAAGAAAGAAATAAGTTTACATTTCTTCATATACATATATACTTATTCGCTTAAAGCAGTTTACCTATTTTCTTTAGGTTCTTTTGATGTTATTTTTTAAAATTATTGCAGTTAGCCAACTTTTTGTTAGTTGACTTTTATTTAATTAGGATTGACGTTTTTAATAATGATTGATTATTGTATGTATTTAATAAAGTAGATTATTTTCACTTGTTTTCAGCGGCTTGGCCGAAAAACGTTTGCATAACACGCACAACTAAACATGCGGATACTATATATATATCGCTCATACGCCATATATACAGATGGCCAGTCAGATATTGACATATTCACTGCTCTGCGTGCTCCGAATTGTTTTATAACATTTTATTGATTTTTTGCGGCTCTTTTTATGCCAGACAAATTAACACCGAAACACTAAAAAGACAATAATAAAAAAAATAACATTTAGAACGCGCTGCAAACACTTTTCGACTGAGCACTTTGAATAATAAAAACAAAGAAAAAGAGCGCACAGAGAGGGAAAAAGAGAACAAGCTGCTACGGAATTTACTTCGCGTTTGTTTTATTTTATGCAATTGCCAAAAACGAAATTGGCAAAACAACAACAAACAAGGCCCGAAAGCGAAAACGAAACGCGGCCAAAATGAATGCAGCACCAAAATAAACGGAAACCGAAGCCAAAGTGAGAAGCAGCCAGAAACGAGTGACCAAAATGCAACGAGAGAGCGAGAGTCCGAAAACCAAGAGAGCGCTAGGGAGATGCATTTAGAGAGCGGGTTCATTTACTTTTTAAAAGCCAAAAGCGTCCATGCACAAAATTGTCCCAAGGAGAGACATTTCGAGAGAGAGCTGCAATATATTTAATTCATAAAATTGTAGAAGAAAGCAAGAAGACTGTAAGTTCCGACCGTTAAATACCCATTGTGAAAAAATATGCATATGTTAATAATTAATATTTAATGCAAAACACCGGCAGGACCCAACAGTTTTTAAAATAAATATGCAGAAATAAAAAATATCTTTAACAACAAAAATAGTATACCTATTTTACTATTTTTGTTATAGTTATAGTAGTTATAGTTATGTTACAGAAAGATCACCTTTACTTTTTAACTTTCCATATCGTCGCTTTAAACAGTCATCTGCAGATATAAACTTAACCCCTTAAACCCTAAAAGCACCAGGTATTAAGAGAGAACCAGGCATAACAAACGAAGAAAGAGAGCTGCTCCTACTATCGGCTTGCCTTCAACCCATAGAACGAACCAGAAATTGCGTATACGCCACCAGAACAAGCTCGGCAATCAGCTGTTCGCCAAACACGTGAGCGCATCACCCCAAAAAAGGGGGAGGGACATATGGTGTATGACTACTAATTGACGACAGATGGAGAATTGTGGGCGGAGGAATAAGACAATTAGGATGAAAAATGCAAAAGCTTATTGGGATCACCGAATGACTCATCTGCCCATTTCCTCAAAGTGATGAAATAGGATTCAAGGTAACCTCTTTTGTCATTAAATTGCATATAACTTTGATCAATCAAGACAATGACAGGAACACGATACAATTAAAACAGATAAAGAAATGTACAACCCAATGAAAGGCAATAAACATATTGCAAACAATAAATTACAAAATCAACCTCATAGAAATTCGATGGATTTATTATCAATTAATTTGAAGACTTTTTTAATCGAAAAATCGATTTTTAAGCTAAAGATTTAGTATTTTTCTTATCTAAATTTTTAATTTTTTCAGTTTTCCTTTAGTGTATTGCTTTTAAACATCAATCAAAGAAATCAATAAAGTATTCTTTGTTCTCTTATTAACCAAAGGTTATCCTTAAGCTAATAAAATTATTTTCAACTTAACGAGCGAGAAAACACATGCTAGACAAAACAGTAAACAAACCTTATTTCACTGTCAATGAAATAATAAACATTATCAACAAAGAGCAGATATACTTTAATATTTTTGGTTTTTCATCCATACACTTAAGAAATATTTCCAAAATACAAAAGTCCTTAATAAATCAGTAAGGGGATCTTCGCAAATTTAATATGATGTTTTTCAAACATCGACATGGTTATTATCTTCTCTATTTATGTCTCACTGTATATTATTAATTAAAATTAAAACAGTTTTTTTTCTGTGCAAAGACACCTACAAATGTATATGTACTTAGACTGGCCATCTATCATTATTTTCAACAGCTCATATCCAAACAATTTTCACGTTTCGCTTGGCTAAGAAGTTTACGCGATTTGCGTCTAAAGAAAAGAAACGGCTAAACTTTTTCTCAGTACAAAGGAAATTTTCTCGATTTTTGTTTTTTTCGCCTTTCTTTTGGGCGCACATCCAAACATGTGACTTGAAGGCCCACAGAGGATGACATCATTGGTAGTGGGTTGGTAGGTCTGAGTGATATTCGACGGGCAGACAGTTGGGCACACACGAACTTGACAAATAAATTATGAAATGCAGGCAGGAAAGGGTGTTTATAAATAGTGGTCGAGAAGCTCAATTCGCCTCGAATCTTTTTTTATTGCCTGCTAAATTTGCTTTTGCTTTTATTTTCGAAAATGTCAGAAGCGTTTATTGGCCTCAGGTGAGCCGTGACGACAAAGAAGCGCAAGTAAGAGGGATTGGGTTCAGGGGTCAAGACACCGTACAATTTAAAAGCTATTTCGAAGGACATTTCATTTGGTACTAAATTGTTTGAAAAATTGATAATCATAAGCTGCCCGCTTCATTAACAAAACAATAAGTATCCAGTAATATGGCACATACATAAATATAGAATGATAAATTATGAGTAACTGTGATTGTTAACTAGGGACACCTGTTTAATATAATTTATCAGTTTTATAAATTATATAGACACCAAACACGTAATGCACAAAATAATTATCATTATTCCAAACCATTATTTCCAGATACAATAAAGGAAGTTTATAATTCCCGGTTATATAGTAACAGTATGCCTCTTAACCTTACTCCCCGATTCTAACAGTCTCTTTCTGTGACGTTATCAGTGTGAAAGTGGCATCTGATTTGTTTATTTGTGTGTTTATTTGTGCACATTGCGCCAGTGGCTCGCCTGTATTATTTATGCATGTGCTCGTTGTTTTGCCCGACAGTCATTACTTTATTGTTGAAATTGTGCGGGCGATAAGGGGTCTCCTCATTTCACTATCTGCCAAAGAGCGGGACGACGAATCGCAAGCATAAATCACTTTTCCACAATTATTCCGTCTGACGCCACGCTGATAAGTGGAAGTATAACATTAAATTAGGTCGAAAGTTAAAATACATTTTACATAAGGCATTTAGCCGGCTTCTATTTAACCGTTATTCCAAGAGCAAAACGTGCAAGAAGCAGAATAACCGGCATAATGCTAACGGTACATATGACCAGCCACCCCTTGAAGGGGGACAGAGAGCGCAATAGCGATTGGGGGTGTGTGTTGTTCTCTCTCACTCTCTTGCTTTAACATGTGAGAAGATTTAATTTTTACAACGCCTGCAATTATCTCAAATATGAATATGTATTTCACTTACTTTGCTGCTTTTATCTGTGTGTTATTTTTTTGCTTTGCTTCGGGACCCCCACTCACTTTCGATCGAATTTAGTTGCTAAAATTAAGCCAAAGCACTAAAAAGACACTCACATACACACGCGCGCGGACGTCACCAGGGCAAATACAAACACACAGGCAAACAGCTGGCAAGTAGCAGCAACAACAACAACGCGAGTGCGACACATTCAATAAGAAAATATTTTATTTGATTTATGCAAACGAGCAGTAAAATTTGATTTTTTTAAAATACACAACTTAGGGCACAGTTCCCACTTTAAAAGACTCAAATTTTCCAATTTTATTGCGTTTTGTCGCAAATTTTATTGCATTTTCCCGCGACGTGTGCTTGGAATATCCTTTTTGCGAAATCGGTTGGTTAGGCATCTACCGTTCTTTATTTTCAGCCAGAACACACTTTGTTTATATTTTCACCCGATCGCGTATCGATGCGTTTATGTTATTGTATAATAACCATGGCGAATAGTCGGTTTATACATTTTAAAAACATTCCGAAAATTTCGACCGCATCTGCAACGGCAATAAACTAGAGTTGCCAGGGTCTTTGACGGGTAACAATCGATTATTGCCATGAAATTTATAAAGATATATCGATAATACAAAAGACTGACCAACTTTTAAGCTTAATTGATTGAATTTTAAATATATTAGACAAGGTGTTTGGTGAAGAGGAATTTAAATATACTTAAGAAATTCTGTTACAAACACAAACTCTGAAATAAACGGTTTAAATTTTAAATTTATAAAATATGTACATAAAAATGACTTGAAAGCTTTGAAATACGTTAAATAAGTACGTTGCCTATTTAGCGATCCATCATGGGTTTGCAATATTTAAGACTCGGGATTTCTAAAAAATACAACAAATATTTATACAAAAAGCACTTTTTAATTATAAATTATAGCATTAATTGATTGAAAGATCCTGTATGTCAGGGACCCTGTGGTCCGATGTAAACTTTTGCACACTATTTGTTCCGTTTCTAATTGATATCAATAATTTAGTTAGCTTAAATCGACTGTTTGTAATTTGCAGATCAAGAACCGAATGCTTTGTTTGCTATAGCCAAGATCCTTTGTACGATTAGCAGTTGCAGGAAATGGGAAAATGTTGGCGCAGCAGCCACTTTTGGCGATAGCGTTGTCTTTTCTAAATGTGTGTATGTACATTAGACTACGCAATCATCTAGTAAATTCTAAGAAATTAGTTTCTTTTTCTCCTCGGATATCTTGCCCTCAACGGGTGGCTTTTTGACCGACGCCGCCGGCGACTTCTTGCCATAAAGCATGTCCACAAAGAGGGCGGCGAAGACGAGAACAGCTCCCAGCCACTGGCGGGCAATGAGAACATTTCCAAACAGCAGCACAGAGCACAAGACGGTGAAAAACTTTCGAGTGGTCGTGACCACGGAGCAGGCTAGCGGTCCAAAGCTGGCCACCATTAGGAAGATGAAGAACTGGCCAAGGACGCCGCACACAGCAATCAGGGACAAATGCGTCCAGGCCTCGGGATGGCGAATCGTAAAGTACAGGAACTCTTTGGCCTCACCTGCATTCAGAAAAAATAGTAAACCAATCAAATTTAGGATAATATCTACTCACCCGTGAATACCATGGCCACGCCGAGCATAAGTGTGCTCCAGAAGTTCATGGCCCTCATCATTTGCTGACCCGAAGGCGCACTGGCCGCTCGGATGCGCTCCTGCACCGCTCCAGTCAAGCCATCCATTGAGAGGCTAAGGAAAAGCAGCACCTCGCCAAGAAGTGTCGTTTCTGCCGGCAAGTTGGACACCTTGCCCTCCTTGTACATAAACAAAATAACGCCCAGGACGATGGTCAACACACAGGCATATCGCGTCCAGCTATATGATTTGCGTCCAATAAGCACACCCAAAATCATGACAGGAATGGGTTTCGCCGATTTGCCGACCACAGCAGTGGGATAAGGAACCCAACGCATAGCCATATTGGTGGACACCATGGCCAGCAGATAGGTAAGCGAACAGGCCACGTAGGAGCCCGCGTTGGTGGTGTCTTCCTTTTGCGGCCGCACTGTTAGGAGCACTGAAAGACCCAAGATGAGTAAAGCCTAGCCGAAAGACACTGTAATCACTCACCTTTGGCGAACACGTAGTTGCAGAGACATTGCACCCAAACCAGAGCCAAAGCGTAGGTGAATCGTTCACCAACAGATCCATCAGTCTGGACCTCTTCGCCGTACCGGCCGCGCGTCAGCTTTTCCTGAACAATTCCGTACAGAAAGTAGCAGACGAAGATGCCCACGGCGTAGATCACAAAGCGGCTGCGTTCTGGCAGATTCATGGCGGGTAATTGGCGGTTTTTGGGAGCGAGAGGTTTACGGTTCGATTGGATCGGACTTAATGCACGGTCTTAAACAGTTGGCATTTTATTTGAGCGGCTGCAGGTACCGTGATTTGGCGTAGGCTATCAAAGAATCGAATCATATACGTGGTCAGTGATGACCAGTTAGTTATCTTCTAGCCGTGTTTTGTAACGAATTACCATTTTGGCTATTGTTAGCTGATTTGGTTATGCCAAATATTTCAATTAGGTTGCCAAATACAAAACATAATTTAAACCGGTAAATAAATAGGAAAATTATTTCACATGTGAATAAGCTTTTAAATCGATTCTATTTCTAAAAGTTAAAACTGTCAACACCGGGGGACGATACATTTTTTGCACAGTGTGACCATTTTCTTTAAATTTTACCGATAAATCAACGGGGTTTTTGATTTTCTATTCGCGCGAAAGCTTAAGTTCAAAATTGATCAGATTGGATATTATTATTATTATCCTGAAAAAACCTGTTTGGAGAGCTCCAATTAAACAACCCTTCACTTTTTTAAATTTTTAAAATTGGTTGATGTTTCAGAAATTTCATTTCGTTTATTTGGTTTAAAAATATAATTGCAAAATACAATAAACTATAGTCCCACATACACGCGCGTATATGTGATTTCATCTTTGTTATACTGGTAATGCACTTGAAGTTCTCGGTTTTAGTGAATGCAGACCGTACCCTAGAAACTACGCCCCCATGCGTAATACTATTCATCCGGCGTAAGCGCCTAGACAACAACAAACATGCGATTATCCTCTTAAATAGCAACAGTTAAGCGGTAATTGGTAAATGATAAAAGAGTGTGGCGACTAGACCTTAGAAACTATAAAAATGAGTGATAAACAAAAACACAATAAAACGAAATGTGGAAAACCGAAAGGAACCCGAACAAACGTGCCTACAGCGGCACCTGCAACGGCGGCAGCCACGTGTAGAAGAGAATGTAGGCCGCACTGGAGACCACGCTTGAGGAGTCCAAAGCCGAGACAATTTGATCGTCGAACTTGAACCACTTCCCGTAATTGGCGCTCTTGCAAAAGGCCGTATAGTGACCGCCCTCCATGGTGCCGTAGTGATTGGATACGGCATATAGTTGGTAGGTCTTGGGCGTGACCGTCCGCGATTCCGACCGGGCAATATAGGGATTCATGTCCAGGTTTTCTAAGGGGAAGCGCAGATAGTTTTGCTTCTTCATGTAAGAGCCCGAATTGCTGGGGTCTGCATAGAACCTATAAACAAAGAAGTTAAAGCAATTTTCGGCAAATGAGAGATTAAACGAACCTCTTTAGATGCACCACTAATACAGGAGGCAACTTGGATATATCCAGCTTTTTAATGGCATCCCTCTTAGCTTTACAACTCGGACAATTCCAGCCGTGTATGCGCTCTCCACTGAAGTACATATCCATGCACTGGTTAAGCTGGCACACATTCGAGTTTGGCGGCAGCTCCAGGCTGAGATTCGAGAAGCTCTCATACGTGGCCGACTCCTTGTTGCAGGCCACACACTTTACGGTACTCTTCATCTGGCCGTAGAATAAATGCAGAATCATGCTCTCCTTGGCCTTGGTGAACTCCAGCCAAGCCTTCTCCGAGGCACTGATCATCTCTCGCTGACGGGCCACATGAAGGGTCTGGAGATCTGAATGCAGCCAGTCCATCAGGATGGTGAGAAACTCGTGCGAGTCCTGCTGGTCAACGCCTCGGAAGATTTTCTGATATTGACCCACAACATACTGCAGGGGAAAATGGCTTTGTTACATGATTAAATAGATTTTTTGCTTTAAATTTATTACCCTTAAATCCCGGCTGGCCACGCACTTGTACTGTCCATTCCAAAGCTCTTTGATTAGTGCAGCCACCTCTTCGATCACCTGGCCATTCGTCTTGTTGTTTCTGCTGATGTTGTTCTTGTACTTGTTTGAGATGCAGTACTCTGTCAACTGAGGCGTATTACTCAGGCACTGCAGAATGCTGTTCATGTAGCAGGTGTTGCCTAGATTCTTCAGACCCGTTAAGCCGCGACCCTGAAAATTGCACAGAAAATATGTATAAGTAGCTTTTCCAGGGCAACATTTTTCAGAAGTTACTCGTCGCAGCGGAAAGATGGAGCTATAAATGCTGTAAGTAGGCGGAGCTGCTGGCAGCTGGAGCTTCACGCCCGCCACTCGAATCATTCGCGGAATCCTGTCTGCTGCTGTTTTTGTTTAACAGTATGGCGATTGTACGTTTAGTTGGTTTCAACATGCTTTGAGTGCGGACGGCGAGCGACTGAGAGTGGGGAATACCCACAAAGCACCCCCAACGTTTGGGCGATTGTCTTCGAAACGTGACCCATTGGCTATTGATTTGACTCGTGTCGTATGGCAGCTATATTTAGGAGACCAGTGTGAGTCAAACACCCCCAAATCAACACTTACCACATTGTGACCCACGACGGGCGAGAAATCTCGGACCCGTTGAGATGTCCTCTCCACCGTCCTCGGCTGCGGTTTCATTGCCCTGTCAAATGTAGGTCTCTCCACCTTAGCTTGGACGAGCGGCGGATCCTCGGTCATTAGATTGAGCAGAGATTCCGTGCTATCGGAAAGGTCCCCCAAATCTTCTAAGTTTTTGCCAGACGATGGAGGGCTCGGGGATTGGGGTGACTTGTAATGCTTCTTAGATTCGCGGGCGATCGCCAGAAGACGCTCCCGCTCCTGGCGCTCCTGCTCGTGCTGTTCGTCCAGTCGCTGACGCTCACGGATCTTGGATTCGATGTTTCTCGTGGCCTCAACATCCTTTGGCGACAATTGCTGGGTAACATGCTGCTGTTCCTGTATGCGACTTAGTTCTTCACGCAAGCGATTGTTTTCAACAATCTAGAAGAAAAAAACCCGATTAGTTAAGGGGAAATTAGGTTCTTTGAGAAACTCACATAATCCCGGGCCTTGCTCTCCAGTTGCAGAATCCTGAAGTGCAACTCCTGGCCTTCGTTAACATTCAACCCATCGCCCTCGGCCGCCTGCCTCTTCCACATCTTAGAAGCCTGTTCCAGCTGCGCATCATTCTGCTCGGCTCGCTGCAGGAAATCCGCCTGATCACGCAAGATCTCAGCAATTGGCTTGGTCTGCGCAGAGGATCGCGACAATCCCTGGTCGTAGCTGCGAGTAGCTGTCGGCTTATTGGCTCGATTGATGTCCGGTCGTGGCCTGAAGTCTTTTGCACTGATGTCCTCCTTCATAGTAATGTCGTGGATTGAGGGATACTCGATGTCATCGATGGTCTCGATATCGTTGTTGTTTTGCTGCGGCGCCTGCACACTGGGATTGGTGCAGTGGGTGGGATACATCATGATGAAGTATTCATATCCACCTTCCACGATCTGGATAGGCGCACGGTACGTCACATCCGGATCCCACTGCAAGGAGAGAGTATTAGTTTAGATGTATGGTTTGTGATTGGGATTATACTGACATTTTTTAGAATGTCCAGCAGCGTGGCAATGGCTGTATTCGCCGGAGGTTGGGCATCCTTAGTGTTCCAATCGATAAGAACCACCGAATCCTTGACAGAACGAGAAGCCCACGAGGCCTTTCCGCTGCTGCTAAGGCGGGCCTGCAATCTTCCAGCCGACATGCTACAAAATTAGGGAGTTACTAAACAAAGTAAAATTAAAATAGAGGCAACCACTCACCCTAAAGTGATCAGCTCTTCGGGCACATTAAAAGCACAGTAATAGGTGAGGTGGGATGCCTCGTAGTCGGCGCTTGGGCGACAATCCATCACCAGAACGGATTTCTCCTGCATGCGCCTATACAACTCCTGACAAGAGATTAAGCCTAGTCGGGCAAAGTCCGTAGGCTGTGTTGTCGGCGACTCCGCGATTGCTCGACCATTGCTGACCAGTTCCGAGCCAATTTGTTCCAGCGGTTGGCGTTGCTGAGCATAACGCTGACGTAGAGAGTTAATAATCATCTCCAGCGTGTCCATTATGCGGCGATTCGACTCGGTGTCGCCCAACATCTGACGCACCGTCGTTTTGTGACTGGCGTAATCTGACTTTTTACGAATCGCGGTCAACATGTTGAAGTACTTCATGTAGGTGATGTAGGCCAGCTCCTCATCGCCATCCAGTCGGTACTCCTCGGCAGTCATGTACAGTTTCTGGGCGGTGTTAAGCAGGCTGTGAAGCAAAATCATGTTGGTCAAACCATCCGCATCAGCAATAAAGAAATCAAGGTGTCCTCTTACATTTTCATGCCCTTGCTGCGCAAATCTGGAATGATGGACAGCTTCTCCAGCTCCTCGAGATTGGAGCTGATGTGTAGCTTCTTCAACTTGGCCATTGCTTGTCTTGATTTGTGTGGTGCCGGGGATGGTGTTATGTCGATCTAGGGGCGTGGAATAGCTCCGTTTTTCCTGTTTTCATAGCAGGAATTTGCAATCTGCGGGCTGGGCTGCAACAACAAAATCACTTGTTATTAGCAGAAAAAAAAACTAGAAGAGCCTAGAGATGGCAGTTGGCAACGATAGTAAGACTATCGATTTGTGCTGTCAGACTAAAAATGAATTAAAATCAATTTATATATTAAATTACTATAAAAACTTATGCACAAAATTAAAGTTACCTAATATTTACCACACTTTCTATATAAATATGTTTTTACTTCATTTAATGGAATATTATAAAACATTGCTATGTATATTTGGCGGGAAACACGCTGAGCCGACACCAATGCGTTTGATCTATTGTGAATGGACCGGTTTTGTTTCACAGCTGATTTAATTTGTTGATTATTTTTCAAATAAGATTTTATAAATGGGAAGGACCTCGAAGGACAAACGGGACATCTTCTACCGACTGGCAAAGGAGGAAGGATGGCGGGCACGAAGTGCCTTCAAACTACTGCAGGCGGAGGATACGTTTCATTTGTTGGAAGGTGATGTTTCGACCTCATGTGCTTAGAGCCAATCTAAGGCAATTCAAATGCCTATTACAGGTCTCACCCGGGCTGTGGACCTATGTGCTGCTCCTGGGAGTTGGTCCCAAGTGCTGGCTAAGCACATGTACGAACCTTTGCCACCGGAGAAGCGGAAAGATGTGAAAATAATCGCAGTGGATCTGCAGGGAATGGCTCCCATTGAAGGTGTCACCCAACTCCGGGCGGACATTAGCAAGGAGTCGACGGCGGAGGCAATCATCGACTTTTTCGGAGGCGAGAAGGCACAGATCGTGGTTAGCGATGGAGCACCCGATTCCACTGGAATGCACGATTTCGACGCCTATGTTCAGGGCGAGCTGCTCCTCTCCGCCCTGAGCATCTCTACTTTTATCCTAGAAACGGGCGGCTCTTTTGTGTCCAAGATCTACCGAGCGGACAGAACTAGCCGGCTATACACCCAGCTTAAGCGTTTCTTCAAGGACGTCTGTGTTTTTAAGCCCTCCGCCTCGCGAAACTCCAGCATCGAAGCTTTTGTGGTTGCCCGCCAGTTTTGCCTTCCCGAGGGCCATAAACCTTGTAACCTAATCTCGGAATGGCACGAACATCCCGAGACGTGGTTGTGCCGGAAGAAGGAGAACCCACCAGTTGTTCATGTTCCTTTTGTCGCTTACAAAGGTGATCTGGACTCGGATCGCACCTACGACTTGGTAAGCTTATATATATGTAATCCTTCCAAACACAATTTAATAAATCTATTTCAGGGGGAGGACTACGTTTACAAGGAGCCGGTGCAGCAACCCTTGACTGCCGCTTATCAGGATATTATAAAGAAAACCAGTCAAATCAACATCAAATATGAAGGCATAAAAGTGATGCATGACGAGGAATTGTTTAAGAAATGGAGAGAGGCTAATCTAGATCTGGGTGCTGAACCTCACGAAGAAACTGATGCACTGAAGAGTGTACAAGATCAAAAAGCAACCGAAAGTTAAAAATCTAAGAAAGGCAGCCCTCAAAATCAGGGAATTAATCTGTTAGATATTTTAAATAAATAGTTTTTAATCAGGGAGAAATATTTGCTGCTGTAACTGGAATTGTTACATACTTTGTTGACAAAGTTGTAGCAATAAACTAAAGAAAAACCTTCTCTTGATCACTTTTGTACATTTATTAATATGAGGTATTTTTTAATGGTTTTTTTAATAGTTAATATTCAAATTTCATAAACTGCTATCACAACGTCATTATCTTGTCAATATCATTTTTGTCATTTTCGGCAGCCGCTTTCTTGCGAGCCCTGGCTCTCGCCTTTTGCGCACTTTTGCATCGTCGCCGAAAATCATTAGTTTGGGCTTCCGTCCACTTCTTGGATTTTCGCCGTACTTGCTGCCTTGCTGGCCGTGGAGCCTGAGGTTGGTTCACTGGCGCCTTCCGATGCACCGCCTTGCCGTTGGTCTTTGCTGGAAATGCGCAGGGCAGCAGCTGAAGTTCCTCGTGCAGTCGGCCGCAAAGAGTCGGGGAAATTGGAAGGTAACTGTTTTGGGCAAGGAAGATTTGATCGCTGGGAGTTGTCTCCGTGAGTAGCTGGTGCAGCCGTATGCTCTGTGCCGCGACTTCCTTAGTGGCATTGCACAGCAAGAACTTATCCTTATATTTGGGTAAGTATCGCAGCAGATATTCCCCGCAAGGCACCGTGTCCAGGAGCTTCAGGAACTCGTACAAATTAGACAGCAGCTGCGGCATGCTGGTGTTGCAGTAATCGTGCAGCTGCTGTTCCAGTGAGATCAGTGTAAGCTTTTCCTCCAACATGAGCTCAAAGTCCCGCAGCGAGACGCGGGTGCAGTGACCAATATTCGCCTGGAGAAGCTTTAGTTGCAACCAGGCACTTATCAACTCGTATTTGGTCATAATTTCGCATCCGCAATCTGGCTTGTTCTCCAGCTTAATGAAGTGGCATCCCAGTGAATCCTTTCCCGTGGAGTCTCTAACCGCTGGTATGGGTAGTGTGGTGAAGATCTGAAGCTCTTTGGTTTCATCACAATCGGTCTTACATCGCAGGGTCCAACTTACTAGGGCGTTGTTGGTGTTGGCATCTAAAATTTCAGATGACGTCTCATCAATCGCATGTAGTTTGTAAGCCACATTAGGTTTAATTGGAGACATATTAAGGATGTGTCTCTCTGGTACTTCTTTGACTCCTTCATTTGGTTTAAAATCCAGCCACTTGGCTAGTCCGGGCTGGGATACGAAAGTCTCATGGGCCTTTTTTAGGATTAAACTGTTTGTGTGCCAGCCGCAGTTGCGACTGGGAAAAGGAGACTTAAATTCAATGCATTTGTGTTTACTTTCTGGAGATTCCTTTAGGCTGACAAACATTTCTGCCGGTAAATCAACATATAATCCTGTGGTCAACAGCATTAAAAGTGAGTCCAGAGGAAGTACAAATATGTTGGCGGCTTCCAGCTCTTGCTCCTTCTCTTTTTCCTGCAATAGTTTAGCTGGCGCCTTAGTTTCCCGAACAGCGTAGCGATCCAAGCGTACTCGTAAAGTTCGCAATGTTTCCTGTTGCAGTTCCACCTCTGGCCAAAGTCTCACCCGGCCCAAAATCCGCTCCACTTCCACTTGCTCAATGCTGACGGTCTGGGAATTAAGGCTCTTGCAATGGGCCAACTGGGGAAGTCCGGAGAAGGTCACGTAGGACTCGTCGGGATAGGTTTTCATCAGTTCCATAACTCTGAGTTCGTACCACTTTCTGTATGCGGACACCAGAATCTTCATGGGTGCATAGATGACCTCCTTACGACCGTGCTCGTAGTCGTGGATGTGTTTCTGCACCCGCTGCTGCTCGTTGCAGCGCTTTTTTTCAGTGGCCTGCCACACCACAAAGTCGTCCTCATCAACGGGTTCGCTTCGCTGCCAGGAGAGGAGCACGCGCATGCAGGCTGCCTGCTGATTGAGAGTTAACTCCGAGTGAAGCCTTTGGGGATTGGGGAAACTGTAGCAGGTGTTTGGACCGGAATGGTCGCAGATTGCACTGTCCGGAGCCTCATTGATGCGCGGGTCTGTTAGGGCTGTGTTGCGGCTAAAGAATTTAAAGACATCAGAGGTTTCCTGGAGTTCCATTCGCAGCACCTCAGGGTCCACCTCATTAAGATATGTGTAGAGCGCATCGTCCACATTCTCGAAGGATTTGTTGAAGACTTTGTACGACGGCTGGTCGCGAAAGATTGCGTTTCCCTCGTATAAAGAAGGTACCTTGTCCATAATAAATTAATATTTGGGAAACTTCCTTAAGAGCATGTTTTTGGTTTAAAGTAGGTAGAGGATGCACTGACTAACAGATTAACTATTCAATCATTAAGATCAGTCCTTGTATGTCTTGTCAAACTTCGTAAAAGTTTTATTAAAACGTGAAATGACAGAAATAAAGTTGTTTTGTTTTGATTTAGTGCGTGCTAGTGTGACCTCAACAGGTTGTCGAGAAAATACGTTTTTTAATAAGGTTAAACAGCCCGCCTTGTTTAAAAAATAAATATTTCTTAAGTGTTGTGTGTCGGTTCCCTGTTTCCTTGTTTTAAAATATTTAAGTTTTATAAAACATAGACAATTCGAGTTACAACAATTTTGTTGGTAGAAAAAGGCACGAAAAAATAGAATACAACATAAACGTCAGTCCAACGACGATTTTTATAATTATTTTCCATTTATAAGTAAAAGAGTTATTAAAAGTTATGAATTGTAATTAGTAAGGTATATAAAATTTAAAATGATCATTTACTCTTCTTTATGTAATGTTTTTGTAGCAACCTACCTTTTCGAGGTATTTGGTTTTAATTTACTTTAGACTTTATTATACGCTTTTTATGCAACATTAACTTTTATATTAAAGTAATTTATATGGGGCCTTAAAACTCTGGGACAACTTGCGCTGAAAATCAGTTTATTAAAAACGTTCAACCAAAATGTTTCGAACTTTATATCTCCTCATAGTTCTGGTCATTTTAAGCTATAGTGTGAGATCATTTAATTATACTAGCTGTGACCAGGCGAAGCAGCCAAAATTCGTATGTTATGTTTACAATAAAAGGAATTTGTATGTCAAATATTTATATTTTTTCAGTTAAGTTCCTGCTGCGATGTACAAAAAAACGATAAAGTTATTAAAACCTGTCGTAAATCTTTGCTGGACAATAACTTAACAACTACAAGTAATGGAGGGACGAAAAATCTAAAATTTGATAAAGTGGCTCTTCATGCGGTGAGAGATATTTTCGTATATTAAGAATTCTACAAAGTATTAGTAATCTTCTAGAACATTTTTTAAATTTTAGTGTATTGCCGAGTGTTACTTCAAAAGTAGTGGCTTTTTACTGAACAATGGAAGCGTCCACGTAGAAGCTTTAAGGAAAAGTTATCAGCAACGCTACAAAGACGACCAAGCCATGTCGCAAATAATGGTGAAAAGCCTAAACAGTTGTACGGATTACGGTGGGTTACAACAAAATGTAAACATTTTTAAAAATATGAAAATTTAAACAGCTCTAAAGCGGTCTCAACAATTTCAATGGATGCGCACAAAGGGAGAGTGCGACTATTATCCTGCAACATTACTAGCCTGTATTATGGAGCAGGTATACGTAAATTGCCCAGCCACCAAATGGAAGAATACTAACGATTGTACAGCGATGCGGAAATATTTGATCGCCTGTGACGACGTTGCTGTCAACAGAAAGTAACATATCAAAAAATACCCAAATATAAAGCTTTGGCAGACGAATAGCTTTGCTATTTTGTATTTATTCTCCACACACTTGGAAAGTCAATTTAGTCAGTTCCGCCATTCCGCACTCAATCACATCGCCAGCTTTGAAAGCATCCGATCCGTTAGGCGTTCCGGTCAGAATAAGATCGTTTGGCTCTAAAGTCATGTACTTGGACACATGCGAAATTATGTCAGGCACCTTAAATATTAAGTCAGCGGTGCAGCCCCTTTGCTTCACCACTCCGTTGACAGTCAGCCAAAGTGGCAGATTGTGTGGGTCCTTCACTTGGTCGAGGGGTATAAATTTCGAGACGGGCGTGGAAGTGTCAAATCCTTTGCCCAAGGTCCACGGATGACCCGCAGCTCGAGCTGCGCCCTGAAAAATACTTTTATATATTGAATGAAAGTAAAATGTGTAAGGGTTCTTACCAAGTTGCACTGAGCAGTGAGATCCAAAGCCAGGCAGTAACCTGCTACATAGCTCATGGCATCTGCCTTAGAGACATTCTTGCAGGGTTTTCCAATCACAACGCCTAACTCCACTTCATAGGCCACCTTGGTAAAAACTTTGGGTATCTAAAAAAGCCATAAATATTAAAAACATTTATTAATTAAGGTCCCTACAAAAGGCGAACTTAATAAATTTCATTTAAAGCTACTGTTTTTTTTTTTTAAATCGTATCTAAAAGTTCAATGTAATGTTTAATTTACATATGTAGGATTCATATCTTGATTATCTAAAAAAGTTCTTAAAATCCAATAATTGACGTTTGAATCACAATTTGCTAGCGACTTGTAGTTATCATTTTGGAATAGTACCTATCCTTACATATTTTTTAAATTCGTTTAAAATTACAATCGTAATGCCATCGTTTTATAGGCGAATGAAGGTCTTGAAAAAATGTAGCACCAATTTCTACGATTTTAATTAACTCACAACAATGGGCTGTCCTTCTTGCAAATAAGAGGATGTGGGCTTAAGGAAGACGAGTGGCTCCTTGGGGACTGGAACGTTCCTGGCCTTTACAACGTCCCTGCGGCACATAAAGATTCAGGGGATTACCCATTTAGACAAAACTGTACAAGTAAGCACAAATTTACATGTAGTTGAGAGCCACTCCAACAATCTTCTTGCCTTCGCTCAAGAAGTTGGCGGCGTTTTGGTCACGGCAAGCCATCCTCAGGATTCTAGTTAGTTGCACCACTGAAAATTAAAAAAAACCAAATTGACTATTCTGTGAACTCCGAGAAAAGAATTAGACTAGAACAGCTCTGCGGTCAAATGAAAGTGAGCGTTTAGCCATTGACAGCTGGAAAACACTTACTTGCGCAAGGTTTATTAATTTAAAAGTGGGGGTTATCTGGAGAGGCGCCCCCCGCAGAAAGTTTATCAATTAAATAACAACAGAAAAACAAGAGAGCGATCGAGAACACAGCTGATGCCTAGGGTTGCCAACGTTGGCCACGAGTGTTGGTCAGTTGTAAAACTATTTTACTTTAGTATTCTGAAAATTATTCAAATTTAATATCGGTATAGGAATAACGGTAGTTACAACAACCTGTTTGAAAACTATTGGGGCATTACAAACGATATCTCCTTCTTGGCGTTCTTCAACACTAGCACTGCCAGTGCGACCGCTTGCACACCACGCAGCTACCGATATCGATAGTGCACACTCATCTTCTTTTGCCTCTGGTGTCAGTCCATATTTGGGCGGAAACTCGTGAAAAATTAAATCTTTCGTTTGAAAAGTTCGTGCAGAGTAGTTGCGCGAACTCCATAAGCAGAAACCAACAAGTGCAAGCAGCCAGGAGCTGCGAAAATAATGACTGCCAGCGAGATTCTCTCGATTGGTGAGGGGATTTCGGCGTGTTGAGTTTCCCTTCGCCTTCGCCGTTTTCGCGCATCGCGCCTGCGGTCATACTGAATACGAGACGAACAAATTGTAATTTTCGTTCGAGCTAAAAAATATATGAAATTGCAAGCAATAAGCGATTTGCGAACCGCGTAACCGAAAAGTCAGCAAAGGCCCTACGTGGTGCGTGAGTGCAAGTGCGACGGCAAGCAGCCGAGAGAAAGAGCGTGAGAGAGAGAAAAGACGAGCAGTAACTCTACAAACACACAAACAATACAATGATGAAAATGGAGACTGACAAAATAATGGACGAAACCAACTCCAATGCACAGGCCGTGAGTTTTCGCTTATTTACTTAATTTAAGCGCGATTTCTGCCCGCATATGTATATTATGCACACCTTATTAAGTACATAATGCCCAAGGTGTCGCCTCTTCACATACAAACACACACACACACACAGTCGCGCCACATATACTTGTGTGCGTGTAATATTGCTTTATTTTCGTATATACTACAGATTTTGCACTCGTGCACTCTATTAAATTCGGACACTGTCACCGATCCTATAGGCTAACCTTAAACTTTTGCAGACTCAGGCATTAGCCTAATTATTCATCGTCGTCATCCTCCCCTTTGCCAATCATCCGTCTCTATACATATATCACCCAATTTCCGATTTTGGCTGGTCCAAAAACAATTTTCAGATTTCGGTAATTGCCCTCGAGTTTGTTTACACAATTAATAACAAACCTCTCACACAGTATACTTTGTTGCAGCCGTGTACATTTCAATCAGTACTTATTTTATTGTATACCCAATAGTTATGGAATTAAATGAGATAGGCTACTTTGCTGAAGGTCAGTTACCGCAAAAACCATTAAGCAATGTGCCCAAAAATAATTTTTTTTTTTTTTTTTTTCCCTTGCCAAGCAATAATGTTTTGCTTGAGTCATCTGGGTTTATTTTGCTGGAATCAAGGTTGAATCTGGTTAATGATAAACTGTTTCTCAGTAATAACTCCAAAACAGTGAAAACTCAAAGCCTTGTAAACCAAAAAAATTTTAATTATAGAATGAGTTACGTATTTACCATTTACAATATTACCAATAAAGATTATATTGAACTCAAAGTATATTAATTCTGTAAAATTTAAGAAAACAAATCGGAAAGTCTTCATGTAGCACAAACCAAGTTTTAGCTCAATAGAATAATTCACAGCTAGAGCCAACTGTGACATCCTTCATATTAGCTCAAAGTTACCAGGCAAAGGCAAACAACTAAAGCTCACAAAAAAAACATAATATGGCAATTAAATTAAGGCAACCGAACCGAATGCTTATATACAACACTTACTACACTCGCAAATAGTGCTGTACGCAAGGTTTTCGCATTGCTGGCATTGCAGTTAACTTAATTACTCAAATCACTCACACTCGAATGTCCGATTTGTTTATTTTGCTGAAATTGTTTGCCGAGATCTTTAGCATTTAATTGATGGCTGTTGATTAATGTTGTTCGTGTGGATCTTATTGGGCCATCAATGGGAATGTCTATATTTAGAATACACATAATGAGGATGGAACACCAAATAAACGTCGATACAATTATTACTTATAAACTGGCCGTGTGAATGATCTGCTTCAGTTGCTAGTCGGGGTTTTTTAGAAATCCGCTTTGCAAACTCTTTCGCCGCCAAATAAAAACAAAACGAGAAAATTACGAGAAGAAAGAGACTCATGGCGGAGTCGAAACTAATTGCCTAATTGTAAGCCCCCAGTTTGGGTCGTCACTTGCCTAAAATAAAGAAAAGTTGCACAACCCGCAGCTACCTACTTTTCCAGTTTTAACGATCGCCCCTTGACATCCAAACCCAAACACCCCACATGTCATCGCCCGAGCAAACCAAACAAATGCAATCTCATAATTAATTTCCCCATACTTACGTTACGTTCCTATCTGTTACTTCTCCCCATACAGTTCACAACCACTATGCTGTACGATCCGGTGCGCAAGAAAGACTCCTCGCCCACCTACCAAACGGAGCGGGAACTCTGTTTCCAGTACTTCACCCAGTGGAGCGAGTCGGGCCAGGTGGACTTCGTGGAGCAGCTGCTGTCGCGCATGTGCCACTATCAGCACGGCCAGATCAACGCCTATCTCAAGCCGATGCTCCAGCGGGACTTTATCACATTGCTGCCAAGTGAGTGACGATATAAATTTTATTACTTATTCTATGGGTGTCATCTAACAAAAGTAGAATCAGGTAACATGTTCAAGTTCACACACAAAAATCAAACATAGGATTCTGAAACACGCATAATATCACTGATTCCCCGTTTAGAATGGTTTGACCTTTATTAGATTATCTTATAATTTTAATAACAACAAATCCTGATATTATCTAGTAAACAAACAAAACCCAAATTTCATCGCTTCATTTGTCATCAAAACTCAACAAAAGTATCAAAAAAAGGTACATGAATCTATTAATTTAAAACACGTTTGTCATCTAAATAAGGGCAAAAGGTGTTGAAATAGTCTATAGGCCTTGAAATAAATGATAAAATCACGGGATGGGGAACATTGAACTGTAGATAAGTGCGTGTGGATAGCTTTAATTGGTACGCCTTCTTGGAATCAAACAAAATGATTATTGCTTTTCAGATTAACAGCACGTTTAAATTGCCAGAGAATCTATTTCATACTTTAAAATACCCAGATATCGATTAAGTCACAACCCATTTATAAGAATAATTTGAGCTAGTTTTTTCAATCTATTGTTTGAATAGTATACCAAGTTGTCTATAAATAGAAGTACGGTAGTTAATCAAGCTTGAATCAATGAGCATAAAGCAATTATCGTTATAAAAACTATTTATGGCTTATTAGTTACTAAATAGATTATATAGGTTATTCTATTAGTATTCCAGTGTTAGTTAATGTTCTTTGAGTTATGATGTTTTATAACATGTTGTAAAAGCTCTTTATTATCGGGATCAGCCTTAACGGCCTATAAATAAAAACCCTTAATATGAGGTTGCTACCTCAAGGGCTATTTTTTGTATTATCTCAATATATGTGTAGATTGTTTAAGGTTAAATTAATTCATTAAAAGGCAATCAAACATACGTCACATGCGAACGGGGTATTCTGACACACACAAACGTTATCAACAGCGTACTTTGTATGGGAGGTCAGTACTCTCAGATGGCCAAGACGCCACCTGGCAACTGCTGATAAGCAGGCGATAGCAGATGCCGGGATGGAGCTCCCAAAACTTAAAGTTTTTATAAGCCAAAACAAAAACCGGGCAAAGCTGCAATATAAATCTTAGCCACGTTTAGTGGCGAATAGAGAGCAGAAGCCGGGCTTAATCCCTCGACACGCAATAGCTGAAACAATAACAAACGGCAGTTACAAAGTTGAACAACATGAAAGGTAAATCCCGCTCAGAACTCAGAGCTCGGAACCCAGTGCGATTCGTTTCGCTCCCCCCGACTTTCACCCTTTCAACTCCCGATTTGTTGCCGGGCATGTTTCCAGCGAGGAAAGCCAGTGGGTGGCGAGAAGGGGGCTATTGGCTGTTGCCTGTTGGCTGTGGGCTGTTGACTGAAAGGTCGTTGCTTCCATTAAACGCGCTTTACCGGAACAAAAACAGAACCGAAAGCCGGAGCGAACCTTGTATATTATTCATAAGAAAGTGTGAATCGATTCTGTTATTGATTTTTAACTAATAACAAAACTATTGATTATGAGTTTTATTGGAACCACTGGTATTGTGTTGATAAACTGGTTTACAATGAGTCTGATTATGTGAATAAGCGAGCACTTCGTTTATCAATGCATCGCGATACGTGTGCATATCGATGACTCAAATAGTCAACAAGACCTGTGCGTGCAACTCAAGCCTTCGCAAGGGCATTCATTTACAGAATATTTATATACATTTCTGTTCCCCCGTTCAGTTCGTTTTCCGGGTTTTGTTTTACGTTTGTTTTTGGTTCAGAATTTTGCATCTTATTAAGCAGGGCTCTGATTGCCAGCAGAAACGCAGTACACACCTATATTGTGAAATGTCTTCGCGAAGAATGCCTCTTTAATTTGTAAGCCTTTCTTTCCTTGAACTACCAGTCTGGAATAAGTTCTTTGAGGAAGTTGTCGGATGCTTCCGTTGACTTAATCCCCGGCAATGTCCTCCTTGTTCATGCTTGTTATACGACGATGTTGCTATGAGCGTTTAGCTTTTTCTAGCTTAAGAAAAGGCAAAAAATATACCCATTTATTCATATTTTGGTTTTGGATTGGTTGTATATCTTATGAAATTAGAATCCTTTCAATCAATTATTTTAAAAAAGTTTATATAAATATAGATTTTAGATAAAATCAGCAAAAGAAACTGTTAGAAGTAAAATAAAAGTTTATATTCTTACTCTCTTCAGCCTTTCACAATTTAATATAGAAGAACAGAAAATTCCATTTGTTAGATTAAAACGACTTAGTAATCTTAGTTTATTAATGAATCCACACTTGTTTTTAATCTTATTAGTTAAGCATCCCAGACTATATACAATCGAGAAACCCGAAAAATAATAAATCAAGTTTTTGATGTTACTAATTTTTCCTTTTTACCGATCTTCGTTTACTTTTTCCTTCATTTCCTTAAGGGGGAAATACAATTAGAAATTTTTTTTTTCGAAAAATTTTTTTTTGGCTTAATGTACTCCAAATATATCTGGGAGTAAGCCTTTAAAAGCATAAAGCCGTCCGGTAATTATTTTCAGAGTTATACGCAATTTAGTGAGGGTGTGTCATATGGCGGACATGCACAAAAGTAAACTTTAAACGCTTCTCCTGAAAAGTCGTGTTTTCAAAGTCGCCGTGCAATGTACAGCTCAAAGATTTTATTTTAATCGAATGCGGTTTTTTGCATTATGTTTGAAATTAAATTCTCCACACCATGAATATAACGGTTTTTCATATTTGTTTGTTATAACATGTTTTTTTTACAATCAAAGTCAAAAAAAAATCGTTATTTTTGAAATTTTTTTTAACCTAAAATTTTTTAATGGAAAAATAATTTTTTTTAAATATGGTTTAATTCATGGTGTGCGCTGTACCTTTAAGTTTAAAGCCCAGTTGCTGTTTTTTGTTTAAGTCGTGATCCTGGACCTGGAGACTGCACGGCGCAAAGTCCTTCCCTAAAAACACGACTCCACATTATTGATCATAAATGGGCTTAATTACAATATTTTTCAAAAAACTTGACTGATTTTTATTGCTCAATAATTACCCAATAACATGCAAAAAGAATCACTAAGATTCATTTAAAACTCTACTTGCAATCCACTCCCAAAGATAGCCCTCATTTCAGGCCTTCTAATTGTATTTCCCCCCTTAACGACTTGTTGGCATCACTGAATGTTCTAGGAAAGAAAAAGAGTTGAAAGTAGGCAACATTGTCTCCTCCATTTACATTGTAATGCACTTCAAAGGCAGCTAACCGGGGGGACAGTCGGCTCGGGACGACAGAGCGACCGACGGACGGACGGATTCACAGACGGATAGACACTCTTAAGACCGTTAGTCGCCGGCGACGGCAAACAACTTGAGCCAAATCGTTGCCGCCCGCCAAACAGCCTGCCATTGCTGCGAGTTATGCACATTTTTAATTGTGTTTGGCAAATGCTGCGAACAGCGAACATCAAGAGCGAGGGGAGCAGAATGCACAACCCAGTGAATACTCGCAGGCACTTCAGATTCTGCTCTGGCTCTTCTGACTCTGACTCTGACTTGGCCCATTCAGTCGGGTTGTCAATGCAGATAGAGATGTGACTCTAGATGTGGCTCATGCCTCCTCTTCCTCCTCCTCCTCATCCTCTTTGGGGCACCCAACCACCACTCCTTCGTATGACACATGTAAATATGCCGCTCTATTGGTTGCGCCTCCTCCACAGCCACTCCCACTCCCACTTACTGGGCTAAGTGCATTTTAATGCCGTTAGGTGCATCATTTTGCCTCTTGTTCGTCGCCCAGTTAAAGTCTGCTGATGTGGTTGGATTGCATTGGATTTGATTGGGCTGCTTTGGGTTGGGTTCGGTCGGGTCGGGTTGGGTTGGGTTGGGTTGAGTAGGTGTCTGACAAGAGCAGTAGCAGTTGGGTAGGGTGGCTCCACCTCATATCTGATGGCAATTTTGTGATGTGTCATATCAGAGATAGCTGGGTGCCAACTATAAATAGCTGCTTTAGTCATTAACTTTGCTGAAGAGATGACCTTCTCAGCGAATCATCTAGATCTGAGAAACTTTAATAGCTTGTTAGATGCTTGCGAGTTACGCTAATTACATTTTCTTTTCTTCCACCAAATGCAGTCAAGGGTCTGGATCACATCGCAGAGAACATTTTGTCGTACTTGGATGCCGAGTCGCTCAAATCGGCCGAGCTGGTCTGCAAGGAATGGTTGCGCGTCATCTCCGAGGGCATGCTCTGGAAGAAGCTCATAGAACGCAAGGTGCGCACAGATTCCTTGTGGCGCGGATTGGCCGAGCGGCGCAATTGGATGCAGTACCTCTTCAAGCCAAGGCCGGGACAAACACAGCGGCCCCACTCATTCCATCGCGAGTTGTTCCCCAAGATAATGAATGTGAGTATTCACCCCAAAATGTCCTGCTTGCAATTGGTTAATTTAATCTGACTTATTATATGGTTTCAGGACATTGACAGCATAGAGAATAATTGGCGAACTGGCCGGCACATGCTGCGCCGCATTAACTGTCGGTCGGAGAACTCGAAGGGTGTCTATTGCCTGCAGTACGATGATGGCAAGATTGTTTCCGGGTTAAGGGACAACACCATCAAGATCTGGGATCGTACGGATCTGCAGTGCGTTAAGGTGGGTTACAAATTCATTTATAAAGTGAGAAGAACCTTAGAATATTACTTTCTGTTATGTTGCCTTAACATTTCTTTCTATTTAAACATGTAAGACACACTTCCCACATTCAAACTCAAAAGTTATTTAAACACTTTTAACATTACTTTCCCTTAATTACAGACCCTCATTGGCCACACAGGATCGGTGCTGTGCCTGCAGTACGACGACAAGGTGATCATCAGTGGCTCCAGCGACTCCACCGTCCGCGTGTGGGACGTAAACACTGGCGAGATGGTCAACACCCTCATCCACCACTGCGAGGCGGTGCTGCACTTGCGTTTCAACAACGGCATGATGGTGACCTGCTCCAAGGATCGATCCATCGCCGTCTGGGACATGACCTCGCCCAGCGAGATCACGCTGCGTCGCGTTCTCGTCGGTCATCGCGCGGCCGTCAATGTGGTCGACTTCGATGAGAAGTACATCGTGTCCGCCAGCGGGGACCGCACCATCAAGGTCTGGTCCACCTCGAGCTGTGAATTCGTGCGCACCTTGAATGGCCACAAACGTGGCATAGCCTGCCTGCAGTACAGAGACCGCCTGGTGGTCAGCGGCAGCTCGGACAATTCCATAAGGTGAGGCGTGTGAATTTAAGCGAGTTTCCTGATCGGTGATTAATGATGTGTGCTAAACTTTTTTCATGGGTAAATGTTGCGATCAGTAGTAGCAATTAATGCTGATGGCCATTCCCAATAAAGCTAATGGCTTCGCTTTAAACTTTTTTGCTTCCTTATACCAATATTAGATACACTGATATCCAAAGTTGATTTTATCATTTTTGGTTAGGTAAATTAAGAATTGTTTACTATATATACTATAATATCGGAATTACAATATTACATTTGAAATCTGGAGAAAACTGTTAGCATAGAACTTATCCATGTTGTCCATCTGCTTTGATCTAATTTCAGACTTTGGGACATCGAGTGCGGTGCCTGCTTACGTGTCCTTGAAGGCCATGAGGAATTGGTTCGTTGCATCCGTTTCGACACGAAACGAATCGTCAGCGGCGCGTACGACGGCAAGATCAAGGTGTGGGACTTGGTGGCCGCCCTGGATCCGCGAGCAGCCTCCAATACTCTTTGTCTGAATACACTTGTGGTGAGTCATCCACCTCGTCATTTCCGCTCTTGTCTAATAAACCCTTTTAGGAGCATACTGGGCGCGTCTTTCGTTTGCAATTCGATGAGTTCCAGATTGTAAGCAGCTCGCACGATGATACAATTTTGATTTGGGACTTTCTAAACTTCACACCCAATGAGAACAAGTCCGGCCGCACACCGTCACGTAAGAGAAGCGACTTTCACCTCATTGATCTCTTGAATTATGCATAACGGTTTCGTTTTTTGTTTTCTGACTTTTCTTTGCGACTGTTGCTGTTACCGTTACCGTTGCTATAGCGGCCCTGATGGAACATTAACATTTTATGCAACGGCAGCTGCACGAGTTACATCTGCAGTCCTCGAGCGAGGAAGAGGACGACGACGAGGACGAGGACGATGGCGAGTTTTTTGATGAGGAATCTAGGGATGATGCTGGGGCGTTTATGGGGGGATTTGATAGACATCGAATTGCGGCTGGTTCGGATTCTATCACCGGTTCCGGTTCGGATCCAGAATCGGATGACCTGGATTTCGATGTAGATGTTGAGAATATTAATGATTATGATGAATGAATTGTGAGTGATTTAAAGCCAGCGTAAACACACAGCATTGCGTCTCGTCTATTTAAAAACTATGTTGAACCCAAGATACAGCGATCTCTGAGCGTCTATTTTACAATCGCACACAAAAACACAACTCACATCCACCCACACACACACAAACATACACCCCGACCACAACAGACACGGAACACACACATAATATGAATTAAATGAAGTTATAAAGCAAACAATAAATGCAAAAGGAGTATACAAAACATATAACTTGCTGTTAGGTTTGTCATGAACGAATGAGAATGAAACAAAAACAAAATGAAACTATGTATTAGTTGTTTAGGCGCTGTAAATCTAATCGAGGGTCAGTCTTTGAATCGCGCCATGGATCGGTGGTTCGATCGGGCGTTACTTTAAGTGTTTCTTTAGCTCAAATACACAAGCATCGCGTTTAGGCAGCTGCCGCCTTAAGAGGAAGGAGAACTGTTAAATGGCTTGGAACCTTTTCGCAGGATGAATCTGCAAAGCGGCCAGAGGAATCAGTCTTTAGTATAAATGTTAGTTAGAGTCGCTTCATTGAAATTGGCAAATGATCATTTCGGTTCGCCGCATTGCACATCTGTAACCTACTTTACATGCCTATTGCCTAAAGTTTGTGTTAATTGTAAAGTTAAATTTAAGCCTAGTATTTTATTGGCAATTGTAATCTAAGTTACCCAAATACAAATAATTTAAATTAAAAGTTAATTATGTAAAGAACGGCACGAACAGTGTCTGCAATTGGTAGTTACAAAATCCTTCGAGTAAAGTTGAATACAAAATTAATCCATTGTACTGCAATATATAACCGATTCTTTGATTGATCTATGATAACTATAGATTTTAGATATACAGATGTATGTAGAAAATAGCAAATTTCCAGGAAGTTTCAACAATATAATTATATGTATGCAGTTCGTTGATTGTGATCAATGGATATTTTACTATATGTATTGCTATTTATAAGTTAAGTTCCAATGCTATACTTGATCTGGATCACGATCGCCGCTTCCGCGTTAACTAATGTATGTACATAACGTTTTACTTTAACAAAAAATGATGAAATATGAACACATACTCCGGAATATTTAAAACTGTTAGAGGAAAGAGTGCAGTTTGTTAAAAGATTGCCGAGCAACTGCTATTGCGCGAATGGGCTTAGTATAGGTAACAGATAACTAGAAATAATAATAAATTGTGTATAAATGCTAAATTGTGGTTTTTCTAATTGATATATATCTATATAAATTACTTGTTTTAATTATTAGCTTGGGTTTTATAAGCCCAATGTTTTTTGGCTTTTACCAAAACGGTGTGCCATTAAATTGGAATTAATTTTGAATATATGTATATATTTATTTTATTTCGCTCAATGTAAGTCATTTATTATTTACTTTTTGTCGAAAAATGTAGTCCTGCTGAAAAAATTTTTTAAATTTATTAAAATTCTTATAAATCATTTACAATTAACAATTTCGAAAAGACGAATATAGGTATTCAAAAAGGTAGTTTTTATTTGCTTATTTATTGTAGCCCATAACAAAAACATTTCACAACGTAAACCATAGGTAATCATATTTTTTAAATTATTTTAAGTTATTTTTCAATTTTAGTTTCAGGGCGAAAATCATTTTCAACTTAAATTTCGCGCTTTTTTACATACCAAAAATGCGGAAAAGTATTTTAAGTGGCTATGGGCACATATTTCGTCTGAGAGCTTTGACGACACCTGGTAACACCGCAACAAAACAAAAACTGGATGCCTTTTAAAGAAATTCCTTGAGATTCCTTTGTTATAAATTCCGAAGATGGACTGGTACGTGGGTACGGAGTGGGAGGACAAAAGTCGGGGCCTGACCAAGAAGGTACTTTCCCTTCAGTTCACGGAGTTGGAGAAGCCCACGACGGTCAGCACGGTGGAGTTCAGCGTCACCAAGAAGACTGCTAATTTGGGAGGACGACCCAGCAAGTACTTGGCCAACAATGAGGCCAAGCACACTCTTGAGATGGGGACATCACTCACCGCAGTGGACTGCTACTTGGAGCTTCTACTCCAGCAATTTGTGCCCGGCGAGACATCTGCCTGCAGCATTACGACCAAAACCGGCGAACGAATCGAGTTTGAGCTGAAGTTGGAGAGGATTGTAAGGAACACGCAGGTTGAGAAACTGAACGCAGCCGAGATTTACGACCTGGCTCTTCGCCTCAAAGAGAGCGGCGTGGCCATTTTTAAAGCCTTCCCGAAATTTGCCTTTGATTACTTTGCGCGGGCTGCAAAGTTGTTGATCACCTACAAACCATTCAACCAACTGACTAAAAAGGACAATGGCATTAACGGCCAGGAAGTGGAGACGCTTTTCATTCAGATACAAACCAACTTGGCGGCCTGCCTGCTGCAGGAGAAGCGGTATGAGCACGTCATCTACCACACACAGTTTGTTGAGACGGAGGAGAGTCCCAGCGAGAAGAGCATCTATCGGCGGGCATTAGCTTATTATCACCTAAAGGAGTTTGCCAAGGCGCAGGCTACCATCGAGCGGATGCCCAACTACGAGGAGAAGCGAGAGTTCAGCAAGCTGCGCGACAACATTGCAGCCAGCTGGAAAGACAGCAACGCCCACTACAAGGAGGTGGTGCAGCGTATGTTCAGCTAGTTCCCATTAATAAGATCTTGATGTCAGGCTAACAGATGGTTTTTATAAAATAGCTTATGTTTAATGTACTACTTTTATTTCCTACTCTTTTTGTGGTCGAACTTGGGCCGCTTGTTCTTGGAATCGAACTTTCCCCGCCTGTTTTTGGGGTCGAACTTGTCCTTTTTATTTTTATGGTCAAACTTGTCCTTACGATTGAACTTGTCCTTCCGATCAAGCTTATCCTTCTTGTCCTTGGGATCCAGCTTTGCCCGCTTGTTTTTATATTTCATGCCACCGGTCAGATTGGGCCGCTTGCGAGACATTTTTTCTTCAGTTTTGAAAAGTTCTGCAATGGAATCCTTTAGTGTTTGTTTTTGAAAACAAAATATTAACTCACCCTCATCTGGTTCCTCGCCCACTTCCTCTTTGTAGTACTCTGCATCGTCCTCGGGATCGCTGTCAGCACGACCCTCCGCCGCCCTCTTGGCAGCCCATTTTTCGTCCTTCTTCAGTTTTAAGTTGCGAGCCCTATTTTCTGCCTGCTCCTTCTTCCGCTGCTCCTTTTGCTTTCGCTTCTTTTCGACCAGCTTGCGCAAGGTTTCCTTTTCATCCTCTGTTTTCACCACATGATCGTGATAGAGAACTTCGCCTGTGAGGAGGCCCTCTTCTATTTTGATGAGCTGCAAGGTTAGACGGGGACCGATCTCGTGCAGTTTAATAGAGCTCTTGTTGTCCTCAAGGTTTCCCTTGCTCTTAAGCGTTTGTGCCAGGACCACATGTGACTGTTCGTCATCCTCGGCCTCTGATTCGGAGGCATATCCATCTCTGAATGAAGTAAAAATAAAGTAATGGATGCAAAGAGGTATAAAAAAGATCACTGCTTACTTGGTCACAAAATCAACCACTTCATTGCACTTGCTTAGGTTGGGCACTGTGCCCTTGATAATCTTTTGGACCGCCCGCTTCAAACCTACGGGCACCACCTGCACGGAGTAGTGTCGCATCTCGACCAGCTTCGTTTCCGGATTGTAGGAGAACAGCACACAGCGGCGGATGGTGCCGATATTCACTTGGGCCAAGTTAATGGAGGGAAACATGTTCTGGAAGGTAGTGGCCATCAGCTTTAGGTGCTTGCCATCGCCACTGAAGTTGTTCATAATGACTAGAGGAGCGTGCTTAAAGTGATCGAGGTCGATCATCTGCTTTCTGCTGGACGAGATCACATCCCTAGCCAGGGTGAACTGGTGAACCTGTAAAAGGATAACTGCTGTATGGGAACGCTAAAGGTGTTTAAGTCAAACAAACCTTAAAAGTCAAAGAAGGTCCGCGAGGCAGGCGAACCACTTTGAAAGACAACTGTGTAGAGGCCTTATTAAAGATGCCCATGTGCGAGACATGGAAGAAGCTGCTCAGGCTCACAAAGTCCTTGATACGGTTCATCCGCTTCTCGCGAAGATTGCTGGCCGTAAACGGCTCCATGATCCGGCGGAAGTCCAGGGTGAGATCCGTGATATACGGGCAAGTGAGGCCGCGGTGGATTACAAAGGAATGCGGCGCCTCCACAATCTCGCTCGGTTCGCTGGCCTTGAAAGCCGCCGTGCGCGTTTTTGGATGCACTTTCTTCTTGCCGCCCATGTTTTGATGTTATTTCAATTTTACTTTCCAGCCGCACGTGTTGGATTCAGTGTGGCTGCATGCGTTGAAAATACCATTTGCAATGCGCGCCTTCCTCTGGTCACTCTACTCTCATTCAAACCTATTTCCCTTGAATAAAAAACGTTCAAAATTACTTTTGTTTAAATTATATTTATTTAATCACACTTAACATAGCAAACACAAATGATGTTATTTCGTTTCATTTATGCATTTAAAGTTTTACAACTGTTTTTGTTTGATTTCTTTTTATCAGCTAGTTTTAGACAAATTTTCTTTTACGTTGTGGCCAATTGTTGAAAATGTAAGAGTGAAAACTGAAGAAAATCCGCAAAATTTGCTTGCGCCGCGCTGCAGTGTTGTGGAAATCGAAGTTCTCCGGTTTTGTTTGTTTGTTTTTTCTCGAAAAATTACAACTATGTAATTATGTTGCGAAAAATTAATAATATTAATATTTTTAATATTAGCATATATGTATATTTATATAAATTATAGTTCTACAGCTTAAACTGAATTTGGAGTGTTTAGTTTTGCTTATGTTCCTTCCACGGCGATCGATTTATGCGATATTCTTTAAATCTGTATATATAAAACTTCAGTTTAAACCGCAGTTAACTACAGCCGGATGTTGTTTTCGATTCTGTTGCTGTTGGTGGTGGTGGTGTTGATTTGATTTATCAATTTATGCACATATGACAAACTGAACTGCCAGTGGCTGTGGTTGAAAAACACAAAAACATCTTATGCGGTCCATCAGATATTCGCTGCTTCTGATCTTATAGTTGTTGCTGTTGCTGCTGTTGTTGTTGTAGTTATAATTGTTGTTGCTTCTGTTTATGTTGCTGTTCTGGCGGTTGCGGGGGATAGCGAAAGTTGCTTGGGGCGGTCACTGACAGCACTGCTTGCGCACGTCGGCGGTAACAGTTGGCTTCACGTCGATCGGCTCCACATTCGACGGGCGAATGACATCGCCTTCCGGCGGGTCTCTGATCTGTTTCTGCGACACAATGCGATAGATCTCTGAAAAACGAAGACAAGAATCCATTAGCCAAGCTTCATTAGCTTTACTCTTAAAATATTTATTGGCATTGTCTTTTTGTTTGCTAGACATTATCAAATAAGTTCCCTAATTTAAAACAAAATATTTAGAATCTTAATAATTTTCCAATTTCTGGGGTTCTGAGGTTCTAAATGATGATAATGGTGTAAGATTTCCGTAGTCTAGTAATTAACAAAGCTCATTATGTCATAATAACATTTTACATGTCTTCTTTGAACGCTAATTAAAGTTCTTCAATAAGCTTCACATATTTGACGTATAACATAATTTTTTATATGTTTTTTCAACGATTTTGCTATGACTAATTTTTTAAACTTTTGTTTCATTTATTTTTATAAATGTATATTCATAAAGCATGCGTCATTATTTTAATATTTCCTTCTTTTAAACCTTATAAGTTATATAAATTTCATGTCATGTCATATTTGAGAGAGAGGTTTGGTATAAAACAAAACTCTGCTAAATTAATACAATTATCAAGTCCTATTATTTCTATCAAATTGGAAAATCTACTAAAATGAGCTCTGACGTTTATCTTAACCATGTGAGCTAGACTAATATTGTAAAAAAAGATGACCGATGAAAAACTTTCGAGTAATGTTCTATAAAATCTCCAGGTGGAGATGTACTCACCTGTGAGTATATTCTGGAATGCCGTTTCAACGTTCGTCGAGTCAAGGGCCGAGGTTTCTATGAAACTCAAGCCGTTGCGCTCAGCAAACAGCTTCGCATCGTCCGTTGGCACGGAGCGCAAGTGCCGCAAGTCGGACTTGTTGCCCACCAGCATGATGACGATGTTCTGGTCGGCATGGTCGCGCAACTCCCGTAACCACCGCTCCACGTTCTCGTAGGTCAGATGCTTGGCAATGTCATAGACGAGCAGGGCTCCCACGGCACCGCGGTAGTAGGCAGAGGTGATGGCGCGATAACGCTCCTGGCCGGCCGTATCCCAGATTTGCGCTTTAATTGTTTTCCCATCGACCTGCGTTGGGTGTTGGGTGAAAAAGGTGAAACAAAGGGACAGCATTAGAATAGTGACAGTAATTGGCAATTTTGCCGAGTTATCCTTGCGGGTGTTTCGCTTTGAAAATCGATACGCAAACTCGGCACAGTGATGTCAACATTTAGGTACTGGTAAGAACCCTGCAGGAGTGTACTAAATGGCCCATTTGGGTACGAAAGTTAATTTTCCAGGAGCTAGGCTCACCACTATCCTAGCAACGCGACTAAAGTATACTTGTGTTTTGCTTTTTGGATTACACACTGTCAGTTTTTTTATGCTTACTTAAAATTGAATGATCCTAATTGAATTAGAAGGCCTTTAATAGTACAAAATTATTGAAAACAAATTACATAATAGGAAACAAATACGTACATTTAATAACAAAAATTAGTAAGTTTTGAACCCCCATGGAAATGAAAATGAGGTTTGCCAAGTAATGCGGGCACATTTTTAAAACTTTTTCAGTATGATGTCAACATTTAACTTAACCCCCTCTGAATTGCTCATAAATTATACAAGAAAACCAATTGGCAATCGTTTATTTAGTGAAATTCTCAGACACTTACTGAAATTGAACGTAAGTTTTTCCCCATATTTTCTAATAGATGCCCCATCTACGTGTTCTCCTAGGAAAACGCAAACGCAAGTTTACCCGTGACCCACTCAGTGGGTCCCACCCACCGTGCGCCCAACTTTTTCCCCACGTACTTACCTCTATGCTGCGCGTTGCAAACTCAACGCCAATCGTCGACTTGGACTCCAAATTGAATTCATTGCGCGTGAAACGTGAGAGCAAATTACTTTTACCAACACCCGAGTCACCGATAAGGACAACTGCAATGGATTAAAGAGAACATTATTGACGCTGGCGACATTGGCATTGGGTAATCGAAGTTGCATAATATAATTTATGTGGGGGTGCAGCCCGTTTCTTTTACGGCCGGTCAGGATAGTGGCTTGCGGCCGGCTAGGTCATGTCCTTCTTTCGCCGTTGGAACGGCGCCCCAAGGTCAGCAAGTACATAAAACCGCCATGCTCTGGGGACTTTAGTCCATGGAAACAAATGTTTTATGATTGTGGGAGTTGACGTTCGGGAGTTCGTGTTATTGTATTTCATTGCCGATAGAGCAAACATTTCTCGGATAATTGAGTGGGGGTGTTGTTTAGGCAATCAAACAAGCCCAACCAGTTAGGGCCCCAATGCGATAAGAAGTACATATATAAAAACACAACAATTTCGAAGCACACTTGATTTTCAAAAGCTTATAAAACATCGAAAACCGAATATGAAAAAAAAGCCTAATGTGGACAGACTTAAAGCCAAATGGTTTTGCCATATTAAATTTGTTGTAAAGAGAATAACAATAATGATGGCTTATCTTAAGCTTCACGACTTGCCTCTGTTTGCCCTAATTTTTTCAGTCTACATTAACATTAAAGTTCTGAATTTACAGTGTACACATGTCGGATAGTTTTCATTTTTGACACCCTTTTCGGACAATGTTGATTCAGCGTGTTTGCTAAGCCATTGAGAAGACAATAACAAAAACTCATCAAACACCTTTTTGCTCTATCAGTTTCTCCTTAGCTACACAGAAGAAAAACAAAGGCCAATATTAACCGATACTGAACAAATTAAAATGGACAATTAGAATTATTTTATTAGGATAAATGTTAAAATTCCTTAAAAAAATGTATAAAATATTTTGTATATACCAATTGTAATCAAGGTGGTCCATCGTCATGCAAATATGTTATTTAGTTTTTATGTGCTAACTTGTGCAAATTGAAATAAAGAATTATTCACTGTGCGGACAGCTGAGAGCAGCGTGGCTACAGTTATCAGTGAGAGCGCTGAGTCATTCTAACTGCTACTCTCTTTTCTTAATTCCTAACGATCTTCATGGAGCCTCAAAGAGAAAATACCCTGAGTATAGCGGATGTGACGAGAAATTAAAAGGGGAGTAATCGGCGGTCATTACTTGTTAGTGGGAATGGCTTGAACAACCCAAATACAGGCCACTTTGGTTATGTGATTATGCGCTTATCGCGGAGTGGAATTCTTTAACAGTTATTGGCAGGTTTCGTGAGTCATACCTAAATATCGTTATGTGTGAAATGGAGGCCTCATAATGAATATCGTCCATTGACGCACTCATATGGCTGTTTTTTGTTTTTGGATACCTGACCCAAAAATGACGACAGATAAGGGTTTAAATATTTGACAAAAGATGAGCCGCAACAATTTCATTAATCACATTCAACAGTTGCTCAGCTGTGATACTAGTTTATCAAGCGCAATTGGAACTAATGGCGTAGTAGAAAACGGAGAGAACAAAGAAGAACTGAGAATTGATGACCCCAAGAGCATAAACAGAAATCGTTCTTATACGATTGCGAATGCGGGAAGATGTGGGACAAAGGGCTAGAAATCTTAATTCAAATAAAATACTTTGCTCCACTGTGCTTCAAAACTTTCAATTGAGAGCGGGAGAGCAAGAGAGCCACTAAAAGAAGTTACAAAAAACCCAATGCAAAAGCCAGCTGTACAGAAATCATAATGCCTACACTCTCGCTTTAGTTACTGGAAATCTAATCAATTTAAGAATTTGAGTGGGTGGCTGAGCATGTAAAAAAGATTTAAAAGCGATTATTAATACGATTTTCCTTTGCTTTTGTATGCAACGTGGCGAAAGCAACGGTAACGTAATGACAAAACAGACAGTTAACGGCGATGTACGCGTACTCCAATCCGGAAGAGAGCTCCAATAGGAGAGAGAGCGAGAGAGTGGGAGAACTACCAAAGGGCATCCAACTGCAAGGGGCAGTTCAATTCTTATTTTGGGAATTAATCACACAAACACTGAGACACCAACCATATACCAACACATGAACTTTGGGCTCTTTGAGTGCACTTTTTGTTATTCCTCAATTAGTTTCAATTAGTGCCATTGAACCACTGCGTCACAAGAGCAAACGAGGAGAGAGACCCTGGAAGTGGTGCTCCTCCGTATCCCCATCCTCGGCCACCGGCTAGTGTCATGTTTATAATTACCTTTGAACAGATAGTCGTACTCGTCTTCTCTTGCACCCATTTTCCTGACTTTGTTTTGCTATCGCTCACTCGATTCGATATCCTTGGCTAATCCAGTTCCCGTCCTTTTTCTGTGCGGGTGCTAAACGAAATCCAATAATCCCTGCGCGCCGCCGATTTCTTCAATGCGTTTGTCGTAGGCTCACACACTTTACACTTTTATTTGCAGTTGTAGTTGTAAAGAAAAGAAAAGTGTATATCAGTATTTGTTGGTTAAATCGCTGCTGTCTCCAGCTCATCTGCGCTCGCAACGTATGGCAGAATGTGTCCGGCAGCTGGCGCAGTGTTATTTGACAATCGCAGCTGCTTTAGAGCATTTATTTTTATTCGCAATTTTCCTTACACGAATCTTAGTCACTCCCAAAAAAAAATCGAAGTGAAGTTGGCTGCGGCTTGTATGTAAGCATTTCTGGTAGAAAAACGGGTCAACCAGAGACACCAACCACGAGTTTTAGGGTCGGTGAAAAATTTTTAGGTGTGGAAAAACATCAAAATTTAAAAAAATACGTGGAATCCAAAGAACATAAATAATTAATGTTTAAAGTTTTAATAAAAATTACCAGTAAAGTTCAGAATGCACGTCAGAAATAAATTTATGATTATTTTTTGGTATTTTCTAGGGCTGAAATGCTGAAAACTCTTAGAAACGGCAATGAGAAATCATCCAAATACTAAGTAAAATCTTATTTCAGTATTTACTTCGATATTATAGTTTCTACCAAGTTTGTTAAAAGCCACACTCTGCATATAAGGCAGACTAAAGCTCCACTTATCAAAGTACACGTCAGCCCTGGCAACCGTTACAAACGACTTTTTAAAAACGGACACATTTGCTAAAGTAAAGTTTAAAAGTTTAACTAATAAAATTAAAAGGTTAAATTCTTATGGAAATAGTCAGTATTGGATAATCCACAGTGGTTTTTGTGTAAAGAATTGTTTAAAATATTAAAGATCAGTCTTGTCCTTTTTCACGAAGTTTCAACCTTTTCTCTAATCCCTAGCGGCATCGGCATCGAATATATTCGTAAAATTATTTTAATTAATTTCTTTAAATTATTTTGATTAGTTTCTTCTTGACATATGTCAAGTAATTTGTAGTTATTTAAAAAACCCAATTCCTTTTTATAAAATCTCAGTTATTTATTGCAATCCATCCAATATAAAGAGTTCGTACTTATAAAACAGAGTATAAAAGTTTTTATTTTAATATAAAATACTTGTTGTATAAAACAATAAATTAAGTATAATGTGCAGCTAATACTTGCTTTGATCTCTGGAGTGATTAATAAACTTTGTTCTTATTGCACTTAAATTCGAGCGCGCTGCAAGGCCATTGCGGGATAAATGAGCAGTAGACCGCCGGCAATATAGGTGATTCGAGAGCCCACGCACCAAAAAAGCTAAACAAATTTTTTTTTTAATTAAAAGGAGATAACTATACCACAGAATATCCGCTCACCAATGCAGCCAACTACAGGACCCAGAGCACGAGCCAAAGCTCCCAGTGACCGGAATATGCCCAAAACGGAACCCTTCTGGTCATCGTTGCCGTATTTGGAGACCAAGGTGGTCAGGCAGGTGACAGCGAAGGCGGTGGAGATTGCAAAAAGGGTCATGCCGGCGTAGAGCATTCGACTGCCCTCCGCCAAGCCGACTAATACGAACGCAGGTACAATAAGGTACAGACTAAAGATGGCATAGCCCTTAATCTTTGCCTCGGGCAGACGTCGGACGACCGATCCCTGCAGCAAAGTCATTATAATACCTGCAAAATATGAGAGCAGTTTAAATAAGTTTTAAAAATATCAAGAGATGTCGCACCTGTAGTCAAAAACATCTTAGCCTGATCCATCGAAGTGTAACCAAATTTATGGTACATCAGAAAGGTAACGGTGAACTCCAATCCAGAATAGAGAAAGAGGTAAAGGAAGTATATCAGACCAATGGATCGCAGAGACTCGATGTCTTTCTTGGGCACATTTTTGATGGCAGCAAATCTGACAATACAAGAGTTATGTTGAAATATGATTGGTTAATCGAAGTAAAATCCTAGATAATATTCAAGCTATCTGGACACCATTCCTTGTAACTAATTTTAATCAGAAGTATTACTAGCATTTTTCAACTGATAAGACAATCAAACAAACGTGCCGGTGTACCCGGCGTGTCGATAATGTTCATCAAACCAGTTAGACCGGGTTGCTTGCAGCTCGCAACGAATGACTACTTCGTTTAATCACACATCAGGTTTGCTCGACATGCTAATTGAATCAACGAATTACCTAAATATGGCCGAGAAGTTGAGCAATTGTAGGCCATATGACAGTGCGGATGATATCTCTTTTACACGTTTCTCCTGCGGAAATGTCAAACGATGAATAGGCTGCTTATAATAATTAATCAATATGAACATACCTTGGGCAATGTTTCTCGCAGGCAGCATGCCAATACCAAAAGATCACCAATTGCCAGGCCAAAAGCTAGCAAAGAGGGCAGCACAAACCAGGAGCCGCCACTTTTATCCGAGAATATTGCGAACAGGGCTCCAATCATGGGACCCACAATGAAGCCCAGGGAGAAGGCCACGCCTACCAGGGCCATGCCGCGTCCCCGGGTCTTTACACTGGACACATCCGTGATGACGGACATGCACAGGGATATGTTGCCCTTGCTAATGCCACCCACAAAGCGGGCCAAAACGAAAAGAGCGAAGTTGCTGGAGCAGGCCCAGATCAGATAGGACAGCGCAATGCCAGACTGGAAAAGAAATACAGAGATATATAAGGACCCCATCGAATTGGTTATCTTAGACGTATCTGTTTGTTAAATTGGGTTGTATGATAAAAGTTAATTATTAAAAAATGTATTGCCATATCCGTTTTATGACTTAAGAACTAAATTACTTGACTTAAGTTACGTGTTGATTAAATCAATATTTAGTAATCAACTTAAACCAATTAAAAGCGTGATTACGTACCGCACAAACCAGCAAGACAGGTTTCCTGCCGTAGTAATCCGAAAGTCCTCCGACAATCGGACTGGCCACGAACTGCAGGAAGCTGAACATTGAGCCAAGGAAGCCTCCAAATAGAACCGATATATAGCGTTCCGGGGCGCCAAGGAGCTGCTGGAACCAACGCACTCGATCCGTAAGAACATCGTAAAGCCCGGAACTATCGTTTTTTCGGTAATACTCCAAAAGTGAGGGCAGCAGCGGCAGAATAATCGTGAAGGCCAGCAAATCAAAGAGCAGTGAAACGAAAATTATGTATATCATTGGGTCACCCTTTTCCGGTTTTCCATTTTTCGTTGGTTCCTTATCGAACTTGTTGTTGTTGTGGTTGGTAGCTTGGCTTTCCTTCACCACCGAATTTGTTCCATTGTGGCGACTTCGTAGCTCGGCCATGATTTCTGATTTTTGGTGCTGACTTGTGCCGTGATTGCGTGCGTGTACGGGTTTTACTAAAACATAACTGTTCGACGGAACCACAACTCCCCCAACAACTTATGGCCCTCAAGAAGCAAAGTGCTCCAAAAACCGCCACTCGAAGTGAAAGTTGAAAATGAAACAGCTGATGGCCGGCGGTCTTGAACGGTCAGACTAGCTTTTAAACCTGTTGCTTGGACGTCAACAATGGTATTTTTTATAACTGTTTCGGTATATTTTAACAAAGTAACACTATTAGAATTTGAATTGAGTTTTGGTACTAAATTGCTTTAATTTAATTGCATTGTTACAAATATCATTATTAACAACAACTGGTCAATTTCGATAACAAACAGGACATTCCAAAACATTCACCGGCATAAGGTTAAAAAGGAAGATATGTATTTCAGAACTGCATAAAGGTTTTTTGTGTTATACAAGCCGAACAATTAAAACAAATAATCAAACCAATTTAGGCTGCTTTAATTTTTCTATAGTCCTAAAACCAGTTAAAACAAAAATGTTTGGTTTTTAATAAAAATATTAAATATGAAAAATACTATTGTAAAATACCGACATACTAACAACCCAGTGCATTTTCTAACACTCGTTAGTCGGCTGAGTAAAAAATTTGTTGATTACTTATTAAAGAATTTGCAATAAAAGTAAGCAAAAAACGGTCTTAAGATGTCCAAGGTGACCGTACAAGACATAGAGGCGGTGGATGACTATTGGGGACCCACATTTCGCTCAATACTAGAAGGTAATTGCCGTATAAAGCAAAAATTCGACTTTGTTTACGCCCATTCATTTTCAATTCAACAGGGAACAACACGAAGCAGATTGGCGAGCAACTGGAGCAACGAATTCGCAGCCATGACAAGGAGATCGAGCGAATCTGCAATTTATACTATCAGGGCTTCATTGATTCCATTCGCAAGTTGCTTGAGGTGCGCACCCAAGCAAAGGACTTGCACCAGAATGTCCATGAGCTGGACACCTCGCTCCGCGAGATAAGCACCTCCCTAATTCAGCAGGGCAATGATTTGGTGCGGGCTCGCCAAATAGAATCGAACCTGGCCAGCGCCATCGAGGCATTAAAGTCCTGTTTGCCCGCGTTGGAGTGCTACATGAAGTTTACCCAGCAGGCCAAGAACAAGCAGTACTATCAGGCCCTCAGAACTCTGGAGACCCTGGAGGCGGAGCATTTGAACCGGTTAAAGATCCACAACTACCGCTTTGCCACCCAAATGCAGATACAGATACCCATCATCAAGGAGAACATTCGTTGTTCCTCTGCCTCTGATTTCCGTGAGTTCCTGGAGAACATCAGAAAGTTTTCGCCGCGCATTGGCGAGTTGGCCATCACGCACACTAAGCAGCTCCAAAAGCGGGACATCAACGCCATCATTGCGGAGCACATGCAACAGGTGAACGGAGGAGGGGCTGGTGGAGAAGGCGCAGGTGGAGATGATGATGGAGCCAACGTTAGCGCCCAGGATCTTATTGACTTCTCGCCCATCTACCGCTGTTTGCATATCTACATGGTTCTGGGTCAGAAAGAATACTTTGAGAAGGACTACCGCCAGCAGCGTCGGGATCAGGCCAAACTGGTGCTTCAACCGCCTCCCAATATGCACGATAATTTGGAAGCCTATAAGACTTACATCTGCGCTATCGTTGGCTTCTTTGTGGTCGAAGATCACGTAAAAAACACGGCGGGCGATGTGGTGACCAACAGTTATCTGGAGGATCTCTGGTCCACTTCTCTGACCAAGTTTGTAAACGAAATCAGCATGAGTTCTTCATCGTGTACCGATCCCAATATACTGCTTCGTATCAAGAACTTGATCATGCTGTCCATCAACACCTTTAAGTGCTACGGCTACACGGTGAGCATCCTCTGGGAGCTTCTACACAACATGAGGGATCATTATAATGAGGTGAGTGCTGCAGAATATTTGGTTGGCTTACTAATAACTTTTTGCTCAGTATCTTAATTTTGATATGAGTGAAGTATATTTTATTTGTAAGAGCCAACCAATCAGCAACTAAAAGTCTGTGTTTTTTTTTTTAGGTTTTATTGCAACGCTGGGTGCACGTTTTCCGCGAAATTCTCGACAAGGAGCAGTTTTTGCCGATGGTTGTGCAGAACGTGGAGGAGTACGAGGCTATCATCGAGCGATTCCCCTTCCACTCGGAACAGTTGGAAAACGCGCCGTTTCCCAAAAAGTTTCCCTTTTCGCGCATGGTGCCAGAGGTTTATCACCAGGCCAAGGAATTCATGTACGCCTGCATGAAGTTCGCCGAGGAGCTTACGCTTTCGCCTAACGAAGTGGCTGCTATGGTGCGCAAGGCGGCCAATCTGCTGCTAACCAGAAGCTTTAGCGGCTGCCTTTCAGTGGTTTTCCGCCAACCGAGCATCACTCTCACGCAGCTCATCCAGATCATCATCGATACGCAGTACTTGGAGAAGGCGGGACCGTTTTTGGACGAGTTCGTCTGTCACATGACCAACACGGAGAGAAGTGTATCGCAGACACCTTCTGCCATGTTCCATGTGGCCAGGCAGGATGCCGAGAAACAAGTGGCCCTTCGCATCTGTTCCAAGATCGATGAGTTCTTCGAGCTAAGCGCCTATGATTGGCTGCTGGTGGAGCCGCCGGGCATTGCCTCTGCCTACATTACAGACATGATTTCTTACCTTAAGAGCACCTTCGACAACTTTGCCTTCAAGCTGCCGCACATCGCTCAGGCGGCCTGCCGTCGAACCTTCGAACACATTGCGGAGAAGATATACTCGATCATGTACGACGAGGATGTGAAACAGATTTCAACCGGGGCCCTAACTCAGATCAACCTCGATCTGATTCAGTGCGAATTCTTTGCGGCTTCGGAACCTGTGCCTGGTTTAAAGGAAGGAGAACTAAGCAAGTACTTCCTGCGCAACCGACAGCTGCTGGACCTGCTTATTCTGGAGGAGTGGAGCACGTACTTCCACGACTATGGCAAACAGGAGAACCGCTACCACCTAGTGCAGCCGCAGTCCATTATTGTGATACTGGAGAAGATCCGCGAAGCTGATAAGAAACCTATATTTTCGCTAGTGCGAAAGAACGATAAGAAGAAACTGCTGGAGACGGTGCTCAAACAACTAAAGCACATCGCCGATCGACAGAATTAGGATAAGAAGTTAGTCAGAGCTTAAAGCAAAGATTTTATGTCACCAACAGCCTAAAATTTGCTGATAGGTTCCCTCAGCAAATCCAATTATTTTATTCCAGAATTTACACTAACGTAATTGTAGAATCTTCAATTTGATAGCTTTTCATCTTTATTATTTAGGCTAATTTGAGTTTTCACATGAAAAAGTATTTAGTTCTCATTTACTTTTGATTCGATTTGTTTTTATAAAAGACAAATTTCAGACGAAACTGCTCGATCCGTTGAACGTGTAAAATTGTATTTTGAATTTTGATTCGTATGTACAAAAAGCGCAGAAGTTCAGCGGTCGCCTACGTACGGATTGTTGATAAATACAAAACGAAAACGACAAAAAATGAAAACAAACAGAGAGGAACGGCTAAATAACAAATTGTATATAATTATTAGATGTATGTAGCGTACGTGTATTGTGTAGGTATATTCCGCAAGTCGTAGTAAACTAACTTCTAAGTTACGTATATGCGTTGTTTGTGTTGCTTTTGTCAACTCTTCGTCTCCAGATGCTTGGGCGCATCTGCATACGTGAACTTCAGGCGGAATGCCTCGGCCAGCAGAACGTTGATTTGGCGATCGGACCAATTGTGTGTTGGCAGATTTTGTAGCAGCAACATGAGACCCTGTCGTCGGCATTATGATTGATTAGTAGACGTTTTAAAAGAACAATAATCTATGACCCACCTGGAAATCGTTCTGTTGCATTAGCTGCTCCTTCCAGTGGAGAAGAAATGCCGCGCAAACGTACAAATGGAACAGGGCGAAGCCATCGGACTCCGCCAGATATGTGTCCCACAGCCGGATGGTGCAGTGCAGCGGCAGTTCGCGTGTGAGCAGATTGTTCATCCAGCGAAATGAGAATTGCAAGTAGTCAACGCCATGCGTCTGTAGATGACGGTGTAGATTCACTGAAAGTGCGAGTCAATTGTAATTATCATTATACGGCAATTGAATGTTGAGTGTAATTACAGTAACAATTGTTTGTCGCCTATCTAAAAATCTTTATCAGTTCTGAAAAATTGCAATCACAAAAATGTGCATGCCATTGCAATATTTAAAGTCATTAAAAATATTAATATGTATTTAGAAGCTTTTCAAAATGACGTGATCAAATATTTGCAATTTAAATTAATCTTTATATTTTTGATACGCCAAAAAAGACAACCTCTTGTTTACCTTAAATAAATCTGTTGCTTGCACAAGCCTTAAGCCTTGGGAGGCGTTCCCATTTATCTTATCTGAAGACCAACAACATATCTCTATCTATACTTAATCGCCTTTGATGAAAACATTGCCACTCACCGTCAATGCGTTGTATCAGATCCTTGAGTTGGTTAACCTTCTCCTGAATGCCCAGCTGAGCAAAGATATAGTTATCCTGAATGCAGTCGAGAAACTTAGATAGGCACCAGAACGAGTCCGCCTCGATGATGTTGCGCGACTCCTCGGGCAGCGAGGACATGTCGTATTTTTCGAGATCCGTGTCCGGCGTGAGGGCCTCCTGCAGAAAGACGATGAAGAAGGGCGTGACCAGGTCGTTGATGCCCTGCACGTAACCGGAGGCAGGATGTCGGATGGCCCAGATGAAGAGAATGCGTTCGAACATCTCCTGGACGAGCTGCTGCTGGAAGAGCGGAATTTGTGGATTCATGCGTGGCACATCGATGTGGATCTGGCGGTAGGTGTCCTGCTGCGTTTCATCCTGACTGTCCACCCGGAAGTAGTTATGCCTGAGGTCCTGATAGCCCTGCCGCTTACTTTCTAGCACCGCCATCCGCCGTTCGCTTGAAGGCGGAAGGTATTTCGAAAGAAGTCGCCAGCTGACAGCTCGCATCTAAAATTAGGAGTTGTAAAATGAAAATATTTATATTGATCCCATGACTCTCACCTTTCGCGGCACGCCAGACCAACTAATCTTCTTAAGGGCCACCAAATCCAGTTGAGGCGAGTCTAGCACCACTTGGAACTTCTCAATTTTCGTCTCGTACTCGCTGTCTTGACAATTCGAGCTGATCTTCTGCAGTTGCGGTCTTCCCGGGTAGTTCCTCAGTCGCGATCTGAAAATGCAACCTTGATTACTAACCGTCGGGGGCTTGCTCGCTGGCGTTCTTGGCTCGGCCTCTGCTGACATGGCTGTGAGGGAAGGGCTGGGGAGTGGCTTTCAATTAAGGAAGTGAAATGCTTCAGGAGCGGTTAGCAACCACAACAGTTAACACTTGTCAAAACATAAGGAAAGACAATTAAGAACTGGGAAACACTTAAGTAGAAAAAAACCTTAATATTGTTATATTTATGGGGAGAATATTTCTTTCCTGATCTTCAAAACAATCTTGTGGGTTTTCATTTCTTATTTAAAAGGTCATACATTTTGATTCAGTACAAAAATACAATTATTTACATTTTTTAGAGGTGAACCCTTGCACCTACCTACTTTAACTCATAAACTATAACTTGTTATTAATAGTAACCAAAATTAAATAAACAAAGTTCTCACTCAATCATATCGTATAATAAATTAGATATGGTTTCTTTACGGTTTTTAGCAAATAATTGAGTTCTTTTTTTAAACGAAAATCAGCTGTTATTTAAATTATAGTTACAAAAATATTTTATTTCCCTAGCTAATACTTTGAGAGTTCCACCTAATTTTCTTACATCACTGACTTTAACCCAGATGGAATGCGGGCTCGCACCCGCTCCACCCCTGACTTGTTTGCACAACTGCGGGCGATGGGTTCAACTTTCTTTTTGACTTCCCAGTTGAGCTGGCGCCGCTCACCTGTTCTCGTTGCTGTCAGGCAGCGATCTACGATCCTCCTTGCTCTCATCCGCCGAGCTCCTGCTTGCCGTTGTCGAGTCCGCCGCACATTCGCTTGCCAGCCTGGATGCGTTGTGGTTTTGGTTACTCCGCGAGTGCGTCTCGATCACATTAAGCGCCACCGTCTGGGATACTTGCCTCGAAAAGCGAGCGGCATCTGTGGCGTAACAAACCAGTTAGGAGGAGAAAAATCATCCTGGTGGGACAATTATTACCACCGCCGGCTCCCGCGGCCGCTGCTGCCGCCTCCGTACTGCTGATGATGCAGAACTCGTCGTCGCCCATGTCCCAGGCATCGCTGACCGACTTCTGGTACTCAGTGAAGGTGGACACCATGCCCGATCCGGGGGCAGTGCCTCGTCCGCCAGCTCCCCCCAACTGCCGCCGACTTTTCGGTCTCCCGCTTGGGACTAGGCCTCCCAGGCACCCGACGTCCGCTGTTTTTCCAAAAGGTCGACGAATTTGAGCCGGGCGTTGGTTGTCCCGAGCCACTTGCTCCGGGTCCGGCTGATCCTCCCCCTGATCCTCCTGCTCCGGCTGCGATTACTGTTGTTGTGGAATCGGCTGTTTGGCTCTTAGCTGCTGTTTGCTCTACATTATTATCCATTATACGTCCCCTAGGTCCGATTCGATGTCAGCGTCATTATTTTGCATCTAAAAACAGTGTGACCCTCGCTGCCGCGGCTCGACATTTTTTGGCAGTGATGCTAACGCGGCGTGATCTACGCTGTGACCTGCTTTTCAATCCGGTCAGAATCAGTGGACCGTTTGTGACCCGCGCAATTGTCAGCGGCATTTAGTATTGTTCTTTCTTCTAAATTATAGTAAGAAGCTCAACAAGTCAACAAATTCATCTTTAAAAGGAGCGTTCCTTATTCCTATTTGCTCCACACAACGACACAATAAATTATATTACTAACTAGAACTGAATATAAAAAGCAAAGAGTCAAACTTTAAATCAACTGCTAGAATTTAAAAATAGAGAATTAAAAATAACCAAAACTTATTAATCAATTTTAATGCTACTTTGCTTCAAACAAAGAGCATGTCGTGTCGTCATTCAACTACAACTCAATAGAACGTTTTATTATTCCCATTCTTTATATAAAGGCAAGGTAATGCAGGCTTAAGTATTTATAAAAACATTTAACAGCTTTTATTAACGTGTTACGTTGTGTATTTACCTAAAAATATAGACTATATAGGAGGTAAAAGACAAAAGCTCCAAAAATCAGATGTTGCATTGGTAAGAGATAAGACCGAGTCTTCTGCAATTGATATTTCTGTGGCAGATACATATGTGTCACATATCGCTAGACTAATCTTAATTTCAACACATAAAATGGTAAACAATTTTTTTTATCAATCTAGGTGAAACTAATTCGAATTCCCCGTAATCCATTTAAAACATAAATGAACAAAAACAGAGATAAATAGTATTATTTGCACAAACTAGTTAGGTTATCTTACACCTTAAAGTATCTTAAAACCATCATAAAATGCTAATTGTATTTAATGCTGTAATTAGATAAAGAACTCATATATAAGCGAAACATAGTTATTACACCTTCATTTAAAAGCTCGACATACAGATGACACCAACACTATGGACGGCATAACCATTCGAATTATGAACCCCAAGGACTACGATAAAGTTAAAACACTGCTAACGGATCATTTTTATGGAGCGGAGCCCTTGATCCACCTATTGGGTGAAGACTTCTACCTCCAGAACGAAAAACGGCTTGATGAGCGCAATATCTCTATCATCGCACAGGGTATGTGTTTGGTGGCTCTCGACGAAAATGACAATGATCGACCCGTGGGCTGCGTCTTTTCTGAAGTGCTAACCCCCGAGTCTATTGAACGGTTCGGAAAAATGGTCGAGATCGCTGGAGACTCAAGCTTGGGTAATATATATAGGTTACTCTACAAGATGGAAAGGGAGTCTAACATTTTTGAGCGCTACGGAATCGCTAAAGCGCTTCTCTCCCGCATAACAACTGTTGCTGCCCCGAAAAGAGGAAAGGGGCTGGGTTCCCGTCTGGCCTCCAACCTAATGGACTTGGCTCGGTCCAAGGGAATACCGGTAATGGTGGCCAACTGCATAAGCTACTACTCGGCACATCAAAAGTAGGATCTGGGAATGGAGTGCATCTATTCATTAGCTTACGCAGATTTCAAGGATGATCAGGAAAGGTTGGTGTTTAGCCCACCAGAACCACATACAATGGCGCGTGTCATGGCCATAAAACTGTGAAATGTAAATATCGAAAATGCCAGAGCTAAAAATATTAAATATAAATCTTAAATATTTGAACTCTTGCTGTTATTAATTGTGGTTCTTTTATTAGAGAATATTTCATAGAGCTTTCTTGTTTACCATATAAGCATACAACTTATTGACTATTGTCGCTTTGTGGTTTTATTTTGAATTGGGTTTTTCACTTCATGTTTTCAGTTGTATTTTACAGTTTTATAGCCATGACTCTTGCCGTTGTATGCGGTGCTGACGGCTTGAAAATCACGGTTCCCTGATCGTCCTTGAAATCTGCATAGTTTAATGAGTAAATGCACTTCATTCCCAGAGCCTTCTTCTGACGAGCCGAGTAGTAGCTCGTGCAGTTGGCCACCATAACCGGTAATACCTTGGAGCGGCCCAAGTCCATTAGAGCAGCTGCAAGACGGGCACCCAGGCCTTTTCCCCTTTTTGAAGCGGTAACAGCCGTCACGTGGGAGATCAGGGCTTTGGATATTCCGTAGACCTCAAAAATATTTGACTCGCTTTCAATCTTGTTGAAAAGAATGTTAATTTTCCTCAGAGCGCTTCCCTCCGAGGTTTCCGTCGTTCTGCTATGTTTCTCAATATCTTCGGGCGTTTGGATTCCTGATAGAACGCAGCCAACAGGACGCCATCCGTCATTTTCGTCCAGAGCCAACAGACACATGTCCTGTTCTATCATCGAAAGCATCCACTCATCCATTACCTCCTTGTTTTTGAAATAAAAGTCTTTACCGCAAAATTCGCTCAAGGGCTCTGCCCCAAAGAAATCATTCTGCAGAATAGACTTTACACTTTCATAATCCTTTGGGGTCATTACGCGAATGCTGATGCCGTCTTGAGAATTGGATGTCATGGTGAAGTCGGTCTTCATCTGCTCGACTCTTTAATCACGGCTTAATACCGATCAGTGCTTTGCTTTTATATGTGCCAGTTATTTTCCTAATGTGTTGAATGCCATTTAGTTGAGCAATAACTGGTTCTTAGACAGTCTAAGACCCATAAAATGGCAAACTGAATGTTTGCACGGAAAGTAATGTTGCGCAAATGAAGTTTTGGCTTTGGATCGAAAGACCGGAAATTCGGATCCCTTCAAGGGCGAATGTGATCTGAACGATAAAATGTTCTTGTTAGTTTTAAATTTTATAACACATCGTTAAATGAACAGCGGTAAATATGAAAAAGTCGCTTAATAACAAATTAGCTACCGGAAATTTTTCAACTAAGTTGTATGCATATTTTATAAAGCGATCGTTAAATATACTCTATATAGTACTTTTAGTACTTTTAAAAATTTGAAATTCTCTTCAATTCAATTTAAGTCTGTGTTCTCAGGCTACGCTTATTTGATTATTCAATAGAAAAAAGCTTGCTCGTTAAAAATATATTATTTAACTAAACTCTCATTGTAGAAGTCACTTGATATTTTATGGCTTTTACTCCGTTGTATAATATTCCTTTATATTACGTGTCTTTTACACCGGTGTAGAAGATACTTTATATTCCGTGACTCTTTCGTATTGCGCACCTGACAACCCTATCGCTTGTTCATTTTGGTGGCACTCAGCACACGGTCACTCAAATACAAAACAAGTGTCTTTCGGCGTGATAAGAACCGCAATCAAACGATTTCATTATTTGGTGGAACAATTGCAAGCTCCAAAACTATGTCATAGGAGGAACCAGCAGACAGGCAGTCAGTGTGGAACCAACAACATGCAGAAGCAAGAGGAGGTGCTGTCGCGCCTGCGTCCAATATTCGACATATTTTTACGCGAGAACTTTTCCACTACGAACAATGTTTACTTTGAGAAGCTCCTCACGCACTTGCAGGCCAAGGGTAAATTAGCCGAATCGGAGTAGACGTCATATCTCTACATACTAATCCCCATTCGATTCCAAAATTTCCGCAGAGAATGCGTTTGTGCTGCAGGCCCCGTTTGTTGCGGACTGGGTGGACCGGTGCCTCACTGCAGTGACTGAGGACGTCAACAAGATACACCCAAAGGTGGTGTCCTTCATGCTGAATCTGACCAGTTATTTGGCGCAAAACGAGTGGATGATTGTGCGCCTAAGAGAGCTGGACATAGTGAACAGGTAAGAGGTGAAGGGATTATAAATTATCTGGCTAACCAATTACTCGTGTTTAGAGCTGTTAAACTGCTGCAGGGAAACCACAATTTCAATCCCTCCATAAAGTTGGGTGGAATTCGTATGATGAAGGCCATCACCGTTTACAGCATGGGCCTGGCCTTCCTTCGCATGCATCGCATCTGGACTCTGCTGATCCAGTTTTCAAATAACGATCACACCCTATATGTGGTACGGGAAGCCCGCCAGGTGCTCTACAACATGCTGTACAAGTCCTGTGATAAGCTGCACGACAAGGCCGTAACGCTGGAGATTCTCGCAGAGATCATGCAGCCGATCCACGACAATCTTTACAAGAACACCGAGGGTGTGGAACGCATCCAAATTAAAGTGGACGACAACGAGCTTCTGCACAAGATCTCGGCCACGCTGGACCTGCTTTCCTACATCCTGCAGCAAACGTTGGTGCTCGAGGAACGCACCGGCTTGATTATCCTACTGAAGGAGTATCATGAGTTTGATTTTACCATTTGGAAGCTGATCGATATGACACACAATCCCTACTTTATCCAGAAGATCTTCACCACGCTGAGTAGCTACAACTTTGCCCTGCTGGTGCATGAAAAGCTGCTTAATCCAGAAGCCACAGAGGCACCGGAGGAGTTTACCGAGTTCGGAGTGGCATTCTTCAATCTCATGAAGTTCTGCATAACCCGCAAAGACGGTGAGGGCTTTGTGAAGATGGCAGAGCTGAATCACGTGCTATGGAAGAAGCTGGGAACTCGAGCACCCAAGGAAATCGTCATTCAGCAGGAGCGCGTTTCGTTCGAAAACCAGCTAATCTGCTTCCACATGTTGCCGCTGCTATTCTCCATGAAGTATGCTGAAAAAATGAGCGACGAAGAAAGCAAGGTGGAGTTGTTCGATGCATACGTTTTTAAGTTGTTGGAGATCTCCTGTGAGCAGACCCTGCGCCTGTGCTATACCATGCGGGATACATTCTTCACAGCCGACGGAATGGCGTTGGGTCTGGTGACTGCCGGTCTGGCCAACAAGTGCATACACAGTCTGCTGGCCCTGGAAAATGTTCTCGATCGGGAGCAGGCGGTCACTGTGTGCCAGGCTCTACTCTACGTGCTGCGCGAGGCTGTGGCCCTGAGTGTCGTTTCGAACAACCAGCAGGATGACTGCCACAGTGTAAGCAGCACTGGCAGCTCGTACGTGAATATGTTTCCGCATGGCACAGAGCACGTTGTCAACGATCCCAAGGTGCTGCACTCTGTCATGGTGGGCCTTCGCACCCTAATCGAGCGCTTCAAGATCACGTGGAAGGAGTCGGTAGAGACCATTGGTCTTGTTAACTGCTTGGCCTTTGTACTGGAGAACACAAACCTAGATTCCAGAGTAAGTCATGATCTGCACTTTTTTTGAAACTTTTCGTTATAGATATAACATTAATACTGCAGGGATTAGACAGGAGTTATTATCATTATTTAATGTTAACATATTATTTTTTTTATTATTATATAGACAAGTTTTAAATTAAAAATATTATTTTAATAATTATTTTGGAAAAAAATATATACATTTGATATGCTCTTTCATAGACCTCTTATCGATACAAATAATTTGCGTTCAAAGGTTAGTTCTTATAAGTAAGAACATATAGTATTGTTTTTTTGTTTGATTTACCTTATTAAAAATATATTTATGTATATATTATTATATTTTAATTACACCTTAAACATTTTGTTCATCTGATAAAGAAAACCCTATGTAATATATGTGTTGTAAATTCTTGAAGCCATTTCTTTATACTTTTTCATATTTAATTGCAGTGCACTGTTCAGGCATTGAAGCTTGTCCAGCTTGCTGTGGAGCACTTCCTTTCACCAAACATGGCTCTTTTGGTGGACAATCTGCAGGGTTCTGCGTTGGTTTGTTTGGGTCCCATTATCGTTAAACGAATGCACGATACGATGTGGGAGGTTCGTGACACAACGCTGGAACTCACCACCTCCATAGCCAGTATCTCCCGCATCAGTAAGCATGATATTACATATTATTACGAATGACTAACTTTAATGATCCCTCGTTTTTCAACAGAATTTCCCGCCTTTCAGCAGTTTCTGATCGACTCAAAGATACCCCCCATAGTCTACGAAATGGCTAAGAATGATTCAGAAGTCTATGTACGAGCCTCTGCATTTAAATGTCTTTCCCAAATGGTCTCCATAAATCTGTTGTGGGAAAATGGTCTTAGCCAACTCGATCTTGTTGTAAGTAACTAGAATTATAAACTTGAATCTTTTGTTCAATGCCAACACACTTGCTTAATTGCTACAGGACCATCTTTTGTATGTGATGTATCGGGAAAACGATGATATTGTGCGCTCTGAGGCCGTGATTACGCTGATGAAGATCTACGAGCACCGAAAGATCCACGAAAAGTACAAGAACACTCTCTTCTCAACACTTAACTATTGCGTGGTTGGGGATCATCACGCGGAAGTAAAGCTAAATGCGCTGAATTTCTGGCGACGGGAGTTCTACCGTCAGTTCACCAATCAGGGCATGATTGATGGCTCTTTTCCCACGGTTACATTTTCCAAGGAGCAGAAGAAGATAGTCACTCTGACGGAGAAGGAGATCCAGACTAGCATAGCCAAAGTATTCGGAGGTGTACAACAGTACGGATATTTTGGCATCCTGCTTAAGTGTCTGCGAGAGGAGACCTCAATGGAGGTGCTGGAGTATCTCATTATGGGCGTTAAGATAATGACACAGAAGTTCGAGCAATACAAGGGCATGATGGATGAGATCGAAATGAGATCCCCCCTTTCGGGCAGTGAGCATTCAACGTTCAGTTTTCCGTCCCAACCGGAACCATCTCCCATTCCGCAGCAAGCACCCGTGAATCCCAGTGAGGCAGACGAGGTCATCGAGTCTATACTGAACTCGCAGGATTCCCAACTCCTGGAGAAGGCTTTCGAGACCCAAATGCAGATAAACGAGGCGGGCGGATCGACTGAGAAGCGGCACATCGACGAGTTCTACTACAAGCAGTTCGCGATGCCGCTGCGACAGTTTTTCGAGGAACTAAAGACCATTGATCTGGATCAATTGGTAAAACAGCACCAGGAGTGGTTCGAGTGCAAGGAGAACTTTACTTCCCTGCTGGATGATATCCTTGGCGCGTTAAAACGCGACGATGAGAACATGATTTCCGACTGTTACTAATCCCAGGCGAAGCCGATCTGTGAAGTAAGCTAAAAGTTTTTTTCCTGATATAGTAAATATTTTTGATAACTATGTTAGTGTTGCACACGAAATGAGATTTTATTCCGCCGCCGCAGACAAAAATAAAGAAAACGTAAACACAGTAAAATGATTTAAACTGAAAAACTTATAATAATAATAATTTAACTTATGGTCTAATGTACTGTAATTTTATATTTAAAACATAGTTCTTTAGCGCTCTTTGGGTAGGATTTTATTACACTTTATAGTAATAAGCTGCTGTTGGTCACACTATCCCGGTGGTGTTTGTTTTGGTTTTTGCTCTTAGTGGTGGTAATTGCTAAAGGCGATCCATTATCGATATTTTCCTTTAAAGGATATTGGTAATTTCTATTAGAAAAGTTCAGTAAGGTCAATCTTCGAGATTAAAAACAGGCAACCATTTTAAGCAGATCTCTGCTATTGCAACTAATTCCCACTCCCCGTTGCGCACCCAATACTATCGCCAGTCATCGATAGTGCCGGCAAAATCGAACAACGGTCTTATCGAACGGCCCATTGACATCAGCACATCTCCAGCGCATAGATGCAGCAAAAAGCGGATCTCGCGTTCGAATTTGCACGCACTGCAGCATAAATATTTAAAAAGCACTGAGAACATGCAGTTGCACAAACGAAGAGCCAGGCAGAAAAAATATGGCCAGTGAATTATGTCATAAATGTGAAAGTGTTCCCAGTTGCACTGCAGCGGCAGCCACAGCAACAACAACAAAAAGAGCAACAAAACTGCACGCATGTGAAAAAAGGAGTGCGAGTGTGTAGAAAAAATCAATTGGAAAAGAAAATTGCATTTTCGCTGCCGCGGTCAAAACGAAAATAGTGAAAGAAAAAATATATATATTTATATATAAAAAGTGCGTTCGGGGAGTGTGCGAGTGTGTGTGTAAGGAGAGGAGGAAGAAGCAGCACCAGCAGAAATAGCAAAAGGAGACAACAACAACAAGCGAGAGAAAACTGTCGGCAACAACGACAACAACATCAGCAGCCCCCTAATAAAGAGCAAGGAAAAAAAATGAGTTCAAGTTGTGAAAGGTGTGTGCCGTTACACTACAACTACCATCAGCGGCAGCAACAACAAAAACAACGGCAATCTCCAGACAACGCGAATGTCGAAATTGTGTATACAATTTATTAAGAAAGCAAAAGCAGCAACAACAATGACCGACTGCAGATGCTTTTGTTAAATAAATTGTTGTCTTGAATGCAGAAAATTTCCATGCATTGCAAACGGGTGGGTGGCAAAAGGGAGAGAGTGGGCGTGGGAGAGAGAGAAAGAGGAGAGGTGAAGGAGCCGCCTTTTGACAGCTGCGTGCCGTCCGCATGTGTGCGTGTGCGTGTGTGGGTGGCGACTCTTCCCCTCCCATCGTGCGTGCATTTTCATTTACCTTGATTAAATTCCTGATTTATGCACTTTTGTGATTTTTTTTGTTTGTGGCCTCGGGCGCCTGCAAAATCGATTTTCTGGCAAGGCGCGGCAACAAGCGTCGGCCGCCAAATGTGCCAAAAAGAGAGTGCCAGAGAGTGCCACACTAACACCCTCTCGCACTCACTCTCTTCTAACTCCCATTTTCGTTCAATGTGTGTGTGTGCGTAAGGACTGCAATTTTCAAATAAGGAAAAACCGGATAATGTTTGACTAAATATGTTTGTCGGCGTACAGAAAAGCCCAATTGAATGGGGGAAAACCGGCACACATACACACGTTTAGAAACTACGCACAATGCCGATTTTGGTCAACTTTTTTCGCCTTTCATCAATTTGTCTGAATGAATGCCTTGGAATATTGAATGAAACATTTGTTTGCCAAAGGGATTTTGGCGTTGTTTTTTGCTGCCGCTTTTGAGGGCGTGTTCACCAAGTTTCGTATCCGCTCGAAAAACTCGGCTGGCATTCCTGAGATGCTTTAGTCGGCCGCTCGAAAATAGAAGCAATCGCATTTTATGTCTTATTTATGTGTATTTCTCGCCCTCTCCGGATCTTCATCTTCATCTTTGCTTCGGACCAGCAGAATAGAATGGGTAGAAATCATCGAGCCTCGCACCAAGGAGCACATGTACGCCAATCTCACCACGGGCGAATGTGTTTGGGATCCACCAGAAGTAAGTACCCATCAATTTGGTTGTAAACTCATGTATGTAATTATTTAAAACACGTCTAAATTTAAGTTCTAAACTGAAATATTCAGAGCCATTTACATAAGCCAAAACTCATAGTTTTAAATTTTTAAAGGGTTTTTATGTATTGGTAAAAGGAGCTATGATTATTATAAATTATAATATTGTAACTATTATTATTAATTGTTATTATGTGTGATTATGTTTGTGTGTCTTGTATTGCACAGCACACGATCGTTCCATCTCTGTGGGGTTCAATGACCCACTCGTGGTGGTTACTTCATTGATTAGATGAGTAACTTGTTGTGCGGCTAGTTGTTTAATTACTATTCTGGGTCACTTGTTTGCGCAATTTTCTTGTTTGTGTTTGGCTTGCAAATTTTTTGTAACCCACTTCGCCAAGTGGCGTGACCAAGGTTAATTATATTAAAATAACTGTCGAATGATGCGCGCATCATAACCATTCTGATATAACAACCAAGTAAAAGGGGGAAATGTTGCAGTCTTTCATGCCTCAAAGCAAATATTATTTTTATCTAAAAGGCAAAACTTTTGCTTTCAGACTGGCTTCAAAGAAAAACTATTAGCTTGGATAACTGTTTGCATAAATGCTTTTCTTCTTTTTTCGTCTTTTTTATGCTGTTTGGCTAATGCGGCAAAGCCAAAAGGTGTTGCAGGCTAATAACTTTGGTCTCGCCTGCAGGAGGAAGCCGAAAGGCAAACATCGGCCAGACGAAAAATCCAGGCCACCCTTTCCTTTTTCACCTTTTCCTAAAGGAAGTAGTGAAAATTTCATTGATTTTGTTGTTGGCCTGCAATGTCCTCGTTTCGCTCCTGATTGCACACACATGCTCAGGACTGGTTTTAGGTATTGGTATGCAAGAGAGTGCATGTCCTGCTTCCGTAATGAAAAGCCTTGCATGCGGAGTTACACAGCTAAAAAAAGAATTCGTTTGAGTCCTCGAAATTTTCATAAACAATTTAATTGATTATTTATTTCACTTTTATAAATGAATTTCCAGTAGAAAATTATTATTCTGTGATGTTTTTAACTTTCTTCTATTGCTGCTATTTAACACATGTAAAACAAAGAGTTAAAACAATTCAATTAAAAATCATAAGATGTTGAGTAAAAGTATAACACGTATTGGACATATTTTTTTCTTTGTGTGTAAGTGGGCGTTATGTTCGCTTGGACGCCATGATTTATTGTTCGTCCTGCGACCCTTCTTTCTCCCCCTCTAACTTCTCTTTCCCCGCAAAAGGTACTGCAGCAAAGCCATTGCTCTCTCTTTGCGCTCTTCGAGTGTTTATTTATGTGCATTTCATTTCGGTTTTTGTCACTCTCACTCTCTGTTTGACTCATCGCCTACGTCATCCGCATTCTGCCGCCCCCTTCCCTCTTTGCCTACATAAACACAACTCTTGGTCAAAATGAATGAGGCAAGAAGGTAATATGGGTAATATAAGTGGAATAGTTTTATCATTGATATAATAAATAATGACTGGTGGTCAGGAAACGAAGAAGAATTTAAAATTGAAAGTATATTTAACAATCTTAATATTTACTTTACATAAATACATATAACAAATACAACTAATTTTACAAAGCTATTACCCTTAGTTTTAAAAATATTATAAAATAAAGTACCTCTTTGTCAAGTTATTGATAAATTTAAAAAAAACGGTTGCACTTATTTGTTGAAGAATGTATTGATCAAATGTTTATCTTATGTTAGGTTTGTTTGGATGTCTCTTTTTGTAGTAGCTTATAAGCTTTTCTCGACCTAATTTTAAAGTTTTACTCCCCTGCAAATTCGAGAAAAACAAAGTTGCGAATTCCGGAGTGTCTATTGTGAATTAACAGCGTAAAGTCGACACTTCCGTCGCTCATTCTTCCCTCTTCCGAAGTAGCAGATAAAGTCTATTAAAACCTGCCCTCGATTCAGCATATCTGATTGCAGCTACTGCATTTGTTCCTACATTCCCCTCGTGGCGATGAGGAAGTGAATCTGAATCCTTTTCACTGCGCCATATAATCCACACAATTTATGCAGGGCGGCGTGAAAAAGACATTATTAAAGATGGGGTGATTGCACCACCTTGCCGTGCACCCCTTTTCCGTAGTCATTGTTCCACCCTCGCTCCTTTCTAACGTGCTTTAAATTAGCAACATTCTGTTCTGGTTTTTGCTGCTCGTTTGGCCAACTTGCAGCTTTTTGTTTTAGCCAAGCTCGCTTTGGTGTCACCAACAACAACAGCAACTCTCGCTGCTGCGTTCATTGTACGTGATTTGAAATTTATTCACAGTTGGGACACCGTCTACTTTTTTCTCTGCTTTTTATTATAACTCGAAATTACCGTCCCCCTCCTCGTGGCTTTGTCAACTTTTTCATACTGTTTTTCGTCTCTTTTTTGCCCATTTGCCTTTGTAAAACTTCCGGTTGCCAGGGAGAAACAGAAAAGAAAAGTTGCCCACAAGTTGCACGTTCATTGCTCGTTTCATGTTTCACATTACGAAACCCGCCAGAAGACCCCGACAGTCGGACCAGAATCCATCCGGAGTGGCATTGGATGTTCACGTGCGTCCGCCGGCGTCATCCAAAAGCTGCCGCCAACCCCAATCCCCTCCGAACAAAGGGGTGGTGCAATCCGCCACTCAACCAAATGCGGCGGCGCCTCCTCCAAAATGGTCAGACCTCGATCTGGGACTTCTTCGCTCCAATGGAGGGTCTTGAGCTACGCAATCGTCAAAATATTTCAATTACTTCTTTGCTTTTTTGCTCACCCAACTCTGGGGATATTAGACATCAGACAAAAGCAATTTAATTACGCCTATTAACAGAAAATCTTCAAAGAAGTCTTTTGACTTGGTTACATTGTATTTCATTTAGTGCTGGGATTAGATCTAAACAGTATGAGATGTATTTAATAGATCTAACTTCAAGCAACAAAGTTTCTAACATTTTATGCGGGTGTCTGCAAAACCCCTTTAACCCGGACTACAATCAAATTAAAGACATTCTTTTATTGTGAATGTTTGAAATATAGTTCAAAAAAGGTAATTAAATGAATTATATTTTAATATTAGTAGATAGTGAATTACTGTTTTCAACATTTAATATCTTTAAATATGTATATACAAGTTTGTTATCTGTCCATCAATGCTACTTTGTCTTATAAAATCAATATTCAAATACCGCTTGCTGGGTATGCATGCCATGCATTATCTATGATTCCAGACTTTTGGTGTCCAGTACCGCCCTGTCCTCCTCTTCCCCGGTTAGCTATCTGTCGCCCATTGCCTTCTTGGGCAAGTATCGGTTTCCTGTCTTTGCGGCCAAAGTGTGCTTTTGGGCTACTCACATATACATACACTGCTAAGTACCGACTTCTTCCGCTTTGCTTGGCACAATTTGAAAGCAATTACGAAGTCAATTAAATGTGCATAAATATTGCTAATGAATTTCAGCTTTGGGACCTTCCTGCAGACTAAAATTCATAAAAATTTTAAATTCCCCCGAGGGGAAAACTGTCTGCGGCTGATGCAACTTCAATGACTTGGGACTTACCATTTCCCCGAACTTTGCCTTGTCATATTTTGTGGGAAACTGTGAGCACTAAAAGAATTTCCTAAAAAAATTATGGTAAATAAGAAGCAGCTTTTATTTGTCAATATATTCAGATAATTAACGATTTGATTTCAATTTCGTTTCCCTCACACAAGAATTTAATTATTGTTTTGCTTCCGAACTATGTGGAGCTATAGAATGGCAACCATACCATAAATAAGCCTTAGACTAGGCTCTTTTATTGCTCACTCGATCTATAAATAAGAATCTGAATTGGTTTTCTCAGAGATTTGCATTCCAGTTTCCTCGCGGGAATGTGAAACATGTGCCCAACTCTTCGATAACTGCATTGCCCCCAAATCTACAAATCTGATTCTTTAATTGTTATTGCTTTCGTCTGGTAAAGGTTCCTGGGTGTTGTGCTTATTTGAAGAGACAAATAGTCGGTTCAATATTTGCTTGAATTCAACAACAATTCAATTCCTTTCATTGGTCATTGGTTTTCATTATGGTGACACATTGTGTACAAATTTCAAAAGACACGCGTTCGGTGGATTCGATGTTATCGCCTCTCCATGGATTCTATTTCGGGATCTGTGCTGGGCTTCAAAATTCGCTTGATGATGACCTAATTTACCGACGGGAAACAAAAAATTCTTGTTGATTTTCGGTTTGTTTTTACTTCAGCGTGTCTGTGTCTTGTTCATTAATGTATGGCTGTTTTCCCCGATGATTCACAGATGAAAGGAACAGCAGATCGGTCGAAAACTGACCTCGGCCATAGTCTTCTGTATACGGAGAACTCAAGACTCAACCCGATTAGAAATCTTGTGCGTGCCTCGCTTCTTTTTTCGCCTCGATCGACCCACTTGCCGCTGATTAAAAGTTGTAATTGTTTTTCAATAAGCGCCAGACGCTCAGCTCAGCACTCCACATGCCGCAAATGCTATACTCCATGGCTGGCAAATTGAATGGCAGATAACGAAACGGAATGCATTATGCGAGTGATCTATATATACCGATTCGGCTTAATTGGGAAACTGATGGGGTTTTAATATAATCATATCAATGTAACAATTCTGAGCTCTCTAGAGGAATTGCCCTGTTCTCTGGCATTCCTCATTTTAATGGTAGAAACCAAATTTGTTTCTATTTTGCATATATATGTAGGCCTTTCATCTTCAGTCACACAGGGCGTATGAGTAACAAATCTTAAGACTAACAAATAATCCTGAAGCAACAAATTTCAACATTTTAATCCGCAAATTCTTCACAAATATTATTGTTTTAGAAGGAAATGATTTAAATAATTAGAAACCATTATTAAGTTGGCATGTGCCATTTTAGCTATAAACGTTTGATAGTTAATTAGACTGTTTTTCCGTTCTAAAAAGTAAATGTTTACGAAGTAATTTAAAAACGTATAGAATCATGATAAATGATAACATTTATTAAATTGTGTTCTTATATATTTGCAACGAATTGATAACGCAACTAAATAATTTTTATAGAATGGCAAGACTTAATTAATTGATTATAGCCCACCTCGCAACAAATAAACTATATGAGAATATACTATGAGAAAATTTCAGTTGTCAGAGTTGAGATTAAGATGTAGGCCAGAGTCGTCCCCATTGTTGCTCATATTCCATAATTACAAAAAATATTTGGAATTTTGTACAAGGCCACAAATGAGGTCGAGTAGCTTGATGTGTCTTTTTATAGTCCATCTCGTTTTTAACTGGATGCCAGAGGGGAATCAGATCGTTGGCGGTGGGGAGGACTATCTGGATGAATGACTGACTGACTGAGTGACTGGCAGTTGGAAACGCAACAATGCGAAAAGCGTAACGAGGCGACATGGCATCTGAGTGGCCCATCTCCGCTGGGTGGCCTTGCTCCCGGCCCCGCCCCCTTCCACTCCCAATCATTGTCTGGTCGCGCCCACAAATTATGCAACATGCAACGCAATCGGGGGCCGCCGCTTGGAAATGGAAATGAAAACCAAAACCAGAAATGAAAAGCAGCCAAGCCGAAAGCTTTCATTTGCAGCGGGGCGTCGTTGGGCGATGAGCGATGGGTGTTGGGTGGTTGGGCGGTGCTGCTGTTATTGTTGTTGTTGCTATCAGTGGGCAGTTGCAACCACAAAGGCAGGAAAAGTAAAAGCAACAACAGCCTCCAGGCAGCGGATTAAAAGGGGGCGTGGGTCAGGGCTCATCCACCACCCACCACCCACCATCAACCACCCATCGCCCATCTGGCCATGGCAATTGCAAACTGGAGCTGAGGTCTTCGGTAGTCGGCTGTGGGCGCATCTGCAGCGCAAAAGTTCAAGGTCAGCAATGCTGCTGCTGCTGCTGATTTTGCTTCTGCTTTTGCTGCTGCGCTCTTACTGCATGCATTTTGCAGAAATAACCCTGACTTCTGGGTGAGACAGAGATGGGAGAACTGAAAGCGAGCGAGATGGTGCGGATTAAGCACACGCGCCTCGCCGACAAGGCCAGATATTAAAGGAAGGCTTAAATCAGAGATGGAAAGTAAATAAATAGTTGTACCTAGTAATTTATGAGGAAAACTGTGAATTAAAACATAACAAATTATAATTTGTAGCATTGTAAGAATAGGATACCAGAAGAAAAAGTCCATTGGAATAGAGTTTTTAAGAGAAGAGAGTTTTAAAGTAACCTACTATTTGCCTTGAAGTTTCTCTTAGTAATTGAACATTGTTAAACAAATTCTAACGGCTCTTATTTTTTTGTGCTCTTAATTATCATATACGACATTATGCTACAGTAAATGGTACTCCGTACCTAAGCTCTCAAAATAAATACCTTACCCACCACTGATTTAAGGCTGGGCATTCGGTGGCAAATGCAGTCGAGGAACCATCGAGAATCCCTGTTTGTCAAGCACTTGTTGTATTTACTCAGCAGATAAAACCCTTCAGATTCAGATTATAAACACACACACACCCACTTGCACTCTTTGTGCTCTCGAGTTTGCTGATTAAGCCCGAAGAAAAGCTCTCGAGCTGTGATACCAAAATAAATCTGCTTTTGTGTAATTGTTGGATAATTCAAGAGGAGGGATAAAAGCCAGACCGACGACAATGGCACCAGCGGAGCCTCCAAATGGAAACTTATCATTGCCAAAGCCAGAGCTGAATGTCGATGGGTCCGGTGTCACTTCTGATGAAACCGCATACTTTTATGAGCCAGATGTTGAAACGTGCCGAAATCTGTGTGATTAAAATATAAGCAATTTACTCGGACTTTTCGAAGGTTTCACGGGAATGCGAGAATTCAAAATATATTGTATATTGACAATTCGCTTTTGGAGCTTAACTAGAAATAATTTCTTTAAAATTGAGAACTTTTTTGACAGAATACGTTTTATTGAGCACGCGATAACCCAGAACTTAAAGGTTGATTTTTATTTTGCAAAAGAACTGAGTAGCGTTTATAAAAATAGCGATGAACTTATACAAAAAATGTAAACACCAAATATTGACAAAGAAATAAGAAGGAATGCAATATGTTGTATGGTGTGTAAATGGGTTTTTTTTTCGCGAAATACAATAAGAGCAGTTTTTAAAAATAGTTTTTTACATAATTCTTAAAAGGAGCATTGGAAATTTATTAATCCGATCACTTGTTTGTACATAGCATGGAAATGGGTTACTGAAAATGAGTAAAAAGTCACCGATAAGAAGTAAATCTAACAGCTGATTCCACGCAATACAATTGATCTTAATCACAAGCATTTTCGATTATTTAGTATTTGAAATCCGAAAACAGGTGAAAGAATATCCGGTTGGGAAACATCCATCGATCAACTTAAACTTCACTTTAGAGCATATTTGTATTCATGAGTGTTTATCTAATAAACGCACGTTGATCTCACGTCCCACGTGTTGCCCCTTCCTCTTCTTCTTCTCCTTCCCCGATCCCCAAACCCCTATCCACAAATCCACCTCCACAGCGAGCGATGCGTCCCACACAAATCCACACACACATGACTTCTCTCTCGGATCCGATGACAGCGATTTAAGCTAATTTTGCCACGCGCTCCGCACTCTGTTCTCATTCCCGAAGCCCGAAACTGATTCCCGTTGCGTTCTCGCTTTACAGGATGTGCCAATTAAGCGGACCGACTCATCGCAATGGTGGGAACTGTTCGATACGAATACCCAGCGGTTCTACTACTACAATGCGGCCACGCAGAAGACCGTGTGGCATCGGCCGAGCAAGTGCGACATCATTCCGCTGGCCAAGCTGCAGACGCTCAAGCAGAACACCGATCCTAGCGAGCGTCGCGAGCAGACCACGCCCCAAAAGCAGCAACAGCAGTTGCAGCAGCAGCAGGTGCAACATCCCTCGCAGCAGCAACAGCAGCAGCAGCAGCAACCCTCTCCGATGTCGGGTCCAAATAAAAAGGGACGCGGTCAGCAGCGGATGAGCGGAGGCAATGGAACGGTGGCCAGTTCCGAGGAGAAGCTAACCAGCAGCGAAGTGATCTCTAGTCCGCGTGGCCGTCAAAGTTTTCGGTGAGTCGCCGCGGGTTGAGTAACCCCATTCGGGGCACTTTTGTTTACATATCTCGCATTTGTTTACATTCCGATTTGGGCCTCCTTTTGCAGCGTTGGCACCGGCGACTCATCCCGTTCGATGGAAATGCAGCAGCAGCAGCCGCAGCATCCGCAGGGCTATGCCTCCAGGCGCTCGCAAGGTGAGTGTTCTGCCCAACCCTTGCTACTCTCGTTACATGACTCATCTTTTTGTTGTAATTCCCTACAGACTCCTGCAATCAGTACAAGGAGTCGGGCAAGTCGAGCGACTCGAGTCTGTCCAGTGCGCATGGCTACAGGCGCTTCAATGACAGCGGCGTTCCGGGCTCCGGACATCCGGACAGCCTGCGTCTGGGTTCCCTGCAGAAGCATCAGCGTGGCGGCGGCAAGGATAATGGAGCGTAAGTACTCGAGGTTGCGGTATCCATCACTTCATATGCTTTAAATCGCTTCTATACCCGCATCTCCATCTCCGCTTGCGCTTGGGTTACGGACCGCCTTCCAGCTTTGAGATGCTGCAAGAGAGCACCAGCTCGCACAACTTACCGCATGGCAGCACCTCCACATCCTCATCTTACGCCGGTGGCAGTGGCTACGGGGACAAGTACTTCGATCACCAGCTGCTGCCCAACCACCTGCAGGGCTACTCCTCCAAGTCGCCGGACATCGCCTCGCCCACGCACTCCATTCACACGCCCCAGTCGCAGAAGAAGAAGATGTCGCCGGACGCAGCGCCCGCTGGCCAATACAACTACGCACAACAGCAGCATCAGCAGAGGAACGCACAACGCAGTGGCGAACGAGGGGGCGGTGGTGGTGGAGTCCCCGGGGGAAAGTCCTACGGAGGAGGTAATAAAAGATATTCAAGTCGTTAGGCTGCTAGGATAAGTAGTACAAAAGCATTGGGAATAGGGAATATCATAAAAATATCGATGATTTATATATGATTTGTAAATTGTATTCTTTATTTAAAAACATGATATGCACAAAGTATTATGTTTATGTTTATGTATTATGTGAAGGACTAAGTAATAGATTCAAATTTCTAAAGAGTCTCATCCGTTTAACAATCATTGACAAATTGTTTAATCGTTAAACCTATTGATTCAAAGAATTTATGGTTAATGTTTACATGTGTTTCACTTCTTAGCATAAAAATCCTTATCAATGCATTTTAAACATAGAATTTGTTAGGCTAGTTTTAGATTTCAATAAAAATATTAATGAAAAGTCTAATAGTGGCAGGTAAAATATAATATAATATAAGTTAGAAGTTTTATTGAATTTAAGGTTCGCAGAAACATTAACTTCCATGCAGCCAAACAAATTTTACACCACTATCGTAATAAAAATCTTACTAATATATCTTTTTTTCCCCTTAAGATCGCGAGTACAAGGTATCGCTGGCTCGCTCCGGAAGCTTCATGTCCTCGTCTATCAATCCCGCCGCTGCCGGTCACCACAGCAAATCCTACCGCAAGAGCAGCGCGGAGGCGGCGAACGGAGGAGCCGCCAGCGACGACTCCATGCACGAGAAGTACTTCAAGTCGGTGGAGAACACGCCGCTTTCGCGTCGCCGCCACACCACCAATGCCACCAAGAGCGGAGGAGGACCGGGTGGCGGCGGAGCAAGTGGCAGCAACACGGCCACCAGCACGGCGGGCAGTGGCAGCAGCAGCCACAAGAAGCACTCGAGCGACTCCAGTCCGCAAAGTCCGATCAGTCCGCAGACGAAGAGCTCGCGCCAGGCGAAGACCAGTGCCACCAGTGCTCTTCCCCAGCTGCAGCATTCGCCACGCCTGCAGGAGCCCAGTCACAGCCTGGACCTACTGAGTCTGGAGAGGATTTCGCTGGGCAAATCGGGACCCATCTCGCCTGGAGGCGGCACCGAAAATATGGGTCTGCTAACGCACTCGTCGCGCGGCTCCAACGACTCCGCCCGCCAGCGCCAGAAGTCGAACAACTCCACGGCGAATCGATCCCAGTCGCATCATTATCCCGGGCAGAGTTCCCTGCGGCACAGTGCCAGTTCCAGCCTGGACAAAAGGGGATACCATGTGGGAGGAGGAGGAGGTATGAGCGGAGAAAAACGGCGCTCCAAGCAGCATCAATATCACCAGCAGGCGGACAACAGCGACGTGGAGTACGACAATGGGAACACCTCGCCGGTGTACACCAACTGGGAGCAGGAGATGCCCCATCTGCTGCCCCTCAAGCACTACATCATCGAGCAGGCCAAGTTGTCGGGTCGCTACGAGTATCGCGGTGGCGATGGAGGAGATTCCGACTCGTATCACTCGGACAGCCAGTCGGAACACTCGCTTTCGGGTCACGAGCCGGATAACGAGGACTCGGACGGTGGATCGGACTCGCATGGCGGCTATCTGGAGCACAACTACGGCATGATCGACGACTACGCCAACATGGGCGACAGTGTCTCCTACTATGCGTACATGTATCCGCCGCACGATCCCGCCGGAAGGGAGGATATGTAAGTTTACCTCAAAGTTTTTAATTCCTATAATGCATTTATTAATATTTCTCTCCATTCAATAGTTCCGACAACGTAGAGGCCGTGCTGGAGGGGATTGGCGGCACTGTGGCAGAACCTCCGTTTCCAACGGCCACCGTCCCCAAGCCAAAGCCCCGTTACCAGATCTCATACTACGACACCGTATCGCACAGTCCCTCGGCCGGAAGCGGTTATCACGGTCAGCAGCTTTACTCCAACACGCCACCCTATACGGCGGGTCATGGCCATGGACACCACGTGCCGCCGCCGGCGCTACCACATCAGCAGCAGCTGCACCTGGAACCCAGTGACAACAAGCAGAAGCAATCGCAGACGCTGCCCTCGCCGAACCGGCAGATCTCGCGCCTTGCTGGCGCCGGCCACCAAGGAACGGGTACAGCGACATCAGCCAAAGAGGAGACCGGCCATGGACACAGTCTCGTTGCCGGGCAACAGCAGGCCACCGTGGGCAGTGCAACGCCAGCAAGCCTCTCCCGACCGGGTCACAAGATGGCTCCGCCCTCGCTGAAGCCCACCATCCAGCAGATCTTTCCGCCCAGCGAACGGGCGCCGGGATCGGGCGGCATGGGACTGGGCGGGACCACGCTGGCCTGCATGAAGGAATGTGATATCGAGAAGTTCGCCGCCGACAATCTGAATCTGCACTCCAAGGGGATCTTCCGGAAGAAGGCGTCTGTGCGCGACATGCTCAGCTGGACGGCGGAGGCGATCAAGAGGCCCATGCTGGCGCTTTCCCGCGACAAGGCGGACAAGAAGACGGCCATCGAGCTGTTCAAGCTGGTCCAGATCTACATGGCTGATCGCAAGGCGCGCAGCGGCATGACTCTGAATTCGGTGGCCATAGAAATCATCAGTATATCCTTGCCACAGCAGCAGTGAGTCTATTGATCCAAGGAAATTGTTATGAAGATACTTAATGAGTGATCTTTCTTTTCAGATTAAGGGATGAGCTGTACGTTCAGTTGTGTCGGCAAACCACGGAGAATCCCAAGCGGGAATCACTCATCAGAGGCTGGGAACTGATGGCCATCTGTCTGTCCTATGTGCCGCCATCGCCCACGTTTCAACCAACGCTGCTCAAGTGAGTGATATTTAATGACTTACTTATTATTATAAAATCATATAAATTGTTTACAAAATCATTAGTAACATGTATTAAACAATGCCTCCCTTTGCAGTTACGTCAATCGGCATCGCGATCTCTCGTTTGCCACCAGTTTTATGGAGGTGAGCAAGTGGCCCATCCATGTGCAGGTTTCGCATTATGCCACAGTGTGCTGTCGCCGCTTGGATCGCATAGGCAGCTGTGGGCGACGTTTGGCTAAGAAGCCCACTGCGGATGAAGTGGAACAAGCGCGGGTAACTAAAATTGTTCAATAACTAATGAACCATGTTAACCTTGTGATTGAACCTTAATTCCAGCAACAAATCCTGAGGAACAGCATGTTCGGTAACACGCTTTCCGAAGTGATGGAGCTCCAAAAGGATAAATTTCCATTCCGCAAGCTGCCCTGGATACAGACCACTCTTTCAGAGCACGTAGGTTTAGAATTGTCTTAAACTTAAAACATATTATAATTCTATTTAATTTGCAGGTGCTGCTACTCAATGGAAAGCAGACTGAGGGAATCTTTCGCGTTTCCGCGGATGTGGATGAAGTCAGCTGCATGAAGAATCGCCTGGATCGGTGGGATGTTCCTGATATTAACAACCCGCTGGGTAAAAATAATTATAATTTTGCCATTTAATCGAGGTTTATAATATTTAATCTCGCTTCTCAGTTGATGCACATGCGCCAGCCAGTCTGCTTAAGCTGTGGTACCGAGAACTGTACGATCCGCTCATACCGGACGCATACTACGAGGATTGCGTGAACACCGAGGATCCCGACAAAGCCAAAGAAATAGTTAATAAGTTGCCCGAAATAAATCAGCTGGTAATGTAACACTAAATAATATATTTAACATTTAAAATAACAATTGGCTTCTCTTGATTTCAGGTTCTAACGTATTTAATACATTTCCTGCAACAATTCTCCGTATCGGAAGTGGTGACCTGCACCAAGATGGACTCCTCGAATCTGGCCATGGTGTTCGCGCCCAACTGCCTGCGCTGCACGTCCGAGGACCCCAAGGTGATTTTGGAGAACGCGCGCAAGGAGATGTCCTTCATGCGCACTCTCATCCAGCACATGGACACGTCGCACGTGGCCAATCTGGTCTAATGGATTGTTGGCCAGCCGCAATTAGCAACTACCTACCTACCAACCTACCAATATGTAAACGTTATTAACCTATCCTAACTTACTACCTAACAAATCTAACTTAAACTCAATTTGTATTTATACAAACGATGATGATGATGGAGAGCGATGAATCTTAACTCCTACTTTAACTTTAACTTTAACTCGTTTTGCTACTCGAATTTCTTACTAATTGCTACCAAAACCAAAAGTCTATGGATTTAGTTTTATTTCGTAATGTCTAGGAAGCTTGTTAAGAACAATGGCAACAACCACAAATACTCGAAGATCTTGTAACTCGTAGTGCTTTTTCAAACCAAACCAAAAATAACTGAAAGATGAATCCAAAACCGAAAACTCAATGTGTGCATGCCTAGTTATGTCTCAAATTGTAGTTGAATTAATTTATTTTGCATTTTACCTGTTGTTTTTCTTTAAATGGAATTTAAATCAAAGCAAGCAAGCAAATACTCAAAGAAACTCTTAACTCTCACACAATGCGAAGCAAAGCAGACCTTGAACAACTTCTTGCGAAGCCTATAAATAGTTATAAAATAAAGCTAACGATAAATTAAATTAAACTCTATATATATTATGATGTACACTGTATGAAAAAAGGATGATCAATAAGGAGGAGAACCAAGAGAGAGAAAAAGTGAATCAAATGCAATAAGAGGTCAATGATAAAACTGCTTATAAATTACTTGCAGCCAACGTAGTGCTATATACAAAATATTTATTCATTTGCGTAAATAAAAAATGAAATTAAAGAATAATAAACCAATGTTCGATCCAAGGCAATTTTACGGAGAACAAGTCAACTGAAAATATACAATTATGTATTGAAATTTGCGATTTCGAAGGTGTTCGAATAAAGTTATGAATGTAAAACTGAATTGGGAAATGTTTCGACCAGCTCTTATCGGTACGCATGTCCATAGGGAGATTACAAATTCATCCGGCTCTTCCTTTGCCACAATTAATGCGTGCGGGGAATATATTATATTTATGCCCAATTTCGAAGTCATTTCGAACCGTTTGTCTCCTGATAATTGCTAATAATTTAGCGTCACTTGACGACCATAAGCCGTGTCACCTTATCGAACAGCAATGTTTACTGGCAGTAGTCCTCGTCAATGTCTCGAATTGGGCGCATTTACTTATCGCATACCACCGAAGAACGCTTTTCTCCTCAAAGGAATTTGTTGTTCGCTCTTTTATCACCATTCATTATTCATTATTTTGGTTTTCGTTTTGTGTAAAGCTCGAAATAGTTATTGAATGGCCGTTACTGCCTGGCCATTGAGTGCCCCACACACCAAATACAATATATAGTAGAAACCATTCACATATATTGATAAATTTGAATACTCACCTTGTGATATGTCACAAAATGGCCGACAGGCCGGGTGCAAAATGTTATATCTTGTCGGTGGGCGGGATTTTGTCGGGGATTACACAACTGACTGTCTGATAGCGGAGAACAAGTGTCCGCTCATGATGAAGCGGTGAAGTTTTCGATCCTAGGATTACAGGTGCACTCGGCAATACAGAGTTCTTTTATATCGACTTTGCATAAATTAATTTCCTTAATACATTGATCCCTTTGTAACCCAGGGGCTTTGAAAAATTAATTGGTTATTTTGTTTATTATTTCCTTATAGATATGTATTCTTTTTCAATAATATATTTCGAATTCTGTTGCTTTTGATTTTATATTTCCATTTACATAGTTCCTTGAAAAGTTTTAAGGCTATGGGTTTCTTTTTTTAGGAAAGATAACATGTTATTCATGACTTCACAGGTAAAGTTCTTGGAAATGCCTGTATGACTGTTTTACTATTTTCAGGAGTTATAAAATCTTAATCGGCAATCGATGGGCTGAATTTTGCTGACGTTGTCAACCAAACCCCCTGAAAACTTCATTTGCAATACGTTGAATTTGATTTTCAGAGAACCCTATCAAAATGAATATGTTTATTGCGTTAAATCACATGCAATTGAGTCATTTATGAGTGAAATCATACAATTTCGATTAAAGTTCAATGAAATTTCAAGAGTCACACATAAAAATCCCCTGCTACCTTTTAAGTTATTAGGAGCGCATCGTGTGAAATAAAAACATTTAAATTTCTCAAGTAGCAGTAACTGAAGATTTTCATTGTCCCCGGAAACCCATTGGAACCCCAAACTTATCTCGAAGATACAAACTTTCGGGAGGCGACCTGAAAAACAATATCATAAAGGTATCTATCGGGTAATGTTGTTGAATCGGCAACAATAACAACAATCGGAGGCATTTATAGGCTCTGTTCGGTTTTTTATCACCCGGCCCAAAGGCCGAAATCAAAAGTAATCCATCATCTGGGAGGCTTTACGAGGAGCCCGAGTACAGCTGATAAGACACCCCCGAAAAACCTATTCACAACTACACGCGCACAAAGGTATAAATTGTCAAAAAAAAAAGTATGGAATCATAACACAAACTCGATTACTCAATCAAAGCGATATCTCTCGAAGGGAAGGACACCTCCCCACCAAAAAAAAGGGGGTGGTGAGGGGGTAATTTTAATTTGTTTACAACAACAATCAACAGAATATAATAACCAAACAGTGGGAGCTGGGAGCCAAGAGCCGAAACCAGGTAACGATACCGATAAGGGGTGATTAACAATTACTCGATCAAACGCACCGACTACCAAAGTGGGAGGTGGGAGGTATTTCGGGTGGTTTTGTGGGCTGGCAGCCCGAGGAGCTGTGATTTATGCGATCGGATCGCCGATTGGGTGTCCGACCAACGACCAACGAGTCTTCGAATACGAAATCGTATTCCGAATCGGAATCGGGGAATCGAGTGGAGTGGAGTGGAGTGGAGTGCCACCATCGAGCCACTGGAGCGCCCACCAACCACCACTCGCTTATCAATCGATGGCCGGTAGCTCGGCATTATCTCCCCGCGCGCCATATCTACATACCGCTCTATTATTGTTAATATTGATATCTACCCATTAGCACAACATTATAGGTACAATCTATTATATTCTGTGAAATCAGATTTGGTACAATTTATTGGGTCCGCGGCTCTGCGGCGACTTCTTCGCCCGATTGCCATTAGTTCACCGCCTGTGGCCAACGCAGTCGCTTCGATCGCTCCGGAAATCGCAGCAGTTAACGCGTTATACGTTGATCTACATTACCACTCAGTATAATACCACAATGGATATCGGCACCAAAGCCAGTAAAGCGGCCTTCTCCATTGAGAACATCCTGGAGCAAAAGACGAGAACTTCACAGAGTCCCGCAATCGAAACCACCCAACGATCTCAATCGCGTCGGGGATCCTCGCAAAGTCCTGTGACTGGAGCGATACCATCTTCTCCTGCTCTGGTCGTGCCCAAGGCGGCACTGGCCACCACCAGCCCATCTGCTCCCTCGTCCACCTCCCACATCTACGATCTGTCCCGCGAGGCAGTCGCCGCCCAGTATGCCCACACCCTCAAGAATCTGGACTCCAGCCAAGTGCTGGCGCCCACCTCGCTGCGCTTCAACCCCATATATCCGGATCCCGCCTCGCTGTTCTACCAGCAGGTGCTCAACCTGCAGAAGAACCCCTCGCTCTTCATGCCCCACTTTCAGGCAGCCGCAGTGGCAGCCGCCGCCGCCGTCCAGCCCACAGGATATTGCGAGCAGTACAGTCCTTTCGCCATGGACTGCGAAGGTGGGTACTCTTAAATATATTCGAACCTATTAATAATTCGAAAAAATAAAAGTAGAGGATTGTGATATAGGGAAATGACAAGTTCGGAACAATTTTAATAAGAAATTTTTAAATTGTTCATTAAGAATTCTGTTACTTTTGTAGGACATAAACTTAAATTGATGATAAGAGTGCTATTTTTTTTTTTAACCGGGAATTGGGATTGGAAAAGTCCATAGCTGTTAAATATAAATATTACATTTTTTGTTTTATATCGATAACTTTATCTATTGTAATTGTTTTACTTTGTATATATTTTAGGGACTAATTCATTGTTTTAAAATAACCAATTAAAAAAAATATTATGATTTAATCTTACATATTAAATACTAAATAGGTGTTAATAATTTTAATATACAACTTACATGTACAACTTACACCTTATTTCACGATAAATTCGAAGATAATTTATTAAGAATTAACTTTTCATTATGGAAATTATGAAATGACCGGAAATGACTCACAACCTGCGTAATGGGGCTTTATTAATGAATGAGCCGTACAATTATCAATTCAATACTTGATGCTGATAAACGTTAAATTACTTATTTTTTTAATTTAATCGGTCGGTTCTAAAAAATGTTATGACAAATAATGTTTATTAGACTGTTAGACTTTCCCACAGGGAAGGATTAGGAGCGAACCCATTTCGACAGTTATAAGTTCAAGTATTAATCTCTTCCATCAAACTGACTTATGGAAATTGATCGACCATGGAAAGGGTTCTAGGTAAAATCCTCATTTAAATACAGTCTTAACCAGCCTAATTCCAAAGTGTTCGAACCTCCAAATATTACAATGGGATCCCACACAAAATGGGCCATAAACATGATTAATGTGTGTGTGCTCAGTTGGGTGTTTGTCAAAGTCAAGTGTTGGCGCCAATGCCACTTGAGATCTCACTTTCCCCTCCCACAAATGCATTTCCCGGTTAGTTCTCAGTGCAATGTAACGGTAGATTAGCCCCAGAAAATCAGTCAGGGAAATACCAAATGCCGATAAGGTCACAGCCCCACTTCCATCCCTTTCAAAAACCCACGAAATATTTTCGGCTGCCTTATCAAACTGACAAATATTTGAAATTGAGGTGAGAGCCATCAAAACATTAGTGAGGGGTCTATGAAATGGAAATCCAAGTGACAGTTGGTTAGCCGTATTTAAAAAGGCTTACTTTTGTGTCAGGAAAATCGAACTCCTTGAAACTATTCATGCTAATAAGCTCAACTGTGGGAAACGTTAGAAAACTGTTACGATTTATCAAAGATTCTAGTTACAATGAACAAAAAACACTTACATTTAAAAAAATTCTAGGAAAAAGTAAACATATATTCTCCCTTTATATACTACATTTAAATATGAGAACAATAACATCTTCATTTAGTAAAAACATTCATTAGTTTTTTTTGAGTCAAAGTCTTCACTTCTTCACAGGAAGTACAAGGCCGGATAAAATACAAATCTTTAATTTCCAATCCACTCATATCGCTTCGTATCAATAATTTTCGTTTATAAAAATTCCAATTGAGTTAATCTCAATTCGCAATCACGTAGAGCATTGATTGCTTTAGTATGCCATTGATCAATACAATTCAGACAGGTATATCTGCTCGTATAGCCCACTCCAAGTCCATTGTTAACCCGGTTTCCGATTTGTATTGGCTTATCTAAACGACAAATGCTATTAGAGCCGATTAATAGGCGCTGTCCATCATCTTTTAGCGACAATTGCCATTTGATTACGATAAGCTCGTCCGTTGTCAAAAAGTAAGGGGTGAGAGGAGGTTTTCGACAAGTGGCTGATATGATTTTTTTCTTTCTTTGGGGACACGCACATTATAAAATAATAACAAATCCAATTTTCAGCGATTAAAAACCTTTTGAAGGAGCAGAATGCGGTTTCAGGGGGGAAAAATCTTATCACTGTGCATGCCACTTAATAAAAATAACCGTTAATAAGTCTATTTGTAACAATTTAAATTATGACACCTGAAATCGAATGTTATTTATTTAAAGGCTTTCAGCTATTTCTTGGGAATATTTTAGATTGGCACCCTTATGAGGTAACTGAGTACCAAAATACCAGATTAGTTCACATTCATGAGTGCGAATTTCCGTTACGTCAATAGAAAGTCACTGTTTTGCTTATCATATACTGTACTATATCATATACTATACTACACATATAGTACCATAATCGGATTGCTTGTCGGGCGGCAATTGAATTGGCTTGATTGCTCTGGAACCTCGCTGCTCATTCGATCGATTTCGCAATGGCCACCAAGTCCTCACCCACTTACAAGTGGGCGTTGACATATCTCCCGATACGGATACTGCTACTGATATATATATTTGTACCCTATACCCGAACACTTGGGCACATGTACGACTCGGAATTATTGTGTCCGATTACCTCGATAAGAGTTGGTGGGCGGAGATAGGGGAACCGGGCCACAGGAGCCACCAATCAAAACACAACGATTGCACCACTTTATATCGAGCAGATAACTTGCGAGTGTTATTTAAAGAATCGATTGTTCTTGACTTTTCCAGGGCAACTTTTAGTTATCTTTAAATGGGGATATAGCTGAAAGAACAAATTTGATAGATCGGGTGTATCTATTATTTGCCTATAAAATGATAAAATGCGAAATCACAATGAATGAACAATTATTGAGTCTTTAGCATGGCCATATACGTGTATTTAATTTAAAATACTTTTAACATAAAAATCCGTTTATTAATCATATAACTACTTCTATAATAGTCCTGATACATACATATAAATATTTACCATCGCCATCAGTGGTGTTAAATTTTTTGTTAAAGAAAAAAACCTTTGTTGTTTGCTAATATTGAATTGCTTATCTTCTAAGTTTACTTTGTGGAATTTAGGAGCAACCAATAAATGATAATAACATTACAATAATAAAATCTTAACAAAATATAATAATAAAATATATAAATACCTAATAGTATAATTTAAATCCCGTATTTTTTTATTGTGTAATTTATTTTAAAAATTTAAACGCTTTATTAACGTTCCAAAAACCATTAAATAATGACTAAATTTTTTCTCTACAGGCTTTACAAACCCGGCAAGTGCAGCTGCTGCCTTGTACTGCAATGCCTATCCGGCGGCCAGCTTCTACATGTCCAACTTCGGAGTGAAGCGAAAGGGCGGCCAGATCCGCTTCACCTCCCAGCAGACAAAAAATCTCGAAGGACGCTTCGCCAGCTCCAAGTACCTTTCACCAGAGGAGCGACGCCACTTGGCACTCCAACTAAAGCTGACTGATCGCCAGGTGAAGACCTGGTTCCAGAACCGGCGGGCCAAGTGGCGACGTGCCAATCTCAGCAAGCGCAGTACATCCGCCCAAGGATCTGTAGCTCCGTCGGCAGAGCCTTCGTCTCCCACTTCGAATGGCACCGTTCCCATCATGAATCTTGGGAGTAGCGGGAGTAGGAGTGGCCAGCAGAGCGACGAGGAGGATCGCATGTACCTCTCCGAGGACGATGAGGACGACGACGAGGAGGAGGAGGCGGAGGGAACCCCCAAGTGAAGCTCGAAGATTGCCCACTTACTCATAAGATAGTTCAGCTTGTAGTTAGGTTAAATAAATTTATTTCAATAGAAATGTAATTAGCACTCGATGGGGGATCTCCTAGTGGAACTGGTAGCTGTCCAGACAGGCGCAGTTGGGCAGGGTGCAGCGCGGAGCCAGGTTGGAGAGGTGCCCCATGGTCACCGGGAAGGAGAGCGGCACGAACCACTTGGGATAGGCACAAATAGCGGCGGCCGCCGCCGATGCACTGCTTCCAAAGACCGGCGGCTTTAGCTCCACCATCGATTTGCCCTGGTACTGAAAGGTGAGATTAAACATTATTTATAGTTTAGAACAAATGAAAATATTGGATTTAAGATATTATTTTGCTGTAGATTTTGTCCAGTACAATCAAAAAGTTTACCTTTTTGTTAATAGGCAACTGGTCTTCCAAATTAAAAGGACTTAGATAATAAAAATTAATTATTATCATTCATATTTAATATACAAGCTCAAAAAAGAATCATAAATAAAAATTTAAATTTTGAAAGTCCTATTGAAGTCTGAGATAAGTTAAAATATGTTTTTAATTATAGTGACATAAAAAACATATTTTGTAGAAGAGCCTATAAACGTGTTAAATGTTTGAGAAATTCACACACTTTCAATAGAAAACCGGTGTGTACATTATAAAAAGTTTTTATTTGTAAGTATACTTAGAAATCACCTCTTTATTTATAAAAATCGATACCATTTTCTATTTAATGCCAGCATGGTAGTTTTCGAAATTCAAATATGATTTCCTTACCTGATGATCTGTTATGACCGGCCTGAAGGCGCTGCTCCTTGGCGGAGTGTTCTGCGGCACACTGGGCAGGACACCTGGTTCCTGGCTGGGCAGCTGATGGCCGGTGACATCCACTGGCAAGGATGAGCCAGTTGGAGAGACATTCTCAATAGCCCGGATCAGGTCGAGATCGCAGCGCTTGAGCACCAGTTCCAGAACAGATCGCTTTCGCTGGGGAAAGAGCTGGGCCAGCATATCGATGGCTGTTTGGGAGACATTCTCCCTGCGCGGAGCACTCAGATCCTGGGCCACCGCAGCTGGTTCGCTGTACTCCTCCTCCGGCGGCTTATGCTCTGCCTTGTGATCCTCTGTAGAAGGCTTCTCCGCTTGGTCAACTTCCCTGCTGGGATGCGGTGAACTCGGCTGGGTCACGGTCAAACCGAAAATGTTGCCCGGCGGCAGGGCATCGATGGAACGACCCGTTTTGTTGGCCACCAACCGCATCGCAATCGCATCCTCCACGGCCTGCTGGCGCTTCAGGGCGACCTGAAAGACCCAAAACCAAATGGAAATTAATATGCGACAAGTGAACAGCTCCGTCTGCTGCTGTTTGACTTTTCCGCAAACAAAGATTCACGGCGATTCCTTGGGGTATCGCCATCCAAACTGATCTAATGAAATGCGAGACGGAGCCACACTTGTGCAAACAGTTTTGGTAAGCGGATATTTTGGTCGATTTGTTCCTACGCTTTGACAACTTTCCATCATCATCACCATCAGCGCAGTAAAAAGGGGGGGGAATACCGCACTGGTTGTCCTGCTCCATTTCATTGGCTGTTTGACTTGCCACTGGAGTGGGGATTGTGTGGATTTGTGTGGACTTGGTGGGTTTACCCAGGAGTCTGTGTGCCCAACGGCTATTTGTGTTTCGAATTGAGCGCTTGGCCAGCGCTTAATCTAAACACAATACAAATGGCTTGGCTAACTATTTTTCTAAGGAAGCCGTCAATTGAATTCAGTAACACAGATTGAGTTAATTCGGATGGCATGGAACCTGGATACAATTAGCCAAAACTACCGACTTCAACTCAATACAGCAAGTGAGATCTTATCGTTACACTTAAAAAACTCGTTAATTCTCTACCTTAATGGTTGTAAAGCTTGTAAATTGACAAAATCATTTGTATTGTCTAATATATATGTATATAATATAATAATTGAAATTCTTAAAGCGAAATTCTACACTTAAAAACACATTAGTTGCTTATTAATCTTTTTTTATATATGTATATACAACGTTTAAGACTTTAGCTAAGACTAAGACTAAGCTTTGCCTAGCTTAAGCTTATACTCGTAAACCTTTACAGTTATAACTCAAATCTATAAAACAACGAGAAGGTAAGTAATTTTGTCTTATATAGTAGCCCATAGTTCTCGTATAGTTCCAATCAAAATATCAAATCTGGAACTTTTTTAATATTAATATAGGCTCAACAAAGCAATATACAAAGCTGTAACGATTTAAAAAGGACTTTATTGACAGAGTCATAGAAGGGTTTCTTGTAAACCATAGAGGTTTCCTTTTAAACTTAATTCAAAAGGGTATGTACCTTAATATTTGATCCACTTTTTAAAGTCAATCTTGAGTGGTACTCCTCTAACAAGATTTCCGCGCACTCACCTGGGCGGCCATAATGCGCTGCCTCTCGAAGATCAGGACGCACTTGGCGCACTTGCAGTTCTTGTAGGTGCAGAGCTTCTTGTGTCCCCGTAGCTCCGAGATAATCCCATGGTTGCGGCAGCGGGCACATTTGGGCACCCGATTGACGACCTTGGGCTGTTGGGTCTCAACTATTTTGGGGCCCTTGGAGGACGCGAGACGAGGACGCTTGGCAGCCACCTCACCAGCGGGTTCTCCACTAACACTGGACATTGCAACGCCGGCGCGAAAAGGATTCAATTAGAACTGATAATTGAACAGAGAAGTTGCTGCTTCGAGCTTCTTAGTTGGGGGCCAGCGAAAAGAAACTAAATTTTGGAAACACTTGACCCCAAGGATCTGGTGCGAATTGTTTCAAAGCCTGGATGCCGAATTTTTGTTGACTTACGCAGGCGCTTTTGCCGGAAAATGGTTAGTTGAGTTTCAAGGACTCTTTGCTTTTTGATTGGTGGTTGCAACTTGAATAGACACTCCACCCCTAAGTCCAAAAGTGGGTGGAGCAAAGTATTCCAAAGGTTGGGTAAAACAAATTCAAAGCTTGCAGCAAATAGTTCGTAATTTTATAAAATTGCATTGTAATTTTTTTTGCAATAGAATTTCAACAAGCGCTTTTATGAAGGAATTTAAATAAATAAATATACCGAATAACAATAATCGAATATGATAGTGATTTATAATAAATTAATTTATTGCATTTTTGTAATATAATAAATTTTTGATTTGAATTCTTAAGCAAAAACAGTTAAACGAAAACTAACGGTTTATTTTTGAATCAAGTTAAAGCGCTTAGCGGAGTTTCCCATCCAAACAGCGTTGCCACACATTTGCATAAACTAGCCGGTAAAAAATAGCCTAACGCCTAGGCCAACTGGTCACACTGTCTGCATGTTTAAAAAAGTGCTCGACTCCCAATTGGACGGTTCTTATTGGAAGACAGCTTAGCACGTGTCCGGTGAATAAAGATCGAGAATCAAATAAAGTTACCATGGTTGCTACCAACTCGGATAAAATTAGGGCTCTGGCCATCAAGCTGTTCGAGATCAATGCCTTCAAGTTCGGTGACTTCAAGATGAAGGTGGGCATCAATTCGCCGGTTTACTTTGATCTCCGAGTGATCGTCAGCTATCCGGATGTGATGGTAGGTTTACGGGAATGGAATCCTATGTTCATAATTTAATACTGTTAATGGAATCTTTCATTAGCAAACCGTTTCCGATCTGCTGGTGGAGCACATCAAGGAGAAGCAACTGAGCGCCAAGCACGTGTGCGGAGTTCCCTACACGGCGCTTCCTCTGGCCACCATTGTTTCCGTGCAGCAGGGAACACCCATGTTGGTGCGGCGCAAGGAGGCCAAGGCCTACGGCACCAAGAAGCTGGTCGAGGGCATCTTCAATGCCGGCGACACCTGTTTGATTGTGGAGGATGTGGTCACCTCCGGATCGAGCATTATGGACACAGTGCGTGATCTGCAGAGCGAAGGCATCGTGGTCACCGACGCCGTGGTGGTTGTGGACCGGGAACAAGGCGGCGTGGCCAACATCGCCAAGCACGGTGTGCGGATGCACTCGCTCTTCACGCTCTCCTTCCTGCTGAACACGCTCCACGAGGCGGGACGCATCGAGAAGTCCACCGTGGAGGCGGTGGCCAAGTACATAGCCGCCGTCCAAATCAACAGCGATGGCAGCTTCGTCGGCGGCGATAAGGCCAACGTGGTCGGAGGTTCGTATGTACTCCAGATTCAGATCCCCCTAGATATATAGTAGATAGCCAGTTAGATAGACAGATAATGACACTCGGGCAGCGCATGGCCTCGAACCAAATTCAATTAGGGGAGCTCCGGTCATAAAGTTCCTAAATTTGCTTTCGTTATACAATCCCCGCCATAAACAGCGGTAAGCCGATCTGGATTCCGCCCTCGGACCGGATCAAGTTCGCGGGAAATTCGCACGTGATTCCGGGCAGTGATCCACTCAATTATGCCATGCTTATCAAGCCACTCGAGAGCCGGTCCCCTCCTCCAATCGAGCCTATCTCTGGGCTGCCAGCTCTAAATAGGCATGCCTGCTTTTTTGGCTAGTTAAAATGTATGAGAACCGGTTGGGTTCATGTCATGTCTGGCGTTGGACTTCTAAATATACCTTATCGTTTTGATTAGTTATGTCTAAGGGGAAAGTTTAAAAAAGATTTGGTGTTTTTGCACACGTTTGTTTTAGGTGAAACTTTGAACATATGTACATATTTTTAAAGTAAAGTCCGGAAATTTTCAAATGGCTTAGCAGAATTTTGTGATACCCCTAAATATTTTTTTGTTGTTAGCTTTGTACACAATTGTGATGTGTTTATTCAGCATTTTTATTTGGATCGCCTTACAGACGTCAAATGAATAACAAATCAATAACGAACCGAATTAAATCACTTATACAATAATTGAGAGATATTAAGTAGAACCAATTCATAAAAAGTTTGAGAGCAACGATGCCAGTATATAAAATATTAAATTATTTGTTATTTATTTTCATTATTATTCATTTTATGTAAACTGCACGTAAAATGTATATTTGAATACATATTCATTTGTGAAGACTTAGACTTAGTTAACATAAAATCTATTTGATTTAAAAATTGTTGGGATAGGTATTCTTATCAAAGATCACAAATAAGTGCAGCGATTAGATAGCTCCCGTGTATAACTTTAAAATCAAGTGCTGACCAATCCTACTTTTCCCTTCCCCCAGCCAACGACTTGCAGCGCACCAAACTGACCTACGAGAGCCGCGCCAACTTGGCCAAGAGCGCGGTGGCCAAGCGGCTCTTCAACCTGATAGCCAGCAAGCAGACGAACCTCTGTCTGGCCGCAGATCTCACGCGGGCGGATGAGATCCTGGAGGTGGCCGACAAGTGCGGACCGTACATCTGCCTGCTGAAGACCCACGTGGACATCGTCGAGGACTTTAGCGAGAAGTTCATCGGGGACCTGCAAGCTCTGGCCCAGCGGCACAATTTCCTGCTGATGGAGGACCGCAAGTTCGCGGACATCGGCAACACGGTGTCCCTGCAGTACGGCAAGGGCATCTACAAGATTTCCAGCTGGGCTGATCTGGTGACCGCCCACACGTTACCTGGACGCAGTATTCTGCAAGGTCTGAAGGCGGGCCTTGGCGAGGAGGCGGCGGGCAAGGAGCGCGGTGTCTTCCTGCTGGCGGAGATGTCGGCCAGCGGCAACCTGATCGATGCCAAGTACAAGGAGAACAGCAACAAGATCGCCACCGAGGGGGCCGATGTGGACTTCGTGGCCGGAGTGGTGTGCCAATCCGCCGATGCCTTCGCCTTCCCCGGTCTGCTGCAGCTGACGCCCGGCGTGAAGATCGACGAGAGCGTGGACCAGCTGGGCCAGCAGTACCAGAGCCCAGAACACGTGGTCAAGGAGAGAGGCGCCGACATCGGCGTGGTGGGCAGGGGCATCCTGAAGGCCGCCAGTCCGGAGCAGGCAGCTCAAACCTACCGCGATCGCCTGTGGGCAGCCTACCAAGATCGAGTGGCCAAATAGAAGGCACCACCTTTATTCCCTTTAAAACAAATATTCCCCCCATCCATTCCCGCGGTTTCGGTTACCCCCTAGGTTAAGTGAAAAACTTCCAAATTCTTTTCCATGATTTTAAAACGCATTTATATGAATTGAATATAGGCTATGAATCCTTCACAGAAAAGTTGACAAACAAGGTTTGCGTGAAGATAGGAGTTACAACAAGTAGAATGGTTAACAATCGATGCGAAATGCTTCGGCGATGAGGGAATCCTTAGTAGGAGGCAAGGCACTGCAACACGTAGCTGTAGTCTCCGGAGAGATCGTCCTGCGAACGAGATCAAGAGGAGAGGAAGGATGATATGTGTGACCCAGTCTTGCCGTTGAGTGTAAGCCAACTTTATTAGTTAATACAAGCACAAACTATACATACGAGTTCGATGCAAAATAATTTACAATAAAAGACATGTATACAAAATAAAGTACGTAAATTGTTAAATAATCGTAGTCGAAGATAAAGACTTGGACGTTAGACGTTATTGCACAGAGGGAAAATACTAAAGGTTTCGCAGATTGGATTTTTAGAACACATCTCATTTGTAAATAGATAATTTCATTTGTTCTCCGCTTTTGTTATTTTGATTGGGGAAATGCAATGTTTTCGTTTGATTTTTTTGGCATTTTCTATTTTAGCAGTGGGAATATTGCTCAAATATTCGTATATTCTGGCTGCATCCGTCTACCAAGCTGTAAGCGTGACCAAAACATATCCAATATCGGTCTGGGCATCCTCCTGTTGTTGTTGGTTGGGTTTAATTGTAGAGATAAAGCGTGAAAAGAGCAGAGGGGTGGAGCATTAAACGCTTTTACTTTGTATACATGGCTTAGGTATCGATTAATACCCGAAAGCTACGTCTTTTAGGAGTGAGTGTGGGGTTAAGCTTATGCCAGGTTGATCAAGGAAAAGATGTAAGCTATATATAAACTTGATCAGCAGATAATTAGGCCTTTTTTTTTCCAATTTCAAGTAAAGATTTAGGTTTTACATACTTTTAAAGCAACCACTTAGTATAACATTTAGTAAAGGGTTTCCGTTGCTGATCAAGTTTATAAAATCTTTTAAATAATTCATAAAAGATAGCTGATTTTCTTTTTAGAACAACTTAACATGATCTTGTATTAATTTAGCCATCGACCTAAATGATGTTGTGGAGTTAAGCAACCAATGTAGCGCTATTATTTATAGGTAACGAAAACTCAATTTGAATTTTGTTTATTTTGTTTTTGTCATATTTTTATTTTGTTGCTTTTTTTAAGATTATATTGCAAATGAGACTCGAAACAAAACAGAAACCATAAGTGTGGTATATATATAGAGATACAGTTATGTGCATGTGGCGTGCATAGTCGTAATAATAATAATAGTCACAGTAATTATAATAATTAACAGGATGCGAACTGGGGATTCTGATTCTACGATTTTAAATGCTCTGCGTGGCCTCGTCTTCGTAAAAACTTGTTCCAGTTTAAAAGCTATACATTGTCAACTATTCGATTTCTGAATTGCGTTTGTACATTTTTGATGTATAGTATATAGTTTTGGGCGTGGAACAGACGAAAGTGACAAGTTATTGTTGGATTGCGAGTTCTTTTTTTTATCTTTTTAGAAGCCAACAATAGCCAATAGGGCACGCTTATAATCGCCGGATGTATCGCCCTAAAAATATAGAATATGCCAAGTTTTAATGTTTTATGCACACAAATGAATTCAACGGGCGGGAAAGGATAATGGCATTCAAATTGGAAAAAGAAAACAACAACAAGAGAAGCCAGCTGGATGATTGATTGTAAATCTTTGATCTAACCACGATTAATGGGAGTTATTGCAGATACGAAATCGAATGCGAGTTAGTTTCTTATTAAACGGGGTGCAAAGTTAAAACCTCTTAAAGGCAAGCACACAAAGAAATGCAAATTGGTAATTACCTTGATCCAGGACTCCAGGCTCTTGCCGTACTTGTTCTGGAATGCCTCCTTGATGTCACCCAGATCGATTTCCGAGCGACTGACGATGATGCGGATCAGCGTCTTGTCCTTGGTGCCCAAACCGGCCATGGAGTCGTGCAGGCGCTCCGAGAAGTAATCGATCTTGGACTTGCAGCACTTGACTGTAGGGTAAATAGCAGTTAGAAACAGTACAAAAGGGATAACTGATTGCGTAACCCACCGATGGCCAGGAAACCCTTCTCCACGGAGCCGCTGAACTCCCGCTTGATGGCCTTCTCGATGTCGTTGCCCGAGAGGTTCTCGTACTCCAGGAAGATCTGGCGCAGCTGCTGGTAGGAGCGGGTGATCAGGATCGAGTTGAAGGTCGACTCGTCGGTGCCCCACTGTCCCTCGCCGGCGTCATGGAGCGCCTGGGCATCGGCAATGGCAGCAGCCTCGTCCACACCCTGGTTCTCATCGCGGTTGCCCTGGACCAGGGAAACGCACAGACGCTTGAAGTGGCCGCTGGTGTCGCCCTTCAGGTCGGACTCCAGGGACTTGCCGAAGCTCTGCTCGTAGAACTGGGCGATCGTCTTGATGCCGTAGTTGGACAGAGTGCAGAGGATCTCGATGATGGCCTCCTCATCGGTGCCCAAGCCCGAGATGGCGTCGTGCAGCTCCTGGGCGTAGAACTGGGGCAGCGGCGTCATCAGCGCCAGGATCACGTCCTCGAACTTGCCGCCCAGCTCGGACTTGAGGTCCGAGATCAGGTCCTTGCCGTAGGCGGTCTTGAACGCCTCGGCGATCTCCAGGCGCTGCACGATGCCGCGACGGGCGAGGATCTCGATGATGGCCTTCTCGTCGGTGCCGAAGCCCTTCATCGCCTTGCGCAGAATGGCCGCATCCTCGACGGGATCGAAGGGATCCGCCGGGTAGACGGTGGGTGTGCACTGCAACAATAAATGCCAAGCAAGTGAGTAATTTGTGTGCAATAGTGAATAAGAGGTTCTATTTTAATGCAAGGCACGTAATCCCAAAAAGGGTGCTACTGAGGTGACTCAACTCTACTCTGCGGAATTTACTTTATACATTGTTATTCGCCTTCTCGGTTTATCTGTGTTTTGCATAATATTTGTTAGGTTTCAAAATTTTCTCATTCTACTTAATTTGTATGACTCTTATCGTATATTTTGTACAAAGCTCTTATCACTCTCTTTTCCTATCAGTCACATTTATATTTGCAAAAGTTATCTAGTATAGAGTATACAATTTGATGAACTTTTAATAGCCCAATTACAGATAATTACTTAGCATCTGGTTGGCAGAGATACTCGGACATACATATGTATGTAGCTGCTGCATTTGGCCTCGAGAGTTTTCAGAGCTTTTTGCATTCTCGCCAACAAAACAATGTTTGGAAATAAACAAAAATAGAGTAGCTGCTAAAATGATTAAAATGAGTGTTCGAACCCCAATCAAAAATCTAATCAGTCAAGTTATATATTCGTAGAGTAATGGAAGTAAGCAATTATAGGTAATCAAATGACTTTGATAAGCCGACAGCTCATCAGAAAAAGGCAGAGCCTTTTTTTCAATCTATTGTAAACTCACCTTGAATGGGTAGTACTCAGCGGAACTCATTTTGATTTGTTTGTTGTGGAAAATCTGTAAGTAGGAAATAAGAAATCTTAATGAATAATAGTTCGGCGAGTGCTAGTTAATCAAACGTGGTAGAAAATCAACCCCCAGGCAAGGTCAACTACAATGTGGCTAATGAACCCGACCTTATTTTTGGGCCCTGCCTGGTGACATCATCAACGTCGTAAAACCCTCGAATTACGCATACGCCCTGTAGCCAGCCTGGCGCTCTGGGCTAAAAACACTTTTCCCATTGATTTTTCCCCCCCGCTTATTTGCCCAGATGTTTTTCTAGTTTTTGTTTCGGCCTAAAGCAAGTTCAACGCACTACCGGCGAAAGTGAAAGTTTCCACTTTTCCGTTGGCAGAAGAAGTCGGAACTACGAAACCGGGTGCGTCTGATAACCAAATGACTTTTGTTTTTTGTTTTTAAGGTATGTTGTTTCGTGATAGACCATACCAAACCCACACGAAATGGCCTTAAAAACGGATGAGCTCATTGCGTTCTGCTTTGGAACACATCGGGCACGGCTCGTTTGTGGCCAAGAGAAAGCTTCAGGGAAAAGCCTTTCCCCACCAACTCCTCTTTTTTCGTTCTTGACCTGGCCTCTTCAGTTGTCAAGTGGAACACTATCTCGGGGGATTCGCCACAAGCCCACATAATCAAAAAAATCAATAGGGCCAAATGACTTAATGATAAATTGATTGGAATTCCGATCGCTCTTGAATTAGTACCGCAACTACAGCGGAAAATATGTTTGCCTTTCTATGCTGCCGCCAAAGTAGAAAGTCAACAAAAGGCAGCTGAAAAAAGGCATTATAAAAGACTTGACGTGGCGACGCCACAATACCTAAGAAAAACCCGAAACAACTACGAACGCCTCTGCAGTCAAGCTATAAACAAACAAAAATGTTTTGGCCAAAGCGGGAACCGGTTCTATATGCATGGGATACAGTCAAAGTCAAGACAATAGTTGTCAAGCCAATTTTATATGTTAGCAATACAGTGCTAAATATCACCAGAAACAAAAACAGAACTTTGTTCTGTGCTAAAAACATTTTTAAGTTTTAAATGCATGGGGTGCATGACAATATTATTTCCACCTCAAATGTTTATGGACAGACATCTGTGTTTGGAATCACCTATATCTAAAAATGTTGTATATTTTGGAAGTGGTTGTGGACTGGAAAACGCAATAGAGATGACGTATCTGATGATGATGTAGATCTATAAATAGCTCTAGCACTATCATGACTTGTGATACATTTGAAATTACAGCACTTAATGATTCACAACATCAGTGACGTCAATTGGAAACTTTGAACACGACTTAAACAATAGAGAGCTACAAAAATCTAGATTTTATAGAAATAGGTATAAAGAGAGCTCTGAAACTGGTACAACTCGTGACTTTGTGTGAACAACTCCATAAACAAAAGCTTTTAGTAACTTCTTGTTGGGACCCTGGCTGACTGTACCTTGAATTGAAGCTCAGAAATGTTTCACAATTATGCCGGGTAATTTAGTAGGTAACAAACCTTGATGAAACACCTAAACTAGTATAATTGCCCGGCCTTAAATGCACTACAACGAGTTATTGAATGCGGAATGTGGTGAGTAATACTGGAAACACTCATTACCAAGATTTACTGTAGTTTAAAGCCTCTATCAGAGCAATTGAAGTTGATTGAATTACTAAATTAAGCAGGGAAATGGGGCACGAGAGACTTTTTGATGGACGCCTTTTCGAAGAATTCAGTTTCTCATCCCCAAGTAAAAAAATAAGAACAGAACGAAACATTTACTTAGGTTTAGTGGGAGATGAATAAAAGTCACACGCGTCTGCGAATGGGGAGAGAAAACGCCAAAAGAGAGGCGTTCTTGATGATGTCATCTTTGGGTTTCGATTTTGTATTTTTTCCTCTGGCTATTCTATTTGAATCGCGTATTCAAAAAACGCAAAGTAAATAGAGAGATTTTGTATCTCGCTCACTCCCATGCTAGATTCTGGAGAATTCTTCTCATGCCGCACCCAGAATTCTGTAAAATGAACTTAGCACCGACCACCTGCGATTGCTTATCACACACTTTCTTTTCACTTTTCTGATTGCTATTGTACTTGACTTTGTGATTTCTGGCACAGCGAAAGTAAACAAAATGTTTTATCTGCAAATTCTTTTAAATTTACCAACGATATTTAGCTTTTTAACGTACAAGTCAGGCGATGCGAACTGCAGGCGATGAGAAAAAATACTATAGCTTTTTGCGCTCACAGCTCCAATTTATACTGGCGCTCTCCCATTGGTAAGAGAGTGGAAGTGAAAAGCCGGTGACTGGGATCCAAGAGAGCCGGAGAGGTTTTTTGGGTGCACGCCGTTTGAGTTGAGTTCTCTGAAAGTAGTCAAAAATGAATTTAAATTCAAAAAGCGGAAGCTTTATTTTGGAAGTTTGATATTGTTGTATCTTCTACGCCTTAAAGAACATCTGAGAATCTAAACAATTGCGAGAGTAATTCGTATGAATCATCGTTATTGGAGGCTGTTGAGACATCAACTGTGACGAAAGCGTAATACGGTATTTCAATATTTGCACAAATATTATGACGACATTGAAACGCATTGAAAGAATTGATAACGCTTTGATTTCAAAAGATAAACTTTGTGATTTATTTAATTTTAAAATAACTATGAAGTAACAATTCAACTGCTCTCCTAAAAAGTTTAATTCTAAAATAATGCCAATACTTACATATTTAATTAAAACCCCGTTTTTGTTAAATGTTACAATTAAACAATAATATATTTGTGTAGTAATTAAATTTAATTATATCAAAGACCCTTGGCAACTCAAAATCACTATAATTCAAAAGCTCATATTGAATATTTTATTTTTCTATCAGCCTAAAACCAATTAGCTTAAACAACATATATCAAAAATCTTATTTGAATAATTTGAATCTCTCTGGTTGGAATTGATTCCAGTGAACTGTCGGCGTGAACTAGTTCGAAAATATATCGATACCACTTCGGGAAATTTTCCCATCTCTAACTGCAGTTGTTTTTTGCTTTTTAGGTTCCTGTTTGTTCTTGTCTTTATGAATCAATTGCTTAGTCCCCCTTATTCGCCTTGAAAAACGCAGACATTCGAAGGCTCCAAAGGCACCAAGTCACCAATTTCCATTGCAATTAGTCACCGGTTGGTAAGTATGTAATATACAGCCAGAAGCGTCTTATTCTCGATCCGGCATCGGCCCCTCCCTTCTTCGGTGTTTGGTGACTTGTTATCTTGCCCACGAATTGAAAGCAGATCCCCCTCCCCAGCAAAAAAAAACCTGCTCCGATCACTTACTCACTCGTTATGGTGTTTATCTACCCAGCAGATAAGGATAAGCGAGTAGCCCGAGTAACCAGAAACCCATAAACAGAATGTGGAAGGCAACCGCCGGTCACCAGATTCAGGCCACCAGTGCCGCCTCCGCGGAGGATGATGACTGGGAGACGGATCCGGACTTTGTGAACGATGTCAGCGAGCAGGAGCAGCGCTGGGGATCAAAGACCATCGACGGTAGCGGTCGTACAGCCGGCGCCATAGAGTGAGTCACTCGGTTTTCATGCGAAAAGCAGTATCAAGTTCATTGTTCCCCTTTTGTAGCATGGACAAACTGCGTGAGGAGACGGAGCGAGCGGATCTGGACAAGAAGAAGCAGTTGCTTAAGGATCAGAACGCAGGATATGGCTACGGCGGAAAGTTTGGCGTGGAGAAGGACCGCATGGATAAGTCAGCCGTAGGTCACGACTACCAGGGCAAAGTTGGCAAGCACGCTTCGCAGAAGGACTACAGCGATGGGTTCGGCGGCAAGTTCGGCGTGCAGGAGGACCGCAGGGACAAGTCAGCCGTGGGCTGGGACCACATCGAGAAGGTGGAGAAGCATGCCTCCCAAAAGGACTACGCCACCGGTTTTGGAGGCAAGTTCGGCGTGCAGTCGGATCGAGTGGACAAATCGGCCGTGGGATGGGATCACGTCGAGAAGGTGGAGAAGCACGAGTCCCAGAAGGGTGAGTTAACTAGAGCCAAACTTGTTAAACTTGTGAAACTTATAACAAAAAAGTTTTTATTAAGACTCAGATAAAAGTTAAAGAATTTATCTCTTAGATGCCTAAATACAGTAAAATTCTTTTCTTCGCATTGTAGATTACTCCAAGGGTTTTGGCGGCAAGTTTGGTGTGCAGGAGGATCGCAAAGACAAGTCAGCCGTGGGTTGGGACCACATTGAGGCCCCGCAAAAGCATGCCAGCCAGGTGGACCACAAGGTCAAGCCCGTGATCGAAGGTGCCAAGCCATCCAATCTGCGGGCCAAGTTTGAGAACCTGGCCAAGAATTCTGAGGAGGAGTCGCGTAAGCGGGCGGAGGAGCAGAAGCGTCTGCGCGAAGCCAAGGACAAGAGGGATCGCGAGGAGGCCGCCAAGAAAACTGTGGCTGAGAACACACCACTTACCTCGACGGACACTCCGCCGCCAAAGGGCAGCCGGGCGGCCATCCAGACAGGTCGCACCGGAGGCATTGGCAACGCCATCAGTGCATTTAACCAAATGCAATCGCCGGTGTCGGAGACTCCACCAGCACGCAAGGAACCCATCGTCATTCCCAAGGCGCAGCCAGTTAAAGTCGAGGCAAAGGAAGAGCCAGCGGCCACTCCAGCTCCTGCAGCTGCACCTGCTCCTGCAGCTGCACCTGCTCCTGCTCCTGTAGTTTCTTCTCCTCCTGAGCCACAACCAGCACCAGTGGCCAAGGTAGTAGCTCCGCCACCGGATGTGGTGCCCCAGATTGAGGTGGAAACCGTGGCTACGCCACCCCGAAGCGATCCGCCATCCCCGGAGCACGAACCAACGCCTCAAGCCCAAGTCCAAGTCCAGCCTGAACCCCAGCCTCAGGCCGATCCCGAGCCAGTTGCCCAAGAGGAGCCGCTGTACCAAAACCAGGCCGAGATTAAGGCTGCTTCGCCGCTGCCACCCACCACGAACGGAGCAGCTTCCGAGGCAGTCGCTCCAAGTGGCGGAGTCACGGCGCCCGAGGAGGCCATCTATGCAAATTCTGATAACTTGGCCGACTACCTGGAGGACACCGGCATCCATGCCGTTGCCCTGTACGACTACCAGGCGGCGGACGACGACGAGATCTCCTTCGATCCGGATGACGTGATCACCCACATCGAGAAGATCGACGACGGCTGGTGGCGGGGATTGTGCAAGAACCGATACGGACTCTTCCCGGCCAACTATGTGCAAGTGGTGGGACAGAATTCCTAAATGCTTCCAATTGAAATTCACGATAGAACAAAATCAAATTGTATTTACATACTAACGAAAACGAGATAATACTGATGTTGGATTGTGCAACCCATTCGCTACTAACCCAAACCATTACGCATGGCCCCTTCCCATCCATTGTTTCCCCTCTTATCCCTCCAAATTATGTGCAACGAACAGCTAGAGTTTTAAATTATTATTGTAATTTGTTATGCTAGCTCTTGAACCAATCGTGGTATTCCATACTTTATATATCATTTACTGCATTTTACATTCTTTGTATTTAACACGTATATTTTTCAAAGAAAATATGCCAAGCTATTTATGTTTCATATAAGCAATTTGTGGGAAAATTTATACAGTGCTCATTTAATATTTTAACGTTGGTTTTGAATATAAATGAGTCAAGTACTTTTGCTCCTTTTAAATTGTTAAAGTCTACGAGTGTTTCCCGCATCGAGCGAGATCCAATGTTGAAGACAGTCACAACAAAAAGTCTGCTCTTTTGATAAAGAAATACATAATAAATAAAGTTAATTAATAACTAATAAAGGGTTGTTTGCCTTGTTAATGAGATCTTTCATAAATTTGATTTTCACGAAATGCATACTAAATCTGCAATTGAAAAAAACTTTAAATAGTACTTTGAGTCAATGGGTTTAATGTTACCAACCATGATGTTCTTGCTCGGAAATATCTTTCATAATCTTTATACATACATATCAAAGTCTCCATAAATCTTTTCAAATTTATTTGTTTATTGTGGTAGATAAGGCTCCACTGTAGGGTAAGTTAGGACCAAACAAAATTTTGCCCATTTTGTAACGTTACTATTGTGGGGTAGGACTGCCAAGGCACTTCTTCAATGGATAGTTTTTCTTATCAGCCGCTTACCAAAGTTGGTTCCATCTGGAAGTACATAAGAAATTACATGAACCCAATTACTGCCATGAATCATACTATGATTTGAACACGGGTTCAACAAAGAAAAAGAACTTTGCATTGTGCTGATTTATCGGTTTAAGAACATAAGTAAAAGTATGGCAGAAGTTGTAAATTTGACCGACACCCGAAAAGAAGCGGCGACTTGATAAGTTGTATCGCGATTATTAGCGACGGATCGCAATCAAAAGATGTGTCAGACGAAATCAAAGTTGGCCGATAAAGTTGATTTATACATTTAATTTCGACTGGAGATTATGATAAAGCGTGCGTGTTCCTAACAACGTAAGGAAAATTAATTTCTTATTGTCCGTTAAACAAGTTACAGAACTAGTAATTTTTACACCCATACCACTAAAAGTAACGGTAGTTTGTGCTTAATGATAAGGGAGAGAGCGAGAGAGAACCAGAGAAAATGGAGAGGTTTTTTAAAACCGGTTTTGGAAATGCCAAGTTTAAATCGTGTATCTTTTGTTTTGAGGGCACTCATCAAATCGTCAACGGATCCTAAGGAATTATCAAAAAATCCCCCGTCAAAAAATCACTTCTCTCTTTCGCCCACGCGCACTCTCGCTCTTTATTTGTTATCAGTACGTGAGAGAGAGAGAGATGTATTTTAAATAAATAGGGGCTGCGTCCAAATGCTATAGTCACTCGATCGCGTTGGCTCAAAGTAGTACCGCAATTTGGCCGATAAGGTAGTGCTTACTTTAAAACAAAAATAGACAGCAAAAATTATATTTGTTCACTTAAATCGGAAAAGAATTGCTCGTAGCTTGCAGAAAAAATTTAATTATCAAATATTAAGCCATTTTTAGTTTTGGTTTATTCTTTTTGGCGCTAAAGTTCAGAATTTTAAAAAGAACTAGTTCATAGGTGTGAACTCGATGGTGTTACCAGAGGCTTAACTTGCTTTCCCCGAGAGGAGTATTTTTTGGTATCGCGTTGCCACTTCGCTCGGAATGAACTCTGAGCCAAAATAAAAGAGCCATTCGACTGAGAAAAATTAATAAACAAAGAGCAGCTCGCGGGCAGAGCAACAATTGCCTGTACGGTCGTCAATTGCCGTTAACTAAGTCAACAATTGACAGCCGAAGACGCAGCATCTTAATTTTTTCCTTGTCTCCTCGCTGCGCCTTCATCGTTTTGTTTCTGCCGTCCAACGTCACCGAATTTGTAAATTGGACGGGAAAATGCATTTATAAGCAGTAATAAGTGCCGTATCGCCGATTCTCTGTGTTCCGAGTGATATAATAAAGGCGAGGGCTTCACTAAATTACACACAGCTGCAAGTAAGCCCATTAACTGCTGGGAAGTGGTGATAACCTAAGTTATCCAACAATTTACATCTTCATCAATATTTCGTGTTTTCACTGAGAGTTCGTGTGTGTGTGTGTTGAGTGCGCGTAAGTGTGCGTGCGCACGCAGGTGTGTGCTAATAACAAAACGTGGTGCTCCCCTCTTTCTTTCTGTCCCCAAAACTCCCCCTTCTTGCTTCTGTCTCGTACCGGCAAGGAGTGTAATTTATAGTTCCTAACTGTAAAAACAATTGTTTGTTGACAAGCGTTTCGCACTTTTAAATCCCCTAACAATGGTTTAGTTTCCCAGACGCAATTTCTTTATGGCTTTATTGCCTGGCACTTTCATAGAAAAGATTTTAAAGAACCCCATGAATCTTAAACGGAAAGCGTATAATTACAGTTAACAAGTCGGGATTGAAAAACAAACGAATTAACGATCTGTTGCTGATAAGTGAACTAAGTGTTTCTCTTCTATTTTCGAATTACTGTTATCTTTTTGCTTAGAATTATTTTCGGTTTTGTTGTCAAGTGTTTTGTTTTGCTAGCTGCAAATTAAATTGAGCGCTGGACTGCGCAAATTGGTACGCAGTTTAAAATATATATTTCCCGAAATAAACACAATTCTTTGTGAAAACAAAAAAAGACAACTTCTGAATATAATTTGGACACCCAATTAGCAAAAGCCCTGAATTTTTTGGCTTTTTTCGCTTATCAATTATAATTTACGGTTCGTGATTAGGTAGGAAAATTATACATAGATGTACACGTAGCTGATTATACGGTTATCGACTTGGGCTTTGTTTTGGGGGCGTGGGTATTGCCGTACAACTGGGTAAACACAGCATGCTGCGTCATACAAATATTATATTCAATGAACTGAACAGTTTCCGTGGATTGGTTATACCTTGGCTAACAAAAAGTTGCACCGATCTTTAGGCCCGATTTAAGCTCCATTAGGTGCGTCTTGATTTGGCCAACTGGGCTACTCTATACTATACACCAGATTAAATGCCACATACAAGTAGACATCGACCGATGCTCTCGGGCTCTTTGTCTTTGCTTTTTCTCCGCTCCGTCCGTCATCAATGAATCGATGTGGAAAGCCTTATAGCAGATATATGTAGCATCAGTGGGGCAGTGGAGCTCAAGGTGAGCCACTTGGCGCTTTTTTCAACAACACATATGTTTTTGAAGAGCTCTTGCCTGCTCAGGCAATCCATACGAAATGCACTTGTAATCGCTTTTTATCAAAAAAGAAAAAAAAAAACAAAATACAACAACTCATAAAGATATGCAAGTTCAAAAGTCTCGTATTTCCGTCGAGCTGTCTTGTTTATAACATGCCATGTCTAAGTGATTATTAAATGCAAATTGGTTTGTACAAAAAATATATCTGGATATTTGTTTCAGTAAATTGGATAAAGGAATTTCAATTACTGGACCGTTGAGCCCATATATATGATTCACACAGCTTTGTTTTATTTCCTCATAAAGCTCTCACATGGCTTAATAATGAATAGAATTCATATTACAGTCGCGTTATCAATTCCGCCGACCAAATGCCTCTCAAACTATTTTGTTATTTATTTTTTGCCACGCACGTTCAGGGAAATCATTAAACGTGTTACTTTGGCTGGATTATGATGAAATTGTCCAAGTACGAAATGGAATATATGCATGCCAAAAGCAATAAAGTTATATGGTGCAGAAATCTCCATTTCATATAGCGCGAAATTCATTTGTTTGTTGTTTGCATTATGATAATGCTAATTGAGTTGGCATCACACAGATGCTCAATTAAATGGAAATTGTGAGAATTATTAGCTAATGGCAGGTGAAACAATCACATAGCAAATACAGATAAACTTAGAACATTTGGTTTCGTGTTGGGGATAGTTTAAAAAGCATGTTGAAATCAAAACGATCCTAATTTCATTTCTCTATTGCAGAATGTCTTCGAATGAGGCCTACCACAGAACCAACGAGCCGGGAGCAGGTGGAGATGGCCCGGGTGAGTCCGCCGGCGGATCTGCCGGAGGTAGTCAGCGGAGCAATCACCTGCACCACCAGCAGATACTCAACGAGACGACTTATCTGAAACCCGCCGCCAAGCAGGCCTACTTCAGCGATGAGAAAGTCCTCATTCCCGATGATGATCGCACAAACGTAAGTCCAACTTACGAAACAGATAAGTTAATCAAGTCTAAACCATTATCTTGCGCCCTGCAGGTGGGTTTCAGCTTTCGCAAGCTGTGGGCCTTCACGGGACCCGGTTTTCTTATGTCCATTGCGTATCTGGATCCCGGCAACATCGAATCCGATATGCAGTCCGGTGCGGCGGCCAAGTACAAGATCTTATGGGTCTTGTTGTGGGCCACCGTCTTGGGATTGCTCATGCAACGCTTGGCTGCAAGGTGAGTGGGTCTCCGAGTTCCTCAAATAGTTTAAAATGAAAACCATCATCTCCCCTGCAGGCTGGGTGTGGTCACAGGCCTGCATCTGGCCGAGATGTGCTACAGACAGTACAAGCGTCTGCCGCGTTGGATCCTCTGGATAATGATTGAGATAGCCATCATCGGGTCCGACATGCAGGAGGTTATTGGCACGGCCATTGCCATTTACCTGCTGTCTAATAAAGTGTAAGTATAGCAAATGCCCATAATGTATGAATACCCCGTACTCATGCGGTGCTTCCCCTAATTGTTTTTGCAGAGTGCCTTTGTATGGCGGCGTGTTGATCACCATTGTAGACACGTTCACGTTCCTGTTTCTGGACAAATACGGTCTACGCAAGCTGGAGTTCCTATTCGGTACCCTCATCACAATAATGGCGATCTCTTTCGGCTATGAGGTAGGTCTTACTTTAATGCAAAAAGCCCCCAATTTCAAGTGACTTATTTATTATTGGAAGCAGCCCCAAAAACTGAGAAAAGTTCCCCTAGCTTAACGATAATAAAGTAGTCAGGGGAATAAATTAGCAGACGTGAGCGCAAATATATAGTATTTAAACAATTGTGCAAAGCGTAATGGAAAAAAATTCTACCGAAGCATTTTTACGCCTCGTCTAAAGTAAATTTGCAAACTTCCATTTCGCAGGGGCGTTTTCCCAATATCACCACTTCACCGAAGCGAACCCTAAAACAAACCTCATTTACTTTTATATTTACTACAGTTTCGTGTTTATAGACCAGATAATAACTAATTGTACTTGAGCTGTCTGCCCCAGTGGGAGACACGGATGATTAGATAAGCTGCACTTGCACATTTCGAGGGGGTTTCTGGGTACTTCATCTGTCGCTTCCCGAGCACATGATGCTGCCGGATATGACAAACACTGCTATAGGGGATAAATAATGCGAGGCGATATCAGTGCGGTTACACAATGCAGAATTTTTACAAATATCCATAGTTTTTTTCACTGATAAGGCATTGTAAACCCTTCAGATTTTAGGGACTTTCTCAGAAAGTGTACAACGATTTAAAGAACAAAACAAAATAGCTTCGGGGACTTACATTTTTTTATCCCCAACAATGAAAAAACAAATTATTTGCCTAACTGACATGTGTTGTTTTCTTGTTATTAGTACATTGTGTCAGCACCCAATCAAGGGGAAGTTCTCGAGGGGATGTTTGTGCCCTGGTGCTCTGACTGCAATTCTAATGTATTGCTGCAGGCTGTGGGTGTGGTAGGTGCTGTCATCATGCCCCACAATCTCTATCTGCACTCGGCCTTGGTTAAGGTAAGAACTCGTTGAACTGAATATTTCAAGATTACTAAGTTTGTTTCCACAGTCCCGAGATATAGATCGTCGCCAGCCCAAGAAAGTGAGCGAAGCGAATTTTTACTTCTTCATAGAAGCCTCGGTGGCTTTGTTTGTCTCCTTTATTATAAATCTGTTTGTGGTGGCAGTGTTTGCCCATGGCATGTATGGCAAAACGAACAAGGATGTTGTAAGTAGACGATCTTAAGAATCTTAAACTATCATAATACTAATGATAACTATACTTTACCTACAAGCTTGATGTGTGCGTCAATAAGTCAATGTACGATGATGCAAAAATGTCGTTTGTGGACAACCAAAACGGAACTGCCATCATCGATGCGGATCTTTATAAGGGCGGCCTCTTTCTCGGCTGCACCTTTGGTGCCGTCGCCATGTACATTTGGGGCGTGGGCATCCTGGCTGCGGGTCAGAGCTCCACGATGACGGGCACCTATGCGGGCCAGTTCTCCATGGAGGGATTCCTGAACCTGCAATGGCCCCGCTGGTGTCGCGTGCTGGTCACGCGCTGCATTGCCATCATTCCCACCTTCTGCCTGGCCATGTTCAGCAAGATGGAGGATCTGACCAGCATGAACGACATCCTGAACGCTGTGATGTCGCTCCAGCTGCCATTCGCTGCCATTCCCACCATCGCATTCACCTCATGTGCAGCCATAATGGGCGAGTTCGTCAATGGACTGTGAGTGTTGTTGATTCGTTTAATTGGTTCCCGTGCAGCATTTAATTTACTGTATTCGCAGGGGCAACAAAATCGTTTCCATTCTGCTGACCATTGTGGTGATTGGCGTTAATATATACTTTGTGGTGGTGCAGGTGGAGGCCATGGAAATTAAGGGCGGCCTGCTGGCTCTAGTCTGTGAGTACAAAGTGGTTTCTATTGCTTTGAGCAGCTCATAATGGTTTCTTTCTTTCCTTTTAATTGCAGGCATATTTGCCATTCTGTACATACTGTTTAACCTATACCTTGTGATACACATGGCCGCCTGCATGGGCAACCAGCGTCTGATGAACAGCCGAGTAAGTATTTCGTTGCCGCTAGTTGGGCTTAGTGAATCAAAAATTTGGTGGACGTTTTGACACATTTCAAAGCATCGCAGATACCGCCGCCAATGGGTTGACTTTATCAATTTACGTGACTGACCACATATGGTTCTCGGGGGCTTTGGGGACTTATGGCCACTTCATCTAAAGGTATTCAAGGTATTCTCTCTTTACAGTGGGTGCAGCGCTTCGTGTTGCCAAGCCAGAACAGCTTTTCGATAAAGAACGCCAACTCCACGTATGCCAGGTATGTTCCGGATTTGATTCACCCAGCCACAACACCACCATGCACAGCACACTTAAATGCACAAACTCTCGCGATCCTTCATTTTCTTCCTTAGTAGTTACTTTTATTTAAAACCTATAGCTTCAGTCTTACTTTCTACCTGCACTGCTCTTCAACCGAATTGGCTTTACTTCTTTTAATTATTTTCCCACCCTCTATATCCATCCGTAAGCTCTCTATCTCTGCTTCTAACTACTAATCTACATTTGGTTACGATCTCTTAACCGAAACTAAACACCCAAATCGTATCTTGCTATGCTCTCTTCTCTCGATTCTTCACAGTGATGTAACCTTAGTTGTAGGCGAATCAGCTACTAACACGGTGAAAGGTCTCGATACCGTCTCGGAGAAAGTGCCTAACTGAATCATCCCGGTGAATCATTCAGGCCAGACTCCCCCACACACACCCTTGTGATATTAACACTAAATCACACGCTTAACACTACTAACAAGTACCTAGTGGGGTTCTAAGCAACCCTTTGAGTTTATAAGGCATGTCTTTAGGGGAACTACGTTTGTACATAGAAAGCATTTACCCATCAACGATGGGGTCCTATAGATAGTAAGCGTGTCTCTGGTAAGTCTCCACTGAATGCTTTATCGAGCAGGCGGTATTATGTGCTCATAAGGCTTTGGCGCTTAGCATGTTAAATAAAGTTGCAGTTATCACTAAGTATTACTCGAAAAGTCTTTCAATTTATTGGTAATTGGTATTTGGCCATAAGTGCCAACAGCAGCCTTTCTAGAAGCCGATGATTGGAATCAAAAGGACTTACTACAAAATATCGGAATTTCTTAAGACAATATAAGTACAATTTAAGCTTTAGTTAATGATAAGATTCCTTAGATTATTTTAAGTGTTATGTTTGGTAACGGGCATTAAGGCACTCTGGGCGTGGCTCATTTATCATCACTCACTCAAATATTTCAAAACAAAAAAATGTGTGTCTAATTTTCAAATAATTTTGTATCATGACATTTCTCTTTTATTATATGTACTTGGAAACCCTGTACTCTGTATATGTGTCTGTGTGTTTCACCACTGTCCCTCTATCCGTACTCTCTTGTACACCATAAACCCTACTCTTATACTCGGTGCCTACTACACGACTGGATTGATTGATGTTTTCCGTTTCCCATTCATTTGTGGCTAATTGAAATGTGCCAAACAAATACACACAAAAACAACTACAACAAAAACAACCAACTATTTTAAATTGACCCACACAAAAACGAATTTAAATTTAAACACACATGCACAACGATCTCAAAATTGTATATTACTCGTATGTGGAAATGGATTTTTTGGCATTGATACAAACAAATTGAAATTATTTTCCGAAACCTTTTATCGAATTTATTCAAAATTGATTTCTGAAGAATGGCACAAAATATGCAAAATTTTAATGCAACATAAGGAAAGGCAGATCGAAAACAAGACTAATTGATGTTAACGAATTTCGATCGATTAGAGAACGCGTGCCATGACCATTGAAATCATTAAGAGTGTACCAAAATAAAAATCCATTTTTGTTCCACTTGACTTTAAATACCATGGCCAAAATGAGCCGCGCCAAAAATAGTGCTGGTCAAAACTGATTTTCTTTCTTTGCTGGGGGCGCCTCATCAACCTGAACTACTGCCACTTCAATTCTGGATCGGATTCTGCCTCTAATGTACATAGCGAGCTGACACTAAACGATAATGGAACCGCGACAAACTCCATTCAGAATCCAAATCCGAATCTCACCCAACGAAGCCAACTAAGATAGTCATAAGTCAACATCCTCAGCGTTCTTATCTCAATTGTAAAATTTGATTTAATTTAGTGTAATGTTGTAAAGAATTTATGGTCCTTAGAACCTGCACTATAAGTATTTCTCTTTAGCTATTCTTTATAGTTTATTTATTAGACGAATTGTACGTACTTTTGTTCTGAACACATTTTGTTGATATTAGAAGCTTTGTATAAATCATCATGTAGACTTTGTATGTACATTATGTAGACATATTTATTAACTCTAGAAATAAATGAATTTCGCAAAACTTTCCACTCTGTTTTCCAGGCAATAAAAATTCCTATTTCGTTTTTGTGTTTGCTGGTGGTTTTTTACTTTGTTTGCTTAAAACTTGTTTGTTTACGTGTGAACTTTAGTGTTTTTTTAATTTCCTGGTGTTTTTATATCTGTATGCTTTGGCTATCTTTGTATGTGACTTAAATATTAGTTTGCTCTGGGTAAACTCTTTTGATTTATTTTTTATCTTTATTGTGCTTAGAAAATGTTGGTAGTTACTATGTTGTTTAGGGAAGCTTTTTTGGTGTTTATGACTTTGATATGGATCATTAAATTAAACGGGCATTAACCAAATATAAATATATAAATATGTATATTGATAATATATACTAGAGATAAAACTTTTTAAGAAAAATTTATGAAGCCAAAAATATTTAAAGGCATATAAAGGCTTTTTTTCAGTTCGAATGAATGAAATGAATAAATAAATTTTAAATATATTTCAAAAACATGAAAAAAACCTTTAACATTTAGTATCTATTTTATGAAGATCTATAATTTAAACAATTTTAATATTCGTATACACTACTAACTAAATAATTTATATTCGTAAATTAATTAATTGATTAAGAAAAATAAGAAATAAAATTCTTTAAAAAACTAGAGGCAACCATCAATTTGCAATCTATTAAATAATATATAATGACAAATCTGTTTTATATAATAGTATTTAAAAATTTTGATCCGGAGTAAATATATTATTTTTAATATTTTTACCATATTAGCTAATATTATTATTGGATATTCCCATACCTCAACAATTTTTTTGTTTATTTTTCTTATAATAACTTGAGTGCAACGAAATTTATGTAAGGCTACTCTTTTTCCGTTTGCACTAAAAACTTTGATCTCCTCCTCCTCCTCTTCCTCTGCCCCTACTTTCATATTAATATTTATTTTTTTTATTGATTTGACGAGAGATCCGCACTGAAACCAATCTCACTTCCACCGTGCATCAACCATTATCCATCATTCATTTATGAAATATCCCCCTAATTCTGCTTGCAGGATCGCCACTAGTGCCGAGAACGAGGTGGAGGGCTTGGATGGTGAGGATGCGTAGCCATTACTGTGCTGCACTGATTCCGATGGCAGTGAGGAGGTTTGTTTCAACAACAGCAACAACAACGAGATTGGCTGCCCGAGCAGCAATCTGGAGGGAACTGGAGGGCAGCACGTCGTCCTTAGCTAGCGGTGGCATTCAAATTGGCTCCGTGAACGCCGTCGCCGTAACAAACCACTCGACAACAGACACAATGTGGCAGAATTCTCCATCGCCAGGTCAAAATTCTATTCGGTTTTGGCTGGCTGGGAATGGATTGGCGTCCGTTGTTGCTTCGGGTATTCTTTTTAAGGGGTCCTCCGAGAGGACCTGGGATCAGTGTAACACAATAACAAAATTCTAATTTATATGCATACCAAAAATGGGTAATGAACACTACTGACAGATAAGCGCAGAGAGACAAAAGCAAAATCCATGAGATCGGCAAAAGTATCCCTAACCGAAAGCACTTTTAATTAAAGCAATTAGTTGTAAAGTCTATTAATATTAAGGCTGTGAAATTAACTGAGCGTATATCGAACCACATCAATTGTCTTATCGTGTGTAAATTTGCCTGTAAAAATTTTATCATTTTGTGTCTATTGATTGAATGTGTATCAGTAATTATCTATCAAGTGTTTTAGAAAAGGAAACTTTGTACTTTGTATTTAGTTTTTATTACTGTTTACCCTAAGAACTCCTTAAAAGCTGCACTTTATAACAGAAACAAAAGGTCCAGAGGAGTCCATTTTCTCCTAGCTAGCTACATATGAATATTTTAAAAATTGTTGTGTACCAAAATCGCTGAAATAAAAAATTTGTATTGTATTAAGAAACAACTTTACAAAAGTTCATTCAAGAAAGATGTTTGGGTATTTAAACTAAATCTACTTAACTGGCCTTACGTCAATATATATAATTAGCTTGGTCCATTGAAATTTTTTTGCATACCAAGTGCTTAATTGTATTTACGATCGACAATTGACCGGCTAGTTTGACCGACTAATTAACTGAAAGTTAGAATTATAGCACCGAGCGGATAATGATAAAGTATTGGGTGTTAGGTGTGGGTTGATTTATTTTAAATCTATTCACTTAAGTAATTCTTAATTGATTTGCAAACGTAACTGGTAATTGGTAGCTCTTGTTTTATGGACTATAAAAGCGCAGAGTTAGTCGCTAGCCGATTCATTTGTTAGCTGACACCCAAGTTGAATCAAAATGAGGTTAACTTTATTCGTTTGCTGCTTCTGGACTGCACTCGTTACGGGACAACTACGTAAGTCAAAGGATATTCCATTGGTACCCTCTTTTTAGTAGAGCAATTTGTAGCTCCTGAGATTGAAAAATGTAAAGCTGGCGATTCCATCTGCGTTGCGGAAACGCTGACCCAGATTATACGATTCTCTCCAAAGGGTTTGGAGTCCATTGGATTAATCGCTCTGGATTCCATTGCATTTGACAATGTGGTCATTAGTCGGATAAAACCAGATAGCCCAGCCACATTGGATCTGAAATTTCATAACCTAACCATGAAGGGACTTTCGGATGCAACAGTGGCGGAGGCAAAGGGATTTGAAGCGGATTTGCCCCGAGTCCTGGAGATAAGTGGTTGGGTCCCATTTCTAAAATTTGATGGATATTATGAGATGCATGGTAGTCTGCTTACTATACCAATTCAAGGACAAGGACAGGCTCAGGTGGAAATCAAAGATTGCCTCTATCGCTGCAAAGCAAGGGCACTGAAACAAATTCGAGCTGACGGCAAACAATATGCTGATGTCGACAAAGTAAAGTGCTTGCTGGATGTTCAAGGGTAAGAAATAATCTTTTTCTTATTCTCACTTGATATCGAGTGCCAATTCTCCATCAGCCTCCATCTCAACTTTGAGAATCTTTTTGATAATCCTGAGTTGAGCGAAGCTATTAACGGTGTGGCCAACACCAAGTGGCGGGAAATTTGGCAAACCCTTCGAAAGGGTGTCACCTCAGCAGTGGATCGAATCCTGGCAACGGTTCTTAAGCGAGTGGCTGATAAGTTTGCATATGAGGACTTCTACCGAGATTAAAGGCTTAAAATTGTTCCTTTAAATTTTTTTTTTTTTTTTTTTTTTATAAATAAATAAATTATTTTTTTTCAAGAATAAAAGATTTTTAAAACAATTTTTTATTTGAGTATTTCGGATATTTTATGTACGCACATCCTTTTTGTCTTGATTCACAGTAATTATGTACATTAAGCCTGCCAATCTGTTGAAAAGGACCCTGATTTATTGGCTCTATAGCGAGTTATTAACCGGATGAAGCTAATATTAAATAAATCATTTGGTTTAAACTGTTTGTCATCAAAACAACGCAGTTTAATTTTTATATGCATCGTACTCGTTGCTCACCTGATCACAGCTACACGTTCGCGTAAGTCATTTACATAATTGAGTTTAGTATGTTTGTTCTTCTAACCGATTCTAATAAAGAAAGGTTTCACTACCAGGACGATCAATGCAGTTTGGTTTATAGGTAATGGGTTTGGATCTCGAAGGAATCTTGGTGTATTTAAAACCAACATTTACGGAAACTTAACCCTCTAAGCCCCAAGAGTGCCTTGAGGCACTCATTTCACATGCGTTATTGTGGAAAGTGGCATTAGAGGGTTAACAATTCGGAATGTAATAAAAAACTGATTTGTTATCCTTTTAAAATTCGATTCTTTAAGCCCTTTAAATCGTGTAACATTCACTTGATTTCAGTGCTCTGAGCTCACTGTTTTTATCGATTTAAAAAAATAAGGTCTTATTCAGGTGTGGTGAAAGCTTAGAAACCTGAAGCTTTTCAATCTAGCTCTCTGCTGTAGTGCTAATATATTATAAATTAATAAATTATTTTATTGCATCACTGAACAAAATTCAATAATAAATAAAGAATATAAAATTTGTTGCATATTCATATTAATCATTACCCCTACTACTTTCTAGTAATAATAATAGTTTTAAATAATTTACGAATTACAATCGGTAAATTAAAAAAAAAAAAAGTTACAAAGGCCAAACTATAGTACACATGTTTTACTTTTACTTTAGTGTATAATGGGCTAATAAATACATTAATATAACTAGGGTCTTTTTTTCTCAGTGAGTATATAGCAACTTGTTATGATAATGGCACCTAGTTAGATTTCCTTATAAATGTTCCGCCATAACAACAAATCTGTTTTGATCACCGAGTAGTTTCTATTGGCTATGCAAGTGCTTCGGTTAACTGAGAGCTCCGCCGTAATCTGTTGGGGTCTAAAAAATCATTTGTCTGTGAGATGCGGTTCCTGGCTTACTTGTTTATTGGACTTCAGCTAATTGTTGGACTTCAGTGTCAAAAATTGCGTAGGTGTTACAATGGAAATATCCTTATAAAAAGTGGTAAATAAACATCTTGAATTGCAGCTGCCAAAGTGAAGAAATGCCATTATGGCGATGGCAAATGCCTTGTGGAGTCGGCCAATGCCGTGTTGCGAAACTATCCAAAGGGCATTCCTGAGGTCAATCTAAAGCCCTTCAATGTACTTCCTGTTCGGGATTGGCTGCTGGTCAACGATTCCCAGGTGGGCGGTGCCTGGTACTTCTTTAAACTGATCAACCAGATCAACTACGGCTTTGAGAACACGACCATCACCGAGATAAAGGGCTTTGATCGCGATCCCACCGCCAGCAGGATCGAGATCCACGGAAGGATTCCTCGGTTGGTCTACAAGGGTAACTATGTGGCCAAGGGTCGGATGCTCTGGTTCATTGATATTGACGCACACGGAACCTCCGAGTCGGATTTCCTGAATTTCCGCTTCGATCTCTCGTTGAAAGTGCGAATCGAGTACAGGAACAACAAGCGATACATGAAGATTTATGAGCTGGTCCCAAATCTAAGGCTAGATCGGTAAGTTCTATGGAAAGTTAAATGGTGGTTTAAGCTCACCTATATAGCTCACTTATTAAATGTTTGTTAGCTTAAGTTATTTAGTTTTATATTTAAATGTAGATATTCTTTTTATGTTTTGCTTCAATAGATGGATAATGTGGATGGATGACTTCTTTCCGGATAACTACGACCTGACTATAGCGATCAACAATCTGTTCAATCGAAACTGGGTGGAGTTCTGGAACGAACTGGAGCCGGGTATCCTGCGTCTGTTTGAAACTGTATTTTTAAGCCTCTTCGAGGACCTTTTTGAAACGGTGCCTTACGATGATCTGTTTCTATCTGATGAAGACTCTAAATAAAGTTAAGCTTGTTAGTGATAGTGTTTGCTTATAAAAAACAACAATAACAATAAGAAAAACTCACAAATTTATAGTATACGACTACAACTTAAAACTACGTAAATGATATGAAAACTGGTTATCAATTTGTGCACATTCCTACCAGGTTTATTGGCCTTAGTAAACTGATTGAGAATAAGAGAGCGATACTTGATCTAAAGCGTAAATCTATTAGCCAATCAACTGTTGCTGCCAACACAATTTCATACACACTATGGAGAGTTATCAAGAAAGATTTGGGATAATCCTGATGTAAATAAACATTTTGAAATGTAAAATGTAATCAGAGCGATTCTAAGCAAAAAGCTAATTTGTTTCTCAAATATGTCATATAAAGAATGAATATTGATTAGAAAATATTCCCAAATAGCGGTTTTAGTCTTCAAGAATTTAATAAAATGAAAGGTTGACGGAGAGCAGCTAAAATTCTCAACACAAAATCTAAACTTTCCTTAAAGTATTCTGTGGCCTTGGCAAGTATCATGTCTAATTATGTTTGACTTTTTTTATTTGAAAGATTATAATCACTTCACCATCGATTTGTCCACCCAATTATAAATGGATTATACTCTTAATAAATATTTACTTATAGGTAAAAATGCTAATGGCGGTAGCAAAGCTTGCAACCGGTTTTAGTTACATGAAAGTGCATACCCAAGCTCTAGTTGATCTTTCAGCTCACGTCTTCAAATGAGAATCGGCGGCTGAAGGCACTAGAAGTGCACTTAGAACACTAGTCAGATCTACTATTTAAGAATGATTTACACATATATCATTCTGCTATGGCTGCAGCTCCTCGGATTGTTGCAGGGTCAGATGCTACGTAGGTAAAAAGGAATTGGTTTCAAAGTCCGCAGTTCGATACAAATTATTTTTAAATTTACCCCACAGCCAAGGAAATCAAAAGATGTCGCTTTGGAGAGTCCGAATGCATTGTGGATTCGATGAATGCGGTAATAAGAAAGTTTCCCAGAGGAATTCCGGCTCTGGGACTGAAACCCATCGATGTGGTGGACATCAGGAACTCGAAGTTCTGGGACGATGAGAAGATCGGGGCTTTCTGGCTGAAATTTGATCTGTTCAATCAGGTGAACTACGGCTTCGAGAACACCACGATCACAAAGGTTAGCGGCTTTGACGAGAACCCCACCTCCAGTCTGATCGAAATCCACGGCCGGATACCCAGTCTCATTCACAAGGGCAGCTACTTCTCCCAAGGAAGAGTTTGGATTGTGCAGTTGAACTCCACCGGAGAATCTTTTTCGGACTTTCAGAACTTTCGCTTTGTTCTTAAGCTAAAGGTTATCATGGAGTATCGGAATAATAAGCGCTATCTAAAGATCTACGAACTAACTCCCTTTGTGAACATGGATCGGTGAGTTGTAACCTTTTTTTTAATTCTATAGTTACTGATTATAGACTGACTTTCAGTTGGGTGTTTTGGCTGGACAACTTTTTCGAATTCAACACGGATCTGACTATAGCCATAAACCAGGTTTTTAACATCCACTGGGTGGAATTCTGGAACGAGCTGGAACCCAAAAATCTGAAAATATTCGCCAGTGTTTTTCGCGATATATTCGAGGACATCTTTGAAAAGGTCTCCTACGATGACATGTTTTTGCCGATTCCCAAAGACTTCTCAGTAAATGATTAAAGGCGGCGACTAACTTATTGCATTCAAGTTTTATTGGAGACATGGAAGGACAAATAGTAATATTTCACGCAAACCGGTTGTGTCAATTGATTTGCATTGGAAATATGTTACTGTTGATAGTTGAAAAGCTTCGCGTGGAGCAAGTTCTAGGTGTTTGAGTTGTATTAATTGTTTCGTGACCGAAGTGTTTATTGTTTTGTAGTCAGTTGAATTAAGTAAGCGTAATGGAAAAGTTGTATTTGCTAATTTGTTGCTGTATCCCGGATATAATTTGGGGAGCAGAGTTACGTGCGTAGGTTTTCGGGTGTCAAGTTGATCCTATTTTTACTGAGAACAACAATTTCAGCGAAAGATGTTGAGAAGTGCCATTTCGGAGACTCTGTATGTTTGATAAGATCCATCAATGCTGTGATTAAGAGATATCCCAAGGGTATTCCGGAGATAGGACTTCCTCCTCTGGATGCCTGCCCCTTTCCGAACATCACCTTTATAGAATCGCAGCATCGGGGACCCATTTGGATGAACTTCCGCATGTGGGACAATGTAAACAAAGGCCTGAATAACGCCACAATCACCCACGTGGAGGGATTTCTTAATGAGCCCAACCAGAAACAGATAGTCTTGACTGCTCAACTGCCGCGACTTCTCCACGAGGCATCCTATCATATGGAGGGCAAGTTCATGCTCTTTCAATATAATACCACGGGCAGGCTGCAATCCGACTTCCAAAACTTTCGAATCACCCTGACCATCAAGACGTTGGTGGAGTACAAAAATGACAAGCGATATCTTAAGATTTATAGTCTGGTGCCCAAAGTAGATTTGGATCGGTGAGTTGATGAATTCTAATATGATCCCCAGAGTAACCACTTAATCTTTTAGCTGGATAACTTGGTTAGATGGTCTGTATAAAGAAAACACAGACGTGACCACTTTCATGAACCAACTTCTCAACGAAAACTGGGTGGTGTTTTGGAATGAGCTGCTGCCCGGTTTTATTGAAGGCTTCACAAAGGCTTTTACTGTTCTGCTTAACAAAGTGTTTGAAAATGTTGCCTACGACGACATGTTTCTTCCTTATCTAGACATACGAAGGGGATTTTTACACGATTAACGATTAAATTAGGCGATTATATTCGAACTGAAACTTAATCAAACAGAAGAAGATGCCTTATAGTCGTTTTGATCTATTTAAAGCATTTTTACTGGCAGATTCTTCAAGCATGTATTCCAAAAGTCATAATTGTTTGGTTTATCCACAAACTTTTAATACTTTTGTTTGCAGTCCATACATAAATATCTTGAATAATAGTTAAATACAAACTTGGTTCACAATGCACAATAAAATTGTGTTTAATTCAATTTTTCTTTTCCTAATTTGTGGTATTTTCCATCGTCCTCCAGTTCGTCGTAGAAAATGTGATCGTTGTAGGACTCATCGCGATGGTACATGTGATGATGGCCTTTTGAACTGCTGCCGCGTTTGAACTTGCGATGGTCGGCGGATAGTTTAAGGAGCTTCTGGCGTTTATGAGGGAGTCCCAGGTATTGCAGTGGACTAACTACCTCCTCCTTTTTAACCTTCAGAGGATTCCGATCATAAGAAGCCTTTATATTTGTATACTTGTGATCTTTATGTTGGCGTTTGCGACGTTTGAGGCTTCTCCTTTTAGCTGGTGGACCCAATGGACGCAGAACAATCCGGAATGGTATCATGTGGTAGCGTTTCTTGGGTTTCGGTTTCTTCTTTTTCCACATTCCCCGATATTGGTCTACCACGCTGCAGGTTTGCATGTCCTGCGGCTTGGGAATAGCCTCATTCAACTTTGGTGGACACTGCAGAACGTAGTAGAGATCGTTGACCTGGCTTTCACCAAAGCTAGTAATCTCCTGGGATTGTGAATCGAAATCCAGATCCGAATCTTGGGAGTAGAGTAACTGGGTTGCCGGCACTTTGTAATATGCAAACATGTTGCGCTCCACAATGATGGCCAAGCTCAGTTGTTGAATGAGACCCAATCCCAATGCCAACTGCCACATGGCTGCCACCAAACTTGCCACTCAACTGGTTGCAGACGTAGAGCCGCGATTCAGTTTATAAGCTTATTGATTTTCAGGCTTGGCTGGCTGCTTGCATAAATGTGGTGCGGTTTTGGTTTCGAGCCAGGAGTTCAGTGAACCACTCAAATCACCCAAAACACGAGACACATTCCGCGACCTAGGCCTTGTCCAAAATCGCAGCTGAAAATAGAAAGACTTTTACAGGCGGAAGTCATGCAATTATCTGTTGCTTTTGGCCTTGCTTATGCACCGTGTTGCTGAATTGGCAACAAGTGGATTGTTTTTGTTGTTCAACCACGTGTTGATTGCGCCTGCGCTTTTAGGCGCCATAAAAAGGGGTGACATTATGGTTTTATAGGGTTACGAATTATAGCAAGTGCAAGTGATTAAATTGGTTCGGTTGGCCCGAACCATTTCCCCAGACCAACTGTTGCAATTTTGGTGCAACAGTTCTTGGCGTGCTCAAGAATCGTTTACCTTTATCAAACCCATGAATTTGCGGACAGGTGTTTTGACAGGCTTTTTTAGGAATTTTCGCGTGCTTGGTGTGTTGCATGTTGCAGGTTTAAGCTGATTAGCTATCCATTCTGACATCTAATTGGAAATTTATTGGTGATGATATGACTCAAAAACTAAAAAAACATACGATTATTAGCTTGTTTTTCCACCTATATGTTACAAAGCGTTAAAATATCAGAATGGAGGTCTTAATATTAACTTTAATGAAGGTAAAAGTGTATCAATATAAATTAAATATAATATATTATATTTATTATATATATTATTATAAATGTATTCTAACTTAACTTGTGATTAAAAATGCAGAAGAGTTCATATATCCAGTGGTGCTTTACATCCAACTCTATCTTACACATAAAATTCTTCTGAATATTCAAAAACCTTAGTAAGAAAAACCTCTAATCTTAACTGAACAATATTCACCTTCATTGCTAATCAATTAGCACATAATCAATTAATACAAAGTGTGCAAATCGAAGGAACTTAATTTGAAAATGGCGTGCGAAACGCCATTTAAACGGAAATTATGCGCAACAAGTGTCCGCCGGCTTGGCAACCAACTTAGCAACGGCCATTATGGCACAGGGGAAATAACAAACAGTAAACACTGGCACGGAAGGATTTGCCGCAAAAAATCAACAACTCCTTAGCAACGGGTCCTGCCACGATCACTTTTTCGACCTGAATGTGCGTGTCAGCCGCCGGCGGAAATAACAACCAATTCAGTTGCTTACCAGCAGCCGAGGTAAGCAGTCGAAATTGGAAAAAGGAAAAACCAGTGAAAAACCTTTGAAGCCTAATAAAATTATATACTATAAGGAATAAAATATGAAAATTTTTGAATTTTAATGCATAAATGGATAATTAAGATGTGATTGGTGATTTCTATACGAAAGAAAACCTTTTCTTTTGGTTTTTATACGAAATATTTAAGTTTCAACTTTGTGAGAGTTATGTAACTAGTGAAAAATGTGAAAAGTGTTAGATAACACTGTGAAAACAACTTAAAATTTAAAATTTAAATATTTTAAAACATTTTTTTTAAGAGTTTAGTGAAAAAGTATTTCATAATTTTGGAAAAATCTTATTGATTTGCAATTTTTATCGATTTTATATGCCTAGTTGTTAGTGGTAACAAGGTCAGCCAAACACTCAGATATGCATGTGCACCTCTTCCCCACAGCAAACAACAACAGACAACAGCAGCAACAACAACCAGAAAACTAGACAACCAGTGCAGGAGCAGAAGCACCAAAGCAACCACCAACAGCACCACCCACAACCACCCACTGAGTGGGAGTGGGTCCACAATGGAGCCATCCACCTCAGCGGAGGCCGCTGCTGCAGCAGCAGCTGGTGGTCCGGATCCGCGGCTGGAACTGATGGGCTCCTTCGTCATCAAGTCGCTCAAGTTGAAGCCGGAGAAGTGGACGCGTGTCATCACGGTGGAGGAGCACAAGGGCATCATCAAGGAGTTTCTGGACAAGAACACCCCGGTTGTCCTGATAATCATCCTCACTCCGGCTGCCCAGTTGGTGCCATCGACCACGTTTCCATTATCCCAACTCAAAAGCAAGGGTGTCTACTTCATCAAGCGCTATGCTTTACCCATTCCTCGCGAGGATTGCAACAACTTCATCATCTTCGGGGACTTGGCTACCCGAACTATTGACCAACTATCCGCTCTGGTGGAGGAGGTCCTCGTTCCTCTTCTCTCCAACGAGGACAACTACCGCAGTTGGCCCATCATGGTGGCCCAGGATGTGCAGAAGCACGTGCACAGCCTCAAGAGCACCGTGCACCAGGTCAAAGGTCAGGTCAGCGGAGAGACCATCCTAGCCATGCCGGTGGGCGTGGAGAAGATTGTGAAGGCGGCCAAGGAGCTGGTGGAAACGGAGCAGTGCCAGTTTGATTTGTACCTGAAGAGCGCCATCGAGGGCGTGGTCATCAAGTGGGCCACCCAGATCCACGAGGTCATCAAGGAGAGCCCCTCGAATGCCTTCGCCAATGGCCAGAACCCCACTCCGCACACTGGTGAGTTTGAGCTGGTGGTGCCATGTGTGTGCCGGTTTATTTTTGGCTCCCTCCATTTATTATTTATTGATAAAATTCACGTCTCCCCATATCCTAGCAACCCCAAAATTTGCATGTTCATACCAACCCGAAAGTTTTGTCTTGCTTTATTATCTGTTCACGAATGACAATCCGCGTGCATGCAATACTTATAATATAATGCTATAGGACCAAAAGGGTTTTTGGATTGTCTTACGCGTTCACATTTGACATTGGCAATTGAGTTTATGGGCTCGCATGCCGGTAGCTAAATGTCTTGCTTGCCTAAATTACATCCGATTTAAGCGGTTTCATCATTATGTAAAAGAAGATACAAAGAGCAATACTTACATATATTGAAAGATAATTTTTTAGGGCTACAGTATGACTTATGGTACACTTAAATTGAATAGGCAGTAGCTCAAGATATACCAAAGAGAAAGTATATAAGAACGGTCTCGAATCTTTATTCTCTTTGAACCTCAAATGCCTTTTTATGCAAGACAATCAACACCTACCTTAAATTCCCTGACAGACTTTACTAATGAAATTATTTGTTCAATTGCCGATGATGGCGGTAATACCCTTGTATACTTTTTAATAGTTTATTTATTATTTTATACTAAACGTCACTGGTTCAACTTCATTTCAAAGTCAATTGTTGATTTTGGTAAGTTTACTTTTTGAAACATTTATTAAAGATATGTCATCCGCGTTATAATCCCCCATCTATTTTTAATTTAACTACACCATTTATTATTTGAATTGTTTTGCAACAATTAGTAATCGGTTTTGTTCTATTTCCCCTGCTGTTGTAACAGAATTTTCATTTTGGAACAACCGGCTGAAGAATCTTTCGTTCATCTACGACCAATTGCGCAACGAGCGCATTCGTGCGATGGCTTTGATACTGGAGTACTCGATGAGTGCCTACCATCCGTGCTTCCAGACCCTCTTCAAGAACGTGGTTACGGGTGAGTTTATGGCTTTGTGAAATGTTAGCTTGGCATGCCAATCGGCAATTTCCGCAGCTCTGGCGGAGGCAAAGGACATAACACTCTATCTGAACCCCCTGAAGCGCCCACTTCAGCACTTGGAGGAGATTGATTTCGCGGAATGCAAACCGCTGCTCATTCCGTTCATGAACACTGTGGGAATTTTGTGGGGCAACTCACGCTATTACTGCCAGTCGGCGAAAATAACAGTGCTGCTGCAGGAAATATGCAACTTGATTATACACCAGGTGGATAAAAGTGGTTGGAAAAGAGAGAAGGGATTTCAGTAATACATTTAATCGATTTCAGGCCAAGAGATATTTGGACCCCTCGTCCATATTCCACAGCGATATAGATGAGGCGATGCAGCGCCTTACTTTGTCCATTGGAATACTGAAGTTCTTTCGGGAACTCTTTGACTACTACAAAGAACGTCTTGCCACATTCTTCACGGAACCCGAAGAGCGGCCGCCGATTTTATGGACTTTTCATCCAAATTCAGTTTTCAAGCGCTTTAATGCCTTCCTCGAGCGACTCACAACCATTCAGTGGTAAGTTATATATTTAATTAAAATTAATAGATGGTGTTTGCTACTAATCCTTTGGCTCCGACAAGGTTCTTCTTTACTGTGATTGAATTCCTGAAATTAGAGAAAGTCGAAATCGGTGGGCTGCGGGGTCGCCAGCTCAGCACTCGAATTACAGATGTCTACGTGGAGTTCAATCAGTACTTCACGGCCTTTGCCTCGAAGAGCTACGACGTCCTGGATCCCGACGATCACGAGTTCGATGAGGACTTCAAGGGCTTCCAGACCCGCATCCTTGAGCTCGACATGAAGCTGGCGGCCATTTTGTGCCAGGCCTTTGACGATTGTCACAACTTGGAGAGTATTTTCAAGGTAGGTAAACAATTTAAGCTAAAGGTAAGGTAAGGTAAATTTAAAATGAGAGAATGCGTAATTTCTCAAGCTGATGATTTTAGAGCCTTCTACTTTCAACAAAGTTCTTAAAATGTACTATAACGTTCCATCAATTTAAAAAAATCTTTCCAATAGTTCCATTAAAACTAGATCATTTTTTAATATATTTATTATATAAATTTCTTTAAATATTTATTCTTCAGCTCATTAGCATTGTGGGCAGCGTACTCGATCGGCCCAAAATCAAGGAGGAGTTCACCCAGCGCTATGCCGAAATCGTACGCATGTTAGACGATGAAATGACTGTCTGCGAGTCCATCTACGATAAACAAATGGAACTAAAGAAGGTTGGGGACAATCTGTACCCCAACTACAACTGTCCACCCGTGGCGGCCTTTATTCGCTGGTGCCATCAGCTGGAGACGCGGATTACAGCTCCAGTCAAGCACTTCAAGGCATTGCAGCATGAGTATGTTTTTTATTTAATTTAATAGAAATTAAAACACAAACCAATTTATAAACTTATTAATTTACTACAGGATAACAAAGACAGAGAAATCCTTGGAAATCGTTGAGCGCTATGAGGTCCTCATGGTAAAATTGGGAAGCTGTAAGACACAATTCTTTGACGATTGGGCCGAGCGATTGGATGGTCAAATCGAAGCAAATCTGAAGAAATCCCTGATAGCCCGCGATCGCCGCCATAATTCGCTGATCTTGAACTTCAGTGCCGCTCTTTTTCGATTCTGAGGGAGGTGCACTACATGCAGCAGATGAAGATCGACGGCATTCCCCAAATAGCCATTGATTTTGCCGAGAAGAGCGACGTCTTTCGATCCTATACACTGAATCTCGAGAAGACCATCGATTGGTACAACAGCATTCAAGAGGGCAGCTCTCCCGTGGAACTCAGGCTGATCGAACCCGAGATAAAGATGATCGATGACCTGGTGGAGATCGGTGTTAATCAGCTCGTTTGGAATTCGTCAGGTGCGTCTGCTCAGCCAATTGGAAAATCAAATCTTTATTAAAAACGTCAGAGCACATTAAATTAAGATGGTCAGGAATTAAAGGGATCGGTTTTATTTTGCTACATTTAAAATGCATTTAATTTTACGTAATTTTTTTAACAGGTAGCAAAATTGTTCTCCTTTTTCGCACATTTTATCTTTGCGGTGCTTCATTGTATTTAATATAATTATTTTTCTTGAATCTGATTTGCAGACATTCTAAGCTACCTGGACAATCTGCGCAAACCAGTTGCTGCTCTTCAAAATCGCATGGATCACACCCAGGGAAATCTTCGCCAGATCCGCAAGATCATGGGTGTTTGGGCCAAGCAGCCGCTTTTCGAGAGGCGGGATTGCAAAAAGGACAGTGTGCTCTCCATAGATGAACGTCCAGATCGAACGGCCAAACGGTATGCCGAGATCCAAGCAGCTTCAATTGAGATTCACAAGTTGCTGCAGGACAATATGCTTCAATTCGATATGGAGCACAAACAGGACGACGCAGTGTGGCTTAGTTACGTGGACTTTGTTGATAACATCGTATATGAGAATATCTTGCGAACAGTGGGCGTGAGTGTGGGCTATCTAGCGGAGAACATGGATCCCGAGAACAACTATGCTCCACTCTTTGAGTCTCGTTTGGAGCTCGTTGAACCCAATCTGGTATTTGTACCCTCGCTGGATCCCGAGGATCCGATGGGTTTCAACAACATGCTAATTGAACTCATGAGGGACATAATGAAGATGGGTTCGTTGATCAAACGCCTGAAGCCCAATGAGAAACGCAACTATGTGGAGATGATAAAGGAGAATCAGGACATAATCGACATGCGCCGCGAGATTCTGAATGGGGTGGACCTTGTCATGGAGGAGGCCTCCCGTTTCTGCCGCCAGTTTGAGCGGTACTCGTACCTCTGGTTGGATGATCGCGAGGAGTGCATGGAGTACTTCCTAGAATACGGAAGGATGTTGGATCCCGATGAAATCGAGCTGATCATGATCAACGATCCCAATCAGCCGCCTCCGGAACCCTGTCAGCCAACGATTGAGGCTTTCAGGGAGCAGATCGATAACTACGAGTCTCTGTTCAACGAAATCGAGGACATTGGCCCCTTCCAGGTGTTCAGTTCCTGGTTCCAGGTTGATGTACGTCCCTTCAGACAGGCACTACTCAACACAGTCTGCAAGTGGGGCAACATGTTCAAGGAGCACCTGGTGACCACTGTCACCTCCAGCCTAATGAACCTCAGCCAGTTTATCCGCAAGGCGGACGAGGGTCTTCTGCAGACGGTCAAGGAGAAGGATTACGAGGGACTGGTCAGCATCATGGCGTATCTGATGCAGGTGAAGGAACGGGCAGCCAAGACGGATGAGATGTTCGAACCCATGCAGGAGACCATTCAACTACTCAAGTACTACGACATGGACATTCCCGAGGAGGTGAACGTGCTGCTGCAGGAACTACCGGAACAGTGGGCCAACACCAAGAAGATAGCCACCACGGTGAAGCAACAGGTCTCGCCACTCCAGGCCACCGAGGTGGTCAGCATCCGGAACAAGATCGCCCTCTTCGAGACGCACATCCAGCTCTTCCGGGAGGTCTTCAAGACCTACGACTTTTTCCGGTTCGATTGCTATAAGCCTTACCTCCTGATGGATCGCATCAACGACGATATGTTCCTGTGCGAGAGCGAGATGCGGGACATCCAGGAGTCCGGCAGCCTGTTCGAGGTCAACATCCCGGAGTTCAAGGTGCTGAAGCAGTGCCGCAAGGAGCTGCGCATGCTTAAGGTACCTCCACCTCTTTGTCGTCTACTCACCCCTCTCGATTCTCTTCCTTTTTATCCGTGCATGTTTAATCTACTACTCGTACCAAATTTATGCATGCCACATGTGGAACTTGAGCTTTTTCTTTTTCCCCTCGCAAGCGACTTAAACTAATCCTAATCTTAATCGAAAACCTACTCCGTACTAATCCCCAAATTATTCCACTAACTCTCTAAACTCGCTAGCAACTCTGGGACTACGTGAACATCGTGGCCACCAGCATCGACGATTGGAAGACGACGCCGTGGCGCAAGGTGGATGTGGAGAACATGGACATCGAGTGCAAGAAGTTCGCCAAGGATATCCGCTTGTTGGACAAGGAGATGCGTCCGTGGGACACGTTCATCAACCTGGAGTCGACGGTCAAGAACATGCTGACCTCGCTCCGAGCCGTCGGGGAGCTGCAGAATCCGGCCATTCGGGAGCGTCACTGGAACCAGCTGATGAACTCCACCAAGGTCTATTTTGTGCTTTCCTTTCCAACGACTATTTGTTTTAAGCTCTCTAGCCAATCCCATATATTTGGCCTGATGTATATAATCCGTGTAAATCTCTCTCCCATCCCCCAGCACCCAAGAGCTCCTTATAGGAAGGCTCCTCTGTATAGCAATACCGTTTTAATCGTTTCTTCCTCCCCCAAACCCTTTTCTTTTCCGCTTGATTTCCGGGATATATGCCCGGCATAAACTGTACAGTTCTTGTAAATACCATTTCATTGCAGAGTCTGGCCGCACTGCCCAAGGAAGTGACCGTAAGTGGCTTGGCCGAGTCCGGCGCATGTCTCAGAAGTAGTATAACCGTAGTAGTAACCGTAGAAGTAGTAGAACCACAGTAGTAAACAAATGCACGCTCTACCTTCCCTAATCAGAGATGCTCACGGGTTATCCTCTTCTAGGTCAAGTTCATCATGGATCACGAGACGACGCTGGCCGAACTCTTAGGTCTTAACCTGCATGAGTGCGAGGAGGAGGTAAAGAACATCGTGGACAAGGCCGTGAAGGAGATGTCCATGGAGAAGATACTGCGCGATCTAAACACAACTTGGACGGCCATGGCATTCGACCATGAGCTGCACCCGCGCACCGGCTGTAACCTCCTGAAGGCATCGGAAGAACTCATAGAGACGCTTGAAGATAATCAGGTTTGCCTACAGAATCTCATAACATCCAAGTACATCGCCCATTTCCTCGAAGAAGTGTCCACTTGGCAAAACAAGCTTATGATCGCCGATCAAGTGATAACCGTATGGTTTGAGGTGCAACGCACTTGGACCCATCTTGAGAGTATCTTCATGAGTTCGGAAGACATACGCAAACAGCTTCCCGTCGATTCGGATCGATTCGATAATATTGACGCCGAGTTTCGCGTCCTCATGGACGAGATGTCCGTCTCGTCGAATGTGGTGGCATCCACCAATCGTTCCGGCCTAATCGAACGCCTGGAGCATTTGCAGAAGGAGCTTACGCTTTGCGAGAAGGCATTGGCAGAGTATTTGGAAACGAAACGCTTGGCTTTTCCTCGCTTCTACTTCGTGTCCTCGGCCGATTTGCTGGACGTCCTGAGCAACGGCATCCAGCCGGAAATGGTCACCAAGCACCTGACCAAGCTCTTCGACTCGATCGCCCGCTTGAAGTTCAACCGCGACGAGTCCGGCGAGATCTGCACCGCCTCGGGCATGTACGCCAAGGACGGCGAGTACGTGGAGTTCAACGAACTGGCCAGCATCCGAGGACCCGTCGAAGTCTGGCTAAACCGCATCCAGGCGGCGATGCGTGCCAGTCTGAGGCACTACGTCATGGAGGCGGTGATCGCCTACGAGGAAAAGCAGCGGGAACAAGTGAGTACAATCCTTGTGCTAAGCCAGTAAAGAAGTCCCTTGCGACCATGTTAGAATTTATTAGAATAATTTCAAATTTAAAATAATTAAATTTATTTTATGTTTATCTCAACGAAAAGAACTACTAATCTAACCACCGATGAAATTTTAAGCAAGTTAAAACCGGTAGTACTTAACAGTTGGTTTATTTATTTTGATGGAATAAACAACCTCTTGGTATTCGCTTGTTTTAAAATGATACCCCAGTTAATCTTTTAAATTAATTGAAGGGTAGAAAATTTAATATATGCAGCACACTATTAGAAATGAATCTGTATAAATATTGATAATAACTGAATACATAGTTGATTTCAGCATTATCACACAATTAAATTATTTAACATTATTACATACATTACATAGTAATTATATCTAATCTCTTCAATTTAACTATTAATAGCTAGAAATTTTATTAATTATTTCCCTTTCTCCAATTAGTGGTTGTTCGACTACGCTGCCCAGGTGTCCCTCTGCGGATCGCAGATCTGGTGGTCCACGGAGGTGAACATCGCCTTCAGCCGGTTGGAGGAGGGCTACGACAACGCCATCAAGGATTACTACAAGAAGCAGATATCGCAGCTGAGTCTGCTCATAACGCTTCTGCTGGGCGAGCTGAGCAAGGGCGATCGTCAGAAGATCATGACGATATGCACCATAGATGTGCACTCCAGGGATGTGGTCGCCAAGATGATTCAGGCCAAATTGGATTCGGGCTCCGCGTTTATGTGGCAATCGCAGCTGAGGCATCGCTTCGACGATGTGGAGAAGGACTGTTTTGCCAATATCTGCGACGCCGAGTTCCAGTATTGTCACGAATACTTGGGCAATACGCCACGCCTGGTCATAACGCCGCTCACAGATCGTTGCTATATAACCCTGACCCAGTCCCTCCACTTGGTGATGGGCGGAGCTCCCGCCGGTCCCGCGGGAACCGGAAAGACCGAGACCACCAAGGACTTGGGCCGTGCCATCGGCATTTCGGTCTACGTGTTTAACTGCTCCGAGCAGATGGACTACCAGTCCTGCGGAAATATCTACAAAGGATTGGCTCAAACGGGAGCCTGGGGATGTTTCGACGAGTTCAACCGCATCACCGTCGAGGTCCTGTCCGTGGTGGCGGTTCAGGTAAAGTCCGTACAGGACGCCATTCGGGACAAGAAGGACAAGTTCAACTTCATGGGCGAGATAATCAGCTGTGTGCCCACCGTGGGGATTTTCATCACCATGAATCCGGGCTACGCCGGCCGCACCGAGCTGCCGGAGAACCTGAAGGCACTCTTCCGACCCTGCGCCATGGTCGTGCCCGACTTCGAGCTCATCTGCGAGATCATGCTGGTGGCCGAGGGATTCCAGGACGCCCGCGTCCTCGCCCGCAAGTTCATCACGCTTTACACGCTCTGCAAGGAGCTGCTCTCCAAGCAGGACCACTACGATTGGGGCCTGAGAGCCATCAAGTCTGTGCTCGTCGTGGCGGGATCCCTAAAGGTGAGAGAGCTTAACAAGGTTTGAAAATTGTATAGGACATTTCTAAGGAAAAAAATCAATTAATTATTTATTTTAAGTAAGCTTGGGATAGTCAAAATTTTAATGCAAAATATGAAAATGAACTATGAGATACTTCCAAACTATTCTTTCTTTTAAACTAAAAGATGACTTTTAAATTAAATTATTTCAGATGTTGTAAGCACTGTTTAAACTAAAAGGTGAAAAATTAGTATGCTCAAATTTGTTTTGTTTTTTTATCAAGAAAAAATGAACATTTCTGGAAATGTTGTGTGGCAGAAAAAGTTTACTTTAACTCCTTTAAGTTAAAGGTCTTAAAATTCGTTAATAACTTGAATTTAATTACCTTATTGTTAGTATTATTATAAGGTCAGTTAATAGGAAATAGTTGCATTTGAAATATGTTTTGAATCCACCCTTTTCCTTTTCAGCGAGGCGATCCCGGTCGTCCGGAGGAGGAGGTGCTGATGCGCGCCCTCCGAGACTTCAACATCCCGAAGATCATTACGGACGACATGCCGGTGTTCATGGGGCTGATCAGCGACCTGTTCCCCGCCCTGGATGTGCCCCGCAAACGTGATCAGGATTTTGAACGCACCGTAAAACAAGCGGCCTCCGATCTACTACTACAGCCAGAGGACAATTTCATCCTGAAGGTAGTGCAGCTGGAGGAGCTGTTGGAGGTACGTCACTCCGTGTTCATCGTTGGCAACGCGGGCACTGGGAAGACCCAGGTGTGGAAGACGCTGCTGCGCACCTACCAGAACATCAAGCGGAAGCCCATATTCAATGACTTGAATCCGAAAGCTGTGACCAATGATGAACTTTTCGGCATTATCAACCCGGCGACACGCGAGTGGAAAGACGGCCTGTTCTCGGTATTAATGCGGGATCAGGCAAACATAACGGGCGATCAACCAAAGTGGATCGTGCTCGACGGCGACATCGATCCGATGTGGATCGAGAGCCTCAACACCGTGATGGACGACAACAAGGTCCTGACACTGGCCAGCAACGAGCGCATTGCGTTGACGCCTTCGATGCGTTTGCTCTTCGAGATCTCCAACCTGAGAACAGCCACGCCGGCAACCGTATCCAGGGCTGGCATCCTGTACATAAATCCCCAGGACTTGGGTTGGAATCCGTGAGTTTGAAAACCCTTTTGTGTATAAAAATATATATACTTATTATATAAAGCAAATCTTGCATTCAAAAGTATCCAAAATTGCCACTATTAAAACGTATGTTCTCGTTTTGCATTCCTCTCAAAATAGCTGGAATCGGAACTGATCCAATTTAAATGACCCTTTTTCTTTTTAAATCCTTAATCCATTATACCAACTAACTGAGTTATCTTTGCAGCTATGTAACCAGTTGGGTTGAAACGCGCAAAATTCCAGCCGAAAAGTCCAATTTGGTCATGTTATTCGATAAGTACATACCGCCTTCATTGGAAACGATTCGCGTGCGTTTCAAGAAGATCACGCCTGTCGCCGAAATGGCCCACATCCAAATGCTGTGCCATCTGCTAAACTGTTTTCTAATACCAGCGAACACGCCTGCCGACTGCCCAAAAGAATGGCACGAACTGTACTTTGTTTTTGCCTGTATTTGGGCCTTCGGGTCGGCCATGTTCCAGGATCAAGCCATTGACTACCGCGTGGAGTTCAGCAAATGGTGGGTAAATGAGTTCAAAACTGTTAAGTTCCCGCCAGGTGAGTGTTGCTCTTTGAGTGCTTTCCTCATCCGTTGAGCTTTTCGAATGAAGAATCCTCCTTTCCTCGCTGCAAATCCCCAAAAGGTGGAACAGTTTTCGATTACTTCCTGGATAGCGAGACGAAGACCTTCCTCCCGTGGACCGAGAAGATACCCAAGTTCGAGCTGGACTCGGATCTGCCCCTGCAGGCTGTCATCGTGCACACCTCCGAGTCGATCCGGCTGCGTTTTTTCCTAGATCTCCTGATGGATAAGAAGCACCCGGTGATGCTAGTGGGGAATGCCGGATGCGGCAAGACCGTACTGGTTAACGAGAAGCTTCAATCGCTTTCTGAGAATTACGCTGTCACGACAATACCATTCAATTACTACACCACGTCCGAGATGTTGCAAAAGATCCTCGAGAAGCCGCTGGAGAAGAAGGCGGGTCGCAACTACGGACCGCCCGGCAACAAGCTCCTCTGTTACTTCGTCGACGACATCAACATGCCGGAGGTGGACGCCTACGGCACCGTCCAGCCGCACACTCTGATGCGCCAGCACCTGGACTACGGCCACTGGTATGACAGGAACAAACTGACCCTGAAGGACATCCACAACTGCCAGTACGTGGCCTGCATGAACCCCACCTCCGGCAGCTTCACGATCAATCCGCGCCTGCAGCGCCACTTCTGCGTTCTGGCCGTTAGCTTTCCAGGTCCCGAGTCCATCACCGTCATGTACTCGGCCATCCTGGCGCAGCACTTTGCCAATGCGGAGCAGAAGTTCACCCCGATCGTCACGCGGATGACGCCCAACATCGTCGCCGCCACGATCGCCCTGCACAACAAGTGCCTGCAGGTCTTCCTGCCCACGGCGATCAAGTCGCACTACATCTTTAACCTGCGCGACATCAGCAATGTCTTTCAGGTGAGTCGGGATTTCTGATTCTGTATAGTAACTTTTAAGAAGTTCCATAAACTTATACAGATACGTAGAAATCTGATTATAAAAAAAAAATCTGATTATTAAAAGGAATCGGAAAACCTTTAAACTCAATAAATAAGTTCTTAAAAGCTTATTACAAACTTTTGTTGAAAACTAATATATATTTTTATTTTATACATTTTTTGATTTCCATTCAGAAATATTTCTGGTTTTATGAAGAGTATTTTAGAGGATTGGATCGTTTCGAATTCTGAGATTTTAGTATCCAGATCAATGAAATAAATATGAAGCTCTATAAAAGAATATTAATGTAAATCTTATTAATTTGTGTTTTGAAGCTGTTAGTTTATGAAATGTGAATAGACTTTACTACTTATTAGGTAGAAGTTAACCAAAGATAAAAGATATACATTAGTGTATTTTTGATATTCCTTATAGTTCCTAAACCCCTGTTCTGCTTTCAGGGATTGCTGTTCAGTTCGACAGAGTGCTTGACGGGCTCCACAGATCTTATACGCTTGTGGCAGCACGAGACACAGAGGGTGTACTCGGATAAGCTAACCGACGATAAGGACATCGATAGCTTTACCAAAATGCAGCATGACATTGTCAAGAAGTCGTTCGAAGAAATTGACGAATCCGTTATATTCGACAAGCCGAATATCTACTGTCATTTCGCTGGAGGAATTGGTGATCCTAAGTACATGCCCATCAAGGGTTGGCCTGAGCTTCACAAACTCCTTCAGGAAGCAATGTCATCGTATAATGATCTAGTCGCTGCCATGAACCTGGTGTTGTTCGAGGATGCGATGATGCATGTGTGTAGGTGGGTACCTGTAGTGTGTTTCAAGGATATAGTTTCAGATATTAACTGTGATACTTGCAGGATCAATCGCATTTTAGAATCACCGCGTGGCAGCGCCTTATTGGTTGGTGTTGGTGGCAGCGGGAAACAATCTCTAGCGCGCTTGGCAGCATTCATATCCAGCTTGGAGGTCGTGCAGATACAGCTAAAGAAGGGCTACGGAGTCAATGACTTGAAGGTTTTTCCCTATTTTATTAGAACCATAAGATAACCCCAGCATTCCAATAATCTAATTTTACCCCTCGCAGAATGAATTTTCAGGACTTTATTTAAAGGCTGGACTCAAGAATGTTGGCATTATGTTCCTAATGACAGATGCTCAGATTCCCAGCGAGGATTTTCTTGTCCTCATCAACGATATGTTAATGGTATGTTACTGCCTTAATTGCTTGAACATATTGTATAAGAGGAGTAAATGAGTTTATATATCTATGGGTTTCAATTGAGATGATATTTTCCGTAGAGTAATATCTTCTTTCTTATTCCAAACCAATTGTTTTCCAGACTGGCGAGATCCCAGATCTGTTCCCGGACGACGAGATCGAGAACATCATCGCAGGCGTGCGAAATGAGGTCAAAGGTGCGGGACTGGTTGATACGCGGGAAAACTGCTGGAAATTCTTCATCGATCGTGTGCGCAAGCAGCTGAAGATAGTTCTGTGCTTTTCGCCAGTGGGTTCAACATTGCGTGTTCGGTCGAGGAAATTCCCTGCCATCATCAATGCCACATCGATCAATTGGTTCCACGAATGGCCTCAGGAGGCACTCATCTCGGTGGCCATGAACTTCCTGGCCCAGAACAAAGTGTTGCCGGAGAACCACCGCGATTCGGTGGCCAAGTTCATGGCCTACGTCCACACCTCGGTGAACACGACATCGAAGGTGTACCTACAGAACGAGCGGCGCTACAACTACACCACGCCCAAGAGTTACCTGGAGCAGATCAACCTGTACATCAAGCTGCTCAACCACAAGCACGAGGACCTGCAGAGCAAGATTGAGCGCTTGGAGAACGGACTGGAGAAGCTGAGGTCCACCTCGCTGCAGGTGGCCGACCTGAAGGTCAAGCTCGCCGTTCAGGAGATCGAACTCAAGGAGAAGAACGAGGCGGCGGACGCCCTGATCGAGATTGTGGGCATCGAGACGGAGAAGGTGCAAACGGAGAAAGCCGTGGCCGACGAGGAGGAAATGAAGGTTGCTTTGATAGCCGACGAAGTGAGCAAGAAGCAGCGTGACTGCGAGGAGGACCTCCTCAAGGCGGAGCCGGCTCTGATGGCCGCCCAGGATGCGCTCAACACGCTCAACAAGGCGAATCTCACCGAGCTAAAGAGCTTCGGTTCGCCGCCGGGAGCCGTGACAAATGTCACCGCCGCCGTGATGGTGCTCCTCTCCCAGGGCGGCAAGGTGCCCAAGGATCGCTCCTGGAAGGCGGCCAAGATCGCCATGGCCAAGGTGGACACGTTCCTTGACTCGCTGATCAACTACGACAAGGAGAACATTCACCCCGAGATCACCAAGGCCATCCAGCCCTATCTCAAGGATCCGGAGTTCGAGCCCGAGTTCGTCCGCTCCAAGTCGGGAGCGGCGGCCGGCTTGTGTGCCTGGGTCATCAACATCATCAAGTTCTACGAGGTCTACTGCGACGTGGAGCCCAAGCGGAAGGCCCTCGCGGCGGCCAACGCCGAACTGGCCGCCGCCCAGGACAAGCTCACCGGCATCAAGCGGAAAGTTATGGTAAGCCCGGAAACCTTTTGGATATAGAAATTACGAAAAATGCTATATGACTGTATTTAAGAAGAAACTATCTTGTTATAAGGACTGAATTATATAGTGGTTAACCTTACTAATATTTGTACTAAGTTCCTCTTTACCTGTTTCAGTTGGTTTTTTAGTTTTACCTCAAATACTTCACTGAAAAACATTGCAAGATTAACAAAAATCCTATTGGGGTAAGGGGTACTGCTAGTTTTTTGTTTATGCTGATTTTTTTGTTTTGTTAGTTGCATAATTGTTTGCTAATACTATACTTTTAATTTCCTTGTAGAGCCTCGAGGAACAGTTGGCCAAGCTGACGGCGGACTTTGAGAAAGCCACCGCTGACAAATTGCGTTGTCAGCAGGAGGCAGATGCCACCCAAGCCACAATTGCGCTGGCCAATCGCCTGGTGGGTGGTTTGGCCAGTGAGAACGTACGTTGGGCCGAGGCAGTCAACAAGTAGGTATCCTATTTAATATACATAGGAACAAACCAACTAAGAATATGTTCTACCTCCTCTAAACAGCTTCGTCAAGCAGGGCATCACATTGCCAGGCGACATTCTACTCATTACCGCCTTTATTTCCTATGTTGGCTGTTTTACGAAAGGATTCCGCATCGACCTTCTACTCAAGATGTGGACACCCTTTTTAAAGAGCATCGATCCGCCCATTCCCACAACCGAGAATCTCGATCCTTTATCGCTGCTGACCGACGACACCACCATCGCCATTTGGACAAATGAGGGATTGCCCAGCGATCGAATGTCCATTGAGAACGCCACGATCCTCTCCAATTCGGATCGTTGGCCTCTAATGATCGATCCTCAACTGCAGGGAGTCAAGTGGATCAAGCAAAAGTATGGCGAGGATCTCAAGGTGATTCGTCTGGGTCAGAGGAGCTATCTGGACATCATTGAGAAGTCCATCAACGCGGGATGCAATGTGCTGATCGAGAACATCGACGAGAACTTGGACCCAGTGCTGGACTCTTTGCTGGGTCGAAATCTGATCAAGAAGGGAAAGTAAGTGAAGAGAATTCTAAATTAAATTTTTTATTTAATATTAAATACCTCCATTAAAGGGCCATTAAAATCGGAGACAAGGAGATCGAGTACAACTCCAACTTCCGCCTGATCCTTCACACCAAGCTAGCTAATCCGCACTACAAACCAGAGATGCAAGCACAAACCACTCTTATTAACTTCACCGTTACACGCGATGGCCTCGAGGATCAACTGCTGGCGGAAGTGGTCAAGGCCGAACGTCCCGATCTGGAGGAACTGAAAGCCGATCTCACAAAGCAACAGAACGACTTTAAGATCATGCTGAAGAAACTGGAGGACGACCTGCTGTCGCGCCTTTCATCGGCGGGTGAGAATATTTTAGGTGACACAGCTTTAGTGGAGAACCTGGAGACCACGAAGAGCACGGCATCGGAAATCGAAGAAAAGGTTGCGGAGGCGAAGATAACTTCCAAGGAGATCGACAAGGCCCGTGAATACTACAGACCTGCGGCGGCCCGAGCCAGTTTGCTATACTTTATCCTCAACGAACTAAACACTATCAATCCGATTTATCAGTTTTCACTGAAGGTGGGTAAACAATGCAATGCAAGCTGAAATTTTAAATTTGTACTTAAAGATTCAAACAAAAAATCCATGAAAAAAAATTCACCTTGAATCAAATCTTTCTTCAGTATTCAAAACTAATTCGAATAAACAAATTTAATTTTATGTGGTTTTATCGAATGCAAAGTTGAAACTGCGGTTACACACCAATGATATTTATGATCTTCTGATTAATTTATGGAAATATTATCCTTTTATTTACAGGCTTTTAGTGTAGTGTTCCAAAAGGCCATAGCCAAGGCTGAACCGGGCGAAACTTTGGATTTGCGAGTGTCCAATCTGATCGATTGTATAACGTATTCGGTCTTTCAGTATACTTCGCGTGGTCTTTTCGAATGCGACAAGCTGATCTTCGCCTCGCAAATGACATTTCAGGTGAGCTCCCCCTCAAATTTTATATTAATTTATTGATTTTTTCGCATCTTTAATTAGATTCTACTAATGAACGAGGAGGTTACATCGGCGGAACTGGACTTCTTGCTCCGCTTCCCGATAAAGCCACATGTGACGAGTCCTGTGGACTTTCTGACCAATCAATCGTGGGGCGGAATATGCAGTCTAGCGTCCAAAGATGAATTCAGGAACTTGGACCGCGATATAGAGACCTCCTCGAAGCGCTGGAAAAAGCTCGTTGAATCGGAGCTACCGGAAAAGGAGAAATTCCCCCAGGAATGGAAGAACAAAACGGCTTTGCAAAGACTTTGCATGATCAGGGCTTTAAGGCCAGATCGAATGACCTACGCATTAGCGTGAGTATCCCTTTTAAATAAAATATAAGTAATACAGATGAATATATTATTTTTAAATAAACAGCGACTTTATTGAAGAGAAACTGGGATCCAAATATGTGGAAAGCCGCGCCATGGAGTTCGCAAAATCGTACGAGGAGGCCAGTCCCTCCACTCCGATATTCTTCATCCTCTCGCCAGGAGTAAATCCCCTCAAGGATGTGGAGGCGTTGGGCAAACAAATGGGCTTCAGCCTTGATCTGGGTAACTTCCATAACGTGTCTTTGGGACAGGGCCAGGAGGCCATTGCAGAGGCAGCGATGGACACGGCGGCCAAACATGGCCACTGGGTGGTGCTGCAGAACATCCATCTGGTCAGGAAGTGGCTCCCAGTGCTGGAAAAGAAGCTGGAGTACTACGCCGAGGACTCGCATCCCGACTACCGAATGTTCCTGAGTGCAGAGCCGGCATCGACGCCCTCGGCTCACATAATACCACAGGTACATATATAATATAATTTTAAAATTAATAAAAGCTTTTACTTAACTACAGCACAGCAATGCAAATACCCATTGAATAAATTTAAAAATTATTATCGATTATTTTAGGAAAATTTTAAACGTTTCCCAAACAATAAAATTAGGAATGGTTTTTTCAAATTCAGTAATAAAAATCCAGTTATTGTTGCTCTTAAAAATAATAATATTAATCAGAATTATGCGACTGCTTTCAAGATTGTTCTCCTGATTTCGAAAATGTAATCTCCCGGAAGGCTTTTGGAATGTTAGAGGTTATATTAATATACTTCATTTATTAGATTAGATTCTTTTTTTTGTATGAATCAGTAAAAACCATCGAGCGGTCCCTTAACAACAGAAGATTAATCTTTGATTTGACGAAGGAGGATTTTTTTTTTGTTTTTCTTAATATTTTAGAACAATAAATACTATTATTTTGCTACTAAATTTAATTTTCAATCTCCTTCAGGGCATTTTGGAATCGTCGATTAAGATCACCAACGAGCCCCCCACGGGAATGCTGGCCAATCTCCACAAGGCACTGGACAATTTCACCCAGGAAACCCTTGAGATGTCGGGCAAGGAGGCGGAGTTTAAAGCCATCCTGTTCTCCCTCTGCTACTTCCACGCCGTGGTGGCAGAACGCCGGAAGTTCGGACCCCAGGGATGGAACAAGATCTATCCCTTCAACGTGGGTGACCTCAACATCAGTGTTTCGGTGCTATACAATTATTTGGAGGCGAATGCCAAGGTTCCGTGGGAAGATCTACGCTACCTTTTTGGAGAGATCATGTACGGAGGTCACATTACTGATGACTGGGATCGGAGGCTGTGTATAACCTACTTGGAGGAGTACATGCAACCAGATTTGGTGGACGGCGAGCTATTTCTGGCGCCCTCCTTTCCCGCTCCGCCCAACACGGATTACCTGGGCTATCACACCTATGTGGATGAAATGATGCCCGCGGAGTCGCCCTACCTCTACGGATTGCATCCCAATGCGGAGATTGGGTTCCTAACCACCCGAGCGGAGAACATATTCCGCACTGTTTTCGAGATGCAACCAAGGGATGCCGGAGCCGGCGGAGGAGCAACGGTGACGCGCGAGGACAAGGTGAAACAGATCGTCGATGAGATCATCGAGAAGCTGCCGGAGGAGTTCAACATGGTCGAGATCATGAACAAGGTGGAGGAGCGCACGCCGTATGTGATTGTGGCCTTTCAGGAGTGCGAGCGCATGAACTTCCTCACCAGCGAGATGAAGCGCAGCCTGAAGGAACTGGACTTGGGCTTAAAGGGTGAATTGACCATTACGTCGGACATGGAGGTGCTGGAGAATTCACTGTTTTTGGATCAAGTGCCGCCCATCTGGACGTTACGTGCGTATCCTTCGCTCTTGGGTCTCAACAATTGGTTCATCGATCTGTGCCTGCGTCTGCGCGAACTGGAGACCTGGTCCACTGACTTTGTGGTAAGTTATCCATAAATTTAGTGGGTTCTATTGGTTCTTAAAAACCTCTTTATTTTAGTTACCCTCCTGCGTCTGGCTGGCCGGGTTCTTTAACCCACAATCCCTGCTCACGGCGATCATGCAGAGCACTGCGAGGAGGAACGATCTGCCGCTGGACAAGATGTGCCTCCAATGCGACGTCACCAAGAAGCAGAAGGAGGAATTTACGTGAGTGCCGCTCTCATTGACACGCAATTCCCAATTGACTCTTGAGGTGACCCCTTCATGGGAATCACTCATCCCATCAGAAAAAAATGCATTCGCAAGTGTCACAAATAGCATGAATAGGAAAGAATAAATACCAATCATGCCTTTTTAATTTATTTGTAGAAAGCTACGTTTTGTTATAAATTTTAAATACGCATTCATTTGAAATTTGCAAATTTTTGGTTTATCCGTAGGTTAAATGAAAGTATGTTTTTTTTTTTTTTATAACGTTAGTTTCATTTTTTGTTAATATTTTTTTATAATTAAAAGGTTTATAATTCACTGACAGATGTATTAAGCTAGCAAGTATTAGTAAGAACTAAATTCTATGAGACGTGCGAATCACAAAAATTAAACCTCTTAAATAAGATTAATTCGACTTGTTTTTAAATTGTATTCGTTAAGTTAACCTTGAAAGCACTCATCTTGAAAATCTTGTTGGGAATGCTACATCTGTATCATTTTCGTTATCAGAATTATGCTTTAAAAATATTTGATTATTTGGTGTTGAATTATTATTGTTTTTACACTCGCCAAAAGAAAACATTAGCTAGTTGAGCATGCTTTTTTCGAATAGATAATCCCATTCTCTGGCTGGTGTTATCTGCCTCGCCCGCTGCTTCAATGACTATAGCCCCCCGATCCCAACCCCCTCTCCTTCGCATAATGTAATGTTGTGACATGTAATCACCGCTTCGTGCCGGAATGAAAATCCAGCTGCGGCCAATGGCCAGCGAGCCGCTTTAAGTGGCTCTAAAAATAGCCACAATGCTATTTCATAAGAGCTAATTTTAAACCAGCAGTGGAGTATAAATATGTGGGACTTATTAATAGCCCGTAATTTACAATTGTCTATTTGCCAAGCCAATGAGCTGATGGCTGACTGGCTGACGACTGATGGGTGATGGGCTGGTGGGCTGGTAAACCGATGAGCTGGTGAGCCGATGAGCTGATTGCCTATTAAGTGGCGCCCCACCAGCCACGTTTCACTTGGCGACGCTGCCGGGCAAACAATGGAGCAACGCGGCTCCGCCGCGTCGTCGTCGTCGTCGTCGGAATTGATTAATATGTGCCTTTGCCTTCCGATTAGCATCATCGACACCCGCCCCCCTAATTGGCATAGAACCCCTGGGCTGGATAGCAAAACCAATGTAATTATAAATTATAGAGATCATATCTTGTATTGTAATTGCAGGACGGCTCCGCGAGATGGCTGCTGCGTGCATGGGATCTTCATGGAGGGCGCCAGGTGGGACATTCAGCAGGGGATCATAATGGAGTCGCGGCTGAAGGAGCTCTACCCCTCGATGCCGGTGATCAATATTCGGGTGAGTTTGAAATGCAAATGGGGGGAGGGCAGAAATGAAATGCTAAAATCGGCGAATCGAGAACGGATCTGTGTGGCGTCTCAGTGGTTGGCGCATGTTGGCATAAATTCAAAGAACTAGATTCCGCACCACTCCACTATTCCACTTAATGCGATTCAGATTTGAAGTAACCTCGTCTATGTACCGCAGGCAATCACCCAAGATAAGCAAGATCTGAGGAACATGTACGAGTGCCCGGTCTACAAGACCCGCACTCGAGGCCCCACCACCTATGTGTCCAACTTGAATCTGAAGACCAAAGACAAGCCGGGCAAATGGATTCTCGCCGGAGTCGCCCTGCTCTTGCAGACCTAATTTAACCAACCATACTTTCGTAGAACTGTTCTAGAACTTAGTATTTGAACTTTGAACTTAGTCCACCACCTTGAACAACATCTCTTTAGAACAATAATAGATCTAAGCTAGAAAAATGTACCAATTTTACCGTAGACTCCAAGTTTGACTTTCGATTTCTTCCTTATATAGTGCACATTTTTCGAATAAAACACCTCCTAAGTAGACTTGCCTTAGGCGCACTAGCATAAAACCCAAAAGAAATCCTAACTTGTTTTAACTGGCTTGGGCACATAAGGAGTCTTTCAAGTAGGTAAGATTACTCGTAATTAATATATTTTAGCTGTGACTTCACTTGTTTACCATGCAACTGTTTACATTCAATTTAGGTAATGCCCCGTGGAAACCACCGTCATTCGGCAGACAATTGATATTATAAATATGAGATAATCGTGCGACGACGCGAAGCTGATAAGTCGAAAAATTCCAAAAATCTAAAATCAAAATGAAAATGCTAAATCAAAAGCGTCGCGCACCCATAAATAACAGGCGAATACTACTATATATTACTATGTGTATCTGGGGGAAGCAGCATCAAAGAAAATCCATAGACATCGCTGCCGAGTGGAGTGAACTCGTGGCCGTCGCAAACTGAAACAATTTTCATATTTTTTGCCCTGCTTTTTCTTTTTGTTATTTATTTTGTGAGTGTTTTCGACCTGGACCGCTCTCCCGCTCTAAAACAAAAACCACAGAGCTACGACGGAGCTCTCTAATAAAATGATAAGCGGGTGCCGAGTCGGTTCGATCGGTTTTATGCTGACGAAATTTCCAAAGATTTTCGAAGCATCCCGCGAGCATCTCAGTGCCGAGCGGTACGTCGAGGAGTCCACTTTTTTTAGCGGCTGCATAAATATACATGAATAATTCAAACTCAAAAAACAACAAGTTGGACCGCGACAACGTGACCTGCCTGTAGAGTTATCGATCAAACGGCCATTCCGATCCGATCCGATCCGATTCAATTCAATTCGACTCGATCCGATCGATCTGCCCATCCGATTTCGGTGCCCCGAACCGCGTTTCATCTGGCGAGTTCCAGCCCAGCTAACAGCAGTCGCAGCCGCAATAACCAATTCCAAATACCCAATACCCAATACCCAATAGCCATAGCAGAGGAAACAGAAAAAAAAAAACAACTGAAAAATACACAATAAAACAATCAGAAACAACTACAGCGGCGAAATGTGCGGAGAAACAAAAAGAAAATTGAAGACGACGACACGAGCGTAAATCTTTTTAGCATGAAAAAATTCTATAAAACTAACAGGCACTGTGTGGTCGGACATCATTCGTGCGCTACGACGGCAGACGACAGCCGCAGATACAGATACAGATATACGGATACAGATACAAATACCGATACAGATAGCCGGGCAAACGCGGACGGACAAGGAGTGATTGATTGATTGCCGAACCCGAGGGCCCCGACTCCTGCCCAAAACCAAAATCAAAACCAAAACCCAAACTCGAAACTGAAATTGAAATTGAAATCAAAGCGCTGTGTCTGCACCGGCATCCCGGTATCCATCCATATCTAACAGCGGTCAGCATCGGCATCCCAGTGAAAAGTAGCAGTAACAATCGGAATCCCAACTCCAATACCAATCCGAGTCCCAATCCCAGCGGACAACGTCCAGTCGCCGAGCCATCAATCAATCAGTTGGTCAATCGCCCACTCGACTTCTGGCTGGAGGATATCTTCGGTCGGCGCTTTAGTTTCAGTTCGCATTTGGACGCGTGCTGTGCGGCCTCGCCGATAGAGAGAGTCGGAAACCTCAGTCCCAACCAAAATCGGAATCGTGCGCGAATCTATAATCTGTAATCTATAATACAAAACAATCTATATTGAACCAAAACACTCGCGCACACACGTGTCTGAAGTTCAGTGACAAGCCCCAAATCAGGCGTCTAATTCCATCGATTGTACCTATTTATATATAGAAATCGTGAAAGCGTTCAACACTTTTAATCAACTCGAATCCAGCGCTGGCACGGCATAATTAATTCGTCTGACCCGCAAAGTTCACCCAAAGCGAAAAAAAGCAAATACGGTTGTGCAAATTGTGCTCCAAAAAGTGCGAAATCGCAAATCTCAAATAACTAGTAGCAACATGAAGCTGTTTGCAGTATTTTTGGCATGTACGTACCTTACTCTTAAAAGTGTTTGTTTATTAACAAAAAGAAGGGGAATTCAAAGAATAATTTTAATTTCTAAACACACTGCAGGCAGTGAAAAGTATTAATGTTGCGGAAAGACTTTTTATGTTGGGTTTATTGCAAGCCAATAAAAAATAATTACTTTTCACGTGAATCCAAATTTTAAAGGGGAAATTCCAAACTTTTACTTTTTAAATAAACAAAAAGTTTATGATCCATTTTCGAAAGGAATCCGGTAAACTTTAATGTCCAAGTTCAAAAAGCTTCTGCTCGAACACAGTTTAATCCCAACGAATGGAAGATGATTTATTTTGGGATTTTCCCATAAATTAAATAGAAACATTTTCACTTAGAATAAATAGAAACAGTTATATAAAATAACTGGAATTGTGCTTATTGACTCCATAGTATTGTTATCATATTATTCTTTATAAATATGTAACATATTGCTTACTCATCCATTAAGTATAAATGTTGTAAATAAGAAACGTGATGATTAGAACCTCTGCGTCATAGCATCAGAAATTTTACAATTAAATAATGAACATTATCTTTTCAAGGAGCAAAGGTCTCTTTGTTTTAAAATTAATTGTGACTTAACTTATTTTTACAATTCAAGTTATCTTCATTCAAATGCAGTAGTACAACTTATGAATGGAAAATTTAATAAATTGAGTCATTAGATTATACACCCCGTCAACAAAGTTTCGCGGATTGAGTTCCATTGCGTGTTGACATGGCTAATTAGGCATGCAGGTAGTAATGCCCGATTTGATTCGCTGGGAACGGGAACACCAACCCCTCCAACCAAAGAAATATCGGATTCGTTGGCACCGCCAGACGCTCTGGCGTCGCCGAGAACCGTGGGTGATATCATGGGTGATGGGCCAGTGGGCTGATCAGGGCACTTTGTATTCCGCGTACAGTCGACGGTCGGTGACGGGCGGTGATTCTCCTCGCACGCCTCCTGCCTAACTAATTGGCTCTGATGTCTCCGTCTATTTATAGTGGCGCTGCTTGCCCTCTCGATGGTCCAGTGCCTCAGCCTGCCCGATCCCGGCACCAAGTGCGGCATGGAGTGCGACACGCAGGAGTACCGATTAATTTGTGCCGCCGACGACAAGGGCACCACCAAGACCTATCGGAATCTGTGCGTCATGAAGACGGAGAATTGCCTGCAGAATGCAAGTGAGTGTAAACAAAAATATTAATATATCTACTATATATATCTGTAACCCCATACATTTAGCTTAAATAACAAACGTTTATTCCTTTTCCATTAATTCTTTCAGTAATTAAAACTTTTTAGTAAACTAACCCAACTACAATCCAATTCATATTTGTTGCACTTAATGTTTTAGTAATTCAACCATAATATTCAACCATACAATCAAATCTCTTTTCGTTAACTTCTCCAGACTTCCAAAAGATCAGCGACAGGGAGTGTCCATAGACCTACGGATCCAGCCATCGGTAGCCCAGCAGAAATAACTTAATCATGGAGGAGAACGAGTGGAGGCCGTTTAACATGCTGGAGGACTCTTCTTTCTCGCGTGGTATTTGTGTGTGATATTTTTAAGTTGTACTTCAGCGGAATACAGAGCACGCCCCGAACGTAATGCATAATGATAATGTATTCTATAATTATTAATTATAAATATTAAATAAAGTAATCGTAACACGCAAAATGAAGCCTGGTTCCTTGACCGTCACAATGCTGATGGGGCGTAAATAGGCGATGATTTCATTTCCGGTTTACCCCACCGAACAGCCAATCCGTCGTCTACATACGACACCATGATCTGCTAATCTGTGCCCTGTATTCCTCGGATCGGATCGGAATTAAGTCATCAGACCGATTTAGAAAATCGGATCTTGATAGTCTGACAGACACACCCGGTGTTGCATTATCCGCTGTTACAAAAAAGCGTTAAGTTAAGCAAAACAGATTTTTAGAGTATAATAAAAAAAGGTTTTTGAGGCTTTTCGCCATTTCAACAATTAAACTTTAATGTAAACAAAGCATTTGATCGTTTTTAGACATTGAGATTTAAATGGTTTAACTTATTTACAATTAGTTTGGTGGGTAATTTCAAAAACTAACTTGGTTCCTTCCAAATTAACAATTGAATCGCATTCAAGACTATCCTTTGTCCACTTTATAAATAACATTTTGTTCTACAAACTGTTAAATAATTTTTTTTTATATTTTACAATATTTTTAAACTTTCAAGAAAAGTCTGTTCTGAGATAACCATGTCTTTTCAAAAAAGTCCTAAGTCTATATTTTATAAAGGTTTCCTTTAGTTTAACATATGATGATTTGAAATAGGTGTTTTGTTCGATGAGCTTAAATGTTGAATTGTAGTCTCTTTGTTATTTTGAAGAAGGAACCTTTAGTTTCCGGGATAAGATCAAGTTTATCCCACAAATTGACCCATCCTAGTAATACATTAGCGATATCAATACATTAAAACTGCTGCAACCGCAGCTCGACTTGCAGGGCGATGCAGGCCCTCCGTTCCTCCTTTAGCTCCATGCCCAGCATGTTCTTCTTGTGCTCCAGCAACGCGTTCTCGCGAGTGTAGTGTTCGATTATTCGTTCATATTCTGACTCCGGCGGAGCCTGGGGTTCCACGGCCAACGCTGCCATTTGGCTGTTGATGGACTGCTTTTCATACAGCTGCTTCAGCCTGTACACTTCGTTGCGTTCCGACAAGATGCGGGCTTTCAGTTCGTTCTGCCATTCCATCAACTCGTCGTATTCGATTTGAAGCCGCAGTAAGTTTTCGCGGTGTGGATTCGACTTGGGTAGCAAGATGAAACCAGTGGCGGCATCGATGGTAAAGTCGTTGGGAGCCTTTGGTAACTCATCGGGGGGAATACTGTTGTGAGTGGAGGTTGCTACTGTGACCGAAGCGACTGCTGGCTTGGAATCAGTGGTGTCCTCACTGACGACCGCTGGCGGAGCGCTGCTGCTGTTGTCCAGTTCCTCCACAGACTTTTCCTGCTTCTTCTCGAAGGTGCGCAACTTCCGCTTGAGCTGTGTAATAATGCGTTGCACTTCCCAAAGCTGCTCCTCGCGTTTCTTGGTAATGAAACCGGCGTTCATCTCGCTGTGGATCTGGGACAGAAGACTGTCCTGCTTGCGCAATTCCGTCTGGATGTCCTCTGGAGTATCCGGAAGCTTTGGGCTGGCCGAAGTGAGCGGGAGCACATACCTAAGAGATACCACTTTAGTAAGGCGATAACTTTGTTTACATTTCTGCCCCTCTGCCTGATTAAGAAGCTGGCGATACGCTGAAAGCGCTTCTGTTTGCGGGGTATCGTGCTCATCCTCGGCAGCAAAATAAATGACTAAATTTCGTGAGTTTTACAGTCTAAATCTTATCTACAGCTAACAGAGATGGGAGTTATCTTGGTGGTTATAGGTACTTATTGAGCTGATTAATTATTTTGTGTTCATATTTATCGTATCATTTCAAATTTGAAGTATCTTTTATATTTTAACTTGGTTGCGTTGCAGAAAATTAATGCCGATAAGGTAAACATAAATGACTTTCAAATTCCAAGAAAGGTTTAGTAAAATACAACATTAACGTTAACTTGTTCAAAAATTAATAAAGGTAATAATTCATTTTTCATAATCGGGTAGAAAAAAGAAATTTAAATTTGTTAAATATTTTTCTTGGCAAGAAAATAACCACCATGAATAAGTACCTATCCAAGCCAACTTTAATATCTGCCATCGCTGGCATCCGGCTAGCCGGTGTTTGCTCACTTTATCAGCTTGACGTCCGGGAACAAGTTGTTGCAGTGGCAGAGCAGGGCCACCATCAGCCGGTGGGACATCTGCAGCGTGGGACTGAGTAGCATGGCCAGTGATTGGGCGTTGAGCTTGTTGTACTGTTCCTGCTGGATCACCGCGTCGAAGTGGAGCACAACCCACGCCAACAGAGTGCGGTTGCACTTGGGCAATTGCTCGAGCAGCTGCTGCAGCTCTGCCTGTTGCGTTGTGACCCTTGGATGGGAGGCCACCTCCTCGAATCGGGCCACCAGATCGGTGGTCAGCAGGGGCTCCGGCAACTCGCGCAGGAAGAGCTTCAGCAGACTGCAGGCGGTGGGCAGGTTGAGCTCATCGACGGCGGAGTCGTGCTCCCGGTTGTTGTACAACCGCTTGTAGTGCATCAGACGCGTCTTGATGGGCTCAACCTTGTAGATCTGCTCGCACTTCAGGTGATCCTGCAGGAAGTCGATGCAGTCGCGCACAACCAGAGGTATGTCTACGCCGTCGTGGCAGCGGGACCGTTCCGTGGCCAGGCTGACGGAGACCCCGAAGACGGGGTAACCGAGGGCCAGCACCTCCTCCGCGGCGGAGGCATCGTCCTGCTGCTGCGACAGCTGCTTGCTCTTCTTGTCCTTCTTCTCCTTCTTGTCGGCCTTCTTGTCCTTCTCCTTGCGCTTGTCCTCCTTGTCCTTTTTCTTGAGCTCCTCGCGCTCCTTCTCCTTGTCCCGCTCCTTTTCCTTGTCCTTGGTCTTGTGTGCCGGCTGAGGCTCCTCCTCTGCGTGCTTGGAATCTTTTTCCGACTTGTCGCGAGACTTTTCACGCTTCTCCTTGCTCTTGGAGCTGGTAAACTTAAATGTCTTGGACTTTTTGGACTTTGAAGGGCTTCTGGGGAGCAAAAGTAAGGGATTAATTATGTCTGGATTAAGTGAAAGTCTTATTCACTGACTTTGTGTCCAACTCCTCCTCTGGTGAACTCTCTCCTTCTAACGCAGCATATCCTCTATCCTTGCCCTTCTCCTTTTTGTCTTTGCGCCGGCCGATCAACAGGTCCTTCTTACTGTGTTCGTGGTCCTCGCTGACTGCAAGGGAAGTTTGGCTCATTGATTTTCCCCCGTTTTCACGCCCACGAATTCGGACTCCACTTACAGTCGCTCTCCTCCTTGCTTTTCTTCGACCTGGCATCCGCCGCCTCCGAGGCGTACAGCCCGGGGAACTCCTTCTCCTCGGGACTGTCGAAATCCATGGCGAAAAATCACTGCTCCAGCGGTAAATAAATAATTTTCGTAAACAATTTGCGTAAACAACAACAAAACAGATGCACAAAATAATCGGTTATTGGTGGACCAAAAGAACGCCCGGTCGTTTGCCAACACTGTTCTGTGCGGCCAGGTGGCGCTTTTCGGCCATGTAGAAAGCATGTCGTAACGGTCATTTCATATTTTCTGTAGATTTAAAAAGCGCGAATGCCAAAACTCGTCCAAAAAGAAATTTTCTATGAAAGGCCGTAAGACTCAAATTTGATATGTATGATAATAATAATAAAAATGATGATAATAAAATAATAATAAAAAAAAGCTTGCCACTGTCAACCCACTTAAAAACTTAAGACTCAACATTACAAAATTTTTTATTGTACTATGTTGTATAATAATTAAATATATTTGCTTAAAATTTTCCGTAAATTTAAAATTCTTTAAAAAATTATACTCCCCTTCCGAAAAAATTTGAATAATCTATTAAGCCAGTTTTTATACGAATGTAAGTATTGAATTTTTAATAAAAACCAAAGCTACATCTGAATACGACGACTACATTACAGCCGCTAAAAGCAACATTTCATTTTTTAATGCAACTAATAATAATTTTAAATATTAAAAAATAGACTGCTTAATGGAAATGGAAAAAATAATAAAATAAAATGGAATGTTTTTTAAGCAGCAGATTATTGACTATGGTCCATTTGTTTCCTGATCTATATTCGAAAGCCAAAGCAATCAGCTGGCAGCAAATACAATTACCCGCAATCAATCTGTTCCGCGATGCGCCGCTTATCGCTTATCGCTACGCTCGTTTAGCAACTGGGTTCCCATCCAGTGGGAAGCCGGCAAGCCAAACAAATGCGAATAGTGCGTGCCGATGCCGGCTCTCCAAAATGTTCCAGAGATTAGCCGGTGGCTCTATAAACTGGCCATCAGCAGCTGAGTGCCGTTGGAAACCAAGGATAATGGCGTAGCGACCGTTGAGTTCCCGCTAATTGCTATATCTGGCCGGCAGACAGTGCCCGAATAGGCCAGAACGAGGCCGGCAATCAGGGTCAGCAGGAAGGCCAGTCCCAGGACAACGCAGCTGAACCGCCGCACACTCTGCCACCAGGGATCCTGGGCGAAGGGCAGCAACTCCTCCAGCGTCAGTCCGTAGGAATAACTGCAAAGGAAGCGAAGGGAGCGGGCCGAAAGCACTTTGTAACGAAGTTATTTTTTAATGAAATGCGACGGAAAGCGTTTACTCAGCAGTTGTGAAAATGGGCTCATAATCCTTTGGATCCTTCCCCGACGCGGGCACGACAATGATGTGCTGCTGCCGCTGCTGATGTCCTTGTTGCGTTGCCAGCAGCGCTGTTTTCTCATTGCAGGACATATTTGCTTTCAGATACTCTTTAGTTGTGAGGGTGTATAGTTTTCATAAAATATGTATTGCAGTTCCGAACCTGTAATACAAAAACATACAATATTATTTACAACGAAAATTGGACTTTTAACCAATTTATATTATTATGGCGTAGAATAAGTTTTTATTATCTTCAATGTCAATTACCTATTTATCTTTTAAATCATTTACCTTCTAAAAAAAACGCAAAAACAGAATAATTCCTTGTATTTAGCTGTTGACACATATAGATTGCACAACTCTTTAACTCACATTTTATAGTCATAAACCAAAATTGTTAAAATATTTTAAAAACAAACTTTTTTAAATTTGGTAAACCAATTTACGATATATTGAAGTTTGGAGTAAAATTTGTATTGTTAATAAAAGTAGGTCATAAATCGAACCCTTAATGGGTATCTGAGTTTCGGAATCCCCGGTTAGATCCTGCTTACTTGTCTGTCTCTCGGGAGGTCCCTGGGATTACAAACACTCCAGGCCGTGCGGCTAGTGCAATTTGGTGGCGATTGCTCCGTGGAGGCAACTGGCGGACGACTGGCGAATGGCTTTCGTTCTGTCGCAACTTTAATTAGCTGGCAGCTGGGCTGGCTGTCTCATTGCTTTATTGCTGTTTGCCTTTGTGCTCGGATTCGGATTCGGATTCCTGTAAACAACTTTATCTCCACGGTTCTTGTCGTTGTCTCTCATCTCCGCTCGTCTTCCGCAAATGGAGGCGTTATCTTGCGGCGCTTTTTTGGGGCATTGCATAACTGCGCGGTGGAGCCGTCGAGTCGAGTCGAGTCGCCCGATTTCCCATAGCGATAATTCCCCCCGATTTCGGGGAAGTAAGATCAGAAAACGACGGGTTCGATCGGTTTAATGTGTTAGTTTATTGGGTTTCTTTTGGTAAACATGCACGGAATACATATATATCGTATGTACGTTTGCCAGTAACTCTGGGCCCTGGGCTCTCTATTCGATTCGATTAGGTAAAACGTTAAGCTTTCGTCCTTTCATCCTGACTCCTCTGGCTAACGTTACGAGTACGAGTACGAGTATGTTCTCTTAGTGAGTATATTCAAATTTGTAGCATTCGTTCGGGTATTTTCTTATAGCGTATTTAAGTGAGAAGAGATACGGTTAGTGAGATCGAGAGACCTTCACCCCAAGCATATGCTACACAAACTACATATGTGGTATTCGATCTATTCGATTATTAGCATACTTTATCGGCTTACTTCTTGAGTACATTTAAATGGGTCTCTGGATGTTCGAGTATATGTATGTTTGTAGTTGCTTTGGTTTTCGGGTAAAATCACATTCATAAGTATACATTTAAAAATGCAGGTATAATTTGAATTCGAAAAAACACGATAACAAACGGCAAAGGATTAATATTGTACAATACATATACATATCAACTGTTTGGTTTGCATATCAAAACATACAGATTCGAATCCTATCAACTATCGTACATCTATAGAAGGGAATTAAAAATCGTGAAATTAACTGGAAATCAAAAACCGATAAGGTAAGAATAAAATGAAATTGAAGAGGTTTTAAAGTAATCTGCTCACGCTTTTCATCCAGTTACGCTTTCTACTCCTAGTTCTTTAGAAGTACCTACATCCTATGTCGGAAGCACTTTAATCGTTTTTATTTGCCTTTGCCATTAAATATAATCGTCTATGGGTAATCGTTTGTATGTCTGCATACACTATATATCTGGTTATCCTTTGCGTCGTATTGTTACATTCACTGCTCCTCCGCACCTCAATTTCAATCGCTATTATCTTTACTCCTAGACTGTTCTGTATATATTGATTTCCTGGCCATGGATATATGGCCACAAGCTTACCCTGACCCCTGGTCGATTTCTTCGAATCGTCTGTTAACTGCAGTAGTATCTCGTAAGAATTTAGTTTCCGTTCGAAAAGTGAAATGAAAAGGCGTTAATTGAAATAAATTTAAAAAGAAATTTAATTATAATGTCTAGCAGTAAACATTGAAAGTATAATTTAATACATTATTCATTCGTATTTGTATATTTATTAAATTGTTTCATAGTTCGTATATGTAGGCGGTAATTAATTATCAATTACGTCTAAATTTGGCGCAGTTTTCTCAACGAGTTCCCCGTACAGTTGTGTGACCCCAAATATATATAATACAAATTTATGCATGTGGCTATAAATATCATTAGGCTTCCTCTTTCGTTAATTTGCTAGAATTTCGCTATATGAAAAATAGTACAACATTATACAAAAAATATGTACCTGCTCGTTACACTTTCGGATTACGATTACGAGTACGAGTACGATAATCAACTCTAGTTATTTCGGTATTGTTTTGGTGTTTGCCTTAATATCCAGTTTCCCTACTTCGATCACTGCCAGCGACGTAAGCGAATAGAAAGTCTTTTTTTGAAGTAAATTGATTAGTGCTCTCTGGTTGTAGTTCAAGTTCAAGTTCTGTTCTAGTGCAGTGTGGAAACACTGATGGTCTTTCTTGCTAATCACTAATCGCTAATCGCTAGTAAGTAGTGCCGCCCTTTTTTTGGTCAGAGTAATGAAATTGTTTCTAGTTGGACTTGTGTGGATAGTCGATACTGGATAGTCGATAGTGTGTGAAGTGACTAGAACTAGTTGTCGAGGAGGCTCCTATTCAGTTAATAGTGGTTCGTAGTAGTACTTGTAGTAGATGGCTAGAGGGATTGCGTTTCTTCTTGGCTAAAACATTAGATCTTCCTAAAACTTACACATGTATTAAATTAACAATGGTATTCGGCAGATGGAGAGACAATTTCGAATTCGGAGTGCGGCACGCGATTCAAACTCTGATTCGAGTCCAAAATCGATTCCGACTCTTCGCTTTGATTTTTTCTGGGTGGATTAAGTACAGCTTTAACAAACAACAACAGTGACTTAAGTTGTACACAGAATGATATAATAAATATAATCATACTTTAGAAGGTAGAATTAAGTATATATGGCATAACAGTAAATGATCTCGTTACAGTTACAGTTACAAGATTGCTGAGCCGTGGCAGCCTTTCTGTATTTACAATTCATATATGAATAGAGACAATAATCGTAAAAATGGTTTTGTATATAAGCCTGACTTAAACCTATTTAAACATTAAAACTTTACTTTTAGTATTAACATAAATTTTACACAAGAAATATTTATATATAGCGCCGAGCACATTCATATATATAAATCAATTTCATAAGTTTACATATAAAAACTGCATCTACAGCTTCTCTCGCCAGCTTCTGAATCTGAATATCGGTTAGCTCCATCCTCCGTACATTTCGCTCCAGCTCCACGGACGCTGAATAAGAATCCAACGCGACTTGCGGGCAACGAGGCCAACGCCTCGACAAAGTCAAAGCGATGCGGCTGCCAGCTCCTTACACCCGGATGACATCGTAGGCCTCCAGTATGCAGATGACCACGTAGAAGACCCACAGGAACACCAGGATCGCTGCGCTGATGTACTTCGAGATCTTCGGGCCGCCCAGCTCGGCCCCAATGCCCTTGTGCAAGCGCCGGAACATGATGAGGAAGATCGCGATGAGGGCCTCGCCGCAGAACAGCGCCACAGCGAATCCAATCCTGGAAAGGAGTGGTTTTTGCAGGTAGAAATATTTTAGTCAGAGCATGGAAATAATCAATATGCAAGCATTAGTAGTTTGTCCCAAAATGTACTGTATAAGTACTATTCCTTAAGTTATATGTATTATATGTATAATAAACTAGAACTGCCAAAATATTATTATACAATTTGTATATGTACTCTTGCCCTCTCTTTTAGTTGAAAAATCTTAAGAGTAGCCACCTACTATTGCATTCTGTTCGCCTGGTATTTCAAAGTGAGATTTGGAGAAGAACGATTTCAAGAAGAAAATGTGTGACACTTAGATTTCAAATACCAGGGCAAAACAATTTATTAGATGGTGGTTTTAATTGTGTGAATTTTCCATAAAAAAAGTGTTGCATTATTTTGTGAACAAGTAAGAAATTCAAAAAGTAGCACTCTACTATAGCTCTCTTGTCGCCTGGTACTTTAAAATGCGTTTGGTCCAAAAATTTGACGAGTCAATTTTTGTATGGTCGTATTTAAAGAACTTTTTATAAAAATCTTAGAAGTTTTAGAGGTTAGTGGCATACCTATGAAACCAAATTGATTAAAAGTAGAAAAGATATCTCCATTTACAAAAACCCATAGCTTTAAAACTGAGAGACTAGTTTACATAGAAACAGACAGACGGGCAGACAGAAGACGGAATATTAAGTTTTCTAAAAACCGGACGACTATATATAGCTGACTTATGATCAATCGTTGAAAATATATATAGCCTTCATGTATTTTGTTCGAAATAACTGCTAATAGTTACCTTTTTATAAGCATATAAGCTTCGACTCACCGAAGCCAGCCTCCTTTCTTGTTCAAAGGTTAAAATAACTCAAAAAGTAATTTTACTTTTTAGCTTACTCAGAGTTAATGTTCCTTCTATGTTAAAACATTTGTATAAATGCTGTTGTTTTAGATATAAATACTGTTCAACAACCTTGCTCTAAAAGTGCCTTAAAAACTAAATAAATTCCCCCATTTGCGGTTACTCACGTTCCCGGCTCCACGTTGAAGGTCTTGCCATGGGAGCTGTGGTAAACGGCGGCGATGGTCCAGGCCAGGCCAATGCCCAGGAAAACGTTGACCGCATTGCTGCCCGTGACATTGCCGATGCAATTATCGGCACCCTCGTCGTGCTTGGCCGCAATCATGCTGGCGAATGTGTCTGAAGGTTGGAACAAGTTCGGTTATTAACACTTAATGGTAAATAGGGTTTCGGATAACTCACCCGGTATGCTGGTGCCCAGGGCGACAAACAGGATGGCCGTTACCGAGTCCTTGATGTTGAGGGCGCAGCCGAAGTAGGAGGCGGCATCGCCGATGATGGCGGTGATGACGCCAATCACGAATATGGACACCACAAAGGTTATATAGCCGCCGCAAATGTCTGGCAAGTATAAGGTAGAAGCTAGGAGCTCACCTCTTAAGACACCACCAAAGGATGCTCACCTGTGGGCGGCACAAATGCAAAGAGGACCTTCCAGAAGAGACAGATGAAGTGGCTCACGTAGCTGAAGCAGCTGGGCACCTCCTCCTCCGCGTCATCGTCGGTATCGAATTCACTTTCATCGGCTGCAAGCGATTGTTTGCATTGTAAAGTATTTCATCAAATCGAAAGAAAATTGATGGAGCTTTACCTGGGATAACAGTGAGGGCATCTTTGAACTGCTCCTTCCAGGACGAAGTGCCAAGGACGGCAGAGACGTTCGCTTTGGCCACCAGTTTGTCGACAGTAGCCTTTAGAAGAATTTATTACGTAATATCAATGGAATGGCCAAATAAATCAAGATCTCTTTTAAAACCCCTTGAAAAACTAACAGACAACAAGCGAGTGAAAAAGTAAAGCCCCCTCATTGTTGCCCAGCTTTTCCCCACTCATATTACGTATACGCCACCGACAGACAATGAACACGAGCCCATAAAATCCACACAGACGGACGGCAAACAGAGCACTCAACGTGTCATTTGGAGATTTGCACACAATTAGGTGCTTATTTGCATTGCACCTGAGCGGTTAGAGGGTAACTCGATCTGGCACAAGGATAAAGATGGATTTCCACCTGGGAATCGTTATGGGTGTGACTACTAACTACTACAGTCTAGCCACGAATTCACTTGGCTTTATGTAAATGTGTAATGGGATTCGCCTCGTCTGTTGTTTTGGTAGTTAAGTCAATGAAACTGCTTTGCATTAGCAGTGGGAATATATTCGGGAAGGGATCCTATACCAATCTGATTAAAGTATCGAGTACCCACCTTGAATTCCTGGCTCTCACGAATGCGCACATACGCGGTGGTCAACTCGCCATTTCTCGGTTTACTCAGCAGCAGGATGCGATCCAGTTCGGTGAGTTCCTGCACAGGCTTCTTTTCGACCTCCTTGATTTTGGCTGCCATTTCATCGTCTTTCCCAGGGAATAAACACAGAGTTAGTCGGGGGTTTTGACCACGATTTAAGTAACACCGTGTTGCATGCAGCCACACCCCCGCAATAGATTATCTTAGAGTAATATGGTGTTATAGAGTATATAACTAGACAGACATAGGGTGTGTTAGCATACAAACGAAAGGGTGTTGGGAGTTAGATAAGGGTCAGAGGTTAAAGCCGTGGTTCACACCACACACTAAATACTTGAAACACAGAACTAAGGCACACATACGCCCCCAATTAGTTGGGGACTAATTGGAAGCATATGGCGGTAATGGGATGCGGGCTTTGAATTAAAAACAGAGGGGAAAGACAGCAGAGAGGGGGAAAGGGGGTAACAAATCGAAACTCATTGAACAGCAAAGGAATGTGGGGTTAAAGCCTTTCAAAAATTCCTTCGAACTTAAAGCGTTAACTTCAATGAGCTTGCAACATGTTTATGGTGAAGTGCCATCAGGATGCAATTGAGTGGAAAATGGGAATTGATAAACTGCATATTAGGCAAAGACAAAGACAAAGACTGAGCAGAGAAAGAAGTAAAGCAGGCATGCAGAAGTTCACAGGAAGGTTGAAAATATGTCCCCCGATATTCCGAATTTGATGACTCACAAGTGGGTTCTCCGGAGTGTTCGTGTTTTTCTATAGACATCGACAATCGACAACATGACAAGTACGTGGATGGGGTGTCGGGGGTAGAGTTCAGAGAATCTTTGTTAAATGGTCTCAACATGTTGGGTATATACGAGTATATTGCTTCAACAATCACTTTCTAGATATTCAGTTAACGAATATGCGATGCTTACAATGACTGTGGTGATTTCGGACCTTGGACCTTTGCTACATTTCGGATGCTCTTTGGTCGGGTTATTAGCTTTGGTTCTTAATCATTGGTTATTGCTTTTCCGGAGGATACACACACACAAAGATACTTTACGGCAGAACAACACAGAACTGAATACATCGACATGGCCTTAACTTATATCAGAAGCCGTTCACGATTAAATTATATTGCCTTAAGTCTAGAACACACACAGATAATACACGTGGAACGGAAAGGAAAAAAAAGAAGAGCAAACACAAATTACGAGTAAAACAAAGCCAGATATCAGGTAGTCGTCAGCGGTTACGTGTATTACTTACAAATCGATTTGGCGATGCAGAGGCATGTTTGAGTGGTACCGATGATATATCGTATATTGTATATCGGAACGAGGCGATATCGGGTGTTTCGATTCGAGCAGCAAGTCGGGCGGGGCACAGGCACACAAAATGTGAGAGGAGCGGGCACAAGCGCGTTTACAAATGTCCGCCGAGCATAGAGACAACCAAAGGATTACCAAAAACTGTGACCCTGCTTCTAACTTTATTTCAATTGAAGACGAACATCGAATATCGTATATCGAATATCGCACATCGCTTATCGAATATCCCGATGGCTTGCTGGCTCGGGATCTTTGCAATTCAATCCAATATATAATTTAGTTACTTTACACAGGAAGCTTGAAGCTTGCATTTATCAAGTGCGTGGCTGCTGCGTCGAAAAAAGCGCAATTGTTCGGGATAAATGCAGATGCAGATGCACACACACAGATACGCAACGCCTAAACATTTAGATACATCTACGAATACAACACATACTGATACGGCTGATATTATGTATACGACGTGTGGGTTAATGGCCAATCGAGCTAACAAATCAAAAAGACACATGAAATGATAATGCCGACCAGTTAGGTTTCTATCATCCCTCCTTAGCTTACACACTTTTGTTTTTATTTACTTTTGGCATATTCACTATTAACTGAACACTTGAAATGGTCGATCGATCGGGCAATACGAGTATGTTGGGTTTGTATGGCAAAGAAAGACGTTTACATACCAAATAATCGATTGAAAAATGATTCCTTATTAGTGTCATCTGCGCGTGAGGAACATGTGAACATGTGTCGTTTGGCATTTACGGAGGCGAGTGGTTCGATTGGATCAGAGATTAAAGACAAGTATGGACAATGGCAATGTTTAGTCTAGTTTACGCTAAGGCCACAAGCAAATGGTGGATGGTTAGTACTGGGGATCTGGATCTGGGTGCAAAGTGCTCGTGGGTTGAGGAAGTGGTGGTGGTGGTGGTGGTTTGGGATATGGAGGATCGGGAACTGATAGCTAATCGATCACGGATTCGACTGGGGTTTACAGAGATGCGAGATGCTAGTCACTAACTTTCATACAGAACACAAAAGACAACTTTCCTGCCCATCGCCAATAGGTAAACAAATATATACGCATTGGTAAAAAATTACATACAGAGGGGGGAAATGGGAAATAAATGTTTAACAGAAAACATAAATGGGAAGAGGTATCATCTAGGGTGGAAACACATACAACACCTAAACGAAGTACGCAATTAAATTATGGCTATTGCTTATTCTCGTGGAATGGCATTTTTGGGTTCAACGAAAAAACGAAACGAATAAAATGAATTTGCACTTTTTTGCCCGCAATTTCCGCACTCGGTGAAGGAAACAAAATGGAGCAGAAACTTAATGTTACTCCCGAGAAACCGAAACCCGAGTTCGGAATTGAACTTTTTCCGTTCTCCGTTTTACGTTTCTACGCTTTCGTGTTCAATTAAAATAAAATTCATTAATGCACAATTCAAGGCTTACGGTAGTGAGTGGAATCTAGAAGCATAAAGAACACAAATTAAAAGACCAAAAAGTATAAAAGAACCCATGAGTCGATAGGATGCGAAAAGACATACGAAACCGAAGGAACAATTTCGTTCAATTCAAATTGGAATTTCCAATTTACAAAGTTTTCGTGTTTTCTGTTTTTTTCTTTTTTTTTAATTTTTTTTCGTTCAGCTGGGCTTTTCCACCTGTTTGTAATATTTGGGGTCAAAGGCGAAAGAGTCAAAAAGGGTATGTGGGATATTTTTGTGGGAGTGGGATACAGATACAGATACAGATACAGATAGAGGTGGAGATAGAGAAGAGGGGGTAAAAGTTGGAGGTTCGGAGTGTCGGGTTCCGAGTGTCGGTGTCCCGGGTGTCGCAGGTTGAACTTCTGACCAGGACAGATAAGAACTTGTGCCGTCTTCGGTGCACTTCGAGCCGGGCTGCTTCACGTAATTTGGTTAGCATTTTCAGTGGGGGTTTTCATTTTTGGGTTGGTGGTGGTTTTCGTGGGACTCTTTTTGGATTTGGGTAGGGACTTTCGGGTTCTGGTGCTCTTTTTTTTCGTTGTCGCCGCTTGGCCAAAAAACACTCACCTGGCGCCAAACGAGGTTCTCCGATGTGCACCTTGAAGCTGACGTCCTTCTCGTAGCTGCTCTCCTCTAGGATGTACAGATCGATGAACTTCCTGCAAGGGATTAGAACGAACAGAGATTAGTTCTCAGCCAGGACTTCGAGTGTGCGAGGTGTGGAGTGTGCAATCGACTGCGAGCGAGCCAAAAAGCCTTGGCCACTTGATTAATGCTCTCGCCTTGGCTAAATGGCCGCAATCTTGACACTCGAAACTCGAGCTCCGAATTTATTAGGCAGCTTAAGTGTGCAGCTTTCTACTCCACCCACTTGTTTCCACCTATGTTTTTCCAGTGTATTGTGTAAATAAGAAGAATATAGTATAACGTATACGCATAGTGAACCTTTAACAAACACAAACACTTGCATTACTCAAGTGTGCGGAAGTAGATCATTGTCGCAGTGAGTCAAGTTATAAAACCCTCAAGAATTTCATTATTTTTAGCCATCAAATTTGTTTGCCTTCGATGCGAATTCCACAAACATTAATTAGTCCCGCGATAGCGATAAGTTCAAGTGGCTAAACTTTAAGATTTGTGTGTGTTTAACAGTTGCAGCTCTTCTGTGGCTAATTTCCACCCACACAGTGCCAAGTGCAAACCAAGGTCAGCACAATGGGGTAGACCACCCACTTCTTATCCTTGTGGCCAACTCAACTTTAACCTTTCCGCCGGTTGGCAGCTGCCTTTCCTCCTTTCTTGCTTTTTTCCGCGCCAATGCCTTTGAATTTCTCGGCGTGATATTAAAAAGGAAAACCGCCGGGCGAAAAGAGTCACCTGTTTATGACTCGCTTTTTATGGCTCCAAATAAATGGGGAATGTGTACCCCTCCCACCCTTTTATTCTTTAACTGCTTATACTGCCCCATCAAACCGTTCACGTGCCTCCGCCAGATTTTCCAGCCTGATTACGTGATGGCCAATAGATGTTGACGGCTTTTCGGGACTCCACCGCCGACAAGCTGATGACCCACGGGCTGGGCAACAAGTCCAACTATTCACGTGCCCACTATGAGCCGAAATTGGACCATAAATCTATAAAATTTGTCGCTGGCCGTCGTAAATAAAAGCACGCCCCGGACTAAGGGAATTAGGTGGCGCATTAGATTTGATGCGATTTGGCATTTATGGGATCTACACGTCTTCGCCTTATCGAATCTTATCGCAATCGCCTCGCATTGAATCGAATCGAATCTCTCGATAGGCCAAATTCCCGTTGGCCGACAACCAGGGTCAGTCTTGAGCAAAATGTCCAGCGGACCGAACGTACTTCTGATCGCCATCGTCGTCGCCCTGCTGGCCAATCCCTGTTGGTCGGCACCAGAATGCGGCCGAAATGCGGAGCAGTGCAAGGAGCACAGGATGCATCCGGATCTCCCGGAACCGGAACGCAATGGTAGAGCATACCGGGTGGTTGAAGGAGAGGACACCAACGAATACTGGCGTGAGCAGGGCATTCAGTTTGTCCAGCAAAAGCTGGCTTTCGAATTGAACCAGAAGCAGGCGAAGAATGTGATCCTCTTTCTGGGCGACGGAATGGGAGTGACCACCACCGCGGCGGCTCGCAATCTCCTCGGAGGGGAGGAGAAGTCCCTCTCCTTCGAGAGCTTCCCGCACACCGGATTCTCGAAGACCTACTCCGTGGACAAGATTGTTCCGGACTCCGCCTGCACGGCCACCGCGTATCTGTGTGGCGTGAAAGGTCAGGAGGGAACGATTGGCGTCAATGGCCAGGTGCCCCGCACCGACTGCACCGTCATGCTGGACGAGAGCACCCACGTCGACTCGATAGCCAAGTGGGCCATGGAGGCGGGCAAGTGGGCGGGTCTGGTGACCACCACTCGGGTTACCCACGCATCGCCGTCGGGGGTTTACGCCCACATCGCGGAACGCGACTGGGAGAACGATGCGGAGGTGGCCAGCGATTGTGGAGCGAACTCCGGAATAAATGACATTGCCTATCAGTTGACCCGCGGTGAAGTGGGCAGCAAGTTGAAGGTTATCCTCGGCGGTGGACGCAAGAACTTCGTGGACTCCACTCTGGAGTCCTGGGGAAAGCGAACTGATGGATTGAACCTCATCGAGGAATTCAAATCAGGAAACGAAAGTAACGTCTATGTGACCACCGCCGAGGAACTGGAGGCCGTGGATGTGACCAAGACCAATCGCCTGATGGGTCTCTTCAACGAGGATCACCTGCAGTACCTGATGGAAACCACGGAGGAGAGTGAGCAACCCACTCTGGAGCAGATGACCCGCAAGGCCATCGAGTTCATGAAACATAGCGAACAGGGATACTTCCTCTTCATCGAGGGCGGTCGCATCGACCAGGCTCACCACATCAACCAGGCGAGGATGGCTCTCAATGAAACCATCGAGTTCTCCAAGGCCATTGCCGCCGCCCAGGAGTTGACCAGCGAAGATGACACCCTGCTGGTGGTCACCGCCGACCATTCGCACGTGTTCTCCTACGCAGGATACTCGGTAAGTTGGGGGAAGTTATCAAGGGAGGGGATTTCATAAACTAAAGTGGAGAAAGCAGGAGTCTAGTGAGGCAGAACTCAATCGGAAGATTGTTATCTATTATTACAAATCAGTTTGTTAGTTGTCAAGCAGTTTGATAACTATCAAATACATTTGCAGCTCGATCATAAAAAGCTTTAGATTGTGCATTGGCATAGCATTTCAGAACTGCATATTATTAAGGGAAACCTTATTTTATACCTCGGTGGCCGAAAATTAAAAACATCAATTTGCGGTGCTACTCAAATATTCTTACTAAGAAAACAAAAGCAACTTTATTAGTTTAGTTATTTAAATATAAATGAAATTTAAAAACATTCTTATTTCTTTTAGTAGGAATATTTAAAAGGCATCAAAATTTAATTAAAGTTGAAAACATTTTGCCCACTACTGCAAAAGAGTTCTAGGTCACCGGAATTACATAAAAACTTTATAAGCATTGGGCCCTAATTTGAAATTCTAAAGTTTGCTAATGAAGTTGAGGTGAGTTATAAAAGGAAATTATGAACAAATGCGGCGATGCCCTGTGTTGATAACGAATATATATTTTGCGCTTTATTATTATAGCCTCAAGTTTAGCACGCAAGTAAACTACAACACTCCAACTTTTATAACTCGAGCACCGCTTCACAAGAAAAATCGAATTATGAAGAGTTATAGATGTGTTAAAAGTCAATCCTTCATATCAGAAGCAGCCTACTGACGTGAAAATAAATTATAGACAACCCGAAATCTTTCATTGATAAATAACTTGTATTTATAATCTGATTTGGCATTGTTATTGGTTTGATAATCAATTCTTAGCAATACAAAAAAACTACAAAATGCTAAAAAAAAATATTTGCTCTACTTTTCAGTACCGCGGTTCGGACATTTTTGGAAAGGCTCCCGTGACTGGACAGGATGGCCAGCCCTACATGGTTCTGAGCTACGCCAACGGCCCGAGCTTCGAGAACTTCTACGATGGAGCGACGAAGGAGCGGAAGGATCCCACCACGGTGGTCACTGGCAAGCACGACGACGAGTTTCCCTCGGGAGTGCCAATCGACATGGATTCCCACGGGGGCGACGATGTGCCCGTCTACGCCTTGGGCCCTTGGTCCCATTTATTCACCGGCGTCTACGAGCAGAGCACCATTCCCCACCTGATGGCCTATGCATCCTGCCTGGGTGAGGGCCACACCATGTGCAAGTAGGAAAAGGAGAACAGGATAACAGAAAGAGGAGCAGAAGGGGGAATGGGAAACAGGGGAAGCCAGCAAGGATATGCCATGCCGGGTGGCCGTAACAATTAAGTTTGAAGCTCATTAAATCTTGCCAGCGAGCGGCATTTGCATTTGCCTGCACTCGAGTTTATTATGCGAACGCGAACGCAAACTGCAAATTGAATTAAAGCGACTTTCCAGCGGGGAGACTCTTAACTGGGTTAACTTTCCTCGCCCATCATCGCCCTCGTAATTCGCAGTTTCGAAACTCATCGGGCTTCCCACATCAGCGAACGAGGTTTGCTCCTGGCGCCGACTTCTTGGCTCCATTTCGCACTGGGATTTGGATTTGCTCTGCGTTTCCCTTGCGTGCGCACGCCAAAAACTTTTTCGGATCCTTGGAAATGTGCAAATTGCCACGTTTTGGGCCCGTGTTGCACGGGGGGCCATTAGAGAGATTAGTGGGCAGACTCCGCTGCTCCGTGTAGTGCGGGTCCTGTAATTGCATATTTGCAATACGTATACCGATTTTAATTTTCCCTCGTACGCCATCAAAGGGTAATTAAAGCCATTAAAGGACATGCGTCATCGCCAACGGCTGACTAATTTCGAAAAATTGCACGCAAATTGCCTGCGCTAAAAAGGATTCCAATTCCAATAACTTTGTGTTTGTGTGCGAGAGGAAGCGTTTCCACCTCGATTTCCGATTCGATTGCCACGCCAAATTATATCCGCCTTCCCTTACAAATGGCAAGCCCATATACCAAACAATATATATGTATGTTTGTGGTGTGCGCGGTGAAGACCTCATTTCCCCCATATGACAGCTATTAAACCAACAAGCTCAGAAAAGTGGGTAACTAGGCCCATGCCACAAACTCGCTTTCCCTGGCACATTCAATGCTAATTCCGCCGTACGGCCGATATGCCTCAACCACTTCCGCCGTTTGATTTTCAATGGCAACGTCCAACGTCCAACATCCATCGAGCAACGACATCGTTGTCGCCCATTGTTACCCTCTTTGCCTCATTGGCCCTTAACTTCTCCCTATTCCCTTCCCCATTTCTAATCCATGCGAAGGGGTATGTAACGCGTCTATTGATTTTGCAACTATCGGCCACCAAGCGGGCTTCTCGTTTCTGGGCTCTGACCACGTTGTGGCCACCCAGCGAGACATGGCCAAAGCCAGCTGTTTGCAGCGCAGTGGGCCTAGCCGGAAGGCCGGACTTGCTCGGATCGGTGTCTCTCTTGTCCGGTTCTGGCTGGTGTCTGGCTTGCGGCCACCGCTTGCACTTGGCCACCAACAAGTGCGCTTCCAGGAGGTCATTACCACACAGTGGAGCATTCGAGGGATGAAGGCCATTAAGCGCTTAAACCTTACAAAGTAGAGTTTTGCATAAGGGGAAATAAAATACTTAGTTTCTTTACAGCTCCTCTTTCCGTGCTGCTAGGTAACAAAAAACTCGATAGGTTGTGATTGTATCAAAATTTTTACACCTTAAAGAGAAAGTCTTTTATTAAACTTTATCTATCAAAATATAGGAATGGTTCTAGATCATCTAGTCATATAGCATATTAACATTTCTTTTGCGTATTCCAAAAAACACCAAGAATGTTAGTACTGTTTATAATCCAAAGTGAAGATTAACCGTGCATAGCACTATTGTCTGTAATAAAAATGAATTACAACATTCTGAGTAAAGAGAAAGTTATCACATTTAACCTTGGTTATTACAAATTACCAAAGTGAGAAAAAGTATAAGCTAATCATAAACTTGGTTACTTCACAATGGGGAAACTTTCGTTAAGGTTCAAGAAGAAATCCCAAAAGTATGCAAACACATCTTTGGGCTCCACTGAAACCCAAAAACTATCTTTAATTAAAACAGAGTGGAAAAGGCTGCTCAAAAGAACAATGCGAAGATTACTAAGATAGCATGGGAACCACATTCGTTGTGGGCCAAGTCCAAAGTCAGACAATTTGGTTGGATGAGCTTGTAAGCCGGCGATTACAGTCCGCACCTTTGCGTTCCGGATCTGTTTTAGCATCCGGCAGCTGGCCGCCGTCTCAACTGATTGATGCCACAGCTCGGGCTAATAATCCGACCAGGAGGAGCTACCCCCACTCCCCCATTGCTCCTGCCAAGCTTGATTTCCCGGCTCCTGCTCCTGCTCCTGCTAAGCTCCTCAATTACCTGGCCGAGCTTCGAAAGCGGCTCCTCCTGCTCGGCATGCAAACGAGGTGTCCCCCGTGTTGCCAACGATTCAAACCCCTGAAATACCCGTATGGTCAAGCACACATAATAGCATTACTTAGTCAACGGCAAGGGCGAGGCCACCACCGCCACCAGCACCCTCGGAAAACTGGGAATGGAAATGGAAAATGGGGAAGGCGGGGGGTAGCGGGGTGGGTTGGGTGGCTCAAACTTGTGCTTGAAAATAAAATTAAAGAAAAATACAGCAATTTGCATAGCAATGAGCGGTGTGCACAGGTTCCGAGTTGGAAAAGCGGAAAGGAAAACTCAGGGGGAGTGGGGAGTGGGTGGTCTGCCTTTGGGCGGGACTAACCATTAAACCTCAATTGCCAACTCTGGCAAACTTTTACCTTTAGTTGGCTGCATATATATCCTATCTGAAATCCCAGTTGAAACACCCAGAGAACCCACCGTCCTCCAATCGGTGGGGAAAACGTCGCTTTTGGTTGGGAGTTTTCCGAATGACGTTGCGGCTGCATATCATATTATTTGGGGACGCAGTATGGCTTTTGAGGTTTTGAATTTTAAATTCCGATTCAAGGCGAAATGTCTAAGTCACCGGGGTGCTGAATTCATTACATCCCCTTTCCCTTTTTGGTGACCACACTGTGCAAAAGCGATTGGTGGCGTTGATTGCAATGTGCAACTGGCCAACCCCTTCAGCCAGTCGATCAATTAATAATGCTTTTTCTCGATAATTATTAAGGTGCCAGGCGTCGTTTTAATGGAATTTCCAGGAAAAACTGCAGGATGTGCGGGTGGAAATTCGACAAGAAATTTCAGCGTCAGATTGATTGCCTCTTCGGGGAATTCAATTAAGTGCGACTGCCTCAAACTCTTCACTTGTCGTCCCAACGAAATTAAAGGGGAGTTAAGTGACCATAAATTGTTTGCCACCCAGAAATTATCGCCGCGCTTTTTCAAGTCAAATAAAAGCGATTCCGAACAATTCCCTGGAGTTTTTCCCTCAACAGGTGGAATCAGCGTCAATTATGGTCCGTTAAAATAAATGCAGCTCAATCAATATTAATGTACAGAGAATTCCTCGTTATCGAGTAAGTGGAAACCACAAGCATTTTTATACCGCATTGTTTTGTGTGCCGTATCTTTGCTTCAACCTTCATACATTTATATTAAATTCTTGGTAAGAAATCGCATTTTCATCGCATTTATTATTTTTTAAACAAACCACAACCCCTTATTATTCAATAGACCACATGATTTAAGGTTAACCTTATGAATATTAAACCATTAACTTGCAAAATCGAAAATGCAGGCTACTGCCATATTATGTTTATGACAATCTGTGTTTAATGGAATCTACATTTAATTGATGCCCTGGGTCATTAACTCAACGATTGTGGATCTGGAACACTCCCACTTGATGTCTGTGTGGTTTCAAGTGGTTTTCCACTGCATGTGAGTTGCGAAGTGGTGCAGATTTGTGTGGGAGCAACCACCGCTGGTTGAGGATAAAGGTGTAGGGTATTAACTTAATAAATTGAAAACGAAATTGTGTTTATTCGCCGGCAGTCCTTCAACAAGTCATAGTTGTTGCTACATCGGTCTATCAGGCTGTCAAATATTGACGAAGTAAACGCGAGATTCATTTAAAATTTATCGAAAATATCTGAGCAGCCTGAAATGTTGTCCGTACTTTCATTATTTTCAGTTCGCTCGAATTGCGAGAGTTCGTAATGAGTTCTGTGGACTTTTGACTTTGGACTGGCAGTAAAATTGAGCCCTAATTTGACCAGTCTATCAAAACGTCAAGTTTGTCGGACTTGCGCAAACATTTTAACGGAAGGTAAGCCCAACGGGTAGATAGCTAAATTTTCTCTTTTTTTGCCATGGACATAAACTTTCAAAATTGGTTAATTATGTGGCCATCGATCCTTGAAAGGTGACTTGCATAATTTAAAGCCCTTATTACTTTAAGAAATGATTATTAAACAGTTATTTTTCTACATCACATTTGTTATCAACTTATTTTAGAAGTTGTTTATACAGTGTACAATTAACCATTTCATTTTCAGTTTGGAACCATAAAACATTCCTAAGCGTAAAAAATGTTTTCGATTTTATTCTTCTTTTTATTCCTATACCAAAGATTTTTTATGAATGTATGTATGTATATCATACCTAAAGTTGAGCTTAAGAAGCCTTTACTAGTTTAAATGTACTTGACATGTCACAGAATTCCAAGAATTTTCACCAAAGCTTTGAACTTAAATTTCTTATGTTTGACCATTCCTAAGCCCCAAAAATGTTCTCTAAAAACGTATTTCGACTGCCCCAAACAGGGCTTATCTCCAAGTTGTCCCATTAAGCGCAAAGGGGCGATCTGAACATTCCGATAGCGGCAAATTGAATGCATGTTCGACAAACGAGCGTGACCGGAGTGCAGAACAAAGAGTTGAGTTTGGTTGCCTTTGCCTTTGCCTCTGCCATTGAGCGGGTGTCGGTGCAAAGACAACAAATTACACTTGTTGAGGCGCGAAATTAACAACAATACTATCTCTCGCCCGACAATCGGATCGGGTAAATAATAACCCGCCAGCTAAATGCGGGCTAGGCGAGCCGTGTCACATGCAGGTGGCTCCGCTGGGTGGTTCCGAATGGTGGGGCAGTGGGGCAGAGTACCAGTGGTGCAGAGGAGGTGGCGGGAGGAAAGGGGAGAGCGAAAAGAGGGAAAGGGGAGGCACCACCCCCTGCGGACGAGTCACGTGTCGTGTGTCCTGGTTCCGTGTCGTGTTGGATAACTAAATAATTCCATGTTGCGCTTCTTTGTTCTCAACTTAAGTTGAAGCGTTTTTAGCGACACTGAGAAAAAAGCAACCGATTTGGAAAATAGAGTACAATATAGAAAACCTTTAAAGTAATCAACTTTTCTTTATAATATAGATTTAT